TATATAGACCACCTCGTATTAGGTATATAGACCACCGCGTATTAGGTATATAGACCACCTCGTATTATGAATATAGTGTCAAAGGTTGAAATGTTCCATGTTCTCTATCAAAGGGGTATGGGGGGAGCGCAGGCTATACAGTGTATAGTATGCCTAAACCAGCCTTCTGGTTGAAGAACAGGTCTGGGAATGCCTAAGTTTGACATATAGACTATAGACTGGTATCTCTGACTGACAACTCTTCTATTCTCTCCTATCCCCTACACTCTAGTAACCCTAAGCCTCACCTCACAAAGCTACAGCACATGTCCATGTCATCTGTCCTGAGTAAACAGCAGAGCGTCATGCTTGATGGCGTGGTAGTAGGTAGTAGATACCTAATGGTGCTACGATACAGTACTCACTCTGTCATTTGTGATTGTGGTACTGTATGTACTTTTGTCCCTGGTGGACAATTCATCATTCGTCCCTCGTATACACTCTAGATCCACACGACATACTCCAGACTCTGTAGCAGACTTGACCAAGGTCTAAGCTGTCTGGGGGTACTGGATAGTATTTGCTCCCCCTCCTCCTCCTCCCTCTTATTACTAGAACTCCGTCGCCGTCACCATCTCGCGAATCTCATCGATCTTCGCCCTGACTCGTGCCGTCCGTCGACTCGTCGTGTCAAACCACACGCGCGCCTCGGCCTCGGCGGCGCAAAAGTACCTCAGAGCTTGATGGAGGTCATCTTGTCTCTTGCTCTGCCGTTCCCTTTCCCTTTGCAGCTTTATTTCCCCTTCCAGCAGTTCTCTCTCCCTTTGCAGCTTTATTTCCCCTTCCAGCAGTTCTCTCTCCCTTTCCAGTAATTCTCGTCTTCTTTGTAGTTCTCGCTCCCTTTCCATCAGCTCTCTCTCCCTTGCTCTTTCACTTTCCTTTCGTAGCTCTCTTTCCCTCTCCCTCTCCCTTTCTTGTTCTTGTCTTTGTTCTGAATCACCAAGCTCAAGGTGAGGGTAGATAGAAGATTGAACAGAATATCCGACCCCCCCGGCGAGTGCCGCATCCTCGCCTGGCAGTTGGGGGCTGTACTGGCGCAGAGGAAGACAGTACCCTTGCATACCGTTCTCGCCGAGATTTCTTGTTATACTCGGGTTCGGATTTTTCATAGGCATCTGTATCTGACTCCGAGTTTCGGTTTGGGCTTGGGCTTGGGCTTGAGTCTGAGGCTGAACTTGAGTATGACCCGCGACGAATTGCAAGTCCTGCTGCTGGAACCACACAGACCCTGTTTGACCATCATCGCCATCACCATCACCCCTGGAATGCCCACCTTGAGACGGGTCTTGATATGGATATGGAATTGGATCTTGTTCGAGTATCTGCTCGTTCAGAGAAGCGGGGCGCGAAGACGACGACGACGACGACGACGTCGAGGGGGTGGCTGTCCCGGTTCCCAGGTTGCTACTTTCCCCCGAGTATGATGGGTGTGATGGCCCAGTTGCATGGTTGTGACTGTGGCATGCGCAACTGCAAGCACAGACGCAGTGAACCGCTGTCGTTGGCGCTGTGACTGTGACAGGGATACTGGTGATTCCAGCAAACTGACCCGACAAAATATTGGTATTCAGTTGCGTGTAGGCGTACGCGCTGCTATGTCCAAGGGTGGCATCGTCAACGTCCGTGTTGATATCGCCGGTCCCACTCCCCACCCCGAGTCGAGGGTCGAGCTCCGGTGCAGCATACACGTTGTCTGACCTGCTCGCTGCTGCTTCCCCTTCCGCTTCTGCTCGAGCAATGAAACACTTCCCCAGGCCCTCGAGGGCGGCAAACCTCGTCTTGGCACGACCATAGTCGCTCAACAGGTCGGCCCGTGTCAGAACTTGATTGAAATGCTCAATGGCGCCCACCACGTCGCCATTTTCCAGCGCGTCATCCGCCACGTTGGTCATTGTGTACAGCACATTGCGGGCCGTGGGGCCGTAGAAGCGTTCTTGGTCATGGAGCAGCAAGCGGCGCTCCTGGGCGCGCTCGTGGGCAAAGGATGGGCCAGAATGGTATAAACTGTCACAAAACCGTTCTCGCAAGTATAGTGTCTTCCAGTCGTGTGCGCTGGCAGAGGTGGCGGAGGTGGTAGATGACCTGGTAAATGAGAGGTACTGTCCGGTGGCGACGCGGAGGGTGTTGACGATCAAGTTGGCCAGGTTAAGTCGCGCCTCGAGAGCAGCAGCACGACCGTTAAGGTTGAGTGCCTGTGACAAAGACAAAGACAGGGACAGAGCTTCCTGGGCCAACACGGCGAAGAAGGCCGTCAGGGCGTGGCCGCTTCCGAGAACCAACGACGCCATCTCCGATAGATATTGAAGCAGCTGGGCGGTCACGGTCCAGAAAAGGGTGACAGGCTTGTCGTTCGCGGCAGTCGAGGAGCCGTGGTCGCCATCGCCATCGCCATCGCCTTCTCCTCCGCCTCCAACGAGGCCGGTGTGGCTGATCAGCTCGCACACCGTGCCCAATATTACGGCTAAGCTCATGGGGTGGTCGTCCCTCAAAATGGTGCGCACCAGCTCGAAGCCGTGATGAAAGCTGGCGAATGCCTGGGCCGCAGTCTGGTCAGGCACCTTTGCCTTGTGATATTGTTGTTGCCGCGATATCCGTTTGAGCAGTGCCATCCCGTCAGCCATCTTGGATGCAAATACGGCATGCACCGTATAGGCGTGCACTGCTGGCTCCATGTGCCTGAGCGACCGGGCAGAGGCCGCGTAAGAACTGATATACGTCGACATGCTATAGTTCAGGTGCTCCAGGGCGTGAAAGGCCTGAGGCCTGAAGAGCACTGGCGTCAATGTCAACGTCCACGCCGACGAGGCTTGAAGAGGCCCTGTTCGCGGGAAAGACACCGACGTGGACGTGGACATCTGATCGGAGATGTGGGACTGCATGTCTTGCCGCCGCAGAGGACTATTAGCGGCCGCATACTCTTGAAACGGATCCCTCCCAGCCATACGATCTGGCAAGAGGTCTTGTTCTTCAATCTCTTCCGTTGGTTGCACTCGTGCCACATCGACCCAGAGTTCAGCCTCGCGTTCGGCAACGGCTGCATCATGATCATGATCATGATCATGCTCGTACTCATGCTCCTTCTCATTCTCTTCCGAGTCGGATTCCGGCGTCGCGATGCCGGTGACGAGTTCGACATCCTCGCTGAGTACCGAATCCCCCTTCTTTCCCTGTTCCCGGACCCAGGCAACCGGGTCGCTGACCTTCTTCCGCCGAAAGTATCGCAGGAATTCGACGTGGCTGACCTCTTCACCCCTGATCAGGAAGCTGACTGGTCTGCGGCGTAATCTATTCCCGTCATCGCATTGGCGTCCTTTGCGGTGCTGGTCAAGATGCTCCCCAAGCAGGTACGCCGCGGCACGCATCTCGGAAAACTTGTGGTTGCGACCGAGCTTCCAGCGCCGGATGCGCGTATGAAGCATGCGTTCACTACAGACAAAAGAGGGGAGGTAAGTTGCAAAATATGGATAGAAAGTCGGCGGCTGGGGAGGACAGGAATATCAAAACCCAACGCGAGTTGACATGCACCATCACAGCAGGAATGTCCTTTTATGCGTCCCATCTTCTCCGGATCCGGCCTTTGAGGCTGAAATGTGCAACCCCCTATATGAGGCCGAGTAGAAGTCGCACTACCAAGCCAAAGGACCTTTGGCAATCATGCACCAAGGCTAGTTAAAGGCAACGCAAAGGGGAAACAAAGAAAACAAACCCACATACTTGACTAGAAAGCCCATTTCGCGCAGCTGGCGCCGGACATCTGCTAGTGGCTGCCGTTCAACAGAGTAGAGATGTGTGATAATGGCGCGGTTGGCCTCCCACTCGGTATTGCTGTAAGACTTGACCGGGAGCCTCGTGCACCGGCGTGGACCGGCCGTGGCTCGAGACGTCGCACTAGGATGGTTGGAGCGCGGCAGAGGCAGTGGGTGTCCATCATGCCGCGAGAGAATCAGGTCGGCCATGCTGGAAGCAAGTCCAAGAACGTAGTGTCAACGTAAAAAAAGGCAGCTTCAGTTGTTTCGGTCCACTCAACTCAGCGGGTTCTTTCTCGCTGTGCGCCGTGCAGCGCTGAGGGCCAAAGTGACGGCCGGCTTTGGCGTCCGGTAGTCGACGTTGAGGAGTCCTCTGCGGAAGGAATGTTTAGTTACATAGTAGGAGTCCGTAATCAGGTCAGTAGAAAGAAGGATTTGATGAGTAGTTGGTTATTAGTCAATAGACGGACTCGGTCTGAGTAGTATCGCTCGACGAACTGGGTGAAGATTGAGGCTCACCAAGAGTACTGGTAATGGTAAACGAGCGCACCACTGAGCAAGCGGGCAAGCGCCTTGGGCCCCTCTCTTTCCTGTCGAGCCTCCAGGGCCACACTAAGTATGATATTTGCGGCGCAGCGACAGTCGGTGAGACGCGGTGTCACCGGTCGATGAAGGTGATTCGGGACTGCCGTGGTATCCAACTCACGCTGGACTTGACTGGAGGTCTCGAGCCGACCAGAGTGGCGCAAGAAATGGCACAGCCTCATCTGCACGACTCTGCACTCTCTCAGTCCACTCGCGGGGAGGACACGTCAGTCGTGCTCTGAGTGGTTAGTTCACCTCAGGTATTCTCTAGTATTGGTTATAGTTTGGTGCATGCATAATGCAGCTGTGACTGGGAGACGAGACTCCTCCGGTCTAATGCGGGTTACGGCTTGTTGTTCGCGGGCTGCTCCGCCACGCCACTCGTCGGCTGAGGCTTCTAAGGCCATTCGTTGCTCAGCCCGGAGAAGGCGAGGGAGCAGACGGGGATTGGACTGGACTGACAACCCTTATCCCATAGTACTTGGTTGGCTGGATTGTCTGCTGGGGTTTGGGCTTTTTGATGGAGTGATCATGGTACATTTGTCTAGCAAGGAGTTTCAGATGGAGGAATCAACCAATACAATGTACAGTATATGCAGCCCACCCAACCTTGACAAACATACCGCAGGATTCGGGCAGAAGTACGGAGTACTGCCCCAAGGACTGTGTGGTCTGTCGTCACTCTTCTATCTGGTATCGTATCAGCATGTCGCTCCGCCGTCCACGGAGAAAATGGCGCCCGTGGTGAAAATAGCGTCGTCGCTGAGGGCGAAGCAGATGGTTCTCGCCATATCTTCCGACGACCCCAGTCTCTGCAACGGGAGGGTCTTGACTGTCTCGGCTAGCGGTCGTTGGACGCCGCCAGCGTTTGAGCGAATGCGATCCAACATGGGAGTGTCGACAGGGCCCCTATATAGTCAAGTCGGTCAGTCACACAGAACACAGCTGCTGGGCGTTGTGTGAGGTGAGTTAAGCGGAGGCTCACGGTGCAAGCGCATTCACCCGGATGCCTCTCTCGCCCACCTCCTTGGCCGCCGTCCTCGTCAGTCCAATGACGCCGTGCTTGCTCGCCGTGTACGCCGCGACACCCGGCCGACCCACGAGTCCGGCCATGCTGGAGACATTGACGACTGACGAGCCTCGTTGCATGACTCGCAGTTGCGCCCGGAGACAATAGAACAGGCCGGTCAAATTGATGCCCATCATACATCCCCAATGTTCGTTTGAAATGTCCACGATGTTGGCATACACTTTGCCTCCAGGCCCTGCTTCGACCCCGGCCACATTGGCCGCGCCGTCCAGCCTTCCAAAGTGTGCAACCGTGTCGGCAATCCAGGCATCCACGCTGTCCGAGTTGGACACATCGACGCGCGTTCCCACAACGTCGTTGCCTCTGCCTCTGATTTCGTCTACCACCACGGCCAGTGCATCTTGGTTGATGTCGCAGAGTGAGAGCGATGCTCCTCGCGCCGCCGCCTCACGAGCGGTCGCTGCCCCGATCCCCGATCCGGCACCCGTGATGGCAATGACTTTTCCTTCAAGTCGAGACATGTCTGAGTCTGTCTTTTCAGGAGATACAATCCAGTCTCGATTGCGATGACATGATGGACTAATAAGCCATGCAGGGCACCCCCAAATCATGAGGGGCGCCGAGATCCGTCCGCGGGGCCGAGGCTGGGGGAAGTGGAGGTGAACCGTTCGTTCGAACCAACTGTGTGGCTTAGGCCTCCTAAGCCTAAGGCTTCGCCTTAACCGTGTCGACCTTTGAATACCCCTGCTCGTGGACACCTATTTCTGCTGGAGCACGTCCACTGTATATGCCCTACATCTACCAGGGTCGCTGTCGAGATGCAGACAAATGTCAAGCTAGTACCACTGTTACTGCATTTCTGCCTGCCAGAAATTTCGTGGTCACCGCATTTTGGGCAGTTCATTGACCGGAAGAGATGCAGCTTGAGTTGCATCAAGTTGACCATGAAGTGAGCTGGCTAAGAGACGAGGGGAGTGCGGTGGAAGTGAGGCATCTTTGTGTAACAGAGGCGCCATGGCTGCCTCATTTTCCGGCCAATAGACGACGAGTTGTACGCAGGGAGCTGCTGGTTGCTGCCAACACATCGTACGTACCGGTGCAGACCAGAGAGGCCTTCCTGGCATCGACACTGTGCTGACACTGGCTTCTGTCGCTGGCCTTGTCCCTCATTCGTACTGACAGAAAAGGTGGAAGAAGAAAGTGGGTAAGGCATTCAGGATACGACACCCTTCACTTCTCCACGCCAGAAACGTACAGAGCAGGCCCTGCTGGGAGAATATGATCTCAAAGAGAATCCATGATTGGTCGAGTTGGGCACAGATGTCGACAAGCGTTGAGCAGATAGGCTCCTTCGGCTTATGTTATGGTTCCCTCCGTCCTTGTACATGTTTCTCTCCCATAAGGCTCTCTTTCTTGCCGTTAATATGACTGTTCACTTCCGGCACCAACTGTGCCAGAGATCCAGAAAGATCATGGTTGAAATCAAAGTGTTGTGGCGTGGACGGCGTGGAAGATCCTCTGATCCAGAGACAGCGCACTTCGTGCTAGGTATAGTTCAAAAGGTCAAGAAGATCGTCAAACTGTCAAGCCGAACTGCTCCAGCCTGTTTTGGAAACCCCATTCTCTGGAGGTGCTCTCTTTCGGTTGGGGTGGCCGATAGTCGAGGCGACCGCCCGCTGACAGTAAGATGACCACCGGGTGCCCTCAGACCCTGCGTCGACATATTTGTACACACGGTAGACGGCATCGAGGTAGGGAATTACGATCCATGTGGGCAACATCCTAGACATGAGTGATCAGCATCTCGAGACACCGCAGGAAATCGCACCTACCTAAGCAACACCTGAAGGAACAGTTCAACTGCGTTACAGTGCACGGTACATCGCGTCACCTTGAATCTTGTGTTACTTGTTTGGCCACAGACATATGAACATGGCATTTCAGAGCAGTGGGTCGAGCAAGGCACAACAGACGGTATATTCCTCGTTGCTCTTGGTAGTATCCTGTCTCCTCAGCCGCAATGCAGTTTGATGCCCGGTCGTGTCATGTGATCGATATGACCCCATCAGATCTAGTGCCCTTAACTTGGTATCTGTACTCCGTACTCTGTTCGCAGTAAAAGGACCAGCGAGGCCACAAAACAATACATCGACGAGGCTGTGGCCGGGGTGGGTAGGCTGAAGAAGTCGGGGTTGCATTGTGCTTTACCATAGGCTGATGAGGCTCAGCTTCGCCCACTCGGGGTGACCATCAATAACACCATCAGGCACTGTCCTTCCTTGCTCCAATCATTGCCAATCCCCCGATCAAAGCATGCGTGGGTAATGCCCTCCTCCCGCATGATCCCGGTCTCTAAACCTGTCAAATTCCACTCCGTTCCATTAAAAGAATTGCAAGACTGCCAAAATCACCCAGCAAAGTCATGTCTTTTCCGCCACAAAAAACTCCAGCTCGATAGAATTTCGCCGTGTATGCACTTGGATACCATGTAAACCTAGTAAAGACATCAAACAGAATGTGGTCGAAGTCACACCATAGGTGAAGAGAGCCCAGTCGTGAAGAAAATACCAAGGCAAAGGCGCTCTACATGATGATGGATGGCACTGCAGAAGAGTTAGCGGATTCACGGTGTGTATCGAGATACGACTGACCCTCAACGTTCGCCTTGATGCTCTTGTGAGGGAGGACACTTCCACCATTCACATAGATCTCGTCGCCGATGGAAACATCATCCCCAAGCACCGTCACGTTTTCCAGACGCGCCCAGCGGCCAACAGTTGATCTCCAGCCTAAAATACCGTCAGCAAAGCAGGCGCTTAGGGTGAAAGCAAGACCGTTACTCACCGACAATGGTTGACTTGACCCAAGCATGGTCCTTGACCTTGCTATCCTCCAACAGCACACATCTCTGGAGTCTGACCCCATCACCGATCACGCAGCCAGGTCCAATGGTGACATTGGGTCCGATTCGGCAGTTCTTGCCAATCTTGGCGGTCGGGTCGACCATGACATTTCCGCCGTAGACATAAGGCTCGGAGTTGGACACGAGAGCTTTGGGGTTATGTTTTGCGAGCGAAGAAAGGTACAAGCAAGTGCCGCTCAAGAAGTCCTTGGGTTGGCCGACATCCATCCAGAAGCCCTCGAGGTCGAACGAGTGTAGTTTGCCGTCCTTGCAGATGGCCGGGAAGGTCTCTTGTTCAATAGAGGTGGGACGGAGTTCGATTCGGTCCAGGACGGATGGGTTGAAGATGTAGATGCCAGCGTTGATGCGGTTGCCGACGAATTCGACGGGCTTCTCCACGAAGCGGTCGATACGGGATGGGTGGTTGGGTTTATGAACGATGACACCGTATTTGCTGGGTTCTTCAACCTTGGTGACCACAATAGTACCTTCGTCGCCGTGGGCGGCGTGGAATTCGGCCAATTGCTTGAAGGGGTATTCACAAATGACATCGGAGTTGAGCACGAAGAAAGGTGTGTCGTCTTTGCCCAAGATCTTCTCCGCCAGCTTCAAGGGGCCAGCAGTGCCCAGGGGCTCCGCCTCGACGGAAAATGTGATCTTGACATTGTACAACTCCTCGTATTTTTTGAGCGCACTGGTCATGACATCCGGCCGATAGTTCACGGCGAGGACGATGTCGGTGACACCGGCTGCGGCAAGGGCCTCGACTTGATGCCGAATCATAGGACGATTGCCAAATTCGACTAGGGGTTTAGGTAGGGTGAGGGTGAGAGGTCGCAGTCTGGTGCCGAAGCCACCGACGCTGGGAGAGGTCAGTTGTGCACACCCATGGGGAGGTTGTCAGAGCGTACAGAATGAGTGCTGTCGGGACTCGGTTAGCATGATAGGTCGAACAAAGCCATGAAGGCTGTGGGGGGACATACCCTTCATCTTGATAGGGGTGGATTGAGGACTGGTGGTAGAGCGGTGGTGAAGCGTGCAGCGTGAAGAGTGCAGCGATTGATGTTGATTTGTTGTTGGTGTTGGAGAACGAATGAAACGTAGCTTCGAGACTACTAAGAGCGAAAGAGTCGAAGAGGGTCAAAGAGCAGGAGAGAAGAAGAACTGCAGTGGACGCGGACGAGGTGGGATATATGAGGTCGACTAGTGGTATAGGTAGTAAGGGGGACGTGTATGTGAGTTTTTGAGATGGAGGGCGCAGGCTGTCAGTCAGTCACGGGTATGGAGTACGGGCGGGAACAGGCCAGAGTTTGGGTGTTGTGTTAAGGGCAGGATCCTCCCTCGTCCCTCCCACGCCCTCGCCTCTGGCTAGGGAAGGTACCTAGTACCCTAGTACTAGCCACGCTGTTCCCTTTTTTTCCTTTCTCGACGCGTGACAATTTTATCGATTAGGATGGATCTCCGGGCCGCGCTAGATTAAAGTGGTGGCAGTTGTGGCTGAGGCTGAAGTTCCCCTTTTCCTCAGCCCACTCCCGGGTCTCGAGTCACGAGTCAGACGGGCCACGGGCCACGGGCAACGACGTCCTCCACGCACAGGCCTCGAGAGTCTATGGAATACTACAGTACGGATACTACAAGGAATGAAGACCATGAGTGATTAGATTTGCCGTGTCTACACCGCCACACTGCCACCATCTACTCGTACCATCCACCATCCACGCAAGTACCTGCCTCCACTGAAACGGAGTACTCTATACCGCCGCCATCGCCTGTTTCTCACACTCACTCGCCCCCTTTTCCCACTTGTACACCCAAATTAGTGTCACCACCTGTCACCACCATGTCACCATACCTGAGACCCTCCTGCAATGTTCCAGTCGAAAACACAACACAATCGCCAATGTTTCTTTTTGTTTTTTCTTTCTTTCTGGAAGGGTTTCGTTAAAACTATTCTGTACTAATTTAATGTTTTCTTTATTGACTGCCCTGGCGTGCCCGTAGATTAGATGGCAACCCAACTGCCAGAAAACGCTGCAAGGTTCTGGTATACAATAATAACATTTTACAGTTCAAGGGAGGGCAACAGGGTGGCGTGGTTGTGTTTCGCTTTCTGATCCCTGATGCCACTCTGTTCCGAGCCGAGATTCCTCCCCAATGTTCTCTTCCCGCCTACGAGGAGGTCTGAAGAGTGATCGTAGTCACCTAAGCTGCTGTTGCGCATGTCAGGCGCTTGGATCCCAGTTCACTCCTGGCTGTATGTATCGACTCTTATTGGGTATCATCTGGCAGAAATCCGTAATCGCCTCTCAAAGCTGCACCTCTCCGTCGCCCCTTGGCCGGCCCGTCTCGATCCCCCACAAATTCCAGCAACCAATCCCGCACCTTCTTGACCTTCAATATCTGGGGATCTCTGCTCGAGGCTGTCCGAAGATTCGACGCCGAATAGATCCCGTCTAGATCGTCATCGTCCACTCTTTTGCGGAACAATAGATCGACCTTGGTCACATCACCTTTCAAGCTCTGTCCATGCACTTTGCCCCGGAACGAGCTCAAGGCCACATTCTGCAGTAATACCACATCGCGCGGCCGTAGAACCCGGAGGCTTCGTCGCAGGAGACTCCGCGATCCTTCGGGAGCGGAGTTGGCCCCATCCTTCCAGTTCACCCGCATCTCCCGTGGCAGCCACATGCTGATGCTAAACCCCGTCTTCGTGTCGTCGCCCACCACTAACTCTACTAGGTCCCTCTCGCTTGGCTTGCCGTACTTCATCCCCGTCATCACCGTCCGTGGGGGAGCGATCGACAGGATCCCGACCACCAGGTTCACGGTCATGGTCTGTGGCTCAATCGACGACAAGTAGCGCGCATTGGGGATATCTTCGAGGTTGCTCAGGTGTTTTGGTCTCGGCGCTTGGCTCAGTCGCCGTTGCGAGGCTGTCCGGATGATTCCTCCACCAGAGCCGGGCGTCTGGGGAAACATTTCTTCGTTACTTTCATATGTCGGCGTACCGGGCGTGTAGTCGGAGAAGCCGGATATCTGAGAAGACGGGATGGCCTCGTAAATGGCAAATGAGTGATCGTAGTAATCCGACAGCGCCTCCGAGGTCGTTTCGGTCGATACGCCCGATGGCTGGGACTCGTCACCACTGACATCGCTGCTGGGAGTTGGCGGGCCGACAAAGTCGTCGGCAGAGAAGAACTCGGCGCCGCTGCGGTCGAGTCCATCGGGAGGCGGGCGCGCATCAATTTCAAGTTTAGGAAGGACCGGTCGCATTTGAAGTCGTTGGGTGGTGATTTGTCTCCATTGGGCGCCGAAAGCCTTGGGTGAAGAAGAGGTCGGGGGTGCCAGGGACTCGACATGCATCGATTCGGGAAGAAGTGACTTCTCGCTCCAGTCGAGCTTGGTAGACTCTGGGGCTCCTGCCAGGATGATCATGCGCGTCATGAAAAGCGCCAAAGGGCTGCAGAGGTTCGACTGGTGGATCTACCCAAGCTGATGGAAGACACGAAATGCCCCCAGACTGTATGGCTTTCAACTGAACAAGCTCCACGAAATTGCGCGCCCGATGTAAGAGAACGGGTCGGACCAGATGACAAGACGATTTCGCGATATCTGGGGAAAATGAAGCCAGACAAAAATATACCAGAGCGGATGTGGCGGATGATGCGGATGCGGTCAGGGTTCTTGTACTCCTGCTCCTCTCTGTATTGAAGTATTAGTTCCAGGCTTTTGGGGCGCGAGGTGGCAAGGCGCAACACACCAACCTATCTCATGTCCTTCAGTTAGGCGTCAGTCGATCGATCCAGCAGCCAGTCAACAAAGTAAAAGCTTCCAGGAAGCTGTCGCCGGATCCCGACTCAAGTTAGGGGCGGATGGAGGAGTGAGCGTGGAGTTGGATGGGCTGTGGCGAGGGTGATTGGAAAGTCGGTAACTGACCTGGGTGAACATCCAGGTGACGGTGAGGACGGACGGAGGTGAAATACGACCGATGCCTTCCAAAGGGGTGGGAGTGGGAATAACGTATGGATATCGATCAAGGAATGGAACTGGGACAGATAAAAGCATTGGGGGCGTCATGCCCGATCCGTCTAGCGCGCCTGGTTACCCCAGGAAAAAACCAACAGTTGCATAAAATATCCGACCTGCCGTACGCCGAACCAGGGCCTGACTTTAGAGACAAGCTTCGAGTCGATCCGCCTTACCGCCTGACATTAACTCAAACACAGCCCTGTGACTGGCCAATAGGGTCTCTAGCCGCTGACTAGGGCACACTAGCGGCATTCCGGGCATGTCATTTAAATACGAAATACGGTGCGTCGCCAGGCACCAGCAATTACTTCACTGCATTGCTTCAACGAACGCCACCACGTCTTGTGTAGCTCTGTTGTCGACAGTTGACACGGTGTCTCGTCCACTACTCTGTAGATTGGATCATCTCGCACCAGACAAATAAGCTCACACCACCATCACCTACCATCCAACTTCTGGAGCATTGGAACAACCGGGGGATCGACTGGTGGCCAAATCAAGCCATGTTTGCCCATTTTTGTAATAATATTAAGACAGTCCTGGGCTCGATCCCCTGTCTGTCCTTTGTGTCTTTTAGTATCTCTACCAGTAAGCTGAGGCACCGCCCTCATCCCATGCACTGGCATCGTCATGACAAACCCAATTTCCTGCCAAACTCCGCGCTTGTCTATCACCCATATCTTGAAATTTTGAGAGATCCAGCTGTGCGTACGGATACTCGAGGGCTCAATGAGGTTGCAAGGCTGTGCGAACAAACACCCAACACCGGTGCATACCTTTCCCCTTGTACGGCGTTTCTGGCAACCTCAATCATCGAACTTGAATGCCTTGCCACCGCTGATGTCAATGGCTCCACCCCGGTAGCTCCCACGCTTCTTCTTGTTCTTCTCCTTGGTGAATCCCTTGCCTCGTGTAACAGAAAGATCCTTGTACGCCTTCTCGGCATAATCATAGCTCTGGTATGCATTGCTGAGATATTGGTCTCCCTTGGCCTGTGCCGAGAGTTGCGCCAACGGTGTCGGTCTCGCACCAACCTGCTTCTTCTGGCCTGAGGTGGGCGTAGTATTGTTGAGCATCTGACTACGGTCTTTGTGCATTAACCCTTCCGAATGCGATAGGTCCGGTGTATCGTCAGCATTGTCTCCCACCACAGTCCCGGACGACTCGGACGGCGTATCGGCTGCGGCGATCAATTTCGTCTTCTTGTTGGATGGTTTGGCAAAACTCTTCTTATCTTCTGCTTCTTTTTCTTCTTCTTCTTCTTCTGAGGAGGAGGATGACGATGACGAAGATGTCGTTTCGGCGGCGCTGGACTCCTCTACCGAACTGTCTGTGGATGCTTCGCTCGAAGAACTGTCGGACGCAGCAGGCTTCTTAACAACCTTTACCCGCTTTGCTGGTCGCTTGTCCTCGGGCGAGTCGGACTCTGAAGAAGACGATTCGGACTCCGATGAGCTAGACTCTGCCTTTCGCTTAAGGTTCTTCGCGGCAGCACCTCCAGGAGCCTTGTTGATGTCAGAGGAAGACTTTGGGGCCGTTATGGGCTTGGCGGGGGTGGCGCTGCTCTCTTCGTCCTCATCGTCGGCATCACTGTCGGACGAAGACGAAGATGAAGAGGAGGAGGATGACGGCGAGACAGATCGTTTTGTAGTCTTGCCTTTCTGGCCTTTAGAATGTGCCTTAGTCTTGACCTCTTCCTCGGAATCAGACGACTCTTCACTGCTGGTTGCGCTACTGCTTGCGCTGCTTGACTCTGCTTTGGATGAGGCCTCACTCTCAGAGTCAGTGTCGACCGAGGAAGACTCATCTCCTGACTTTTGTGTAGGGGCAACTGCATTCTTTTGGAAAGCTGCAAAAACCGTTTCGAGTCCAACTTCATGCATCGCTCCATCCGGCGCAGGCCAACTGGCACTCTGGTGTAATCTGGTGATTTCCTTCGTAAATGCCTTGTGCGTCGACTCCATGCCACTTTGCGCCAGGAATGCGTCAACCAAGCCAAGGAGTTGTGGTGAGGGCATCGGTTTGCCAGAGGCAGATCCTTTCTTCTTCATTTTCAGTGGCATTATGATCGAGTGAGTCCGCGTCGGTGCAAGGTGCGCGACAGTAGGTATGCTGAATTTCAGTGGACAATAAAGACAGAACGACCAAGTCCCAAAGAGGACTGCAACTAACCAAGATAGACACACCGGGGAGTGAGTGAGCGCCGTGCGACACCAAGACACTGAGACGCGGTGAACGAGATAATTTTTTTTCTCCAACTCAGTTGCGGCTCAAAGAAACTGCGCCGGACACGCTTTGCATTTAAACTCCGCCGTATCCGTTTCTAGGGCAGAACCCTGCACTCGTTAGCGCAATTAAAGAGGCCTAGATCATCATTGCTACACTCTGTAGGTATTCATGATGTGCTCTACAAAGGTGCACCAGCAATCACGTCAGCAACCAGTGCAGGAGATGATACCTTGAGGAGAGACAGACAAGACACCCTAGAATGCCCAATGCCTACACCGTAAAAGCCCAGCAGTGCAGACCTAGAAAGTCTCGTCTTCAAGGTTCACAGCTCTTCGCACAACACTTGGACTTGTGGCATCGGCCTCAAACTCCTGAGTTTCTAGCTCCCTGCTGAAATCTATCTCCTCATCATCAAAGTCCATCCCAGCGGTTGTCAGGATGTCTTGCACGATGCGTTTTGAAGCTTCTTTAGCTGTTTGTGAGCGAATTTGTTAGCACTGATGGGCCTATGACGGATACGTGGCTGTCTTGGACGTACCTGGAGTCCTAAGCAACCGATGCTGTGGAACATGGAATTGCATTGTCTTGGGCGGACTTCCCAATGGCAGATCGTCATCCAGGTCATCCTCATCGCTATCCCAAATACCAGGCGTGCGTGTAGGTGCCTTTTTCGTTTCGGTCTTTTGACGAGCTGGCGTGAGGACACTAATCCCTGGTATACGCGCCTTGCGCTCAGGTGATGAGAATATCTCGGGATCAAGCTCGGGTGGGGCCACTTCAGGGCTCGATGATAAGGTTTGATCAAGAGCAGGCAGAAACGTACGTTTCGCCGTGGATGGAGTCGCGATTGTCCTGGACTCGACACTCGCATACCGATTTGTAGTCAATGGCGTAGCCTGCACTCGGTAATTCTTATCAAGCACTCTATGAAGAAGAGGGTCCGTCTTCTTGCGGACTGTGGATGGGCGAGAGATGGATGTGCCTTGCGGAGGTAAAAATGGGGATGACCCTGGCGTAGCTGCAAAGGCGTCCACAGCGAATACAGGCCGTCCAGGCGTTTCCGGCAACGTTGCCAGGGTCATTGAGGTCGCCTCTACTGTTGTGTTGTTCACCTCCTGCCGTAGAGCTTCGTAGGGGGACGGATAGTCGGCAAAATTTGTTCGCTCAGCCTTCTGCTTCGCTGCGGGCCGCGGTGTGCTGTGGGAGGGCGAGACCGTGAGGTTGGATAGATCAAGGTCTTGAATAGAATCTGTGGAAATATGCTGGGCAGAGGGTGTCTCATAAGACTGGGATGTTTCTAGAGTTGTATGCGTGGCACTAGATTCATCGGTACCCGTGACGTCTGCGGCCTCACATTGTGAAGACGGTTCCTCATAGCCCGACAGAGAGACATTGGCGCTAGACTCGAAGAATTGTTTCCAGAACTATGTCGATTCTTAGCATTTTGCGTTGGGACGGACGTGTTGGCTCACCCTAGATCCTTCCCACACATCCTTCGAATGCGCGGCATACTGTTCGACAATGGGTAGAATACTCGAGGTGACTATTCGATGGGCGCGGCTAAAATTATGGTCAATTTCTGCGATGGTCAGTCACATTCACGGAAGACAGGTTCGCAGCCTGCACAAACCTTGGAGGGTCAAGGTAATAGACTGTTCCAGCTTCTCCAGCTCTTCAGTCAAGGTGAGGGCCCTTGGCTGAGCCGTGGAGCTGGGTCGAGACATGCTTGATGGTGAAGTTATGGTTGTGGCATTGGGCGCATCCCGGCTCTGACTTTCCAATGCGGCTCGCCTGCGTTGAAGACAAACGTTGACAGGGGACGCGTCGAAAAACTGCTCCACGCGTTTAGTTGCTGGATTTGTGAGTGCGGGGTGCGGATCACCACAACGATGGTGGCGTGTGTGGCGCAACAGTTCTACGGAGTGGCAGTGCCGAACCAGGCAGATACTCGTACCCCCTCTGTTGATCAGGCCGACGTCTTTCTTGAAAAGCCCCAGGTGCCCATTCGAGTCTCGACGGTCTTCTTCTCCTCGACCATATCTCCCATATTGGCATCCCTGGTGCACTTCCAGGGGCCATCTTCAGTATGCCGGCCCCGCTGGCTCGAGGTAGGTGCGCTCGTGCCATCTTTGCACCATGTCCTTACATCATCTTTGCCTCTTTGATTTTGGATGTAGCCTCCGAGTCGAGGGGAACTTTTTATTACGGCGCACTCAGTTTGTTCTCAGTCCGTTTCCTGTGCTAAAATGGTGCCTCCGGTAGGAATCATAATCACGGTCACTATTCTGGTGGCCGCCGGCGTGGCCGCGTACGAGAACCCTCAAGTGCGAGCATGGATTGACCGTACCAGGCACAAGATCTCCATGGGCCTTCACACTCTCGGCGATGAAATCCATCCAAATTCCAGTCAGCGACGCAGGCCGAGTCTCAACGATGCCTCTATGCATGAAGACAAGAGCGAATCCGCCGATGAACGCAGGCGGCAGGCAATCGCGGAGATCATGGAACGTGGCCGTATAATGGAAGAGAGGAACAAGAGAAGGAAAACCACCGGCCCAGACAGAACCCGCACATCAAGTTTTGACACAATGGTGGACGAGAATGGGATGCTGCTACATGAACCTGGCCACGGTGGCGCGGAGCCCGCAGCTAGCTCGTCTGCCGTCGATACTTCGGCGCACTCTGCCAGCCTGAAGCAGAGGCAGAAACCGTCACAGTCGGACGAAGTACCCACAACACTCCAGCACTCGATGAACTTGTCTCATTCTCGGATGCAATTGTCTCCGCTCCTGATCGATCAGGATAACGACACCAATCTGTTTGAGTCCCGGTACGAACAGGAAATGCGCGAGGCCTGGAGTATCCCGGTTTCCGATAGACGGCTTGAACTCCCTTCAAGTCATGCTTCCGAGAGCTTGATCGATCTCACTCCAACTACCGAAGATGCTCCCGACCCAGACTTCTCCGTTCCATCTGCTGAACATCTCCACCGCCCTTTAGGCAATTCAGATTATTTCCGCGTATCAGCTGGGAATTCGACACCCACCTTACCAGACCATGATTTGCAGCGTCTCATGCCAGGCCAAAGTCCCGGCAGTCTTCCCTGGATAGCAGACGATCGTTCCACCCCTAACAACCGTGCCCCCACCCCAACGCCATCCACCGGGAGTCTGAGTGGAAGCATGAGCAATATCCACCCAAGCGAGGCAGAGGAGAATTCGGATGATCTGCTCAGCGAAGAGGGAGATGGTATTCGAACTCCCGCAAGTGTGTGGACCGAGGTTGACAGTACGGTTAGTGGGGACTTCAACTAGTAAATGAAAACCGGGCTGTGTGCTGCAAGGCTGGTTGGGTAAAGGTCTTGCGTTATGGGTTAATGTTGAGCGTGTGGTTGTGTATTTACTTATTGGAGCATGCTGGCAATCCCTGGGACGATTGAGGTCTTGGAAGTCTATACACGAACTTCTTCCACGTAAGTATCTTTTGCAGAGTGGAAGATTGAGCTGAGATTGAACATGAGCTACTGCTTCCTCTTGGTGTCGGCTGGCGGCCATCAGCTGCGGGCTACCGCAGAGGCAAGTTGCATGCCAACTGCGTTGACTAAATGTGTTTCTCATCTCAACCGGACTGACCGACATCTCAGCAGTCCTGGAACTTCTTCACCCTCGGACGTACCTGCACTCTGAACACCAGCAGTGCCATCTCACCCTACCATTCTTCCATTCTTTGTCACTATTTCATGTTCATCTCTGCAATTTCTCATACAGGAACCGTGGCAGTTTTGCAGAGGCTTGCACTTCGGCGCCTCAGTATAGGCATCAAACATCATCATTCACTGGACCAGGGAGCTGCACAGCGTCGCAATTCGCTGTTCACAACCCATGCGTCAGATGCTCTTTTTTTGTTACTGTTTACTGAACCTTCACTATCAGGAATCACATCCCGGTACACCCCAAGTTGGCCTGTCGCCTTATCTTTCAGCGTCACTCGTTCACCTATTCGATCGATTGATGACCGGCCTCTATTTTGTTCTGCATTTCCCCGTCGTCACCCTCATTTCTGCTCCTCTGCAGATATCATCACGCATCGAGAGTCTCTCAGAAGCAGGCCTGAGCTGAAAAAAGGGAGTCTGGAATTTCGCAGAGAACAACCAAGATGCCGTCCCAACACTACGAGACAGGTCCTTGGTCAACACCTGACGTGAGTGATTCAGTAACGTCTTGAAGTTTGTTTCATGCTAAGCGGTCAAGATTGTTTGCGCCGCAATCATTGGACCTCTAATTGCAGCGGCCTTCCTCGAGTCGGTACTATGGGTGGCAGCATTCTGCTATTGCCTCGTAAAGGCCTACCAAAAAGCAGATCATTGGTCTTCAAGAGCTTTAGCTACTTTCATGACAGTTGCCTTCATTCTGCTCAGGTACAACTGCCTAGGTGCAGTATTGGTTCACTCTACTAACCGTCCTAGGGGTATCTTTCTACCGATCATGCTCGTCACTCTACCTTTGCCGAGTCGAATAGTGCAATACTTTCCACGTGAACTTGTTGCCGTTCTCCAGAAGTTCGCCTTCTACAGCTTTGCCGCCATGCTTATTGTGCCTTGGTTGTTTTGCGTTTACCGCATTGTCACAATCCCTCTAGGTCGGAAGAAGCTCGTCAAGTACCCCCTCGACGAACGGGTTGCTCCCAAGGTGGTCGTGGTGATGCCTGTTTACAAGGAACCTGCAGAGACATTGTGGGCTGCTCTGAATTCAGTGGTTCAATGCGACTATCCTCCTGCCTGTATACATGTGTTTCTGTCCTTCGATGGAGACAGCATCGATGAATTGTACCTGAAGACAATCGACCAGTTGGGCATCCCTATCACTCTGAAAGACTTCCCAAAGTCTATCGACGTCGCTTTTCAGGGTGCAAGGGTTACAGTGTCTAGATTTCCCCACGGCGGTAAGCGGCATTGTCAAAAGGCAACCTTCCTTCTCATCGATAAAATATACAAGCGGTATCTGCAGCGGAAAGACGATCTTTTCATTCTGTTCATTGACTCCGATTGCATCCTGGATCCAGTCTGCATCCAAAATTTCATGTACGACATGGAGCTGAAACCTGGCAACAAGCATAACATGCTGGCAATGACCGGGATCATAACTTCATGCACGAAGAAGAACTCGTTCTTGACATTGATGCAAGACATGGAATACGTTCATGGCCAGTTATTCGAGCGTTCCGTCGAATCGGGATGTGGTGCAGTGACTTGCCTGCCCGGCGCTCTGACTCTACTGCGGTTCTCGGCGTTTCGAAATATGGCAAAATTCTACTTCTCTGACAGAGCAGAAGAGTGCGAGGACCTCTTCGATTATGCGAAGACGCACCTTGGGGAAGACCGATGGCTCACGCATTTGTTCATGCTGGGGGCGAAAGAGCGCTATCAGATCCAATTGAGCACAAGTGCCTTTTGCAAGACAGAAGCAGTGCAGACATTTCGGTCGCTTCTCAAACAGCGACGCCGCTGGTTTCTAGGATTCATCACCAATGAGGTGTGTATGATGACGGATGCTCGCCTATGGAGGAAATATCCCCTGCTCTGCCTTCTTCGTTTCATGACTGTCACGATCAGGACGACGGCGCTGCTGTTCCTGGTCACCGTCATAGCTGTGGCCACAACTTCGAGCCGCGTCGAACGACTGCCGTGGGAGTTCATGTGCATCTCTTGCGGATTGAATTGGCTGTTGATGCTTTACTTTGCCGTCAAGTTGCACCGCTGGAAGGCAGTCTTGTATCCGATCATGTTCATGCTCAATCCCTTCATGAACTGGGTATATATGGTATATGGCGTTTTCACAGCTGGGCAGAGAACCTGGGGAGGGCCTAGAGCAGATGCTGGCGCCGCCGATGCTAAAGTGACCCCCCAGGAAGCAATAGAGTACGCCATCGCCACGGGAGATGATTTGAACGTGGTTCCGGAGACTTTCAAGCCCGCGATGGAGGTCAGACGACGTCGGACACGCCCTTCAGCCCTTCAGCCATCCTCGTGTGTCGAAGGCCGCTTCGTCCCAACTGAACAAGAGTCTGGGTTTTGGACGGAGAAAGGATTGGCTTCGCCGAGTCCGTCAGAGTTCAATGCGATCCTCCATTTGTGCCGTCGGGAGCACGATTCTCTCGACATGAGCGACTCGGAAGACATATCTGTTCACACTCCCCAGAGAGTTGGCAGCGTATCCGGTGAGGATTACACATCTAACATCCACGGATGGAGTCACGGTAAGCTTGCCAGGTCGGCGAGCACGTCAGGTGTACCTCTGTCGCTGGTGAGAGAAAGCTACCACTCGGCTCGAAGTCCTCCTACAAACCTACCTGCACTTCAGCGACAACAAGGTAGAGCCGGCCCGGGGAGATCAAGAGGAGCTACGCTGAGCACGCCGGCGGCAAGTGATGCCCAGCCCTCAAGGCAGCTCTGGGAGGTTGCTGGGCGATATGAAACGAGAGATAGACAAAGTCACTGGGACAATCGAAGTCCACTTGGCCGAGTTAGCCCACTGACAGCATTACCCAGTGATGAGATGTTAAGGCTGCAGGCAGACCCGAATGTCACCAACCACGGTAACAGCGACGAGACTGGGCGGTCATCGATGCGGACGCGGCTTCAGAAGAGGAGTCAGAGTCCTAGTCAAATGGTATAGGCAATAGTGGGCACGCATCAATCAAGTACGGAGTTTCCCCGATTAGCTCCAGCCCATGTGGGAAATGTATACGGAGTATGGAGTATGGCAATGGATCCCTTTATCCCTCAACATCAGCCTGTTCACAATTGCATCCCCACGGCCATGGCGAAGTGGATGGGTTAGTCGGACGTCAACCGGGTCCCTCTCCACCCTGAACGTGCGCGCTCTAGACCATTGTGGTTGATGTCTGCTCTCTCCCATAGTACCACCATGACACAAAGCTATACGGGCAATACACGTAGGTGGCGCAGCTGGAACATGATTTCTCGTCTGGCGGGGGTTGCACCTATCAGAAGATGGAGGTAGCCGCCGATGTGATAAGCCTAAGGCTGCCCACCTACTGCGTACTCCGGACTGTAGTCCTGATCCCGCCTCGGCACCAACGAACGTCGGTGATCGACTTGTTTCCTCAACATGCCGTCCACCGCGGAAACCTGGCCGTTGCCGACGATGAGGGCTGATTCGAGGTCAAAATCTGGTAACCTCCTCCCGCTCCAGCTTCGGCAAGCACACGAGACATGAGAGCTGACGCACCTCGTAGGCTGCCTCTTTTGTCGAAAACGAAGGCGGAAATGCGATGAACGCCGTCCTCAGTGTCAAGCGTGCGCCTTGAGGGGGCTGCATTGTGAATACAGCATCCGATTGAAATGGGCACAGGTCAAAAGCCCTTCCTGGTACAAGAAGTCTCCCTCGACGGCGTCTGAGGAATGCCCCTCTCCACCCTGGCCTCCGCCGCGGCGGAATAGCGACGACTCTCAGCCTGACTCTCTGGTCTCGAACACGGGCGCCGTCGGCACCTTTACCCGCGGTACCGGCTCTCCAAGCGACCTGTCCTATTTCCCAGCCCGGGTGGACCGGCCACATGATGAATCAGGAGAAGAGAAGGTGCAACTGGAGCAAGATGGGATGACCGATGGATCGCCTAGCAGCGGCGCTCCGGACTTTGGGGATCTCCACGAGATGACACCACAAACTGAGCAAGGGCGGCGTGTGACAGGCTCTGTCGATGATATCTGTTCGGCCTCTGATCATTGGGAGGTATCCCGTCCAGATCTCGGGGGGGTGCACAGGGCCATCTTAGGTGGTGACCTCAACCCTTTCTTCGAGACACCTGGCGAGGGCATGGCCTTTGGATACTGTAAGCTCCGACATGCACGATACCAACAACGACACTAACGCCGTGATAGATTTCAGGCACGTCTCTGGCATTCTCTCCACCTACGATGGTGAAGGTAACCCGTATCGCAAGCTCTCGGTCTTCGCGCTCAGCTCACCCGTGGTGCTGCACACGCTCGTGGCCATTGCCACCGAATGGATGTTCAACCAAGGCGGCACCCGCGCCCAGGTGACCGTAGCTCGACAAAATAGAGCATTGCGATCCTTGAGGCAGACTCTGTCCTCTTTGGTGGACGAGTCGCCGGCTGGAAAACCGGCCGACAGGCGGTTAACGCACTCCAAGACACCATTCTCACCACACGAAGCTGCTTTGGCCGCGTGCTTGTTGCAGGTCGCCCAAGTGGTCTTCTCCGGGGGGACCAGCGCCGAAGCACACTTGAACTGTTCGATCTACTTGCTTCGAGAGCTGGACTACATTGCTCAGCCGGTGACAAGCTTTGTGGCACGGTTGCTCACTCAGCGATTTGCCATACTCGATGTTACGGCCGCGCTGTTGCACCGAACACGACCACGTGCACCTCTTTCCTTCTGGATGTACCAGGTCAATGAGGACTTGGATTTCAGTGAACCATCAATGCACCAAATGACAGGATGCCCACAGCCAGTCTTGAGTGCGCTGGCCCATATCGCTCATCTCGCAAGCGACCTGAGGCAATTTCCCGAGCGGAAATCCCATATCTTGATGGAAGGCTACCGACTCGAGTCACGGTTGCGCTGTTGGGCGTTGCGCCGGTTCCCCGAGAAGGCCTCGTTCTACTCCGACCTGTCACACGACAATGAGGACATACAACGGCGGTTTCCATTGGCCTCGAAGTTTCACCTCGAGCTGGTGAACGAATGTTTCTACTGGCTGGCCCATCTGCTTCTGCAGCGGCGTATTTATCGGGACGCTACGACGAGTGATCGGGTACAGCAGACGGTCAAGACAGTATTCGGCCTGATGAAGTCCATTCCACCTACGTCCGGGCCCGCATCTTCCCTCCCCGTTCCTTTCTACATGGTCGCTCGGGAGGCTGTTTCGGACCAAGACAGATCATGGGTGCGTGGTATGCATACCTCGATGATCAATGTCTATCGCAACAAATCACGCGGCCCGATGATGGCAATGACGGAAGAAATTTGGAGACACGCCGACCTTCGACGAGAGGCCAGCGGGGCCAGCCAATTCTCCAACGAAGAAGATGAGGCGCAGTTGATTGCACTGGAGACCAAGAACAGGCAATTCATCTTTTGAGGTGATCCTTCTGTATTATCCAGTTGGCGCTCCTTGCTGAGCGACCCATGTGTGCTACAAGGATTCAGGCCCTGGGTCAGAGAACAATCCCATGCTAAGTCAATGCTTTGGAGTCTTCAAGTCCAGAGACCCGGACCCGGATGCGGCCTGGAGGGCTTTCTCGCCCGGGATCTTTCTTGCACACATTCGGTGACATGGGGCGTGGGAGGCCTATTGTGGAGTGACCAAGTTTATGGACGAATCAGTGTGGCTTCTATCGCGGCACGAGTCTGCTTGCAGGTCTCTACAGCGTCTGACCAGCTTGTGTCAGCTTGGGCGATTGGGCGATGGACTGGCCGTTCCGAGACTTACTGGGTAGGTCGCTATGGATGCAGCAGCTGAAAGATCGACCCTCCAATCCTATCCTGACCGGCTCGTTCTCCTGGGTGAGCACAATGTCTTGGTTGATGAGCTTTTCCACCTTCTCCTTGATGGTGTCGATAGGCACTCTAGATGAGGTGCTGTGGCGACACGTCAGTACGCTGCTCTGGTCCGGTGGCGCTTGGTCATGACCTACAGAAGAGGAACCAGTCCGCCAGCGGTGTCATAATGCAGATCGGGGTAGAATTCGGGAATAAAAGGCACTCCGAATTTGGCTGCCATCTTCTCCTGCCTACTTCCGGCGACCTGGACGCATGGGACATTGAACAGCTTGATGGCCCTGATGACGGCCTCGCAATGCTCCTCACTTGCCTGAGTGAAGCGGTAGAGATAGCCGTGGGTCTTGACGTGGTTCAATTCCATCCCCTCTGCCCGCAGCATCCCGACCAACGCGCCTATCTGGTACACCAGCTGGTCGTATAGGTCGGCCGGAGAGATGTCGATATACCGCCGACCGAAGCCTTCGCGGTCAGGTAAGGATGGATGAGCGCCCACCGGGACGTTGTACTTCTTTGCCAATTTGATGGTCTTGTGCATGGTGACGGGGTCGCCGCCATGGAAGCCGCAAGCCACGTTGGCCAGATCGATCATTGGCATTAGTTCGTCATCGGGACCCTTTTGCATGGTTTGGTGTCAATCACCGATGGGTGGGTGGCGTTGGCGTTTGCGTTTGGGGTGTAGGGAGGGCAAGGAGTGTAGGGAAGGGCAATGGGCGTAGGCAAGGGCAAGAGGCAAGGGGTCTACTCTACCATTTTCCATTTGCCAAACCCTTCTCCCATGTCACAATTGATCGTCACCCTCGGCTGCTCCATGGTCGAGGCTGTGGCTGTGGCGTTGGCGTTCTGCATGGACCCCAGTCGTAGTCGTTCGAGTTCGATCGTTCGAGTTTGATCGTTCGAGTTTGATCGTTCGAGTTCAGCCGAGTTAGATCGAATGCGGGGGATCGAATGTGGCGGTTGGTCTGCGGGGGGGGCTCTGCTCCGACGATTGATAGAATCATCCGCTTGCTAGAGGTTTCCTTATTTTTGGTGAGTACAGAGTACAGTGTCAGTGTACAGAGTACAGAGACAGAGTAGATGGCTACTTGATGGCTGACCACCACCACCAGGCAGCTAGGATGAGGATGAGGATGGTCTTGGGATAGGATGTAGGATGTCGGATGTCGGATGTATCCGTACATATGTACGACATCCACAACCGAGTCAGAAGTCAGTACTAAGTATCCGTAGTAAGTATCGGCCACTACTAGGCTGCAAGTGATCCCATCTTGACCGGGATGCCAGTACCAGTGCCTTCGAGATAAGGGTCGAGCTCGCCTGTTCTCGTCTCGTCTCGGTTGCTCACAAGCGGTTGGTTAGAAGGAAGTCGGGGCTCACAAATTAGAACTTAGAAGAACGTCGGGGTGGCTTAGGGGCTGTGGCTGTGGCTGTCAAGACTCAATCTACTCGTACCATCACTATGAGTGCCCATTGCCCAACAAGAACGACGGGAGATGGCACCATATATGTGTGCATGCTCCGGACCCGTTAGGTAATACTCGTAGGTAATAATGGGTGATGGGTTAATTGACCATACGGCGTACGGCGTACGTACCCTATCACTGGCGTTAGGCCTGGCACCTAGCCTGGTGCCTGGTCTGGATCGCGTACTGTACTCTGTACAGGGCTGCCGAGGTCATGGTCATGGTCATGGTCATGGAGAGGAAGGGAGAGGAAGGAATCTTAGAGGAAGGGAAGGGTTGGACTCGCCTCGGCAGCCCCTAAGCCTACCGGTCGATACAGTACTATTCTACAGTATCTCTCTTCCTTGGCTTTGTTTGTGTTTGAGACTCGGCTGTGAAGGTGTAGGTGTAGGCGTCAAGTTGACTGCAAGGCCCCGAAGCCTTACCCTAACCCTAACCCTAACCCTAAGCCCTGTTTGTGTCTGTTGACTTGTCGTGAAGGTGTAGGCTAAGTGTGCAAGGTGCGTTGCAGGGGCATGATCGAGGGCAGTCTTCTCCCTAATATCTACTAATATCTACTCCGTTTTTCTCGCTCGCTCGCCCCTGCTGGCCAGTATCAGAACCAGAACCAGATCTTGACTGCATGGTACGGATGAGGGATAGTACTGATAGTCGGATACTGTCTCATTCTCCCGGGATCTTTTCATCAACATCAGGGATACTGTCTCTGTCTCATTCTTCTCCCATCTTTTCATCAATATCAGGAATACTATCTCACTCTCCCGGAATCTTTTCATCAATATTCACCAAATCCCTCAAGCAAGACTCAAAAATATCAATCCCCCCCCAAAGATCCGTCTCTTCCATCACCAATGGCGGCGACATTCTGATCCGATGCGCGGCCGAATACAAGATCACCCCCCGTTGAGCCATCAGGGCGGCCAACCGGGAAGCCTTGACCCGACCTGACGGATGAGACTCGTCGATGCTGACGGCAATCATGAGACCCTGGCCCGTGACTTCGGCGATGAACGGAGACTGGATCGACTGCAGGCGTGCTCTGGCGCGGTCGCCCAGGTCTCGGGCCCGCTGCGGCAGTTTTTCGTCGAGAACGACGTTGATCGCTTCCAGGGCGACGGCGCATGCTAGAGGATTGCCGGAGAAGGTCGAGCTGTGTCTGTTCCGGGTCAGTGTGTGCCCGAGCCCATTTGTTTCTCCATCTGCCCGCGTATAGCCCTCGGCCTCCAACCGATCCATCTGGGGCGACGACGACGGTGACGACGACGGTGAGGACAACAGCCCAGGGAAATGGAACCGGGGAAGCAGGGCGCGGCGACGGTGCTGGGTAATTGGAACAGGGGGTGACAGCGAGCGGCCACTTGAACAGGACTCGGGCAATTTGAACAGGGCTCAGGCAGGGGGCGACGACGCCAGGCAACTAGAACCGGGGAAGGGGGAAGCAGGAACTTGAACAGGGCTCAGGCAAGCAGGAACAGGGCTCAGGAACTTTAACAAGGCTCAGGCAAGCGGTGCAGGGCTAAGGGGCAACTTGAACAGGGCTCAGGCAAGCAGAAACAGGGCTCAGGAAGTTGAATAAGACTCAGGCAAGCGGTGCAGGGCTAAGGGGCCACTTAAACAAGGCTCAGGCAAGCAGGAACTCAGACTCACTGTCCAGGCAATCGGTCCCCCATCACCTCCTTACTTCCGAGCACCATACTCATGGCATAGACGCCGCCGGTCAGGGCTTTGCCCAGCACCAACAGATCGGGCTGGATGTTCTCCTTCTGATACGACATGAAGTAGCCTGCTCTTCCAAACCCGGACTGGATCTCATCGATGACCAGGAGAACGTTGTGTTTGGTACAAAGCTCCCGCACGGCCCGGAGATAGCCCTCGCTCACTGGCCGGCATCCGCCATAGCCCTGGACACACTCGACCATGAAGGCCGCGACCCGGTGACCGTCACTCTCCAGCACTTGGCGGAGATCTTCGACGTTGTTGAATCGCACCGTGCGGCCGTTGCACTCGGCCCCGACTCCGGGCAGGAAAGGTCCGAAGTCTGGATGGAACAAGCATCAGCAATCCTGGTTGGGGATTGAGCAGGAACATCTCGTCGAGGTGGCAGGCACCGGCTTGAAACTTACAGGCCTTGATGTCCTCGTTAGTCGACGCCGCCAACGGGGTCAGTGTCTTGCCATGGAAGTTCCCCGTGCAGGTCAGCACCACCGCTTCGTCCTTGGCGATTCCTTTCCGCGTGTATCCCCAGTGTCGAGCGAGCTTGATGACCAGGTCAATTGCATCGGACCCGGTGTTCATGGCCGATGCCTTTTCGAACCCGAGGAGCTGGGAAGAGGACGGAGGGGTTAGTTAGGGTCTAGAGTGTGTGTGTTGATACAGACTGTGTGATTGTGGCAGAGGGGAGTATTCTGTTCGTGTACATGACCGTGTATATGTGGCAGAGGGAGGTTTTCTTTTCATGTTTTTGTTCTTGACCATGTTCTTGACCATGTTTCTTGACCATGACCATCTTCTTTCTGGCTCACCTGACACAGTTTCTTACAGAGGACCGAGTTTTTATCATTATAGACGGCCCTCGACGTCAATGTACATCGCTGGGCCTGGTCGACCAGGGCGGCAATGATTCGAGGATGGCAGTGGCCTTGATTGGCCACGGCAAAGGCCGACATGAAGTCGAGGTACTTGCGGCCATCGGTGGCCCAGAGATATGCGCCTTTGGCGTGGGAGATGACGATGGGCAGCGCGTGCAGCCCTTGGGTACTATATTCCTGTTCGTCATGGAGGAAGTGTAGCCCTTGTGTGCTATATTCCTGTTCGTCCTCGAGGACGTCGTCGCCAGCGGCCACGGGCAAGGCTGCCACATGGACCTGAGTCGATGTCGATGTCGATTTGCATTTGGGCGTGTATGCCTTGTAGCCACAGCCACCGCCACCATCAAATGCTTTGGGCCGGGGCAGGGGCCGGGATCGGGGCGGGACGATGTGTCCGGACACTGCAAGGCTCGAGGGTGAGGCTGGGGATGAGGATGAGGCTGAGGCCGGCGTATCTGCAATGGCGGCCATTGGGCAGTTCCAATTTGGGTTGTCGGTTGAATGGCACGATTGATTGTGATAGAGACATGAGTAGGAGTAGGAGTAGTAGTATGTCAGTATCTTAAGTCGGCTCGGCTCTGCTGTGCTGGGGGGGGGGGGGGGGGGGGTAATAGGTAATACTCTGTGCTCGTGCTCGTGCTGTACTTCGTAAGTCTACGCAGTATCCCCATTCCTGCCGTTAAATGCCTCCCGGCAGCTCGGTTCCGGTGGCTTGACCGGAAGGTGACCGGCGCAGGCAAATACGGTACTAAGACGAAGACGAATACTAATCCTAATCCTAATACTGCAGGTGGACGAGTGTGAGTACTACTACTAACACGAATTCTGGACAAGTGTAAGTGTGTATACCTAGGTATACTCCGTAGTCAGTATGCCAATGGAGTATCTGTAGGCGATCTGTAGGCGATCTGTAGGCCCATGCTATATCGCGCCATTCCCATCGAGGCTGCAAAAGACGCCTCTAACGGTGTCGGGGATGGTGTGGCACCAGTCACTCGGCCCTTAGGAGCCTGAGCCCACTGGCACGATAACTATGACTACGTAGTTACCTAGGTATGTACTACCTAATTACGGTGCAGTATCTACATGGTTCCTCCCGGCACGAGTAACCTTCCTACAGTAAGTAAGCCCTCCCGCCTGGTGGACAGGGACGGTGGACGGTGGACGGTGGACGAGGACACGACGAGGACTTCAGCGCTCCCGCTTCCGGTTCCGGTTTCGCTCCCACTCACTCACTCACTATTATTCACTCCCTCCCTGTGCCTGCGCCTGTGACCGGGTGATCTGACTGCGGGACACTATCGACTATCGATTATCTTACAAGTCGGCATGGTTGACAGGACAGGCTAACTGGTGGCACGGCACAGACTGGTACTACGACTGGTCCTACGACTGACTGATTACGACTGGCGGAGACTACTACTGACTGGCTGACATACACGGCGTCCACATGCTGTATGTATGTACACCACAGTACACCATAGCATCCCGATCACGGCCCAGTACTGACTACAGCGCAGCAATCCAGTCGGCGGTTGATACCTACACCATCACCATCTACATCATACAACTTACAACAGTACCTTACCACCCTACTAACCTCGCCCCCCTACAATGAAGCTACACCGAGTGCTCATTGCCAATCGAGGCGAGATTGCCGTGAGGGTGATTCGGTCCTGCCAAAAGGTTGTCCAGCCAGCCCAGCCCGGTGAAGTAGTCATAACACTGGAGCCAACCCGTGCTAACGAACCTGGTGAAGCTTCACATCAAGACAATAGCAATCTACACGGAAGAAGATGGTGAGAGAAGCGTGTCTGCTCCATTACATGACATGTACGGTATCACTAATCTCCAATATCCATCTAGCCACGTCCATGCATGTTGGGTTGGCGGATGAAGCTTTCCAACTTCAAGGGAACGGCTCCTTCGGGTACCTGGACAGGTGAGGAAGGACTAGACCGGACCCTCTTACTCTGGGAGCGCCATGTTCACTTTGATCCCTCACCCTCAGCGACGATATCATCCGAATATGCCAGAGGAGTAGGGCACAGGCGGTGATGCCGGGCTACGGTAAGTTCATGTTCACAGACACAGTCCACTGTCCCTGTCCACTGTCCCTGTCCACTGTCCACAGTCCCCTGTCCCCTGTCTACTGTCTACTGTCTATCAACTATCAAGGCCGCCACGAAGGGATGGATACTGGTTGGCTGCTGACCTGACTGAACTCTCCCTGGCAGGCTTCCTGAGTGAAGACGCCGAGTTTGCTGAAGCCTTGCATCGGGCTGGGATTGTCTTCATCGGTCCCTCACCACAATCCCTCCACGACTTTGGGCTGAAGCACCGTGCGCGTGAACTGGCATTCCAAGCCGGTGTTCCCGTCGTGCCCGGAACCGGCATGTTGCCCGGCCTGGAGGAGGTAGAGGCGGCTGCTCGCCACTTGGGATATCCGGTACGTGATCCTAATCCCTGACTCTGGAGTCTAGTCTGGGAGGTGGCAGGTAGGGTGAGAATGAGAATGAGGGTGAGGGCTTAGGCTAAGCATGAGCCATGCCCTGCAGATCATGGTCAAGGCCAGCGCCGGCGGTGGCGGCATGGGACTCCAAGTGTGCCACCGCCCGGAAGAACTCGAAGCGGCAGTCGAGATGGTTCGAAGTCGAGGCCAGACACTGTTCAAGAACTCAGGCATGTTCCTGGAGAAATATATCCCCAACAGCCGGTGAGTGTATACCCAGTCGAGGCTTGGCTCCCCGTTTCCCAATCCAATCCAATCCAATCCCTGTCCAATCCCTATTCCCATGGTCTGTAGACGCCCACCTCACCTCACCAAACATAGTCACATCGAGGCCCAAGTCTTCGGCAACGGCAAAGGAGACGTGCTGTTCTTCGGCGAACGGGAATGCTCGCTCCAGCGGCGGCACCAGAAAGTGGTGGAAGAAGCACCCAGCCCGTTTGTGATGCGGCATGCCCAGCTACGCAACCAGTTACGGCAGTCGGCGGTGGCTCTGGCCGCCTCGGTGCTCTACAAATCCGCCGGCACGGTCGAGTTCCTGGTCGACGACGACAGCGGCCACTACTACTTCCTCGAGATGAACACGCGGCTCCAAGTCGAGCATGGCATCACCGAGCTGTGCTACGACGTGGACCTGGTCGAGCTCATGCTGAAGCAAGCTGCCGAGGAGCTGGCGGGCGGGAGTGATGGGGATGGGAACAGGACCGGTGGATTATCTCCTGACCAACTCCAACCCTATACCAGGCACGCTCCCACCGGCCATGCGATCGAGGTTCGCGTCTATGCCGAAAACCCCGCCAAAGACTTTTCCCCGGCGCCGGGGTTATTGCAGCACGTCGAGTTCCCGGCCGGTGACGAGGGTCAGGTTCGGGTTCGAGTCGACAGCTGGGTCCGATCGGGCACGGTGGTCTCGCCGTCTTTTGGTAAGCCAAGACACATCAGCTCAAGCTCAAGCTCAAGCTCAAGCTGGAACTTGTTACTGGTGACAAGCTCAAGCTCTGGCTCACGCTGAGACTTACTACTACTGGTGAGCTTCCATCTGTCTTGGACTCGGACTCTGACTCTTCTCGCGTCATCTCCAGATCCCTTGCTGGCCAAGATCATGGTCCATGCCGCCACGCGCGAGGCCGCCATCACAGCCTTGCAGCAGACGTTGAAAGATACCAGATTACAAGGTCAGGTCCGGTCCGGTTTAGTTTTGGTTCCGTTTTGATTCCAAGCATGGTCGAAGATGATGACTGATGAGATGAGTTATTCAATAGGGCCCCCGACGAACTTGGATTTCCTTCTTCAATTGTCCCACAGTCAAGGTATGTGATATGTGGATGGATGTGGATGATATCTACCTCTTTCTTTCTTCTCTCTTCTCCAGCAGTCTTATCCTTTGTATATACAGCATACAGTATGATCCTCGCGCTCACTCTCCAGCTGACCTATCTCTCTCCCAGATTTCATCCATGGCAGGACTTTGACCAACACTCTCGAAACCAGCTTCGACTACCGTCCTTGTGCCCTGGAATTCTTGGAGCCCGGCGCATATACCACGGTGCAGGATTTCCCCGGCCGGTTGGGCGTACCGGGCGGAGTGCCTGTGTCGGGGCCGATGGATGACCTTTCATTCAGACGTAGGTGCCTACCGGTCGATACTCTTCTATCTTTCTTCCTGAGCCTGAGCCACCCTGACCTTGACTCTAACCTTGACCTTGATCTTGACCCTAACCCTGCCTCTACCCCTACCTCTACCCCTAATCCTGATTGACCCTAACCCTAACCCTGACCCTGACCCTGACCCTGACTAATCCTGCCTGACCACTATCCAAACAGTCGCCAATCTCATCGTGGGAAATCCACCCGGCACCGAAGGGTTCGAGCTGACGTTGAGCGGACCGCGCATCTTGTTCTATTCGCCCGCTACCATTGCACTGTGTGGTGCTCCCTTCTCTTTTGCCATCGACGCACGACCGGCCCGTTTGTACACTCGCCATCAAGTGGCTGCAGGGTCGATTGTCGCCATTGGAGGAACCGATGTCGGCTCTAAAGCATACCTGGCGGTGCGTGGTGGACTACCCAGTGTGTATGTGTTGTGTTGCATTCCACCACTCTACCCGGCATTCGAGGGAAAGAAGCGATTCGACAACATCCCATTCCCACGCATCCTACTATACTGACGCACACTTGATCTAGTGCTCACTATCTCGGTTCTAAGAGCACGACTCCGGCGGTTGGATGGGGAGGCTATCAGGTATGTCTGCCAACACTAGCACTGCCACCACTACTACCACCACTTCACTCTTCTATCATGCTCTAAATATAGGCTGAGGCTGATGCTTCATGTCTGGTGTGAGGTGAAATGAGGTGAATGGCAAGTCCTGACATCAACATTCTCCCCTATAGGGCCGCACCATCCGCGCGGGCGATTACCTGTCCCTCGACCCCTCCAGCAGCGACCCGCCGACCCCCCCGCTAGACGAGGACGAGTACACCCTCCCATCGGCGTGGGTGCCTCCGATCGACCCGAGTCCCCGTCTCTACTGCCTGCCCGGGCCATACTACTGTCAGGAGTTTCTAAGTGCGGCGGGCCAAGCGCAGCTCTTTACGAGTGAGTGGAAAGTGTCGTTCAACTCGAACCGGGCCGGCATCAGGCTGGACGGGCCACCCCCCGAATGGGCGGAGGCGCGCGTCTCGGCCGGCGGCGGCGAGGGAGGAAGCCATCCCAGCAACGTGCTCGGCTACGGCTATCCGCTCGGCGGGGTCAGCTTCACCGGCGACTCGGCCGTCGTCATCCCCGTCGACGGTGCCAACCAGAGCGGCTTTGTGTGCACCCACACCGTCGTCCGCGCCGACCTGTTCCGCCTGGGCCAGGTGCGGCCCGGCGGTAGTGTTTGGTTCCGTCTGATCAGCTGGGCCGACGCGGTGGCCTTGGAGGCGCGGAAGGAAGCTTTTCTCCGCCGCGTGCAAGAACACGTCCAAGGGAAGATGCGTCGAGATGTAGATGCAGAAGGAGATGCAGAGGTAGTTGCAGATGCAGATGCAGAGGGCGACAATGGTGATTTTGGTGTTGCTGACGGCCAGAGAATTGGCCCAGGCCTCGACTGGACTCTGTCAACCAGTTCTGCAGTGTCGGCGTCAGCGTCGGCGTTGGCAGGCAATGGTCACGGTCACGATCACGACGACGGAATCTTATACGAGCGCCCGTCAGCGCATGACAACAACCGTATCACTCCCCGCCTCACGCTTCGACAAGCCGGCGACCGGGGCATTCTGTGCGAATTCGGCTCGCAGCAATTCGACCTGCGATTCCGGGCGCGGGCGCAACAGATAGCGGACGCGGTGGAGTCAGAGTCAAGCACTCATTCCGAACAAGGACCGTGGTTCGGGTTCATGCGCAACACAGTGCCGGAAAACAACTCGATACTACTGACATACGACCCGGATCTCATCTCACAAGCGACGGCGGTGTCAACGATCGTCCGACTAGAGGCCCAACTGCCCGGCGTCGAGTCGGCGCGGTTTGCCAGCCGCATAGTCCGGCTGCCGCTGCTGTTCGACGCGGACGAGATCCACGCCTCTTCGCGCCGCTACATGGCCGCCCAGAGGCCGTACGCCGCCTACCTGCCGGACAGCGTCGACTTTATCCGTCGCAGCAACGGCTTGGCTGCCCGCGAGGACGTCGAGGCCGCCTATCTCGCCACCCCGCTGCTCGTCAACGCCGTGGGTTGGATCGCCGGTCTGCCTATTTACATCCCGGTCGATCCGCGCAAGAGGCTCGTCGTGCCGAAGTTTAATCCTTCTAGGACCGTGACGCCGGCGGGGGCGACTGGGACGGGAGGCATGACTTCGTCGATTTATCCTTATGAAGCGTGAGTCCTTGATTTGTCTCTGATTTGTCTCTAAATTTGTCTCCGAGTTTGTACTCTCTCGATTTGTACTCTGAATTTGTCCTCTCCTGTATACAGTCTGTCTGGTCTGGTCTGGTCTATCGTTGCTTGTTTTATATTACCATCCTTTACTACCTTTGCTACCTTTACATCCTTTACATCCTTTGCTACCTTCACTACCTTTACTACCCTATCTCGCACTCACCACCTTACCATATCATGCCTTTCTTTGTTATCTGCTGACTGACGAACCCACAGGCCGGGCGGATACGTGTGAGTCAAAAGTCAACCGAGGGACCTACCTACCTACCTACCTACCTACCTACCTACCTACACCATCGCCGCAATCGTTGTCGTTGTCGTTGTCGTTGTCGTTGTCGTTGTCGTTGTCGTTGTCATTGTCGTTGAATTCCCCATGGCGTCCCACTCACTTGATAACACCCTTGCTGCGTTCTCGGCTCTTTTTTCGTGCACTAACACACCCTTTTCGCCTGCTGTCTCTTTATCCTCCTACTTGTGCTTCGTTGTCTCTTTCTACCCTGCGTTGATGTCTCTCTCCCTTCGTCGTTGTCTCTTTATCCTCCTACTTGTGCTTCGTCGTCTCCCTACCCTTAGTCGTCTCTCTACCTTCGTCGTCTCTCTACCCTGCGCCTTCTACCCTCCGTCGTTGTCTCTCTACCCTGCGTGGTTGTCTCCTACCCTGCGTTGATGTCTCTTCTACCCTGCGTCGTTGTCTCTTTATCCTCATACTCGTGCTTCGTCGTCTCTCCCCTTCATCGTCCCTCCACTTCTCTACTAACCTGTTCCTTTCTCCCCCAGTCTCTGGGGTATGACCCTCCCTGGCTGTTGCTGGGACACGTACGGGCTCAAACCAGGCTACAGCCCCGACCAGCCATGTCTATTCCGGCCCTTCGACCAGATCATCTTCTACTCGGTCGACCGAGCGCAATACGACAGTCTGGTGCGCCGGTTCCAGATGGGTCTGTTGGATCTGAGTCGGGACATTGAGCCCACCGTCTTCGACATGGCCCAGTACAGTCGACTCGTGGACCAGACGGCTGATGAAGTCGCTCGCATTCGTGCCGTGCAGAAACAATGTACCTTGGTCGAATTGGCTAGAGAGGCAGAGCTACTGAAGCAGTGGAAGGACGAAATGGAACTTGCCAGTGCCAATGCGAATGCAACGACTGACGGCAAGGATGGAGGGAAACCCCAGCATGAGCATGGTAAGATACTATTGATGTCTGATGTTGTGTGCTGTACCTGCTGTATTGTGTTGTGCTGTGCTGTGCTGTGCTGTACTGTTTTTCTCCTCGAGGCCTCCTTCATCACCCTTGCGCTACGGTTGATTGTGTTGATTGTGTTGTGTTGGTTGTGGTGTATTGGTTGTGTTGTGTCGACAAAGCGAACTGGACTATACTGTACTCGACTCGACTGTACAGGACTGTACTGGGCTGCGTTGGAATTGAGTCTGCGTTGATTGTCCCGTGTCCCTCCCTGCAAGCTTTTCTTTTTCTAGCACTCGACATTGCTGGTGTTGGTGTAGCTGTCGCTATCGCAGTCGCTGCCGGGATTGGCGTCGGCGTCGGTGTTGGTATTGGTGTCGTTGTTGGTGTTGGTGTCAGTGTCGGGCAGACCCAGATTGACGAGTCTAGAGTCAATCTGGGTTTGGAGATTGCACGCCATGAACATCAACTAATTCCATTCTTTCCAGCTCCGCACATCGTCAAAGTCACAGCCACCATGACCGCACGCATGTGGAAAGTCCTCGTACAGAAAGGCGACGCCGTCGCGCCCGAAGACACAGTGGCTATTTTGGAAGCCATGAAGATGGAGATTGCGGTCCATGCGCCGGGTTTTCCTGTTCTTATTGCCCAAACTTCTGATCCGACGACGAAGACGACGATAGCGACAACAATAGCGAAGACGACAAAGACGACAACAATTAAAATGAATGTCAACACATATCAGGTCATCGAGGTCTTGAAAGAGCCAGGAGATACAGTCGATGCCGGCGATGTCATCATGCTACTTGATCCGGCTGCGGGTCCGGTTCAGACATAGACATAGACATAGAGATAGACAGTGACAGAGACAGAGACAGACAGAGACAGAGACGTCAATTTCATGCCATTTGATGCCATCCATGCTATGCTATGCTATGCCAACATTGAGATTTACCTTGGATTGGGATTGAGATTGAGATTGGCATCGACACGAACGTCAAGGAGCACAGTCATAATCATGGTCATGGTCATAGTTATCACCAAAATCTCTTATCCCTTCCCTCCCGGCTTTGATGAGCCTTATATACTCAACTCACTGGAATTTATACTGATGGTAGTGAGGGAGAGGATTCATGTCACTGTCACTGTCACTGTCACTCTCGCCGTCAGTGCGGACACAGTGCGGACACTATTAGCTACATAGACTATAAGTAATTCTAAATGTAAATCTAAATGTAATTCTAAATGTAATTCTAAATGTGAATGAATCCGTAGGTTCAAAACAAACATACTGGAGCGTAACGTAACGTAATCTGCTGTGTATGCGACCAACATTCCCATACCAAGGTTGAAATGTGAATCTGATGGAGAAAGTGTCAAAGGTTGAAATGTTCCATGTTCTCTATTAAAAGGTCGCATGGGGAGCGCATGCTATACAGTATAGTACAGCCTAAACCAGCCTTCTAGTTAAAGGGCAAGGCTGGGAATGCCCAAGTTTGACAGAAAGGAGTGTAATTTAGATCCGAATTTAGATGTGAATCTAAATGCAATTCTAAATGTGAATCTGAATGAAACCACAAACGTAATAGATCGTAACGTAACGTAATCTGCTGTGCATGCGACCAATATTCCTGTACTAAGGTAGTATCATCGTTGACCAAGGTGGTATCATCCCTGACCAGCGCAGTAATCTGAATCTGATGGAGAAGGAGTGTAATTTAGATAAGTATAAGTTGCGCCTGTCTCTTCTATCGATCCATACCCATCCCATCCCATTCCCATTTCCATCCCCGTCCCCATCCGAACTCTTCTCCGTTCTTCTTGCACTTACCAGCCATAATCTGCCCATTCTGTAGGGACCGGACCCCTGCTCCTGCACCAGCAGCTCAACTAGACGGTCTTCTTGAGAACGGTCGAGTACGTATCTGCACTGCTAGTGGTAGCTGTGGCAGTGGGCATCTTAGTCTCAACCACTACAACCCGTCCTTCTTCTCCCAGTCCTTGCCGAGAGCCTGAAGCACCTTCCACTTCGACCACATACTCCTCGGCGCCCGGGACGTCGCTCCAGTCGCCAATGTGCGTCCTGGAGGCCCAGTCGACCACGTCGTCCGGGTGGACGGGCCCGCCAGACAGACTGTATTTGGGTGGGAAGGCGTAGTTGAAGGCCCAGAAACTCAGGATGGACACGACAATGGCGAAGATCCAGTTGAGGTCGTATGTGTACGGCTGCACGTCCTTGATGGACGGCTGGACTTGGTGGATGAAGCCCGGGATGTTGGGGACGTAGGCGCACAAAAAGGCCGCAAAGGCCCGCCAGTTCAGGCCATGCCAGAACCAGAACTTGCCGCCGTGGTTGACGTACAGGTGGCGGATGTCGATGTTCTTGCGCCGCACTAGCCAGTAGTCGGATATCAGGATTCCCGTCACCGGACCCAGTAGAGATGGGTAGGCGGAGAGAAAGTCTGTGGAAGAGAGATGAAAGTGTTAGTGGTGACACGTGAATGAAAAGAAAGCTTCGACCCGTGAATAAAAAGAAAGAAAGTGTCAATGACGGGGGTCAAAGAGGATCAAATGTCAATGACGGGGTTCAAGGAGGATCAAGTGTCAATGACGGGGCCAAAGATGATCAAACGTCAGTTCAACAAGGTCTCTCTTACTGTAGAAACTTCCGGCACTGTAGACAATCTTCCAAGGGCAAATGACGACTGACAGCACGGCGACTAACAATGCACCCCGGACGTTGTTGATCCATTTGGGCCAGAACGACGACAGCGCAATGGCCACCGTGATGGTGTTGGCGGACAGGTTGACGCCAATGGTGGCAATGATCCAAACAAATGCCGCAATGAAAACCGCCCCTCGGTTCTCCCATTGAGCCAGGATTTCCGCCGGTGACCAATATGAGGTACCCCAGAGTTTGATTGTGGCCGAGCAGGTGATGACGGAACAGATGACAGGTAGAATACCTGTACATGGCATTGCTAAGGCCTGCACCCATGTGTTACCGGGCCGTTTGGCGAAACGGACAAAGTCGGGGACTGGTACCGTACAATATTAGCCTTGTTCTTGATTGCGGGCTGCATGGTGGGAAGGGAAAAGTAAAAGGAAATGAAAAGGGAAAAATACTGTTGGTAGTGATGGTCGCAAAATAGCCAGCAGCAGCGCCAAATGCCTTGAGTCGGGCCCAGTTCTTCTGCGCCGTGGTACCCTCGAGAACCGCGCCATGAGTGACCAACGGCCCGCCGTCGGGGACGTTGAGAAGCGCCCAGATCATCATGCCGATGAACAAGATGGGAGACAAAATGGCCTTCATCAGAAAATACCACTTCAGCTTGTACATGGGGATCAAGGTCAATGGGGTCTGCAAGATGACCACGATAAAGAAGCAAAGCAGGTCGGCGCTGGTGATGCCGGCGCTGGTGGGCAGGGTATTGGGGATGTTGTCGAAATCCGGCCAGATGGCACGAAGCAGCTGGTGCATGCATTGGCCGAGGCTCTGTATTCCACCTCCTGGTTAATCCTGCATTGCGGCCCGGGTGCACGAGAGAAGAGGGAGATGGAGTACTTACGACGTTGAGGATAGACAGCCACATCAGAGCCATGAACGCGCGCACGAAGACCGGGAACGCTCCTCCTCGCATGCCCCATGACATTCGGGTCGACAGCGGAAAGCCGATATGGTAGTTGGTGGCAATGTGGCCGGCGAATGCGATGGCGAAGCCGGTCAGAAGGAAGCCGAAAAAGGTGATGGGAATGATTTCGCGGAAAGTAAAGCCTTCGGCCACCAAGACCGCGCCGAACTCCCATGTTGCGATGGTGAACTGGTCAGAGCACCAGTAGGTGATGAAGTCCCAGTTTCGCCAAATCCTTTGCTCGGGTGGCACGGGATCGAGGTCTGTTGAAGGCGGATGAGTTTCCAAGTCCATCGAACGGGGTTGCGTACTTACCTCGGTTTGACCATGATGTTCCATGTGCAAAGATGGTGTCTTCAGGAGGAAGGACGATGATTTCACGGATGGTGCGGGCTTTGCCCTTGAAACCAGGGGTGCGGTGCACCCGTATGAGGTTTTCCTTCCACTGGGGAAGGTTGGGGAGCGGGATTGCGAGGAAGGTTTCTCGTCGAGGCATCCTTGCGACTGCAGCGGTGGAAGAGACGACAAGGCCAGGGTCGGGGTCGTGGGAACACTCACTGGGTCGAGCTGTCATGCATCGTCCGTTATGTATGCTGTCGACCGTCGAGTCTGGCCAGGGCGATATCAAAGCACCGGAAAAGGTGTGTGACACTGTGCATCCTCAATTGGCTCGGTTCCATGCTCTGATATGCAGAACATCCCAGGAAGGCTTCACGTCAATAGCCTAAGGTAGTCGTGATTGTACCATCGCAAGATCGAGTTAGGTTCGTCTAACCGGATGTCTTTCCCCGCCAACGCCACCACCCCTCCATCGAGCCTAAGGGTCCTGAGTGCAGTAGGCGAGGCTCCGTCAAACGGTTGACAGGCCGCTACGACCATTGCGGTACTGGTGGAACACTCCTACCAAAAGCGTTGCTAGCCGGGCCGTGTCGGTCCAATGGATCAAACCCGCGGGAAGTGTTGAGTGGCGTGGGCTTATCAGTCTTGTCTTCGACTTCTGACCATGGGGATGGTGGTGGAGCCGACCGTTGGGTGACATCCCTATCGCGCCATGGCCCTAATGGTTGCTTGTCCGAGACCGAGACCAGCTCTCATTCTCGCGAGGACAAAAGGACATGCAAGCTATCATGGTGTGGACTCCGTATCAGGACTGAAATATCCCCTGTCGTCGCCACTCAAAGTGGTAACTCGTATCATTCATCATTGTCGATCAGACTTCGTCATGCCCTCTGCAACCCTCCCCGTGGCTCACCTCCCCATCATCGACTTCTCGCTATTTACCTCGGGAAGTCCCGAACAGAGACTGAAGACTGCCCGTGAAGTGGTCGATGCTTTCAAGACGGCCGGTTTTGTGTATCTGGTGAATCATACGGTTCCAGACGAGCTGGTTGACGAGTGCTTCCAATGGGTACGACGCCCGTTTCGAGGCCATCGACGTCCAAACATCTGACATAACTGGGCTGGTGCCGATACTCTAGAGCAAGAAAGTTTTCCAGCTTCCCCAGAGTGAACTGACGCGAGAAGAGGTCATACGTCCGCAACCAGGCAACGGGGCCAAAAGCTATATCGCGCGAGGCTACACCCCCGTCGGGCGGGAGAAGGTCTCTCAGGACGTGTATGCCGATGACACGTTGAAGTCACTGCGTCAGGTCGAGGACGTCAAGGAGCTCTACGATATTGGCGCGGATAAGGGAGCTCCTGCGGTTCGAGAACCCAACCGTTTCCCCCCTCGCCATCTGTTGCCAGGCTTCGAGGATTTCATGATCAACTTCTTCTGGCGCTGCCACGAGTTTGGCCTCGATATCTTCCGAGCCATCGCCATTGGCCTGGGCCTTGACGAGGACTATTTCGTCAACTTCCATCAGGATGCGGACCACCTGTTCCGGCTGATTCACTATCCGGCCGTGTCGCGAAAGGCGCTGGCGTCTGGTCAGAAAGCCCGGATCCCTGCACATTCGGACTTTGGCTCCATCACCATCCTCTTCCAAGACCAGGTGGGCGGTCTCCAGGTGGAGGATCGAAAGAACCCGGGGAGTTATTGTAAGCCATCACACGGATGTCTCACATGCAGCGTGCGTTGATCTGACAGCTATGGGCAGTGCCGGCTTCTCCTATCAAAGGGTCAGCCATCGTCAATATTGGCGACTTCCTCATGAGATGGTAGGTTCCCGATCACGGCGAAAAATTTGGTCATTCCAACTGACTTACAATCACAGGAGCAACGACGTTCTCAAATCCACCCTCCATCGGGTCATTGAGCCACCTGCAGACGGGGAGCAGGAGGCCGAAGAGGGTAACGAAATGACACAGGAACGGTTTTCAGTTCCCTTCTTCCTTCAAGCGGACCGCCACAAGATGATACAATGTGTCCCTGGCCTAGAGGGAGAAACCGGCCCCAAGTTCCCTCCCATCACCGCAATGGAGTACTTGGCTATGAGGACGGACGCCACGTTCAGGAAATGAAGTTCTGCTTGAAGGTGCTAATATTCAGGGTTAGGGTTAGGGTTAGGGAGTTGAAGTTCGACTGAAGTTCAGTTTGTCTTGGCAGCTTTGCACCAAGGAATCGAGCACATGATCTACGGTGGATCACTAGAATCCAATGCACAAATCACGTGCTCATCTCCCTGCAGCAGTCATCGTGGGCTCGCCAGCAAGGCTCTGCAATTTATTCATTATTCCATCGCAAAGCATCATGTCATGCAGTAAGATGTCAGCAGTCACCAGGAAATAGGGTGAAGCCGCAGGACAGTGTCACACGGGAAAAATCACAGCACAAGACACGAAGTTCCAAGGAACAAGAAACTAGGAACTGCACCGCCAAGGTGGCTGCTGTGGTCGTGGTCACCGTTGATTGAGCGACAGGCGTGGTTAGGCACAAGGCACAGTGATGTGGGAAGAACTAAGAGCATGGCATTAGCATATCTTCGTATGAAGTCTCCATATAGAACACGTAACCGTAGCTAGGTAGAGGGCACACGAATAAAATTCTGTACGGAGCACCCGTGTTGGTACTGCCAGTGCGTGCCGTGCCAGAACATTCTCGAAGTCGCAGGAAGGTATGGCGGTTTCGGCCTGCGGAGGGTGAGGCAAACACTGCCCAGGCGGTGCATTGTTACTGGCCCTTGGACGTTTGGGCGGAACCTCGATTGCAGCATCTGACTTTTCCTGGTTGCTGTTCAAGTTGTGTACAGATACCGTACCCCCCGTTGGCGTGCCCATCCAGAAAGAAAGACATTGATCCTTCACGTGAATTCTCTCAACCTCTCAACCTTGGCCTGGACACCATCCTCGCAACTTCTCATAATCTCTCGTCCGCTTCCATCTCCTGTCCCTCCTTGCTGAACCCAACCAGCACACATCCAATCCTACGTCGCACTTTTCCTAGACTCTTCCAATCCAGATCCAGATCCGCAAGATGAGTGTCGTCGGCATAGATTTTGGTGCTCAGAGCACAAAGATTGGAGTTGCACGGAACAAAGGCATAGACATCGTAAGTCCTTGCACACCCTGTCTTCTCCGGCACCCGCTAACCTCTATCAGATCACAAATGAGGTCTCGAACCGGGCTACACCGTAAGTGACATGCGCAGCCTCATCATGTGTGGCATTGGCCTTGTCAGCCAACTAACCGTCTACAGGTCTCTAGTCGGCTTCGGCCCAAAGAGCAGATACCTAGGCGAGGCAGCCAAAACCCAGGAAATCTCAAACCTCAAGAACACCATCACCTCGCTCAAGCGCCTCGCCGGCCGTACCATCGATGATCCCGACATCGCCATTGAACAACAGTACATTACGGCTCCGCTGGTAGACATTAATGGCCAGGTTGGAGCGGAAGTGACCTACCGAGGAGAGAAGAAGCAGTTTACTGCCGTACAGCTGATTGCCATGTACCTGGGAAAGATCAGAGATACCGCCAGTCGAGAGTTGAAGCTTCCCGTCTCGGACGTCGTCCTCAGCACCCCACCGTGGTTCACGGACGCCCAGAGAAGAGCGTTGCTGGACGCGGCCTCAATTGCGGGATTAAAAACCCTACGACTTATCAATGATAACACCGCGACTGCCCTGGGTTACGGCATCACCAAATCAGACCTGCCCGAAGGCGACGCAAAGCCCCGCCGAGTGTGCTTCGTGGACATTGGCTACAGTGACTACACCTGCTCCATTGTGGAATTCCGCAAGGGCGAACTGGCCGTCAAAGCCACCACCTTCGACCGACACTTCGGTGGCCGCAACATCGACAAGGCCCTCGTCGACCATTTCGCCGCCGAGTTCAAGGAGAAGTTCAAGGTGGACATCACGACCAACGCCAAGGCGAACACCCGTGTCGCTACGGCGGCCGAGAAGCTCAAAAAGATTCTCTCGGCCAACGCTCAGGCTCCTATCAGCATCGAATCTTTGATGGATGACAAGGATGTCCGAGGCGTGTTGAAGCGTGACGAACTCGAGCAACTGATCCAGCCTCTGCTCGACCGAGTCACCGTACCTCTGGAACAGGCTCTCGCCGACGCCAAACTTAAAGTCGAGGATATCGATGCCATTGAAATGGTCGGCGGCAGCACCCGTGTTCCGTCTATCAAGGAGAGAATCTCCAAGTTCTTTGGCAAGCCGCTATCGTTCACCCTCAACCAAGACGAAGCCATCGCTCGTGGCTGTACCTTCAGTTGCGCCATTCTTTCCCCGGTGTTCCGAGTTCGAGACTTTTCCGTCCACGACATCGTCACTTACCCGATCGAATTCACTTGGGAACAGTCTCCCGACATCCCGGATGAGGACACCAACTTGACTGTCTTCAATAGGGGCAACGTCATGCCGTCTACCAAGATCCTTACATTCTACCGCAAACAACCCTTCGACCTCGAAGCCCGATACGCTAAGCCAGAACAGCTCCCCGGCAAGGTCAATCCATGGATCGGACGTTTCTCGGTCAAGGGAGTCAAGGCCGATGAAAAGGATGATTTCATGATCTGCAAGCTTAAGGCGCGGCTGAACCTTCATGGTGTCCTCAACGTTGAGAGCGGTTACTATGTCGAGGATGTCGAGGTTGAGGAGCCCGAACCGGAGAAACCCAAGGAGGGTGACGCCATGGAGACCGACCAAGCCAATGGTTCCGCCGAAAGCAAGCCCAAGCTGCGCAAGGTCAAGAAGCAGGTGCGCAAGGGAGACTTGCAATTGGTTTCCGGAACATCTTCCCTGGACGAAGCAGCCAAAGCTGCTGCCGGCGAACTTGAGAATGCCATGTACATGGAGGACAAGCTGGTGACCGACACTGAGGACAAGAAGAACGAGCTGGAATCGTACATCTACGAACTCCGTGGCAAGATTGACGACGTCTACTCGGAGTTTGCCAGCCAGGAGGAGAAAGACAAAATCCGGGATACTCTGGAGAAGGCCGAGGTAAGTAGACACGGGACGAGATCGGATGCATCAAGGATACTGACTGGTGTTAGGATTGGCTGTACGACGACGGAGAAGATGCCACCAAGGCACAATACATCGCCAAGATGGACGAGATCCGGTTCGTTGCCGGTCCTGTTGTCCAGCGATACAACGACAAGATCGAGGCCGAACGTCAAGCAATCCTCAAGGCGCAGGAGGAAGAAGCCGCCAGAAAGAGAGCCGAACTCGAGGCCAAGAAGAAGGCTGAGGAAGAGGCCAAGAAGCCCGCCCAGCCAGCTGCAGAGGATACAGAAATGAAGGATGCCGATGGCGACGCTGTCAAGCCCGACGCCGTGGAGGAGAAGTAGATACCTCGTGGTGGTGGTGAGCGCAGGAGTTTTGACGGGATGGGACCAACCGAAAAACGGGGTCGTAGAGGATCCTCGTTGAAAGAACACGGGCTTTACGGATCGACATGTCATGCATAGCGAATGGAAACGATTCTCCCCGGCGTTGAGGAGGCAATAATAGATAGACGATGATGACGGTTTCTTTTACCTGTTTGGTGGTTGAGTTGGCATCTTACCTAGCTCCCACAGATGACAACCGCGTCCGGCACAATCAATCAAAGAAATTCACGGGGGTTTGCGGTGCTTCGTAGGTACGAGTACTCCGTCCTGGACGTGGTCTGGAGAAACATTGTTAGATAGCCGAAAGGTAGCCAGGGTTTTACGGCTCAGGGCTGAATCGATCCCGCAGCCGAATAGGCCACCTCCACGCCGCCTCCATGCCAATGGCAGGTCTCGGGGCCTGTCAAGTGACTGGGATAGACGAGAGCATGACTGGGCTGGGCCTGCTGAGGTCTAGCCACGGCGTCGTCGAAAGGGTCGATTTGTGATCATCAAGTTCCGGTGGAAGAAGAGTAGTTGGGAGTTGGGAGTTAGGTGGGGGTTAGGTCGGGGCGAGGCTTAACCGCAGGTAAAGCGGCGAGATTAGCCGCAGCTAGTGGCGGGATAGTGGCGAGTTAGCACACATGCAGTTAGTGCCATATTGTCGAGATGCCGAGGCACTGCACCGAACAGAAGCCGGAAAACGGAAGCCGAAGGGCAGTCAGCAGCGAGACTGCGGCCATTACTACTAGAATAAAAGATTACACGACTTCGCCTCTGCGTCGCTTCTCTTCTACAGCTCTGTTCCTCGCCGTTACTCTCTGGTCCTCTTTCTCTTTCCCTTTCCAGTCCCCATCCAGCCTCAGAACAGTGTCGACATGGCCACGCAAAGACTCGGGTCCATCCTCTCGCACCTGGCCCCTCACAAGACCGGTGTCGCCTCCATGTAAGTCTGCGTGGTGACGGGACATCATGCCCATGCCCTTCTCCCCCCTTTGAGGCGACCTCCACTAATGCTGCAGGTCAACAGCACGCAGAAGAACCCCGACGACATTGTCATCACCCTCGCGATTCGGACGCCTCTAGCCAAGGGCAAGAAGGGCGGGTTCAAGGACACTGACCTCGACTACATCGTCTACGCCCTGCTGAAGCAGGTGCTGGACAAGAGCAAGATCGACCCTGCGCTCGTGGAGGATATCTGTTTGGGAAATGTAAGGATCGGGACCAGCCACACCTACACCCCCAAAGGCAGAAAACCCATTCAAGTGCAATCACTCACAACCGGTGTCTCTTTTTAGGTTGGCGACCCAAGAGCTGCCTACAAGGTGCGAGCGGCCATGCTCGCAGCCGGCTTCCCCCACACATCTGCTGCCAGCTCGGTCAACCGGTTCTGCTCAAGCGGGTTGAAGGCGGTGCAAGACATCGCTGGCCAGATCACGAACGGCAGCATCGACATCGGACTGGCCATGGGTGGCGAGAGTATGAGCCACAACACCGGCGGCGATGATCCCTTCTCTCCCGAGATCATGGCGCACCAAGAAGCTGCCGACTGCACACAGCCGATGATCCAAACATCGGAAAACGTCGGCTCCGACTTCAACATCTCGCGCCGACAGCAAGACGAATATGCCGTCGAGTCGTTCCGCAGAGCCGAAGTGGCGCAGAAGGCGGGCTGGTTTGAGGACGAGATCGTCCCCATTACCACCAAGGTCAAGGACCCCAAGACGGGCGAACTGAAGGAGATCACGCTCACCAAGGACGAGGGTCCCCGATACGGCACCACGCTGGAAGGCTTGTCCAAGATCCGACCGGCCTTGCCACAGTTTGGCGACAAGACGACTGGTGGCAACGCGTCTCAAGTCACGGATGGAGCTGCCGCGGTGCTGTTGATGAAGCGGTCCAAGGCCATCGAGCTCGGCCAGCCCATCCTGGCCAAGTTCGTCGGCGCCACCGTCGCCGGTGTGCCACCCCGCGTCATGGGCATTGGCCCCAGTGCAGCCATCCCGAAGCTGCTGGCCAAGTACCAGCTGACCAAAGAGGACATTGACATCTTCGAGATCAACGAGGCCTTTGCCTCCATGGCCGTCTACTGCCTGAACGTTCTTGGTTTGGACCATTCGAAACTCAACCCCCGCGGCGGCGCCATTGCCCTGGGCCACCCTCTCGGCGCCACGGGTGCCCGCCAGATCTGCACCATTCTCAGTGAGGCGCGACGGACCAAGAAGAAGATTTTGGTCACATCCATGTGTGTAAGTATTTGCGCCTCCTTGTTCTTTTCCTTTTTCCCACATCACCTCCTTTTCTGGAAACATCGTTATTTGCCTGTGCAAATCACCTCAATTACCTTACTTGTGCAAATCACCTCCTTTACCATGTATATGTACATACTAATCATCTCTCTCTCTCATACAGATCGGTACTGGACAAGGTATGGCCGGCCTATTCGTCAATGAACAGCTATGAGTGTGACTGGGGACGGACGGACGGACGGGACCTGTCTCGTCCTTGCACTGTACACTGTAGCGACCGACTGAAGCTGAGGTTGAGTTGTAGTGACGGCCATTAAGGCTCTACACATACACATAGGTCTTGGTCTAAATCTAGGTCTAGGACTGGTTCTACGTCTGGTTCTACGTCTGGTTCTACGTCTGGTTCTAGCTCCGGTACTGGTTCTAAAAGCAAAGGCAAGGCTATCTAGTAGCTGCTGAGTCGGTGTGGACATACACATATGAATATTGATTGACGTTGACATTGACATTGACATTGACATTGACATTGACATTCATATAGTCCTGTATATTGATTGATTGTTCGTTCGTTCGTTCGATCTTGGTCATTAGTGGCTTGTCTGTCATTCAGTAGCATTGTTAGTCTCAAACTCCCCATAAGAGGGACATCTCGGTGGCATCGATGCTAATAGACTAGTACTCTACTATACAGCTGGCGGTCCGTTCAAATAGAAACTGAATCTGAACTCCGAATTCTAAAAACTAAAATCTAAAATCTAAAATCATCGCAAAGCCAGTCATTGCATAGCCAGCTCGTCAACCCGGCCAGCTTCCTTCTCTATCCGCTCAATCGTCCTCTGAATGTCGTCGGGAATCACCTTGACGCCCGTCTCTCGCAGACATGACACCGAGCCGGGCCGCCAATACCACTGGTGCTGTGGCTGCGTGCTAGTGAGGCCAGTGAGTCGAATGTTGGCAGTCTCAGCCTCAATCTCGCCCACCCAGTAGTGCGTCATCTGCGCAAACCCCTTGTCCACCTTGCTCTTGTCCTCGTATATCCCACCGTTGATCTAAAACGGTGTTTGTCCCCTGTGGTCGAGATGCAACATGTGCGTCCCACACACTTCCACCTTGTCCACCGCCAGATCTGGCGGTTGATCCTGTCCTTCTCCTTCGGCCGTCGTGATGGTGCCCATGGTCCCCGCGTACCACGGCTGGAAAAAGTACTCGACACTGCTGAGTTCTGCAGCCACCCAGAACGTCTCTTTGTCCCCGTGGAAGACACGGTACGTGACTTCGTCCCGCACGTTCTTGGTGTTCATCCAACAGGCGAACATCAGCCCGAGAAGAACTGATGGGCGGGATTTGTCCAGCGCAACGACACCACTGTCTGCTTCATAGTATGCTGCGCCACTATAGAAGAGTGACCTTCTGGTGAGGTGTCGGGAAGGCGGGATGCCCGCTGCTCGGATCTGTTTGCTGAGCCACAGCCGACGGTGGCCGTCTCCTCCCCGGGCCGCGCGGTCGTGGAAGAAGAGGGTTCCGGTGCGAGCCAGGCCGGCGTTTTCCTCGAAGATGGATTCTGGATTCGTGAGAAACACGGCATCGGCATCGACGAGAATGGCTTGTGGGTGGGAAGATGCCAGAAGGGCAAATGGCTTCATGGCCCAGCCGCTACGGACCAAGTCATGACCAGCAGCCGGGTACAAATCGAGCAGATCGATGAATGATAACTCGGGATCGAGGGACTGCAAGAAGGCGCGACTGTCAGGATCCAGATCCTCGTCCCCTGCGTAAGCGATCTCGATGGGGATCTGGGAGTTGTGCACGAGACGGAGACTGGCAATGAGGTGACCTGCCATGCGGAAGTTGTTGGATCCGACACAGGTGATGATGCCTGTGTGCGAAGGGAAGGACCTGTTGATCGGGGAGGACCAGGGAGTGTATATTGATGCCTCAGTTCCCGCAAGGAATGGAAAATGCAACACCAAGGTGTCCTGGAAAGCAGTGTGGTCTGCCGAGGGGTGTTTGATGAGGATCTGCGCCCACTGCGAGAGCTTCTTGACGCGCCTGCCCATCTCGCCCCATTCCGTGATATCGAGGTGCTGGTCCAGGTCGGCTGCCGTAAAAGGATTCGTCGGCCTGGCTCTGAAACTTGAGCTGACGGCCCACCACGACCGTCTTGCTTGTGCATCGAGCACAATGTACAACAGAAGCACCACGGCCAGCGTGGCCACGGCACTGCTGACACGGAGCCAGGAATAGGATCGGTGGGAGAGAAGTGTACGCATGTTGTGTGTCATTAGGGATATGGCAGTCAACCAGTGTATTAGCTAGCCAATGCAGCCTCTAAGGATGAAGTAGTGATAGCTGCAGGCCAGCTGGGGATGAAGTCTGAGGGAGTTCAAGATCTCTCGAGATGATGATGCTGTTGTTAGCTCGCAGCGTGATCTTTAAGGTCATCATCGCTCCTGCTTGCGCCCAGAATCTTTCGTTTGGGGAAAGAAGAACGCGACACATGTTGTGCCCATTACCGGCGGCATGTTCAGTATTCAGTGTTCACAGAGGAAGGCCTTCCTCATTCTACTGAGGGACTGTGCTGTAACATCGCCGCCACCAGCCCCCAGCTCTGGCCTGGACGCTCTCATTATGTCAAGGCAAGACCCGACGATGCTGACGGAAACTGAGGTCATGGATAGTTCGCCAAACAGAGGCTGAATAGTAACAACAATGTAAAGTCAAGTATGTAGGTCCAAGTAATGTTGTTCGACCATCGCTTTCAGCCAATCAGAGCTTACGAGGCTACCATTCATATAGGCGCCCCTGAAGTCTGCCCCGAACTGGCAAGTTGTCTATCTCCCTTCATTGGGGGCACGTTGGCTCGGTTGGAATGAAAGTGTAGAGGCATGCATGGCCTAAACCACCGGGATATAGTGTGCTGTTCTGCTGAAGGCACGATATTCGGGATGAATTTATGCGCCCAAGTCCGATTGGAAGTGGTTGGTGACTTTTCGGAGACAATGTAAGGATGGATTTCCCGTGCTGAGGTTACATAGCACCCAAGACCAGAAACTTTGTTCTCTACGCCGTGGATCTAGGAAGAGTGAAGAACAGAACACACCACAAGAAAGCTGGTTGGATCTACCGATTCTGCAAGGATGATTTCAAAAGCACCAATATGAGAGATATACGTTTTCCAACAAATACGACGTTCGCGTGGATCACATAGATCAGCATTTGTGGAAGTGGCAAGCTCGCTCTGATTGTCCTTCCTTCTACTACGTTTGCCCGAGCTGAAAGGGCCAGATCTACACGATTACCGGCATGGGCCTCAGCCCTCTTCAGAAACCATGGACGGGAGACGTTCCACCTGTCATACTCGGCCACGAGTTCAGCGGCATTGTCGAAGATATTGGGGCTACTGTTTCTCATGTCAAGGTGGGAGACCGTGTGGTGAGTGACAAGGGGAATCAGGTCAAGACACTCATCGCCATCAGCGCATGATTGCGAATACTGCAAGGCTGAATCATCAAGGAACATATTTGGGCCGCAAAAGTCCAGTCCCCAGGTTCTGGCTGAGGGGTAGACTGAAATCCGGGGTATCATCCGGGGTACCCGACTCGTTGCTAGGTATTTCGACGCGCTTGCAAGTCTGGGTAGGTGGAGGGGCTCAAATGTCAGGCTGAATTGTCGGTAGGGCAGCAGTATTTATCCGGATCAAGTCCTGCACCATCAACGGGATATCTAGAAGCCGCTTTCCGGGTGAGCGACTCCCCGCAGACTGATGATCTGGGGAAAGAAGTGATGGGTAAGCGATATAAAGCCTCAAGTGGGCCCGCCAGGTAAGCCTTGACCTTCTGCGGGTGTCCATATATCGACAACTCCCTCCCGCCGCAAGCTGCGATCACCCGAGCCTCGTCTCCCTAACCCCTTTATTGGATAGAAAGACGAGGGAGCCATTACCCCTTGTCCACGGCCCCACCACCTTTTGGTAGACCAGGTCAAGATAAATTCACTCAGCAATGGTAGGTACATCTACCGTCGACAAAGTTGACGTGGTTGGAGTTGACGTGGCCGAAAAGGGAGAGAAGCATGTCGATACTCGGCCCCAGATTGTTGGCTTCACCGCGGCCGAGGAAGAGCTGCCTCCAGGATACTTCAGGAGCGCATACTTCCTGGGAACATTCTTCGCCACGGTCTTCTCAGACATGTCTGCGGCGGGCGTGTATGGCATGATCGGGTCCATTCTGACCCAGGTGAACGCCGACCTGGGGAACAACGTGAATATACTGTGGGTGCCGTGCGTCTACACGCTGGCCACGAGCGTCGGCCTTCTCCTCTTTGGCCGGTTGACGGACCTCTTCGGCCGTCGCTGGTTCTTCATCGGGGGCAGCCTGTTGGCTGTGATCGGGTCGGTGGTCAGTAGCCGGGCTCAGGACGTGGCAACCCTGATCGCCGGCATGCTGTTCATCGGCCTGGGGGCGAGTGCCGGTCTGTCGTATGTGACGGTGCTGACGGAGCTCGTTCCCATGAAGCACCGATTCTTCATCATCGGCATCTTTATGATCTTCATCATCCCCATCGGGTTCTTCAGCGCCGCCATCGCCGCGGCGTTTGAAATCTACACCGGCCCGGGCTGGCGCTGGGTGTTTTACCTGATGATCATCACGAACGGACTGGCCACGCTTCTCTGGTTTGTCTTCTACCACCCGCCGACCTTCCACATGAAGAACCGCGATCGCACCCGCATCTATATGCTCCGGCACTTTGACTATGTCGGGGCGCTCTTGTTCGTCGCCGGCACCGTGCTCTTCTTGATGGGCCTGTTGTGGGGAGGCCAGGCGTATCCTTGGAAGTCGGCCCATGTCATCACAACCATCATCGTCGGCTTCGTCTGCTTGGTGTCCTTGGCCGCATGGGAGATCCGGGCTCCGCTTCAAGAGCCCCTCATCCCAGTCCATCTGTTCAAGAACGTTCACTGGGTCGCCTCGGTCCTGCTTCTGGGATTCGGTGCCAGTGTCTACTATGCCACCGCCTTGGTGTGGCCGGAGATGGTGACGGTGGTCTACAGACAGGGCAATACGAAGAAAGACCAGATGTGGGCCGGTTGGATTTCATCCCTCCTCAGCATCGCCTTCACCCTCGGCGAAGTGTCCGGTGGCCTGCTGGCGGAGAAGATTGGCCGGGTGAAATATCAGTGCATGTTTATGATTACCATGGGGAGTGTTTGTCTTGCATGTAAGCCTCTCCACACTGCACGGCCATTTGGTCTCCTTCCTTCCTTCATCCATGATTCTAGCCGCACTGCACGGCCATTTGATCTCCCTTCTTTTCTTCATCAATCTCTATAGAGCATCGCTGCACGGCCATTTTGTCTCCCTCCCTTCATCCATGATGCTAAAGCATCGCTGCTGACACACTCTGATCTCTGGTCGGTTGGCCCACAGCCATGGCAGTCTGCAACCTGGACAATCTAGCGACCGGCATCGCCCTCCTGGTCATGTCTCTATTCAGCATCGGCTGGAACGAAGCCATCGCATTCAGCATGACGACGATCTGCATCCACAACCAGCAAGAAATCGGGTCGGCGGCCGGCTGCGCTGGAGCAGCGAGGTCTGTCATCTCGTCCATCGCCTCGGTGATTTACCAAGTAGTGCTCCGAACGCGCATCACGCAAACAGTGCCCCGGGTGGTGGTCCCTGCCGTCATCCAAGCCGGTCTGCCGCAATCCTCAGTCGCGGCCTATCTGATGGCTCTGGCGAGTGGCTCAGCTGCCGCCTTGTCGGCCGTCAAGGGCATCACGCCGGCCATCGAGGCTGCAGGAGCATATGCCTACCGGGTCGCCAATGCCGCCGCATATCACCCAGTCTTCCTCACCTCGATTGCCTTTGGTGTCATCTCGGTGGGCTTGACTTTTTTCGTGCCTAATGTTGACGCCTTGATGACTCACGAGATAGCCACTACGCTGCATACTCGAGGCAATGAGGCGGAACTTATTGGCCAGTCTGGTAGAAGTCAGGAAGGGAAACAGCTTGAGTGATGGGGGGAGACGATAACACTAACAGCTGAGTGATGGGGTGAGACCAACAGTCCAAGTTCCTCAATAACAATAGGGGGCCTCAATAGTCCAAGTGGCTCAATAACAATACGAGGCCTAATCCTACAGAGTATGCCGTTGTCAGCAGTCAGTTCTTCATCCCAGCCACGCCATACCTGATTCAAGTGACTCAATAACAATACGAGGCCTAAACCTACAGAGCCTAGCCCAGAATTGTCTTTGAACGCCACGCCCCTGACTCAGCCGATGCTGGACGCTGGTGACGCCGACCATGCCGTAGTCCGGCTTTGTCTGTCGACTCTTCATCCATACTTGTAGCTTCTCGACCTTCAAGTCCTATTAATGAGGGGTTATAGAGCTCCGATACTCATGGTATATTCGGCCAAGAGATACTGTTCATATTCCCGAGGCTCGATGATCTTGGGAATGTATGTGTTGCGCCACACACCCTCGAAGTCAGTGGTGTAACACATTTTGAAGTACTCCCAGTAATCCGGGTATCAACCTGCTTGCCCCCAGTCGATCAAGGCCAGGATGCGCGGCGGTCCGAGGTCCACGGCGGCCGACACCATGATATTTGTAGGATGGACATCGGCATGAGTGAATTTAATACTAGTGGGATAGTCTTGGTCTGGTCGAAGAAGCTCCAGGTAAGGGTCTTTGTATCTCTGAGAAGCTGATAAGAATCGTTGTGGAAGCCATTCGAGGAAGTTGAAGAAGTGGTCGAGACTGTTGAATGGCCCGGTCTTTGGGCGGTCATAAAAGACTCGATCGAGTAATGGCCCGCCAGTAATGGATCCTAGGAAATCCAATTAGATTGGAATGAGGAATCATATCTCTCCGTGGAGAATCGCTTACCGATGAACTCATTTCTCTGCTTGAGTTGCCGTAGAGAGGAGAGAATCTGACTGAGTTGCTCACAGAGAGAATCCTTCTCAGAGAGATTGAGATCGTTCCAGCATTTTTGTAATGTTGTTCCCGAAATCAGCTCCATATATATAAAGACTCTATCATGACGGATTCGCCACCCAAAAACCTCTGGAACCGGAACTTGGTCACCTAGTCGCTTTCTCACTGCCCTCATGGTAACGCTTCATCAACAGTCACATGCGGTCCAAATTTGATGAGAAGTCGCATTTCCGAGACGACCAAAGTGCCCTGGTAATTTGCATCGACATTTGGAACGGCTGGAAGTCTTCTTTCCATTCCAGCCTGAAAGACAGATGATTCCGGAAAATCCATGTCCTTTTCCAGCGTAGCTTTGTCCAAAGTGTCTGGAAGCAAATCGCCATCTTGTTCTCTCAGGCCGAGTTCGTGTGTCGAGCTCATTCTCGTCGATTTTATTATGAGGGAGAATGGAGAGAGTTGGGTTTATTGGGCACGTAGATATTCCCAATGACGAAGACCTTGGACCTTCCGTCCTGGTCCGAAAGTCCGACGTTGAGGCAACAGTCTGAATCTCACTTGATGGCGTTAAGTAAGGTCGCTCCCAAGTTGAGAAGCCGTGACCTATGGTATGGCAATGAAGGGAAGGGGTGGCCGTTTAATGGTATGTGTTATTGCTGTGGCGCGTGTGACTCAACTAGAGGACATGACTCCCACTCTCAATCCTCATTCCACCACCTTTACCAGGGCCGAAACGGTGCCATCAGAGATGTGATCGGGTAAAGTTACCACAAGGCTGGATATACGTAACGTTAACGTCTATGAGACTAGAGCGGCGGGAGACTACTGGGTACTTGGGGTAAGAGTAATGAAGAACGATAGGTCGGGGTACATAACCCTAACCCTAACCCTAACCCTAAGGTCGGGGTTTATATATAACTTAGGTGTATATATATATATTAATGCTTCGTAGTCAGGCCGCCACTCTACAACCTCGCAGTTTGGACATCTTCGGTTGATTACTGGCCGCCACTGCCACTGCCTCTTTTCCTTTTCCTGCCTCTTTGCCTTTAGTTGGGATTCGAAATTCGGGGTTCTACAAGATACATTACCTCGTCATTAGTACCTGAGATATTGTCTTGTTCAGCCATGACACGAGAGAGCATCAGAACGCGCATTCTCATTCTGTCAGACACGCACGCGGCTCTACCTCAAGGACAAGCACCTCAATCAGAACCTCGATCAAGGTCTCATCCTGAACGCCAATATGAACCTCAACCTCAAGATGCTGATACTGTCGGGACGCCCTTCCGTCAGCCTCTCCCTTCCGCAGACGTCCTTCTACACTGCGGCGACCTGACCATGAACGGCTCGGTCGAGCAGCACAAGCGGGCCATCCAGCTCCTCTCCTCCGTGGACGCGGACCTGAAGATCGTGATCCCAGGCAACCACGACATCACGCTCGACCGGCCCTACTACGCCCAATACCCGACCCTGCACGGCCCGCGGCCCCCGTACTCGGCGCAGACGCTCGACATGATCCGCGACATGTACGTCGGCCAGGAGGCGCGAGACGCCGGCATCCGCTATCTCGAGGAGGGCGTGGGCGCGTTCACGCTCCGGAACGGCGCGCGGCTGACCGTCTATGCGAGCGCGTATCAGCCCGAGTTCTGGAATTGGGCGTTTGGTTATGAGAGGGGAGGAGCCGATCGGTTTAATTGGGATTCCGGTTCGGACTCGGACTTGGATTCAAAGTCGTATTCGCATGCGGATCCTGGGCATGAGGTTGAGGTAGGCCAAGGAAAAGGCAAAGGTAGTGTTGCTAAGCAGCGGCCGAGGAACCCCGTGCCGGATTTCAAGCGGACATGGCGCCCTAGCCCTGGAAAGCCGAGCGAGCGGAGAGATGGGAACAGTGAAGAGCCTGGTCGAGGTCTGGAGGGATGTGATGGTTCTGGCGTGGTTGGGAATGCTGGGGCTTGTACTGGTACTGGTACTGGTACTGGCACTGGTACTGGCACTGGCACTGGCACTGGCACTGGCAAAACTGGGCATCTTTCTACTGCTACTGCTACTGCTGCTGATGCTGACATTGAAGGCCAAGAGAAAGGTCAAGATGCAGGTCAAGAGAAAGCGCAAGATGCACATCAAGGCGAAGCTGATTCTGGTCCCGATCCCGATCCAAGCATCGATATCATGCTCACCCACGGCCCACCGCACGGCATCCTAGACCGCACTGCGACAGGACAAGACGTCGGCTGCGAATACCTCCGCAAGGCCGTGCAGCGATGCAGACCGCGAATGCATTGTTTCGGCCACATCCACGAGGCCTGGGGCGCGGTCAGGAAGGGATGGGTTGTCGAAGGTGCAAAGGATCCAGGCCCAGGTCAAGATCACCCACCACAACTATCGCCATCACCATCACCATCGCTACCACTACCAACTCCTTCCCGCAAAACCCAGATCCGGGAGAAATGCAACTTTCTCGACGCGACAGACCTGCAATTCGGACACGAGACGCTCTTCGTCAACGCGAGTATTATGGATTTACGGTATAAACCGGTCAATGCGCCGTGGCTGGTGGACTTGATGTTGCCAGCGGCGGCGTCCGTGGGCGAGTTGTCGTCGTTGGGGTCGGGGTCGACATCAACGTCGACGTGAACGAGTGGCAGCGATGGCGACAGTGATAGCGACAGAACAGGTACCATAGAGGTATAGGTATAGGTAACAGAACACAAAACACAGAACAGGATACGGATACAGATACGGATACACACGGATGCACATACGGATGCACATACGGACACATGACCCTTTGCAACCCAATCTATTACCTATTATGTACTCTCTTGTAATCTCCAAGGTCACTTCTTCCTCCAATCCCATCCTTGCATCAATGCTAGTCTCGGATCGAATCTCGCGCCTCGCAAGCCGCGCTCCTGCTTAAACAGCGGATAGAGGATGCCAGCGCGTCTCCTATTTCGGCCCTGCCAACTCGTTTCGATCCCGAGTTCGCGTAGAAGCTGCACCGCTTGCTCAGGCAACTTACGTGGCCGAAGCCAAGATGACGGGTGCGGTAGCGGAACTGGACTGGAAAAGGCCACGGCGAGAGATTGGACTTCGGCTTCGGATTCCGAGGATGATGGCGTCCGCTTCCCAGAACTGGAGCTTGTCGTGATACTCCCATCTCCAGACCCGTCTGAGCCAGGCCGCTGTTGAGGGTCCAATCCAGGAAGATGCGGCGAATCGAACGTCAAACTCATAATCTCATGTTTGGTTGGCGGCGGCTGGTCAACTAGGCTCGGTGGCGTGGTGCATGCGTCCCCAGCGACGCTCTCTAGGACCACCGCTACAGATTCTGCCAGTTTCACATCTTGGTATCGGGCCGCCAGCCGTAGAACAGTCATGCATAGGTCTTCGTTGGGCATGATATGCATGCTCTCGACGTAACCGTGCCATAGATACTTGGTGACGTCCAACGAGTCGTTCTTACTCGCCGTAATCAGAGCATGAAGTAGCGTTGGGCGAGGAAAAAGGAAGCCTTCGTCAGACAACTTGTAAAGGAGTTGCAACAAGGCTTGGAAATCGTGACGGTCGCAGATGGCATGGACATAAATAATCCATACCCAGGGCGGGATCCGGGTTTGTTTCTGTTGTAATTTCTCCATCTCCAGAGTAGCGAGTTCGAGCTGGCCCTCGCGGATCATGGCAACAACGTTTAGTAGTGCGTAGCGTTCCGGAATCGACACCCATTGCTTGCGAAGTTGCTGGATGATGGTCGTCCGGAGGTACGTATCCGGATGAACTGCAAGGACCTGATGTCTGCATTAGTATCATGAGTTCTGAAGCGACACGCCGTCTGACCCCAGGCAGATCCGAGAGTGAAAGGGTTGAAGATGGCTTAATGGCAGACTAACCGTCAAGACAGCATAATATGTGGAAGGCTCGATCAACACGCCCTCCCGTTCCATCTCTTCCAAGAAAATCTTGACATTCTTCACAGAGCCAAGCTCTGGAAAGCAATTGGCCAGAATTAATGCCTCGTAATGCGCTGCCGAGGGCTTGACCTTGCGGTCGTGGATGAGGATTTCCAGAATATTGCGGACAGCCTTAGGGTGCGGATGATTGCGGCAAATCCATTTCAACTCCGCTTCGAGTATTGCAGTAGAAATTACAGTCCTGTCCAGGGATTTCTGAAGTCGGCCGGTTTTGGAGATTTTGTGATCTTGCCCAACTCTTTGGATTTCCCGAAGCAGCGGCGGGAAGCGTTTGGGGCCAAGAATTCGCCGCATATATTTGCGCTCAGGCAACACAGTATTCTCTTCCTTTTGTGGTTTTGTATCTTGCTTGTCTGCCCCATGCGCTTGAGGTTGGTCTGGGCCTGGACTCGGACTCGCCGAGGCCGGATCACCAAGTCCTTTGACTCTCCCGGCAGGTCCACCGGTGCCCTCCGTCAGCCCATCCGTGAGCCCAGGTCTACCGCTGTTACCCAGTCCGGGTTGGAGCCTCCGGTGTTTGCGCAAGGTAGATGCAATTGCACGCGGCGTGTCGTTGCCATTTTTGCCGGGAGCAACGGTGCCTCTTGTCCCATTGTATCCTCGCTTTTCAACCCGTAACGTCACTCGTGGGAGGGCAGCCCGCAAGGCGAGAATACGGAAGTTCTGTATCAGACCATGGTGAGCGAGCAACCTATGCATCAGCTATACATAGCTGGTCTGCGCAATGTCTCTGTGCAGGGCATGGTGTTGAGCTTGCGCCTGGGGATGAAATTAAGGTCGGGTGTAGGACAAGATTAAGAAGGTTTGCCGAGCTCACATATTAGATCGAGCCTCGACCATGGGCCACAAGGCTCTGACGACGCATGAAGTTCCCGTACGGTAGTCCCCCCGATGGAGTTTGACTCAAGTCGGAATGGTTTACGCCTTACCGCGGTTGGACCAAGGATACCAAAAGACTGTAGCTGTATCGTTGTTGAACGTGGGGCAGTGTATGTATGTTACTGTCCTGGATTGTACCTAGTTTTATACATGAACAACGCATTTCATCTGCTGACTGCGACAGTCCGAACGCTGTCAACCCTACAACACCTCCCAGCTCGAAATAACCATTCCAAATAACAAAGAGATAAGAATTCTCCGAGATCCGACGCCGAAACCGACCACCACCAAGGTAGGTCTATCCATCAAAGTACTATACAAGAAGTTCCGCCGGCGAATAACCGTGTGGCAGGAAAAGGACGTTAGTCCCGGGCATCCTTGCTGGCGATTGTTGATCCGCCCGTCTCGAGACTCAGCCGCGAGCTGCAATCAATGATACTGCTATCAGGAGTATCGTCCGTGTTGCTCGGGGTGTATCGGAATCCATCAACGACAGTCAATTCGCCCTCGAGCTCCTCTTCATACCGGGGAGGCGGTGCAACATACAACGGAGGAACTTCTGAAAAATTACTGCTTCCGATGCCGCCGGCATGCTCCGCGGGTGAGTACGGGTAAGGAGGATGGTGAGCATGATTGCACACGTTGAATCGGGCTCTGCCTTCTTCGACCCGTACAAGATCTCTGACAAGATCAGAGGCGTTCCGTAACGTGCGAATCTCATTCTGCATCACGTCTTCCAAGAGCCCTTCTTGTTCAAGCACCATCTCTCGCTTCTCTTCGTAGTCAGTGTTGGAACATTGGCGTCGGTAATGCTTCCACCATGTCGCCCACTTGTGTTTGCATGCGGCTTTGCGGTACAGCTTCCGGGTTCGACGCTCTTCTCGCCTTGCAGCTCGATCGGCTTGACGGCGGGGGTCACGGTACCAGGAGCTCTTGCGGATCAAACGGAAGGTGAGCCCAGAAAGTATTATGAGGAGGATGAGCGAGGTTACGGTCAGGGCTAGACGAGCCTCGAAGCTGTATCCTCCCCATTCATGTCCAAATGGCCCGAACCTGGGGATCCCAGGAGGTGGGCCAGGAGGACCAAAGGGCGGTGGGCCATGATGTCCAGGAGGTGGAGGAGGGAAGCCCTGAGGTGGCCGGTGTGGTGGACCGAAGGGAGGATGGTCTCCTCTAAATGGAGGACCAAACGGGGGGTGAGGATGTTTTCCTGCAAAAGGCGGTGGAGGGTGATTTTCATCGAACGGGGGGTGAGGGTGATCGAATGGAGGGTGAGGATGTTCTCCATCGAATGGAGGGTGAGGGTGATCGCCTTCGAATGGAGGGTGAGGGTGTTCTTCTTCAAAGGGCGGCCGAGGATGCCCCTCTTCACCTCCTTCATGGGAAGGGGGCTCGTTGATTTCGTCATGCAGTTGCTGCGGTGGCTCTTGCGGAGATGGTGGTGGCACGATGTCGTCAATGTGGACTTCTTCGACATTGTTAGGTGGCTGAGCCGGCTCTGGAAGATTAGTCCCAACAAAACTGTCATCCTGATCTTTCGTTGAGCAGGCTTTTTGGCCTTCGCCATCCGTACATCCCGCACTGTGACGGTTGTGGTGTGAGAAACATAGAGTGATGAGCTTTTTGATCGTTGGGGCCTTGCTCACGGCAGTCTTCCATAGACACTTGAGGTTTGAGCATGCCAAGAACTCTTGCTTGAGCAGAGACATGATCCTGTGATGGTGCTCTCGTACCCGCTCTTGCAGTTGTTCCATTTCCCCCCTCAGGTGCTCAAACTCTGCGATCTGGATTTCTATTTGAGTATCGATCGAGGTTGCCGCGCCGGCCATGACCGGGACAATCGATAAACTTTGATCCTCTGGACGAAGCCATTCATCGCATATATCTTGAGACGAAAGGTGGTCGATGGGCTTGTCTTGCAGACGTAGTACGGCAGGTTTGCCCTTCTGCTTGAACGAAGTAGTGAAACCAGAAACGTCATTGGCGTTGTTCTGACCGGTAATGTCGTCAAAACGGACAGAGAGTATCGAAGCCTCGCCCTGGAGACATGTTGACTGCCAAGAGGCGTGAACCTCCTTCTCGGCCAGCCCATTCGATGGTTTTGATATGAAAGAGATCTGACCCTGAGCGACCTGGTTGCCCGGGGCAAGGGAAAGGGGAAGACCGTTCAGACGAGGGGCCCTGGCACTGCATTCCTCTTCGGCGGCATCGATTTCGAGAGTAAGTTCCTTTCCACAAGTCAATGGACCGCCAACAAGTACACAGACTACACGGTCCACCTACCAGCCCATCATCAGTGCCGATAAAGCAGCCTTGGCAGGGCGCGCGGAAGTGGATGGTGATATGTTCGGGGCCTGGACCTGGTCAGCGATCAACTGGCTACTTGCCTGTGAGGGAGGCCGGTGAATAGTATACCTGTTGTACCAGCAACAGCAGTGATATCCTTCGCGACAGAACCGAGAGATGAAGGAGGGAAACTAGGCAATGCCAAAACGAGAGAGGGAAGGAAAACGGCAGCCTGAGCCAAGGAGGGCTTCATGTTTGTTTGTGGACTAAAGGCAGGCAAACCTGTAGGGGCACCAGAAGAATCGAACAAAAAGTGTGAATGTGCGATTTGTCAGAAGAGGGGCATGCTCCAACGTGAAGAAAGAACGCCGCAGCGAGGATACCTTACAGGCACATCGTCAAGGAGAACTCGAATGCCTGAGGTGGTGAGGGTTGAGGCGGGAGGGATGAACGACGAGGTGAGGTCGGGTGGACGGGGGATCACAGGCTGCTTTTGGCTGGTGCCTGAGGATTGGGGTTGCTCCCTGCTGGTTCGGGCGCGACGCGATGCACCGCCCCGAACTGCGAAAACCCGTCAAGCCGCGTCAGCAGATTCGCGGCTCCAAAAGCGCAGGTTGCCCCACTACTACGGAGCATGTGCACGGTTGCGCGTGGGCGAGAGGTCACATGATATAATGCCAAGGTCAGTAAAATCTGCTCGCGACTCAACCCTGCTTCGGGACGAGGGTGTTGCCGCCCTGTGCTCACCTCTACTCACCCCTGTGCGACGGCACCTGTGACTCACCTGTCGTGGGGGCCAAAGCCCTTGGGGCCTCGGTGCGGATGGTGCGACGTTGGTCCTCCTCTAAGCCAGGCATTTTTGGTCCCTCTAGGCCTGCCCTTATGTTGCACGCGGTGGCTCGAGGTTTGACCAATAAAGATATGGAATCTCCCAAAAGCAGCGTTGAGGACTTGGCATTCCTGGCCTGGCTCCATGCTGAATGCTATACCTACATATGTAGACAGGTAAGGAGACGCCAGGTCCCAGTTGACCGCCTACCCGTCAACGGATCACCTGAATTTCAACGGCCTAAGACACAGAGATGTCAATCGTCGCCAGAAACAACTCTACAGGGATAGGGAGATGCAGGAGGGGATACTTCTGGGGGAGAGCAAAGCAGTAGCAGTGCATTGACCAGGAGCAGCTTTGCTCATGGTGCTGCTTGATCAATGCCCTAGGTTCTTGCCATTCGATTGTTCCCAATGGTTAGCAGTACAGTTCATAACATCGAGGGCTGTTCAACCTCAGCGATCCATTTCGATACACTTTCCTGGTCTAGCATAGACCGTTTTTCCTCTTCGCATGGATCGTTCTCCCCGCCATCATCATATGGGTCGACGATCCATGGATGCTTCTGAAGTTCGCGGATCACTTCAGTGCTATCTATTGTTCCATCATCAAGCCATAGGCCATCATCGTTATCCCTGTGCCAGTTGAAGAGGCGGGATGTTGAGCTCCATGATTGCTCATCTGCGATTGTCTGTTTATGAAGTTCAATTCTGCGAATCAGGTTTTAGATTTCGGGCCCGCCAGTTCATTGCAAAACTTACTCTTTATGCTCACATTCTAGGCCAGCTAGCTGCCAGTTCCGTGGTGATAGTGTTGGTGGGGTAGAAAGCCAATTTTGCGAGCTGGCTGGCACACTCTCCCCTGAGTGTAGAATCCAATGTGATCTCCACCAAAGAAGCCTGTCTTTGTGAGAATAGTGCTGCTTGACTTCCAGACTGAGGTTGTCTGTCCTAGTTGACCCAAAGGGAGGAGCAGGGGTCCATGGCACCGATGCCTCCGGTCGACAAAAGTATGAAGTGCTGAATTCACATGAACGGGTGATTGTTTCCGCCGAATTGCTGGGATATACAACCTGAAGAAATGACTGAACAGTGTTGGTCCAAAGACCGGCAACAAGGTAGATTGGTGGTAGACCTTGCAATACCATGGTGAGCGTCGGCGTTGCCTGGCCATTACACACACAGGCTTTCCAGAAGAGAGTAAGGTGCGGCGCCCTGTCCGATATCGCATTGACCAACGCCTGGTAATCAGTATTGGTCGGAAGCAAGGCATCCGTGATACCCAAGGATGCTGCACCGACCAAATTGCACGGAACGCAAGGGTCAAAAAATGTACTGCACAATAAGGAATCCAAAGCATCTTGTGTGGAGCTGAGCTGCATACACTTGTCGAGAGACCTAAACAATTTTTCGGATCTTGCATCCCTCATTCCAGATGGAAGGTCAGACTCAGCAATCATGATCGGCGCAGCAAGCCTCGGTGAGGGCGCATTACGCGACGTTAGCAACAAGACTGTGGCAAGTCCGATGCCGTATTCCTCTTCGAGGTCCATAGAAGCGCAGAATTCAGTTAGGACATCAAATGCCATAGAGGAATTCGGTAGAACTTCAGGTCACGTTGCTGCTATGCGGTTCACTTGCTTAGTAATTCCATCGGAGAAGATTGAGAGAGGAAAATTGATGTACCTTTGCACTTCAGAGTTTTCCTTTCGTAGCATCCAGGGTGCATAGAAAGTCCCCTTACTATTCTCCATCTGAGCCACCCAGCGACTTCTCATAGTCAAGCCCCAAAAGCTAGTTGTAATCTGTTCACCTTGCTCATGCCTCAGCGAGCCCTTTTTGCCAGCATGCTGGAGTATTTCTACCCAGCGGCAGGAGAGGATATAGGACCAAGCCAGGGCGATACTGGTGAGATACCTTGATCGAAACCCGGAGGAAATAGGTGAAGTGACCAAAGCCACATCCTTGGGTTTATATGTCATTGGCGCCGGGAATCCAAGACATTGGATATAATCAATGGTTTTCCAGCTCTGGTCACAGGCTGAATCCTCCGTTGTTCCTAGGTGTAAGGTAGACCGTAGCGTAAGTGGAGATTTGCGTCCTGCTTTCAGATCAATACCCTTTGGAGGGCTGTGAAGGAACTCCGGGACCTGTTGTAACATAATCAAGAAAGCATCTATGCAACAAGGGTCTGAGCTATCGCTAGGTATAGTTCTCGATGCCGCAGAACGCCAGTAATTGTAGCTGGATTGATATATCGTATTGAACTGCGAGGTTGAAGGGCAGATACCATCACCTGGGGCCCATTCCCCATAATCATCCTCACTCGTGGCCTCGTCAGAGTAGCTGCCATCTTTGGATTCTCCTGACAACTCAACGTGTTCCAGGAGTGTTGAAGCTGGCGGTGGACGATATAATGGTCGAAGGCTGGTTGAGCCCTTAGCACTCATTGCGTCCACGCTATTACTGAATTCGTTTCCCTGCAAGAGGCGAAGTTGAAATGGACAGTTGGCTGTTGATACTTAGCCACAGCTGGGCCGTTCACTTAGCACTGCTCGACATGTAGGAGAGTCGATGGAGCTGGAAGCTCGACGTGATCGAAGACTTTTCTGCTCTATCCAATAGAAACTTCCCCGTCCCACATCTCTCGCGAAAATAGGCCTTGTCATTAAGGGTGTAAACAAGGCGAGCATTGATGGTGCGACCGAAAGATGCGCGAGTTTAATGGCCACCACGTCGCGTGAGTGAGCATCAGGAAAATCACCAGGTAGCGGCATGGACACCCCACTCACGTGACAGGCTGCCCTGGGGCATCGTACCCGGCTAACCTTCCCTCCCTATTGATCCCTAGTGGCTGCTGGCTCCTGGATTTTAAAAGCGGCACGGTCTGGGTCCTGCTTGAGCCGCCAAGTATCAATTCTGCCAGTGCTGGGGGGCGACAATCAGGTTCCTCTGTATTGTATTGACCAGCTTCACCCTATAACAGGGACTGGCAACACGTTCATTCCGACCAGCTATTCCAGCTCTCAGTACACAATCAATCCGAGATCGACATTTACAACCGTAATCTGAACTCACGTCTTCTGCCTGTTCCGGATGATTTGAACAAGAAACAACACCACGTAAAACCAAACATGGTCAGCATCATCCTCGCCGATCCTGAGGGAGCCTCTTTAACACTCTTTCATTTAGCTTCCACTAGGTCTTCTCACCGCCGCTCAGGGCCATCCCATGCTGGTTGAGCTCAAGAACGGCGAGACGCTGAATGGCCACCTGGTCAATTGCGACACGTGGATGAACCTGACTCTCAAAGAGGTCGTCCAGACGAGTCCCGAAGGCGACAGGTTCTGGAGGCTTCCCGAAGCTTATGTCAGAGGAAACAATGTTCGTGACTGCCAAACCCAACGTCCAACACCATAATGTTTTCCAATGTTCACACTGACATGGTGAATCAGATCAAATATTTACGGGTACCGGAAGAAATTATAGAGCTGGCGCGGGAATCGCAACAGCAGAATCAGCAAGGTGGTCACGGCCAACGGGGACGGGGAGGTCAGGGGCATCGCGGAGATCAGGGTGGTAGGGGGGACAGAGGTCGCGGCCAAGTGAGAGGTGGTCGTGGTCGGGGGAGAGGGAGAGGCCAAGGTTGAAGCCATCAACACTGCCATTCTCAACTTGCAGAATTGCCGCGTCACAGTACCATGGTTTCCAGCAAATCAATTGAAGCTATTCGACTTTTCGGGCGCCAAATCCTGGCTCTACACACTCGTCACCCACGCTCAAGTCATACAAACAAGTTGGCGACAAACTGGTTGTGCACCCCCCGAAACTTTACAAAGTCCTTTTCCGCTGTATGCATTCAGCAAAATCGTGGATCGTAAATCCTACACGGGGCGTGGTTGGACATCATCCATCCTGACCACTGCTCGAGAAAGAGGACTCCACCGCCATGCGTCAAGAACACCGGTGTCCTGAAAAATACCGACAGGTCGGTCAAGATAGAAAATTTAAAGGTACCGTACCAACAACAAATCATCGTGCTGATTCATCGTTTTGAAATCTCGGTTGCGAGACATTTTAGAACCTGCGATCTGTCAGCTTTAGCTTTTGTGCAAAATATAGTGGCTACATACCTTTTGCGAGATTACACCCTGGTTATAGAGGTACTTTCCGAGACCTTTGACCACTTCGACCTGTTCTTCAGGGGTCAGGCCCACAATCGCCGACTCGATGACGGCCCCCACGCTGGTTCTGTACACGGCAATGAAGCTTTCGTAGTACATGTAAGCAAAGAACCCCATGATGAACTGACAGTCCATCCGATCTGTCATGCCTCCGTGTCCCGGGATGCTGTCGCCAAAGTCTTTGATCTTGAATGACCTCTTCAACCCCGAAGCGAAGAAGCCTCCGAAGGGTGCGATCAATGATGCAAAGGTGGCAAAAATGAGAATATGAAACTGCATGGGTTCAATCCAGAGGGTATACTCCACTCCGGTCCATGCAGGCATGTAATAAGGCTGTGGCACAAAGACCGGATTGGGTGTACATTCTAGCCCAGTGAAGATATTGGCGCCCAGATCGTTGACAGGGCAAATGAAGTATTTGTAGCGTATCAGGATATTGGTGAGGGCAAATCCGAAAAAGATGGTGCAAATCCAAGCTCCAACAAACCCCTCGACAGTCTTTTTGGGAGAAATCTTGATAAGCTGTGTGCGGCCAAACGTGATGCCGCAAATGTAGGCAAAAATGTCGTTGGTAATGACCAAGGAGACCGGAAGGAAAAACCAGATCATGCCCTCAAAAACGTTGTTCATCATAAAGTGCGCTTGAACGACGATGAGGAAGAGGGCCATGTGAGTCCACGCAAACTGAGTGAACTGAAACTTATAGTGTCCCTTTTTCAGCGACCCGACAAAGAACACGAAGCCTAAGATGGGTCAGCGGCGGTCCGGTGCAGACGCAGACACGTGTGCATTCTTACCGAAAATGTACATCATGAAGCTGATGAAACGATGATGTGTCGCAAAAGGGAGCAGAACCTTATCCACCAAAAGGATATGTTTGAAGTAGTAGATGACACTCTCGCCGTACAAGAAGTACATCGTTATCACCAGGAAGTACCAGTTCAGAGATCTGGTAAGCGGAAGGTTCTTCTGCCTTGTGGGGACCTGAGCGATGGCTATGACTTCTTTGAAGGAAACGATTTGGACAGCAGTGATGATCATGAGAACATAGACATGCCCAGCAAACATGGCGCCAAAGAATCCGGTGATCATGGCGAAGGTCCAGATTGTTCGCGTTATGAAGGTTGCCTTCTTCTTTTCATAGTCCGACACATCACCCTCCTTTTCTCCTTTGACGATGGAGCCATTTCGACTGTTATCGCCCTCCCTTGAAGGGCTCGGAGGTTCGGAGGTGCTGTCGCTGGCTGTAGATAGGCTCTGCCGTCGCTGGTCGTGACCATTGCCATTGCCATTGCCGCGATGCTGGAACTTGACGGATCTATGCCTAGGCATTGTAATATGGTCACGGAGAGCGGTCTCCGGAGGACAGGAGCTTGAGAGGGGGTTGGCGGGAGTCTCAATCGATGTGGTGTCGCAAACTGTAGACTGCGAAGGGAGGGGATATCTTGACACGTGCTGCCCAAAAGTTGGATGGACAGTACGCTGTAATCTTAGCTGATTTCAGGCTGCCGAGGAATCGCAGGACGGTGGAGTGTGGTTATGTGGTGCGCAACTAGGCCACAAGATTAGACGCGGTGTGCACGCGAAAACGTAGCCTCCGTTATCAACCAAGAGATAGCAGTGTCGTGGACCAGTTGCTTTATAGAGAGGAGGTACATACAGCCTCTGACAAGTTTGGGAGTACCAAGTACCTTAACCTACAGTATTTAGTAGTATCTGTACGGATAAACTGGGCAGCAGAAGAGATTTGCGTCATCCGGGTGCTCGTGCTTGGGACCTAAGGACCCTGACAAGCGATGGCGGGCGCAGGCGGCGCAGGCAGCGCAAGCAATAATGACAACGACATTTGACACGCATCTGCTCCGCCGCCGTCACCACCACGAACCATCATCACTAAGGTAGTACTACGACCACGACCACGTCGCTCATCCCTTCACTGATCCCATCCCGCGTCTAATTACGTGTTGTTTGGCTGCACATTGCCTCCGACTAGATGCTAAACCCATGCCGGCAGTCTCAGACGCGTGAAACTGGTCGAGACGCTTCATTTTGCCTTCCCCATGGAGGTCAAACATGAATGGCATGGACGACAACGAAGACGAGACAGATCTGTTCGACGACGACTTCGATAATCTGTCGGAGTCTGCTCTTCAGGAACTCGAACAACATGCCCTCTTTTCGACCCAACAAGCCTCGTTGCAGGCCCGGATGTCCACACATGCACAACAGAAGCACACATCCTTTTCCCCAAATCGACTTCAGGCCCAGGCACCGCTGAACACAAACCCGCCGCTGAGACACCCCGCTATTCAGAGGCATCTCACTGAACCACAGTCTGAAGATGAAAGTTTTGAGCTGGTTGGTGAAGATGGCGTGTCAACGCCAGTCAACGAACATGAAGCATATCCGTTGCGTCGACCAGTGGTTCAGCGAGGACAGTTTCGGCACCCACGCAACGGCCATACGTATGACGGAGCCCCTTTTATGCCTACGAATCCAAAAACCGCTCAGCGTCAATTTGACAGATCTCAGCCAAACGCATCAGAGCGCGGATATCATGGTGTTCCGTCAAGATCCGAGGAAATGCTTCTGGATGGGCCCTCGCAAGAGGGTGGAGGCGAACTACAGCAGACATATGGAAGCGACGTAAATCGGTCACACCTCGAAGAGCTCACGAAGCACCGGGATGAACTGTTTCGTCAGCTGGAAGCGACAAAGGATACGGTTATGATGCAGAAGGGCGAAATTTCAATCATCAGGGCGAACTTTGAGAAAGAGATCAAGGTCTTCGATAGGCAGATAAGCGCTCTTCAAAAGACAATGGCAGAAGAATCCGCAAAACATACAGCCGCTCTCCAGGCGATGATGGAAAAGAACAACACCCTTACCACCAGGTACAACTTCCTTCAGCAGGAATACAATCAGGAATTGCAAAACAGCAAGGCGCTCCAGCAACGTCTTAAAGAGAGGCAACAACCGGCAAAGGATAACAACCCGACGACGACTCCCAAACGCGGCATGGTTAGCTCTCTCCGTGATGGCTTCGACGACGACGATGTAATGGCCATCTCCCCATCGAAGTCTGGTCGGCGCTCAAAGCCCCAAACTCCTCCTGCTGCCAACAAGAGGAAGCGGAAGGCCGATGTCCCGAGTCCTGTCAAGCCTCTGGTGCTCCGACCCCCTAGCACGATACCTCCTGAGTCACCGCCGCCACCGCAACCACAACCGGTGCAAGTTGAGGATCAATCGATTACCATTGTCCGAACCGACAAGCAGGCTGAGCGGAATTTGCGCTTCCTACAAGATCTTCTGGAGTACCGGGTCAAAGGGCAGACATTGATTGAAGCCCTGGTTGGATTCTCATCTCCAAGCAATCCATCCAAGACGTTCTCAGTTATCCTACTCGAGAGGACAGCGCGTCTTAAAGGCCCTGATCTTCCTCGTGATGTCCTGCACATCCTCATTGACCTTTGGTCTAAATCGTTGAAGGAAGAGTACTACAAGCCTGTTGCTTTACTTACCCAGATTATCAAGCACGTCATTGAACTCGACCTGTCTGTTCTTGACGCAGACACGGTTGCTCCTCTTGCGCTAGTTCTCCAGAATTCCGCGTACATCAATGCCAGAACACGCTTCAAGCACTCTCCAGTGAACCCTTCCACCTTTGGAGAGGTGCGCCAGACTCCTCAGTCTCTGTTGAACCACGACGTCAATGGGACAGCTTGCATGGAACTGCTTCTGACGATTGCATACGCTATTTCCGATGAGCCAGACCTTCTCTCGTTACTCTGGCGCGAAATGCCTCCGGACTTCATCTTAATGATGCTTACCGTATGGCAGCCGGTTGCAGACATCACAATCATGCTCCAATTGCTTGCCACCAGCACTTTCCCTTCAACATTTGGTAGCATCTGTGTTGATGATTCACAGGAGTATATGGAACACCACTTGCTGACCCGCATCTCTTCCCTCCTTTGGGAGATCCCTAAAGTGGATGATGGGCTTCCTCCCAACACCTCCGAGGATATCTGTCAATTGCGGGTCGAGGTCATGAATCTATTGATCAACATTGCCATCGGATCGTCTCCGCATCCGCACGATGATCAGGCTCACCATGGCAGCCAACTCATTGCGAGCCATCCAAGCGCCATCGGACGTATTGTCCGTAGTCTGTACGACGAGGTCTCGGCAATGTACGAGCTCACGCCCTGTCACGCTCTGCATGCAGAGATTGTCAACAAAGGTGTTCACTTGCTCTACCACGTGTTGCAGCTTCAGGGCGCGAAGATCAATCTCCAAGAGAAACTGTCGGTGGTCAATGGCGGAGTCCACAAACATCGCGTCGTGCTGACCAGACTGGCGTTCTCCGAGGGCTTCTATATCGACAAGTTGATCCACGACGAGACCGTCGCAATGGCAACGAGTATGCTCGAGGAGAGCGTTACGCCAGATGAGGCCGACGAGTTGATCGAGGCTTTCCCAGGCTTCAAGGGGCGAAGCGGCGGTATGGTGACCGAATGAGCATGACATGATCCTGAATGCTTACAGCATGAGGGGTAATGACGACGACGATCTGGTTTTATAACCCATCACGGATAAACAGGGGCAGGGTTGCATAGCAAAGAGGCAGTATCTGTCGCTTTGGACTTGGAAGGAAGGGGAATTGGATGATGGGTAGGGCAGTCTGCGGCGTCCTTGTGTCGTATGAGACGGCACGACGACCACGAGTGTCTAAGATATCGTGTTAAAAGCATTGTTTCAGCGTGTGAGCCTCGCATGACCAACGTAAGAAACTGGATTTCACGGATCGCAGGGTTGCAGTCTTACACAACCACCTTGGGTTTATGTTGGCAAGAGACTCCCTCCATGTGTAGCAAACGCCTTGCTGGCGCCATTAAGATTAAGGTTAAGGTATCGTCACAAGCATTATCTCAGATAGATTTTATATCCAGTTATCATCGTCATCACTCTGTGCCGGTCTACGTCGGGATCCGTCTTGACTCGGTAGGGACTGAATCGTATAGGGCAAATCGCCACCTTCACTATCTCTCGTCAAACGAATCACGTTCCTGTTGGAGGGTCCGCTTCGCCGGGTCCTTCGCGACCGTGAAGAGAGCCTGGAGTGCAAGGATTCGTGGGACGACGCGGAATGCAGATTCGGTCGGGATGCGGCAGACACCATGAGCGAATTCGACCCCAGGGTGAGTCTGGAGCGGGAGCGAGATATCGTGGTTGGCGCAGTGCGGAGCGAACGTGCGTCTGTGTCCTCTTCTTGGTTGTGCGCATGGTCGTGCTCTTGTTCGAGGGACGAGAGTGACGGCGCGGCAGAGTCCTCGGAGATGCGCCGTGGAGGAGGTTGGTGATGGCGCACAGACCCAGAATTCGAGAATGTAGATGCGGCAGATGAGGTTTCGGGATCAGGGGGCCGCTGGTGTAGGCCGTGGCTCGACACACTGGAGGCTTCAGACAAGGTCGGCTCGTAGGACGAGGCGTCGAGATCAAGCAGCTCGGCGTTCACAGGAGCCATATTGCGGAGCAGCTCGGCAAACATTCGCATCAACGCCTGGAAATCCCCATCAGTCAGCGGTTTGGAGGAGAACCGAGCGCGTTCGTAGGCCGCCAAAAATGCCGCGGTGAGCGGCGTGTCGGGGACCACGCCAAGGTCTATAAGATGTCTCAAGTACGGTCGCATGCCGATAGCCTCGGGGCGAGCGAGTTCATCGATCACACGAGGATCCGGCATGGGCGTGCCATCTGGACCGGGTTCGGCCCTTGGGTCGAGAGGCGCAAGACTAACAGCCTTGGCTTCGACAAGGTCGGTCAACTCGTCCACGACAGTAGCGTACTCGAGGTTGGGCATCTCCTTGAACGCCGGGGAGGACCAGCCCGGATGAGCTATCTCCCCCCACGGCGGCTCCATATTCTGATCGGTGTATGCTGGCGAGTTGGTCAGGGCCAACATCCTGGCGCCTGCGGTCTCGGTTTCGTGCTCAATCCTCCGGCTTCGTGGCCGGGCCTGGTACGCTATGACTGCACTTCGCTCCAGACAGTCCTGTATCAAACGGTGGACTCGTTTTCCGGGCAAGTCCTCCTTTTCAATGGGCAGAAACGTCTTCGGGATGTCCCTAAGCACCGAGCGGTTTGTGTAGAGGCGGGAGGCATACATCAATGCGGCGATCAAGGCGGTCAAGACATAGGCGCCGGTGATGAGGAAGATATCCAGCAGCCGGTGCCGCTTGTAGGATTCATAGATGGCATCGGCGGGGGTGAAACAGATGAAGCCGACCAAAATTAAGAAGACGACTGTGAATGAGGTGCTATAGAAGATGCGGAAGAGGACCTGGCGCGCTTGTGGCATGTTGACGACGGCGGCGCCAGCCTCATCTTGGTTGGGAGATGATCATGTATCCAATGGTTGTACCATGACGGGGCGGTAACATTTAAGAAACGGCCTAAGTGTTTGAGGCAGAATTGTCTCTGATATTGATGTTCAGTGTTCAGATTGGTACTCCGTAGTCAACGACGTCCCGATTTCATGTCACGTGCAGTCACATGACCACGTTATCATCCGTACCTCACCATTGGTCGTTGGTCATTGGTCGGCGAGTCCAATTGGTGAGATTACGTGTACGCTGCGCTCGGTACGTACTGCCACTTTGGGAATTTGGTCGTCTTGGTCGGTAAAAGGTAGTATCTCGCACACACATGTACCGACATGACACTCATCCTGGATCGATGTCAGCTCCCTATACCTAGTAGGGATGGATGTGTCCAGATACGGATACGGATAAGTCTCTCTAGACCTCTGACGCCCAACCAAAAGATCTAGACGTGGCATCCGAAAAGGGATACTGCTTGTCTTTGATACCGGACAATGAATTGCGTGGTAGATTCTCGAACACCGAACAGGGATAACTTATGATATACTGCAGCATTGCTAGTCTCAAGACCTCCTAGGATCACTAGTAGTGCGTTATCTTTATATTGTGGAATCTCGAAACGGATATTCCTCGTCTTGGGAGCAAGTCATCCAGGATTCTACCGGGCTATGCTGTGCTGTGCTGTGCTAACTCTTCCTCAATCTCAATGGATGTTCAGAACTCCAATCGAATCGATGGAGGAATAAGTTACTACTACTATGTAGATAGTATGTCTAGACTCAGCCACTTGGCTGCAGCTGGCGTGCTTACATACCTGTGCTGTGGACGGAGGCCCCGTGCCTAATTAGTGTACTGTACCTCTGAGCGACAAAAGGCCATCCAATGCCCATCCATCCAGGCACACTGGTCATTTGTTAGCGTTTGGTATAGTTAGAGTTGCAGTTACAGCCACGCTATCAGGCATGGTCATGATCCATGAAGGGAAGGAAAGAAAGGGAAGGGAAGAAGGGGGTTTGAGCAGAGACTAGTTCCCTTGTGTATATATATAGAGTGCGCTCATGTATGGGAGTCAGGCGTTGATGTTCATGTTTCTATCTCCGTATCAGAGACACAGACACCTAGCCCTGAGCGAAACCACCGTCACTGTCCAATCCATCCTCAGCCCTAGATAGCTTGAACCGTCAGCAAGGACTAAACGTCGATATCAGAGTCGCAGAAAGAGCACACACACGCAGCAACGCACACGCAGCTGCATATCTACCACACCACCGTCAACGCAGTCGGAGAAAGAGAGGAAAGAAAGAAAAGAAAAGATGCCCAAGACCACCGACAATCCTCCAAATCCAGCCAAACGCGATCGAACAGTGCCACCCGGCGTCCTAGACCCCGCCCGCCGCACGATCATCAACAAAAACACCGGCGAGATCGTCACCTGGAATAAATATGGATACGAGACCGCCGGTGAGGCAGGCATGGCCACCGCCACCTGCCTCCCTGGCGGCGGGCCCCCTCTGCACTACCACACGTCGTACAGCGAGCGGTTTCAACCTGTCGACGGAGAGCTGGGTGTGATATTGGGCGACAGCGGGCCAAGACACCTGATGCCCGGTGAGGGCGCCGACGTGCCCATCGGAGTGCCACATCGCTTTTTCAATGACTCTGACAAAGAGGTCGTATTTAAAGCTTGGGTGTTGCCCGCCCACGCCGGGTTCGAGCAGAGTTTGTACATCATGTTCGGGCTCAACAGCGACGGGCTGGCCGATCCAGAAACCGGCATGCCGTATAGTATCTTGCATACTGCCGTGGTCGCCGACTTGGGAGACATGAGATTTCCGGGTTTCAAGGGAGGAGTCGTCAATTACTTCATCAGAGTATTGGCGGCGTATGCCAGGTGGAGCGGCATCGAAGAAGAGTTGTTGACAAAGTACTGGGACTAGACGAGGCTGGCCTAAGGCTCGATACGGTGGGTTGGAAGTATGGTGTCTAGAAGAACTCCGGGGCATGTTTGATAATGGTATCGAATTTCTCATACCACATTATGTCGTTCTAGCTCCCGTCGTTAGCGATCAACTGCCCTGCCGGTACCACCAAGTCCGCACAGCGAGCTATCATCAGTTTTCTTGACAGATTCGGCATTGATTCAGCCGTACCTTGCATCGTCGAGACAAACACCCAGACTCATGTGATCCGTCATCATTCAGCGTTCAGCCTTTGGTCTTGGTGGTCTCAGGCCCCGCCAAAATGGTCGCCATGCTCTCTCAACGTCACCTTCCACGCCTTTCTCCTCTCCCTTGCCTCGCGCTCCATCCTCACCCTCTTCTTCCGCTCATATACGGCGCGCACCGTCTGTTTCGTCACATCGGCGCCTTCTTCGAAATTCGCTTTCGCTAGCGCCACCACGTCGTCAATCTGCTCAGGGGTATAGACAAAGTTCCAGGTAGACATATAATCTGTCTTGTCCGGATCCACTCCTTTGACTTTTGGGTTCGGGATTAGGGGGAAGTAGACAACTGCTAGGCCAGCTTCAGGGTGCATCAGGTGGAACGTCGAATCATCGAGGTCATCCCAGGCGAGACGTTTGGATGGCGGTGGTTCTCGATCAATAGATCGTTCGGCCTTGGTCCCAACCCACACATTGCATGCACCTAGAGTGGTCTCTGCATCGGGCCTTTGCCCAGTTGTCGGGCTTTCTGGTGCATTGCTGCCGATGGATCCAGAAGCTTTTGCCTCTCGGCTTCCTTCTCGAGCTTCAGCCACTTTGGTGGCCGCTTCCTGTGCCGATGTTGCTTGCGCTTCCTCCAAAGCCAAGGCATTTTCCTGTGGTTTGGATGAGGCCTGGGGCCATCCAGCCCCGACTGGCCAGCCTTTCACGCCGCGTTGTTTGGCATAGCCGTCAACGACAGAAAGCCAATTCTCCCGCTGAATGTCTGCAGAGGCGTCGAAAGCAATGAGAATTTCGACGTCTCGCCCCGGTCGCAAAAGTGGGTAAATTGGTAAGTTATTACTCATTCCAGCGTCCATGAGTTGAAGATGACCATTTTTGAACACAGAATCCGGACATGTGGACGGGAGTTGATCTTTCATACCGTAAACAAAGTTTGGAAACGTCGCTGGGTCGATTGGGTGGATCTTCATCAGGTCGTCGTTCTTTTCCTCCAGGAGACCATCCAAGCCTCCAAAGCCAACGATGCCGACCAAGGCTGGTTTGATCTCCTTGTAATAGTGCGACAATGTGGCACAGAACGCGGAGCCCCAAACTCCCAAGAGAAGACTTTGACGAATTTCCGGCAAGGCCACTCCGGTGTCAAGAAGTTGATTCTGACCCTTGTTGAATGGTCTGCCTAGGCTCCATGTAGGGATCCCAGCACCAAACTCTTCACACCAGACTTCCCACGGATGCATCTCGAACCACTGAAACCAAGCTTCCTTTTGTGCTTTATCCTTGATCTCCTCCTTGAGTGCCAAGTTGTCTTTTGCTTCCTCGATCTCTTCTTCATCGACGGGAATCTCATGTCGAACAGCGGTATAGATTGGTAGTGGGTATTCGCCATTTGCGAGGTACATCCGCTGGTTCGACAGCTTCAAATCCTGATCATGAACATCCAGGTCGCCATGAGGGACGAGAAGCCGAGCAGCGAGCAGAAGGCTGTAAACGTCAACCAAGCCGAAGGATGCGCCGGGGTCGCCCTTTATTTTCTCGATGAAACCACTGAGGATGAACTTGTTCGTCGGGGCGCTCGTGACCAATTTCAATGCCGCGGGAGGAAAGGCAATGTGAGTCCCTAGGCGTGCCTTGAGGTGCTTCAGGAGACTTCTGAAATCCTGTTTGCCGAGCGAAGAGAAGAAGAGCGACTGGAGCCAACAACTTCCACTCACTCCGGCCATATAGGTCACGCAGTCAAAGAGTCCAGCATCCTGGGCACTCAAATAGCTGCTTGTCCCGGCAACCATTGCTCGCAAGCCACCTCCGCTTCCGCACATAGCAATGGTAGGGACATCATCAGGGTGGATCTCTGTCTCGTTGATGTCCAAATATTTTGCCAAAGCCTTCACTACACGCTCTTTCCTCTTGCGGCGGAACTCGAGTTCATCGGGACCCAGTGTGTCCCCCACCCGGACTGTGGCATTCCACAGAATCTCGGGATTGATCTCTGGATCGTGGGCCTCTTGCCATATTTCATCAGCCAGAGAGCCTGGCTGCATGGACAGTTCGAGCTGTAATTTTTGAATTCCCTCTGGGAGCAGTTTGGCCCAGCTGGGTAGCACAAAGTCGGTGATCTTGTCGGGGATGGAACTCCACTCTATGCTCGCAATGCCCTCCCTGAAGTTTTGAAAGTTCCGGGAGAAGACGGCCCATGAGTTCTCATCGTCCGGTTCGAAAGCAGGGGTGTAGTGTTCAAGATCGTTGGCTTTGCCGATGGGCTGGACATCGCCGGGTGTGGCGGCATGCTTGGCATCTTCAGCTTGGGCGCGGTCGTTTTGCTTGCGACGAGTATAGGACACGAGAGAGGCATCTTGAGGAATGTGAGTGCCCGATGGACTGTCGAGCCTGACCAGAGGAGATCTTCGTGTGGCGCTGTGAACTCCAGCGCAGGCAGCCGCGAGAAGAGCTGTCTGGCGCAGACGAGAAGAATTGAGGAGTCTTGCAGCGCCCATAGCGACCCAAGCGCTGCAAAAGAAGCGTGTCAACAGATGTCGAATTCCATACTCTGTATTGAGAAGCAAGCTATATGTCACATTCAAGATTTGATTCAATAGTGTCCCTTCCGGTTTTGTTGAGGCCACCCAGCCGCAGCTGCGAATCGATGACGTCGGGGAACGCGCCGCTCCCGGTTCCTGAGCTAGCCCAGATAAAGTAACTATTGGCGATCACGAAGTATCTCTACTGAACCTCATACTCCGTAGTATCTCTATTGCAACCTGAACAGTGTCTAACCACCACCTCCAATTGTTTGTCTCCTCCATACACCCTGGACCAGGAAGTAGGGAGTATTCTAACACACATAGCATAACCAAATGAATCAAGTTTGATGGACAGATGATCTCAACAGCATCACCGTGACGCGTCCCCGCGACGTCCTTGTTGACATCAGGCCAGATCCTGACCGGAGCTTATTAGTGGATTCGATTGTGCCCTGGACGGTGGAGCAGCTCACTTATTACATGTTTCCCGTGCACAATGGCGGCCCCCCGAAGTGCAGCGTTTGCGGAGGAGAGTGCAGAAGTGGAAGTCCTAATAGCTTCGCTGGCGAAGACCAAGGACTTGACCAAGCGGATCGCGGCCAGTCTGGCACGGTTGGACGTCAGCGGCAAGATTGTCAAAGAGGCCATCGGACCAATCTACAGCAACACGCAACAACTGCAAGTCACCAGTCGGAATATCGAAAAGGTCAATGAGGCCATTGAAAGACTCCGGCAGCCACTCGACGCGCGTGGGCGAGAAGAAGGGATCATCCGGGCCGGCCCCAAAAGCTCGGGGCTGCCGCAGTATCTGGGTGCATTGCGACGTGTCGACAAGGCTTTGACCGACTTGAGTTCGACCAACCTGAGGTCCAACCAGCAAGCGATATCTGAGTTCCACAACCTGCTCTTGACGGGCGTCAACCAGCTGAACGATACGTATCGGCAGATGCTCCAAGAGAATGCTCAACCGATCGAGCCTCTCCATTACATTACCAAACAAGTACCGTTCCCCACCATACCCCAGGACAAGGTCCAATATCTCAGCCAGATGGCGAGTGCAATTGCCGCCGCCGGAGCCCAGTCGGCCCGGTTGGGCCAGCGTGACGAGGATGCCGCCGCGCGGATCTACGCCGAGATCAGAGGAGACTACCTCCAAAGCAGCCTTCAAAATCTAGCCACTGCGTCCATCAGCACTTCGAGACGGCGGGAAAATGATTCGGCCGTGTACCGTGAAGGCTCGAGTGGGATCGGCCCGTACGCCAACGCGATGGAAGCCATGTTCCTTGCCGAAGCGGAGAATACGTCTCGAATCTTCCGCAACGACGCCGGCAAAGTGCTGTCGATGACCTGCGCCAAAGCCCTGTCCACCTTCACACGCACCCTGTCGGAGCTGAACAGCGTGATCAAATCGCGCATCCTGACCGACTGTTTCCTTGCATATGAGATTCTCGACCTCGTCACTCCGCTGAGCTACCGACTCGAATCACGCACTGGACAACTGAGGCCTCAGATGGCCGAGGCGCTTCGGCCGGTGCGCGAAACCGCGCGCTCCTCGCTGAGCGAGCTGATCAACCAGACCAAAAAACAGGCCGAGGCAATCACCACCCTCCCACCCGACGGGAACACGGTCCCACTCGTTTCGCAAACCGCGCAACGTCTGCAGAACCTGGCCACGTTCGACCGGCCGCTTCTCGTGCTGCTGGCGTCGATTGGCGACGGCAAATGGCGGTCCACGCCAGGAGCCATGTCCTCTCAATCCAGCCTCAACCTCGAACTCACTCCTTCGACCGAGAACCCAACGCTCCTGTCCAAATACCTGCTCGACATCGTGGACACGCTCCTCACCGCCCTCAACGCCCGGTCAGGGAGCATCCACTCAAAGAAATCGCTGCAGGGCATCTTCCAACTCAACAGCGTCGCCGTCCTGATGCGCGCCGTCCAGTCCTCGCCCGATCTGACCCGCTACTTGGGCATCAATCCACACAACGCCAAGCTCGACATGTTCCGCAAGTCCGGCTCGTCGCTGTACCTCTCCGCCTGGCGCGACCCGTCGACCTATCTGATGGATACTATCCACACGTCGGGCGCGGCCCGGCCGCTTTCCGGCCAAGCCATCGACAGCTCGAGCATCATCAAATCGCTGTCTTCCAAGGACAAGGACAAGATCAAGGAGAAATTCAAGCTCTTCAACGCCAGCTTCGACGAGCTGGTCGTGCGGCATAAGTCGCTGCACATGGAAAATGAGGTCCGCAGCTCCATGAGCCGCGAGATCCAGGCCATGATCGAACCCATGTATGCGCGCTTCTGGGATCGCTATCACGAGGTCGATAAAGGGAAGGGTAAGGTTGTCAAGTACTCCAAGGGTGAGCTGTCGGCGATGCTGGCGAGCCTGTGAGCAGCACGGCAGAGCGCAACAAAATACAACATGGCACGGTACGATACGGCATATTGATATTCCGTCAGGTAGGACGAGGTCGACAAAGGGAAGGGCAGGGGAAGGGTAAGGTTGTCAAGTACTCCAAAGGGGAGCTGTCGGCGATGCTGGCCAGCCTGTAAGCAACACAACAAGCACGGCAGACCGCAACAAAACACAATATAGCACTGTACGGGACGGGACGGTACATTGATATTCCGTCTGGTAGGCCCAATACAGCCTTGCGTGAGGAGGCGCAAGTGAACGGCTGTGTTCCGACGTGTTCGGTCTGTATATATATACACATACATAGGTAGTCTGGTCCCGCGGAGTGTATTCCAATATCCGATCCGAAAACGCCACCGCTCTTACTATAATAACAGTAGTAGTAGTAAAAGTACGAGGAAAGCATCCCCATGTCGACAACGTCCAACCCTTTGCCATTGCTGGTTGCCAACAACCAGCCGTGCGCAGAAAATAAGAGCAACCCGAACCCCTGTGATAGACAATCCAGTCCAGCCCGACTCGACCCCGCTCCGCCCAAAAACCCAAGAGCACGCGTTTTGGTTTCGTGAACATAGTAGGGTCATGCAGAGTGCGCCAATGCCAATGCCAATGCCAGTGCCAGAGAAAAGCAAACGTCGATGTCAATGTCGATGTGCGCCAAATCGAAACGCCCCAGAAGGAAAGAAGCAACCTCCCTCCCCTAAGCAAGAAGTCGTAGGAAGCGAATGCACATGCAGGCAACTGCACAGTGTCAACAGTGCCAACATAGTGACAGTTACAAAGACGGTCAGGTCACGGGCCGCGGAACAGCTCGACAACCGCCCTCTCGTCCCGCTCTCTATCCGGGTTGAGGATGAAGCGGACAGTGCCTTCGCGGCCGCGCTCACCTGCGCGCTGTCTCACGCCGGGGGTTGCCCCAGGGACGCTGGTGGCGGCGGTGCTCCCGCTGCCGACCCCGGAACTGCTGTTCGTGCTGGGACTGGTGAGGGCGTCCTTGGGGCTGACGTTCTTGCTGGAGCCGCGGGAATGCGAGCCGTTCGCTTTGCCAGTCCCGTTCAGCCCGGCGGCGGGGCCGTAGCCGAGGGGCGCGTCGCGGCCGGCCGTTTCGACCCAGGCCGTGTACCGCGGCAGGTTCCTCTCCTCGGACTCGAGGTTCAAGGGGATGCGGACTTCGAGAAACGTATCGACAGGGAAGTCGGGCCCCACCGCCGTCGAGGTGCGGTGGTGCGTGTAGAGCTCGAGCAAGTCGAGGAGGGTTTCTGCATCGAGGTACAAAGCGAGTTAGCTTTCGCGGCTCGTCTCATTAAGTCTCATATACCGTCATCTCGGGATCTCTGCAACATTGACATGACGGCCGAAACTGCATTGCATTACAAATACGTACCCATCACCATTCCCCGATCGATCTTCCAGGTCTGATAGTCTCTGCCCCGCCAAATGTCTTCGTGCTCTTCGCCGAGCAGCCGTCCCGCGAGCTCGAGGCACGCAAAGGCCATAGTCGCCGTCTGCTGTTTGAGCGGCGCGAATGTGCGGTAAAGGTCGAGCGTCATGACGTATGCAGTTTTGAGGACGGGCGAGGTTTTGGGGAAATGGTAGAATTTCGCCAGCTTGATCATGAATTCCTGCGGGTGGCGGTTGCGGAAGTCGAAGCCCGAGGCTTCAAGCATGAGGCGTTCAAGGCCGATTATGGTGCGTGATTGGTGTTCGAAGACCTGATGCAGACGATTTGTCAATGGCCCGCACCTCAGCGGCGAGGACTGGACAGAGTCGTAGCCGTACGCACCTGATCGTCTGGAGACAGATGCTCCTGGCGAGGAACTTTTAGATTATGCGCTGCGCAGAGGATGTCTCGTGACTTTTTGAGCGTGTCCTCGATTTTGCAGGCGGTAAATAGTGCTGCGGCTGCTGCGTCCTGAATGGCGACGTGTCAGACGTTCAACTGGACGAGGCGTGTAAGGCCGAACTTACCACAAAACTGTACTCGCCGTCCGAGTGTTGCAGGCGAAACTTGTGGTAGTAGACCACCGCCGCGTTGAATGTTTTAACTGGCCTGTGTCCATAGTGAGCAAGTGGACTTAGCGGCTCAGAGCGTGGCACAAGTCCATCACGAGGGCTGCTTCACGTATAGGGTACAGGCGTATAGGCGGGACATGTTTCCAGGAAGCACTCACAATTTCAACGCTCGTCTGACATTGTCGATCCACTGCACACCGGCCAGTCTGATGCTGTCTTCTCTGGCCTGGGTGACGCCCGTCTCACGCAGCGAGTTCTGGATCTCCTGCTCAAAGACATAACTTTTGGCGACCTGAACAAAGTTTCGCAGCGGAGCGTTGCGCCTCGTCGTCGTCGTCGTGGTTGTCTCACCGCTTCCGGCCCCGTTCATGGTGGACTGATGATTGTGAGGGTCTATGCCACCACATTCGCACTGTGTGTCCCAGGGTGCTTCGTAATCCGAGGCAGACTGATGAGCGGGTGGTGTAAAGGTGTAAAGCGCACTTCAAGTTGCTGAACTCGAGCCGAGCACCGCTCTTGCCTCTCGAAGACCGAAGACTCGGAGCCGGAGAAACTCATCGGGCTTGGCAGGCCGGTCACGTGTCGACACAGCGCAGGCGCAGGCATTCAAGTTGTTGCTGCCACCACCTGCTACACCACTCTCCTTGGAGGGCAAGGCACAGATTACTTTAGTCTTCCTTTGTGCGAGAGAAAGGGAAAGAGGGTAGTAAGCCAGGGACCAGGAAAAACCGACAACACTGGCACTGGCAGCATTGGTAGGGAGGTTGCTACGTGGGTATGCCCACTTGCACAATAAGGACATCACAGACAACGTACAGAACACACTGATGAAAACAGGTACAGGTGGTCAATATGGTATTCATGGTTTCTAAAAACATCTCCACCATAAGATTATCGAGACCCCCTCCCGTATGCTCCTGGCCATACCACTCCAGTCGTAGATTTGAGGCATTGGGTATTCATTGAGATCCGCATGCTCGGAAAAGCAATGTAACGAGAGTGGGTGATGATGATACAGCTCTCATGATCAAACCATGCGAGCAGATTGTGGCAGCTCTGAATTGCTGCAGTCGTCCCATCGGCGCGGGTCCGAGGGAAAGAAACCATCAAACCCATCGTCGGACCGTCGCCGGCTATGAGTCGGTCTTGGAATCCACTTTCTTCACTTCCCGCTCAGCCTCAGCCTCACCCCCATCGTCTTCTCTCGCTCGCTTCTTTCCAGCGGTGGCTTCTGCATCCGTCGTCTCAACATTAACCGCGGCCTGCTGTTTCTCCACGTCTTTCTTGGTCTCAGCCTCAACGGCAGCTTTTGCTTTGGCGAGTGCGTCGTCCCGTCCGCTGTCACGGCTGGGTTTCGGGGTATCCTGTGCTGATGACTTGACGGTTGGAATCCCTCTGTCAACGGATTAGCCTTGCCCTCGCCACTCGCTCGACCGAGAAGCAGAAACTTACCTGTCGTTTTTCTCAGGTCCATTGTTTCGGCCGCCCCGGCCTCCCTTGAAATCACGGTCTCGATTACCACGTTTCTTATCATCCCGGAAGCCTTGCTTTCGGTCTTCATCTCTGCGTGTTCTCCAATCTCTGGAATCCTCCTCGTCGCGCTTCCGCTTTCCATCCCGGCCACCGCGATCATTTCTGCGGTTCCTCTCATGCTTGTTGTTGGGTCTGATCTTCCCTGCTTTGATGTCTTCCACCTTTTTGTCGCAATACTCCTTCTTGCTCATGATCTGAAGATCCTTGCCCTTGAATTTGGGCTTGGGGTCCAGGTCGAGAAACGCTTGAGCCAATTCCTCCGTCTCGAACTCTACAAAGACACTGCTCTTGAATATCTTGTCTTCAGTACGTCGTAGACGGACGGCATTGGTGGGGCCATATGGAGCGAAGAAAGCTTCAATGTCAAACTGAGTGCTTGGGACTTCCTCGCCGAATCCTTTTGCGTAGACAGTGCGTGGCATAGCACGGTCTTCAAAGATTCGGACTGCGTTGGGATCGGGCCCGTTGTTGAGACTCTCCGGCAGTGGCTCTCTGCGTCGAACAGAGGTGTCATCGTCGGTGAGTTCGAGAATTTTCGATTCTCGCAGGGCCTCGACAATCGCCTCGAAGGGCTGGAAATGTCGCATGCGTTTGAATGAATGTATGACTGTCAGCTCGACAGGATTGTTCTGGCTTCCGCCAACTTTCGAGAGGAGGAACTTGTCGTGGGGAAGGTTAGAGTCGGAGAAATAAAACTCGACCTGAGAAAATCAATCAGCTCCTCAATTCACCTAGGTCTCATCAGATGGGCAGTACCTGTTTACGGATGGCAACCGGGTCGCTGCTTGTTTCTTGCAGAGTCACGTCCGATTTGATGTTATCCCGGTAGTTGCGAGAGCCATGGCCATTCTGGCCACCGCGACCGCGGCCCCGACCACTGAACTCAGACCGATCTCGACGGTCCCGGAACTTGTCTGAGGTATCTCTCTTTGCGGCAGAATTTTCTGTCTCGGTTTTGCTCTTGGACTCTGTTGTAGTCGTTTCCCCTTCAGCCGCTTTGGACTCGGTGGTGCCATTTGTTCCCGTCGACTCTTCCTGGGTCTTGGTCTCGTTCTCGGTCTCGCCTTGCAACTCCGCTAACAGGGCTTTGGCGTCTTCCGCTGCCTGTGCATTTTGGTCGACCGGAGTCTGCAGCGCATCTGTCACCGCTTCTTCGACAGACATCTCGATGAGGAACAGCTAGACTGCTGCAGGTTCAGGTCGAGGGTTGCCAAAGAAGTCGCGTGCTTGAGGCCGGTGGCACAGCGCTTGAATGAACGCAGAAGACCGCAATGTTCGAACCAGACAGACACCAATTACGTAGCGGAATGGAAACAGGTGCAACAGGACACTTGGAAATTGTATATGCCCGTGCCCGTGAACAGCTTGGAAGAGTTTGCTGGACTTTCTCCCAGAGCAAAATCAAATGCCCGCAACAATGGGCAGGACGTACTAGTAGTACGACACTGCAGGAACATCCAAAAATCTCTGCGGGGCGGGAAATCTTGGCTGCTAAAACCCTTGAAGCTAGGCGATTTGCAGGACTAGTGTCGGTACTAGTGTCGGTACTAGATGAACCTGCAACTCCAGTTCCTCTCACCACTGTCCCAGTGTCCTCACGCCCACTCAGGGCCTCATAGTTCCTCATCGTCTCGTGTTCGCTTTCCAGCACAACCACTCCAGCCGCTCAAATGCCATGATCATTGGAGCCAAGTATACTGTGGTTGGCGACTGGCATGGCAATTCGATTCATGCGCGTCAGGAAGAGGGCGAATTTGTCAATTTGACTATTTCATGCCCTCAACTAACAAGTCTCTGTATCTAGTATGTGCTGCTCATGACTGACAAACGGCCGCCATCGGTGACGAGGATCAATCCATTCGAGTAACTGCCGGCGCGACTGCTCAAATACAGAATTGCCCCGGCCATTTCCTCGTCGCCTCCGAAACGGCGGGCGGGGATGAAACGCTGGTCATCAACAGGCTCTTCCTCGGGTTTGCGGGACTGAATAAGCACCGAGGCCAGTTCTGACGGATAGACTTTTTCCGGGGAAGTCAGTCAAGGTTCTTGCCAACCGCATTCAGAAGGAGAAAAAGAAAGAAAAAAAAACTTACTACCGGGAGCAATGGCGTTGACGCGAATGCTAAACCTGGCCAGCTGGGTGCTGGCATGCTTGGTGATCTGCATGACGGCGACTTTGCTGGCCAGATAGGGCGGAGACGAGGACCAGTGGCGGCTGAAGGCCGTGATACTGGTGGTGAAGATGACTTGGCTCTGGATGGACGGCACATCGCTGTTGTCGTGGATGGGCCGGCCGAAGCCGCCGCGGAGGGCGTTCTGGGTGCCGGCGTCGAGCAATTCGAGAAAAGCCATCATGGTGAAGAAGGCGGCGGTGATGTTGAGATGGAGGGCGTCGGTCATGCCTTGGGTCGGGTAGTCGGTGAAGAGGCTTTGGCGCAATTCGGCCACAGAGGCGGCCGGGTTGAAGCGCACGGGGGGTCCAATGGTGCCCGAGTTGGCCACCACCAAGTTGACATAGCCGACCTCGGCCTTGACGCGATCCACGGCCGCCTGGAGGTCCTCCTTGGACGTGACATCGCACTGTTGGGCCACCAGGATGCCGGGGAACTCGGCCGCCGCCGCCTCGAGCACCGCCAGCCGACGACCCAGCAGGTAGACCTTGTGTGCGCCGTTGCCAGCCAGAGCTCGCGCCATGGTCAGGCCAATCCCGCTGCCACCGCCGGTGATGACGGCCACAATGCCATCCACGCGGAAGATGCTGCTGGAGTCGATGGCAGCAGCCGTCGGGGTCGTCATGACTGTGGTTGATCAAGGACAGGCAGGAGTCGCTTGGGCAGATAAGAGATGGGTAGAACTTGCGGAGTGTAATATTGAATCTATGTTTGGGTTGCTTGATTGCAATGCACACTTATATATACCTACCTTTATTTCTCGAGACCATCATGAGTGAATGTTTAGATATGTAAGCAGGAGGAGGCAAAACATGGCATGTTCATTTAAACAGATCGCATCCATGCCATGGCATACCATGATAGGGTTTGATGGCGGCCGACAGTATACAATCGGCGGCCGCCGCTAGTAATCCGGATACGGATACATCCACTAGAATGAGACAATTGGATTGTGATTGGATTGGATTGGGACGGAAGGGTAATCGACGACTAACTCCGTTAAGCGGCGCAGGGCTGTAAGGCTGTGGCCCTCCTGGGACCCGGGCGTTGGCTGTGCTAGCCAGTTTCTCGATTATCAATCAATCAATCAATCATGTTAGAAGACTGAAGACTCACTCCAATATCTCCCCTCTCAACCCGAAACTTAAGAGGCCGCCGTAACATGATGGTGGCGGCCGACAACCCATCCAAAGCGGCCAACGTGTGCGCAAACTGCAAGGCACGCAAGAAACGATGCGACAAAGCGCTGCCCCGTTGTCGTTACTGTACCGAGTATGATTCCCTTTCCACTTAAAAGTCTATATGCATAGACCTAATCTGCTGCTGCTTCTTCTAGCCATGATATACCGTGTGTCTACCATTATCATCATCATCACCGCCCCCATCGTCAGACCTCCCGTCCATCGACCTTTACGGTAGGAGGAGGAGGAGGTCTTGTTAGCCTTGTCAACAACCCCCCGGCCCCGGTAGCACCATCGTTCGCCGAGCAGGACAGTCCTTTCCAGAGTAATAGGAACCCGGTCGTCGGCGGAGGCGGCTTTGATGCACTGCTGCGGCGGCCGCCGTCGCGGTCAGCGCCGGAGCCTGGCACGCTGTTGTGCGACCAGGTCCTGGGCCTACTCGAGGCCACGGGCATGTATCTCGACGAGATCAGCGTAGGATACTTCCAAGGGGGCATTCACTCCGTCGTCCCCATCATCTCACGCCGCCGATTCCACACCCATCTCATCTCCTTCGGTGGTGATGATGATACCACCCGCCTCCGCCGCCGCCGCCCCAGAGCCGAATTTGCCCTACTCTTGCTAACCATGGCGCTTCTGCTGGTTGGGGACGAGTCGGTAGATCACCCAGCCGCTAAGTTAGCTGATCATCATCTATGGCGGCGACGGCGGCGGCGGCCGCTGCCACAACAAATCGATCGTACGAAGCTCTACCTGGCCATCAAGTCCCTTCTGGCACAGGCACAAGCACTGCATGCCTTCGGGAGTAGTACACCCTCCACAACCCATCTCATCCAGGCCGGCGTGCTACTGGCCGTGTACGAGTATGCCAGTGGGCGGCCCGAACAGGCCTTTGTTTCGATAGGGAACTATGCCCGTATGGCGCATCTGGCTCAGTTACAGTACCCAAGTGGATCCTCCTCGTCCTCCCTCTCCTCATCCTCCTCCAGGCCTCATCGCTTCTCATCATCGAAAGACGAAGAACAAGAACAAGAAGAGATCAATATCTGGTGGGGAATCCTCATCTGTGAACGGTATGTACTGTATACACACTTGATTTTGATACGATATTTGTTCTTTCTTTCTTGTTTTTCCCCCCTTCTTCCCCTTGCCATGGTGATTCTTTACCAAGATAAAGATCCCTGACCCTGATATGTCATTGTCATTTTAGAACCTTCTTGTGTGAAATGCCACTCGTTATGGATCGACCGCCGCCGCTGGCGTCGGTGATGCCCGACCCTGATATTCCTCTACCCAAGTTGGTAGAGTCTCTGGATAGTGGTGGTGGTGATGGTGGTGGTGGCACACCAACGGTGGGAGGATTCCTGGTCGACGCCCTGGCCAGTCCACAACCAGTCCAAGTTGACAGCTTCGGCCGCGCTGCCCAAGCCGCATGGCTCCTGGATCGCCTGATCCAAAGCACAAGGCTGTCTCCAGCTGGACACATGGCCGGGGCTATCGACGTCGACGACAATGACGCCACGAATACAAAACGAGTGTATCTCGAGGAATGCGACAAGATGTTACAGTCCTTCCTCACCATTCTGATGCAGCAAACTGACAAGGACGATGACGATGATGACTGGGTTGGCCATTATTACTGTGTTGCAATTGCTCTGACGATCCGTTCATTGTTTCTACTCCATGAACATATCCTCGACCACCACGACCACCTAGGCAACAAGAACAGCAACAACAGCAACAGCAACAAGAACAACAACAACAAAAACAGCAGCAGCAGCAGCAGCAGCAACAATTCTTCCCGCTCAGCGCTGGACACAGTTACCAATATCGTCATAGATATTACGGCCTCGCACCAACATCTTTCATGGGACCAAATTGACCAGCTCCCCCCGAGTTGTTTGTATATTGTTCGGGCTGCACTGGACCACCGTCACCATCATCATCACCATCATCACAGCCAATTTGCCAGTGCTACTCTGGATGATTCACAGCTCCAAAATTCCCTCAAGCTTTTCGAATCCCGGTGGGGAACAGGATCGACGACGACGACGACGACGACGACGCTGCTGCACACTCCTTCTTCTTGGTCTTCCTCGCCGGACAGTCTCTAGCAGAGTAGATGGCCATTAGTGGAAAAGGGATAAACCGAAAGGGTCAGTCCTGTTTGTTCGTCCTTTTGTTTTTTATATACCCAGGAACCAGCATTTTTCTTTTTCCTTTTTTCTTTTCTTTTTTTAGGATACCAATACCTACCTAGTCAACTCTGGTGCCCGTTCCCGTTCCCGTTCCCGTTCCCAGACTGTTCGGAAGACCTCGGGCGTAGGAAAAAGGGCAATCCTCGACTATTAAGTCTTGAAATCCAGCTTATCATCACCATCACCACCATCGTAATCATCACCACCACCACCACCAACCGCCGAAATATATATATAAATACACACACACACACACACACACACACACACATATATATATATATATGAAACTAAATCAAACCGGTGACAACTTGGTCACGAACTCAAGGATGGCATCACTCATCTGCTGCAAGCCGGGCTCCTCGAGCGGATAGTGACCGGCATTTTCCAAGATGACGGTCTTGACGGGCACCTTTGTGATGTTACGGAGGAACAGCTCACTCAGATGCAGCGGGGTCCAGCGATCCTCGGCCGGCTGGGTCAGCAAGACGGGACAGACGTCAAAGTGCTCGGGCTCGACGGCCGGTTGGTAGGTCGAATAGGAGGCCAGGAAGCGCATCGACTGCCACGAGCCGCCTGAGGTGCGGTCGGCCAGCAGGACGCGCAGGGCAGCCGGGTCGTTGGCCAGGGCGGACATCTTGCTGGCGAGCCACATGGGCATCGAGAGGGCCTTGGCCAGTGGCACATGCTGCAGCAGCTTGGCCAGGGGCATGCCGACGCGGGCGATCAAGAGGTTGCGCGTCGTCTCGTCCGACACCTGCTGGATGCGTTGGTCGAGGAAGGTCATGCCCACGATGCCTGCCACCTTCTTGTTCTTGTTCAGCGCCGCCGCGTGGTAGGTCAGCATGCCGCCGGCACTGAGGCCGTACAGCACGATCGGCCGCGAGTCGAGCTCCAGCTCGTGGTCGATGAAATCGCTGGCAATGTCGACCCAGTCGTCATAGGAGTAGGTCACGCCCGGGGCTGCCGTCGTGCAGCCGTAGCCCGGCATGTCGATGGCGACCAGCTCCAATCCCGCCGTGTGCAGCGGGACCCCGAGGATCATGCTCATCTGCCGCCCGTTGGTGCCTACTCCGTGGTGCATGATGACCCGCACCTTGGCCGACGGGTTGCGCCAGCGGTCCAGGTGGAGCGTGTGTCCCCGGTTCATCCACCACTCTTCCACCGGGTGGTGCTCGGGGGTGAAATGGAGCCGCTTGGGCAGGAACCGCTGGACGTCCTTCCATGCCTTTTGTGACTCGTACGATTGACCTTTTACTGGCGTCGCCGAGGCGTCTTTTGCCTTTGAGCCTTGCTCTGAAGACATTGTTGTGGATATGGATTTGGATTGGGGAGGCTGGTAGCTTTTGATGTTGTCTTCAGTAGTGGTCTTGGTCTTTTGCCCTTTTAGTCTTTTCTTTGGTTTGTTCTTGAGAGGTTGCTCTGCTAGTTTACTTCAGGTGTCTTCATCCCATGAGAATAGGTTGGTTGTCGAGTAAGTAGGAAAAAACAAAACAAGAACAAGAACAAGAAGCGCCTACACTGCTCTTTATAGATAAGAGCCGTCTCACCTCCGCGGAGGCCTGCCTCCCTTCCTAGGACAGATCCTACTGTCGTGGCCGTGGGCTGCCTCCCTCGGACAGACCCTAACTGTCGTGGCCGTGGCCGTGGACAAGATGACGCATCCAACGTAATCTCAATGTCAATGGCGGGCAAGGAAAAAGGCCTCACCTCAACGGACACGGACAGTTAATCATGCCGAATAGAGTCCATTGTGGTCGACCGCTATTAACTAAATGCTTGCTTGCTGGCGAGCGTTGCTTCAGTTAGGTCTAGGTCTAGCCTTAGCCTTGTCTGTGAGTAAGCTGCGCCGATGGGAACCAGCACTAGACTTCCTAGACCCTAACCCTAACCCTAACCCTAACCCTATCCAGCATCCCTATTGCTAGACGAGGTGAGGCGCCGGAAGGAAGGGGCTTATTCATGTACCCGTTACCCTTATTCATCGCAAGTAGCAAGGCACCAGGGATCCGATTGGTGAAGCAACTATTACTTGAATCAGATACTCCGTGTTGCAACTACTTGATCAGGTAGTGCACGGCTGGCGTTGTATGGAGAACTGACTCCTGACTACCTTACGGACTTCTCTATATCTGGAATCATGTTCAGTTGCTCGAGAGGTTAGAGGTAGGTCAGAGGTAGGTCAGAGGTCGAGGTCGAGGTCAAGCCGAGATCAATTAACGTTTCTGCCCACTCGTGTATCTATAGGTAGATCTCTGTCCGACTGTATGGACTAGACTCAAGCCTCAACCTGGCAAAATGTCCATTGGCATCTACAAAACTAAACACAAACACCATCGCTAATGGCATATTACACATTGAAGATGAAGAGTATCGATATAGTACATTCTGTAACATCTCACTCTTCAACCGGCATGCTCAACAATCTCGCTGACAAGACTGCCGTTCTTGATCACACTCCGGATTTGTTCAGGGAATGCTATCTCCTTGCTGTCGTCGTCCGCGTCGTCTTTCGGAGGCAACACCACGTTGACTGCACTGCTTTTGCTGGTGAACATTTCGGTTCCTAGACTTTTGTTGGACAGGTAGATCTGCGCACCGTCCACTTGATCCAGCAGAATGGTCGGCACAACGCCGTCGACCTGCACTTGGAATTTGGTGGCTTTGATGACATCCAAACTCGACACAAGCGAATCGATCAGGATCGACAATCCAGCCGAGTTGTCGATGGAGATAGCATTGGCCTTGCCGTTGACCTTCAGTACACACTTGTTGCATTTCGAGATCAGGATGCTCTGGTTGAGTTCCGCGTTGATCTCAATCACTTCCGATTGGGTGTTTTCGAAATTCTCAACAATCCATTTGGTGCCGTCCAGTTCTTTTCGACCGGGCTTCTTGGCCCGCATGCTGTCGGGTTTCTTGTTTGGCAACGGTGATTTGCCACGTCCGGCGGACGACACCGAAGTCTGGGACGAGGACCGTTGAGGCACTTTCGACCCTGTTCGCAAAGACGGATTCTTGTGGGTCATCTCCGACTTGTCGACTTTTCTCAACCCCGCCGTGACGGCCGATCCTTGATTCAGTTGGTTGAAAACAGCCGACATGTCACCGGCTTGCCCAGCACCGCCGGCGGGCGGAAGCGGAGGGGCAGGAGCGTCATCGTCGTCAAACTTCGGCAAAGGCGGAGGTGGAGGAGGGGGCGGAGGCCCTGCTGCTTTGGCAGTGCCCGAACCGGATTGCACCTGCTTGAGGGCTTCAACAGCATCGATGCCGTCCTTGTTGTTCCATGTGAGACCGGTGGGGAAGTATTCTTTTACATATGAAGCGAGCGAGCGGAATATCTTGTAGTAGGCTTGGATGTACTCCACATGAGTTCGGTCCCTGCATGCCTGGTCAGTCACCGCAGCAATAGATGTCGCCTAGTCAGCCATACTTCTCCTTGTATTCTTTCAGGATCTTATTGCCATAGTACTGGGCTCCTCCCAGGGTATCCGTCACGAAATCCCCCGGTCTCTTCTCCACGATCCACCCTAAGGCGACAATGCCTTCGGACACGGCGCTCAGATGGACAAACAGGGGAGATGGACGATTGGCCTCTCGAATCTCATCGACGGCCGAGGTGTACCGATGAAGCTCGGTCATGAGTTCCGGGGGCTGTGGATCGGGCTTTTTGGCTTTCGTGGCCACGAGTAGGTAGGTCCGTTCGGCTTTAAATGCATCGTCGGCGGCTTTGGCCTGATCAAGGTCAGTACGGGTTTCCCTTCCCTTCCAGTTCGGTCCGGCCCACCTGTTCTTCCACAAGGCCTCCGATCTTCTCGGCAGCCTTCACGAAGGCGGACAGGTCCTCCTCAATGATCTTGTCAAAGGCTTCCACGGACTTGGGGAGAGGCTCAGGCGGAGGAGCGACCGGTTCAGGGGTAGCAGCAGTAGCGGACGGAGTGACCACAGCACCAACCAGTCCGTTTGTGGTGGTGGTGCCAGGCCCGTCTATCGAAGTGGCAATGTCTTCAAGTCGTGAAGTGGCAGCTTCGAGTCTAGCACGGCAGAGAGGTCAGATGCATATGTTTCAATGCTGAGGGTGACATGTGCCAGATGCGGCGGAGGACGTGGGTACAGGACAGGAGAGATGAGACTACACGAACCTTTTGATGAGGGTTGTCAAATTGTTCATATTGTTTTGATTCGTCATCTTGAGGGCGCCGGGGGGTATCCAACGATGTGGTTTCGGGAGGTTGAGATAGGCGTCAGCTGCCAGTGTTTAACTGTCCCAAACGGGCAGAATGAAGAACGCAGTCGCAGCGTACTGGCAGCTCAATGGCCCACCGGAATTTGTCCAAGCTGCGGTTAGACACAAAAGGATGCACCGTATTGGACAAGGCAGCCACGTGATGTTGGATCACGTGCATAAGTCGAGTCGCCCCATCACGTGGCCCATTTTTCGCAGCCTTGGCCGGCGACATGCAGAACTTGAACACGTCCATGTTGGTTTCGGGGATATCGCTTAAGAGACTCAATCGACCAGATCAAGCGGGAAGTTGGACGGGAATGCAGTCATCATCAGGCTGACCATGCGAGAACTGCCAGTGATCGCTCAGAAACCGCGAGGCCACGGTTGATGTTCCATCTCCATTTCCTCCCCCTCAATTCCCTTCAAGATCGAAGAGAGATAACATGGCTGAACCTCCCAAGACTGATCGGAACCCGACCAGCGCCGGTCAATCCTGCCGGGAATGCCGGCGGCGCAAAGGCAAATGCGACGGAAAGATGCCCGTGTGCTCGATCTGTCAGAGATACAATCGGCATTGTCTGTATGACAAACATAGCCGGTCGTCTCTGACCAGAAAGTGAGCTCCCTGTACTTGTACTGGCCGTTGCGCCGCATTGATTACCCCGGCTATGTCTGATGTCTGATGTCTGACCTGCAATCCAGACATCTCACCGAAGTCGAAGAGCGGCTGGAAAAGGCTGAAGCCTTGTTAAGAACATTCTTCACCGATGCCGAGCTGGCTCAAATGCTGGCTCACGGTGTTACTAGTGGGGCCAATGTCCTCCCGAGGCCCCTGGTCAATGTATCTAGGACCGTGGAGGGCTATTCCAGCCAGCAAGGCCCGGCGGACAGCCTTGTTGGGCCTGCCCCGGCAAGCACTTCATCCGCCGCCGGCGCTCCATCTAGTAACGAAACCTCCTCCCATGGCCGCGAGTCAGGCCAGACATCCGAGTTCGGCTTTCTACAACCCGCCTCGTCATCAAACAACGATGTGCAAGGCACCACCCCTCTTTCCTTTGAAAGCCTCCCCACAGCTGATGACGACTTCGAATGGGATGAGCGGGAACCGTCTTGGCCTCTTGTCGATCCCGGCGGCGACAGTCCAGCCTTCGAAGGTGATGCTGATGCCGACATACCCAAAATCACCGATGGCATGGCCACACTGACGGCCGATGATTCGAACACGGGCTTTCTAGGCTCCGTTTCAGGGGCGGCGCTTCTGCGCCTGATCTGGATGGGCACTTCGACGGATGGAGGGGCTGACAGACCAGAACTGAAGAGAGAACGACGCAGAAGCCTAGAGGAACTGTTCAAGAACCGGCCAGACGAATATTCAGCCTCCTTGTCATGGCTTCAGACGCGGCCTCTGATCACCCGAGCAGTGCTGGACAATCTTGTCGACGCCTACTTTGCCCTGTACCACCCCACGTTTCCCATCCTGCACGAGCCGACGTTCCGGGAACAATACTCGAGACTCCATGGCCGTCCAAGCGGAAGCACATGGCATATTCTGGCCAATCTCGTGGCGGCCCTTGGCTCCTTCGTGTCGACGGCCTGTTCCGACGACACGCACATCACTCTGTTCAATGCCGTCAAAGCGAACCTCACGATCGAGTCGTTGGAGACGGGCAGTCTCAGCCTCGTCCAGGCGTTTGCAATGGCGGCCAACTATCTGCAAAAGAGGAACCGACCCAACAGCGGCTACAATTATGGAGGCATCGCTCTCCGGCTGGCCATCTCACTTGGCCTCCACAAGGACTTTCATGGTTGGCAGACTGCTCCCTTCAAGAAGGAAATGCGCCGACGAGTTTGGTGGTCACTCTGTGTGTTGGATGTCGGGGCAACCATCACGTACGGTCGGCCGTTGAACTGGCCACAGGTCGGGGTTGAAACTGCCTTCCCTTTGAACATCCATGAACAGGACCTCGCTCCCGGCTCGACCACAGTGCCACCCGAGGCAAATGAGGCGACACTATACACCTACATCCGCACCCAGTCGCTCTACCATCTTCGCACCATGCGAATCTACAATCGCCTGATTTCCAACCCTGTCCCCTCGGCAGCCGAACTCATTTCATTGGATGACGACCTGATCCAAGGCTGGCTGGCCAGTCTCCCCTCATACTACTGCGACGCCGATCTCCCGCTCCCCAAGGGATTTCTACTCGGCCATGCCATTGGCCGGTGGCGGTTCCGCCTGCTGCGCATCATCATGTACCGGCCGTTTTTGATCCGATGGGCCCAAGATGGCTCCGGCTCCGGACTTTCATCTCCATCGCACGCCGCGGCCGCGACCGCAGAGAGCATCGCGACGATGCGTTGTTTCAAGGCCGCCGAAGAGTGTATCTCGTGCATCTACCAATTCTGGGCTGCTGCCACTCACACCAGGCTAGCGGCTTGGTATGTATTGTAAGTAGCTACACTCCCGTACCTCCAATACTCCCAGTACACCCAGTATCCCCAGTACCCCCAGTATCCCCAGCACCCCCAGTACACCCAGTACACCCAGTACACCCAGTACACCCAGTACACCCAGTACACCCAGTACCCCCAGCATTCTACCACTGTCTACAGCAGATGCTCGCCAAGACCATGATGAGCAGTCCATTTGATTGACGCATGTCATGATGATGATCGTCGTCTACGCCATGGTTCCATTGTTGTTGAGACGTTGTTTTGCATGCACTTAATGTTGTTGAGACGTTGTTTGGCATACACTCAATGTTGTGTATCTAATTCGAAGTCTGCGTCGGGTTTCGTTTGGTTCAGCTATGTTGTGTATCTAATTCGAAGTCTGCGCCGAGTTCCATTTGGTTCAGTTATGTTGCGTATCTAATTCGAAATCTGCGTCGAGTTCCATCCGGTTCAGGCTATGTCGATGGCATCACACTGACCATGTTCGCGATAGATACTTCCTTCTCCAAGCCGCCTTGATCCCCATCCACTGTTTGCGCCGCAACCCAGCCCACATGGACGCCGGGTCGTGGCGTGCACAAATCTCGACGGCACTGGACATAATCAACGCAATGACCAACTTGAACCCCAGCGCCCCGAAGTGCCGCGACATCATCTACCGGCTGTGCGGGGACAGTCTATACCCGTACGGATCGTCAGCGACACCGACACCTACGCACTTCCAAGCACAAGGACAAGCATCAGCACAAGGACCAGCATCAGCATCAGCATCAGCACAAGGACCAGCATCAGCACAAGCACAAGCACAAGCACAAGCACAAGCACAAGCACAAGCACAAGCACTATCTGGGTCGCAACAACAAATCGACCTTCTGGTCCAACCGCCTCTGCAGCCAGAGCTAGCAGGAGCGACGTCGTCAACATCAACAGATGAGTGGTCAACCATGTTTCCCATGGCGGGGTTCGCGAACCCGTCATTTTCCTACTCGGCGCCCAATCCAGGAAACACAGCGGGAGTGGGAGCGGGAGCAGGAGCAGGAGCAGGAGCAGGAGCGGGAGTGGGAGCAGACGCAGCCACGGCCGCAGATGCAGATGCCGGCATGCTGGATCCGTGGATGACCGAGGTCGACACCGCGATCGACAACTACGACGTCTACTGCGACCGGCTTAGCAACGCGGCCGTGGCCATGGCGGGGATACGCATGGACCCAGACACACAGTTCGTCAGTGGTGGCGTAAACGTGGAGGATGGCGGCACTGCCGCAACACCGTTCAACATGGACGGTACGGATATCGGGATCGGGACGGGGACTGGGACTGGGACCGGGACGGGGGTGCAAGATTGGGATTGGGGGTTGATGCTGTAATTTACATATGATATTATACTGCTAGCTAAGCTAAATTGCCTCGGTGGCTGGTGTTTATGTCTGTACTTGTGTTTCTGTCTATGTTTATACTTGTGCTTATACTTCTGTTTATGTTTGTGTTGGTGTTGGTGTTGGTGTTGTGCTGTGTTGGTGTTGTGCTGTGTTGGTGTTGTGCTGTGTTGGTGTTGTGCTGTGTTGGTGTTGTGCTGTGCTGGTGTTGTGCTGTGTTGGTGTTGTGTTGTATTGGTGTTGTGTTGGTGTTGTGTTGGTGTTGATGCTTGTGTTTATATCTGTGTTTATACTTATATTGATGTTGTGTTTGTGTTTATGCTGGTGTTGGTGTTTGTATTTGTGCTTGTATTGTGTTCATATTGTGTTGGTGTTGGATACTTATGTTTATGTTTATGTTTATGTTTATATTGATGCTTGTGTTTGTGTTGTGTTGTGTTGGTGTTCATGTTGGTGTTTATGTGTGTTTGCCGTTCTTCCGTTTTTAAGTACCAATTGCACTGTTTGGAGTATTGAAGTCAAGATGCCCGAGACAAGGCGAGGCAAGTGAACAGTGACGCGAGGAACGAGGAAAGGAGGAAACCAGGACCGGGACCAGGACCAGGGGTCGACAAGGACAGGAAAAGGAGTGGTCATGGTCAGGGTCATAGTCATGGTATGGTCAACGGATAAGGAAATGGAATGGGAAAGGCAAGGGAGGGGCGGTCATGGTCATAGTATAGTCATGGTCATGGTCAAGGCAGCCAAGGGGACGGAAAAGAAGGGGCAGAACTCAACACGTAGCTAAAGTACCACCAACATGCACAGCATGAGAGTAGTTTGGGGCTTCGCCAGCAAAGCACCTGCACCTGCACCTGCATCTGCTATGGATAAAAGAAGAATCAATCTAGGCGTCGAGGTCAGATATCAGTACAATTTCAAGTCCACAGCCTCGAGTGACTTTCCAAACAACCGGTTTCCAGCACCTGAGAATGCAAATACCAACACCAACACCATCACCAACACCATCACCAACACCATCACCAACACCATCACCAACACCATCACCAACACCATCACCATCGCCATGCTAATCCCCCTTCACCCTTTCCCTTTCCCTTTTTTCCGTGCATTTCAAATTCTTGTTTAAACCTTGGAATCAAGGCATGGACCCCATACATAACCTGAAGTAATACAACTCGCGAAAGAAACAATCACATTTCCAGATTTCCTGTCGATATACATGAACTCTGCTCGCTCTCACTCTTTCTTCATGACGTGATGTGAAAGCCTGGTCGGTCCACTTGGCAACTTTTCCAGGGGATGCTACCTGCGCTGAATCCTGGAATCAGATCAAATTTGGGCGGAGAAGTTCCCGGATGCCATCAAAAATCATATTTTGATGTTCGTTGAAATCTTGGTTGGAATTTTGTCCGTCACCTGCCCAAGTCACAGGATTGTCATGCTCAGACTGGAGGGAGAGGGATCTTGGCCAAGAGAGCTTGAATTTGGGGAAGGCGATCTTTGAAGCCGAACTCAACCATGTTTCTGACACAGTTTCGGAAGTGGACGACATCTGTTGCCGCCTTGAAGTTAAAGTCCTCAAGTTCTGCGCTGATGAAGCGTCCGTTCTGGAAGTAATGGATATGGACTTCGGCGCGCTCGGCATCTATATTGCAAGAGAAGCAGACGGAATCGATCTCAGTGTGCACGGTCTGAGCAGTGGTTAGTAATTTCTCCATCGAGTTCACACATATTGCTCCTGCCACAGCATTCTGACTGGATGCCACATAAAAGTTCCCGCCGCGAGACTGCGATTTGCACTCCATTACGAGGAACGGCCAGAAACCAGCAGTACTCGGTTGCGCATATGGCTGGAGGTCTGCGAGGGCCTGTTTTTCCAGTTCCTCCGCTGAAAAGCTGTCGGGATCTAAGCAGTAGTGATAATCAGGCCTCGGATTCGAAGGCGGAGGAACCAGAGAAACTCGTGGAAGTGTGGAGAGAGAGAGAGGGATATTGCTGCCTGCGTTGACCTTGCCCTGGTAATCGAGGAAGGTATTAGGGAAGAGCTGAAGTATGGTGCATCCATTGTTGATGATCCCTTCATCCGCATCTCTCAGTAACCGCAATGTTGACACCATAGATTCGACTTGAAATTCCGGAAGAGTGGGGGAATCCCTGGGTCGCTCGATGATTTGCCGGCCATACTCTCGGATAGACAAAGGCACTTTGACAGGGCCTATCTCGATGTTGTTGCGGCGTAGTGTACTGCGATAACAAGGATCTCTGACGCGAGGGGATGATCTTCTGCTATCTGTAGGGGTTGCTTCCCTACTGGCGAGAGGGGAACTGCCTTCCAAGAGTAGATCAGGCGGCGATTCTCCAATGTAGGTCGATGGCGGGGTGGCTGGAGAGGTGCAAAGCTGGGAAGGGTTGTTGACATCGGTGGGTATGCTGTGAAGGTGAGCTGGGAGCTCATCTTGGTGACGAGGCGGTGCACGGCATTTTCGGGGGGGATTCAAACGGGGTGACATTGTCTGCAACAAGAAGCTGTCAGAGCGACAGCGTAAAAGTGGTTCAGAGTCGGAGGGAGCAGAGAAATCAGGAAAGAAATCGAGGAGGGTGCGCTTTGATTTGATCGACGGCCAGCCGTCGTTGTCGTTGTCGTTGTCAATGAATTTTCGTTTGAGTGGGCGCCGGGGTTGCGGGCATAGAATTTCGGCCGGCATGGTGAGAAGTGAAGGGGGTCTTGTAGTATGCAGATTGAAGGTGCAGAGTGTGTTGGACGAGACATGGTGTGCAGCCTGCCGCACTTTAAAACAAATGTGTTCACCGCGACCGCGAGTTCTTTGTCGACTTCTTTGTCGACTTCTTTGTCGTCCAGACTCAATATTAGACATAGTTGGGAAACTCTTGAAACCTTCTCCGGATTTGGAAAAGACAGCGGAGACTACAGGGCTAGATTTTGACACCAATCCACCCTAAATAGCGCTAGGCACTTATTTGGCTTGCTTTGATTGGACGATTGGATGGTTTCTATTATCCAGCCCGCTAGTCTAAATATAGAGAGCTTTGGTGGTTATGCCTAAACATGGCTGTTGGCTTTGTTCAGTCACCTTTGTCCCAGGGCAAAATATACCACAAATGTTGAAATGGGGGCTGGGTTGTGTGATGCAGTAGCAAACAGAGGCCTTGGTACAGCCTACTAGGTCTGTCTCCCTCGCATCAAGTGAAACATGCCATCTGTCCAGACATGGACAGGCCGATCTTTATGCTAATAATTATCGATCTATCATTGGCAAGCCTCTTCAAGGGAGTCTTCCCGTCTAAATCAAAAACCTGAAACCTTTCTTGGCCGCCTCTGCGGGCACAGCCTCTCCAGCAGTCAGCACACTGGGCAATTTGGTGCCACCGGCTTCAGCTGCAGAAGGGTCATTGTTGATGGCGCCTTCGACGAACTCGCCACGGTCGAGCTTTTTGTTCAGGCGGACGAGCATGAACCTCAAGATCGTAGCAAAAATGACCGCAATCGCAGCCGTCGCGGAGCACAGCGACATAGCCAGAACGTACCGCGGCCCTGCAGACTTGGGGAACATGTAGCTGGCAAAGATGGAACTGGTATTGGAGACAGCGTTGATGGCGGCAATAGAGGCGGCGCGCTTCGACGCAGGCCTAGGCAAGGTGTTGGAAATCCAGCCCAGACAGACGACGTAGCCGGTGTAGACGCCGGGGACCATCAACATCATAGCGACGTAGCGTGGTGCGGTGGAGGTGGTTGCGGCGGCCAGGATGAAGGCGAAGACACCAAAGTATAGAGGGGCGGTGATGTGCCAGTAACGTTCACCGGTACGGTCGGCGTGCCAGGCGTTGATGAAAGCGGTGATGACGCACAGCACGTAGGGGGGGCAGGTGAGGAGCAACGAGTTGATCTTGGAGTAGCCTAGTGTCTCGACCACCGTGGGGAAGAAATTGGTCACGCTGGCGGAGAAGACGATGCAGAAGAGGATGACCATCTAGAATTACGAAAGAGTAGGTGGTCAGTGAGGCAGAAAATGACAGAGCGAAGGTTTTAGCACTCACCAGAATCCACATCTTGATATCCTTCGCCGCCAATTTGGCTCCGTGCAGGAATGATTGATGTTCGCTGTCAATCCAATCATCCTCGCCGATGTCTTCCTCTAGTCTCCAGGCAGCCAAAATCTTTTCGTTCTCGCTCAACCATGGCGTGGTGCGCGGGAAGTTGGGCAGCACAAAGTAGGCCGCCGCGGCGACACCGATGGTGATGGAGCCTTCGACGATGAACAGCCATCTCCAGGCTCTGAGGCCGTGGACACCGTCTAGCCCATCGGTGATACCCGCCGCGATGAGGCCAGAGAAGGCGCCAGAAAGTAAGGAGCCGGAGTAAAGCATGGCAGTACGAAAGCCGAGCTCTTTCCGCGTATACCTGATCCGCCTCGGTCAGTCCAGGGGGGGGCAGCAGGAAGGTACCGGCCACTTACCAGCTGGAGAGATAGTATAGGCATCCAGGGAAGTAGGCGGCCTCGATAAACCCCAGGAAGAAACGAACGGCGATCAAGCCTCCAAAAGATTGGACAGCGGCCGTGGCGGTGGAGATAATGCCCCAGATGACCATTGCCGTGGAGAGGTAGACGGACGGCTTCCCGAACTTGTTGAGGAACAGATTCGACGGGACTTGCATCAGTAAATAGCCCACGAATAGGATCGACACGGCAGTTTGGTATTGTGTTCCGTGGAGCTTGAGGTCATCTTCGAGGCCGGCCAGTCGTGCGGCGGCAATGTTGTTTCGGTCGAGGTAGTTCAACTGGCATCCCGCATGTTAGCCATGGTTCTTTTTGAGGGTGACCAAAACTAACAATGTAGATGATGATGATCGTAGGGATCAGACGAAAGTCGATCTTGCGCACCAGAGCCTTCTCGGCAGTCACGCGTTCCTCTGGGCTGAGCGACTGGATATAGGCGGGGGCCTCTGGTCTGGCTCTGCCTGCGACATACTCGGCATTTTCAACATCCTGTTTCATTGAAATGGTGGACACATTGTCTGGGATGTCTTTGACGTCGGCCATGTTGAGTGCTCGAGACGAGGACACCTCGTTGTGGCAGCCGAAAGGAAGTGGGCGGTACTTGGGAGGCAACAAGAGTCTGGTGGGCGAAATAATCACAGAAGGTCGGCAGGCAAAACTTCGGTCGACTGAATGTCGGGCCGGTCGTTAGGATCGTGCTGCTGCGACGGCTGAGAATCCAGAGAAATCGAGGGTTCGTGCTCGATTATATATCTAGACTTGGAACTGGAGTGATTGACAGAGTGATTGACAGAGTTACTATTATTCCATGCTGCAACCCCAGCCCACGACATATCCACATTGCCCCCTGATTGGGTCTGGGGAACGTGCCATTGTGCAAGTCGGTCAAGGTACCCCGATAAGCAGGAGGCAAAGTCAGGAGATGAGCGGAGTGGCGCTGGAGTAGAGGTATGCCGAACCCACTTCGCTGAAGAATTGTCTTCGCGTGCTTATACAGTAGAAGCCTTTCTCCTGGGGGAGAGTGGGATGACATGCCTTGGACAGATTTCCGGAGTGGTGGCGAGGAGGGGGGTCGGGGAAACCCCGAGCCCACAGACAGTCAGCCAGGACATGGAGCACGATTCCAGTAAGTCCCCGGCGTGATCTTTACAGTGGCGGCTTCTTTCCCCGAAGGGACCAGAAGTGCCATTGGCTTGCGTCGCGTTGGATATGCGGGGATAGGCTGTTAATCCGAGCTTTACCCGTCGCCGCCTCGCTTATTGTCGGGGCTTCTCCGATGGCTGCTCCTGATCGAGCCCTCCTGAGGCAGGACGGGGTACGGACGGTGGTCAACAGAACGTATACATGAACCTGCCCTATCCGCTTATCCGGCAGCACGAGGGTTCCATGGCGAGGAAATTCCAAAGTCGGTCGATAAAAAGACGTCGCCTTGGTGAAGGACATCCGGCCATGAATCAACAGTCCCGTCTGGATAGGTCATGAAATCCATAGCCACTTCATCGTGAATGGAGAAGGGCTTGTTCAGGTCAAAATCCTCAAATGCCGAATACGCCGTGTCGCTGGTAGGGGCCGTCGCTGGCGTCTGGTGCAACTTTGGGACCTCCTCGCCTGTGACAGTTGGCCGTCGAAGCGGTGGCGCATCGTTCCCTGCCACCGGCCTTGCAGCATCTGAAAGCCACCCATAATCAAGCAGATTCCAGATGACATCTAGATCTGGATCATGTGAGTGTTGCTCATTGGGCGGCGTGGTTACCAGAGCCCGTGCCGATGAAGGATTCGGCCGAAAGCTTCTGAGCGCGGTGGCCTAGGCGAAATGGTCAGTTGACAGTACACAGGCGGGGGATGGGGGCACAAAGCTGGTTGTGGACACCGAAGCCAGATCAGAGGCGGCCAACAAGAGGGGCGCATAAACATACTATACGGGCATAATGCTCCCAGACGCCATTTCCACTATCCAGGAATCCGAGCGAATAGTCGAACAGCTGCCGTGCCGTCCTTCGAGTCCATTCGTCATCATGGTGCATGAAAAGCCTGTGTATCGACCCGGCCACTATCATAGCGTAAGCATAGAAGCTACTCAGGTTGAACCCCTGGTTCTGGACGGCGCGAAGTGCGCCGGTCAGCTGGTAGGCATGCTCCAGGCTTCGGCGTCGGGCTTCCCGCAAGAAGCTTGGAGAGTGTTTCCCCGGGCAAGAGTCTAGCCGTTTGCGAAGTAGAAACGGGTGATGTAGCAGGCACTGGTTCATGTGATACAGTATGGTTGAGAAAGCGAGGTGGCCCGCAGCTGCATGATCATGCAGCCCATCTGGGCCAATGTGGCGGCCAATGGTGCTGGACAAGGATACCGTGGTGATTTCAGACTGTGCTTCAAAGTTGAGCAGCATGCTGTATATGGCGGCAAAATCACTGCGAGAATCCCAGGGAGGAAATCGATCTTTGGAGCTTTGATGCTGTAACGAATGTCGCTCGATTCGACCCAAAACGGAAGCCATGAGGATAGTCTGAGCGAAGAGATCCATACTTTGGTTGGCGCCACACCCAGAAATTTCGAACAACGCCCTCAAGTCCGGCACGGTTGAAGACTCGGTTTCGTTGGGTGGCGTGATGTCGGACGCGAGAGGAATTGCACAGTCAATGTCAGAGATGGTTGGCGGGCGACTGGTGCCGCATGACACGAGGCGGTCCAGGAGGTACATGGACCAGAAGGTCAGCCGCTGCTCCTCCTGTTGCTCAGGCGTAAAGTGAGTGGGTATTCCTGAGCCCAGTTCCAGACTCTGTGCGAAACGCACGGCTAGACCAACCTTCTGCCATCCGAGCTTGGCCCGACCAGCTGTGGGAGAATTGCATGTCAGCAAGGGCCGGACACCATCGGACCACGGGCAGCCGTACCGGTAAAGTCTACGATCGCTAGCATGTGAGTGGCTTGCACCGCGTGAATGTCTAGCACATAGTCTTCGGAGAAGGACTTTTCAAAGATTTCACTCCACGCGGTGCGTGTATACCTGTCCACGACTTCTCCTGGCCGACCCTCGAAGAAGGGATCTGTTGAGAAGCGCGCGGCCAAGGCAGTCATGGCCAACAGGAGGTACTCTGGTATTTCACCGCTGTCCAGTTTCCAGTAGAAATACTCCGGGCGGAAATAGGCGTACGGCTGCTTGTGACAGCGGGCAAAAAAAGTGTGTAGGATTGCATGGAGGACCGGTTCTGGAGGCAACTGAATAAACTTCCTACATTCAACGGTTAGGCAAGAACGACAAGAGACAGGCTTTTCGAATGCCAGGTACCTCGCAGCAGCCTCGGGCGTCCGACTTTGTGAGCGTTGGCTGTTGTCTGAATTCTCTTCTGGAGAGACGGAACCCTCCTGTGCTGACGTCCGCCGCTTTTTGGATGGTGCGTAGCCATCACCAATGAGTGGAGGGAGCCCGCTGCCCGGCCGTGTAAGTACTTCGGAGCGGTTGATCCAACAATATGAGACTCACTCATTGCCATCACTGTTGAGCAGGCTCAGTTTTGACTCGAGCAGCGCGACTCTTGCGGCGAGATTGACGTTCTGCCGTGGGTCAGACATTCGGAATGCAGCTACAAACGGTAGACCAAACCCATACACTTGTGTATAACGCGGCCGTGGAGACTTCATCCCAGAGGCAATCCTGCTTCAGTCGAGCACAGAAAGAGCACACTGGCTTCTCGCCAGAGCATCGTGTCTTCTTGCGCCTGGACAAGAGCTGGTTATTAGGAGACGAAAAGATCGACACCTCATGTCACATACCGGCAGTTCTGACAAGCTTGTCTCACTCGCTTGGCCTCGCGGCTTTCAGCCATGGCCATGTTGGCACTAACGCAAGAAAGAGGCAAAGCTTTATTTTACCAAGACAGTGTTGTGTCTGGTTGAGGCCAAAGAACGAAGAACAAGGCCGAAGAGCGAAAAGCGAAAAGCGACGGACTAGAACGAAGAGACAGAGAGGCGATGCTGAGAAGACCGACGAGCATCTGCAGCGGAACCCCGGCAAACTTGTTGACCCCGGCACCGGGGACCTGTTCAGTTTGCAGTTGGGCGGGGTAAGGCCGCAGGCACAGGCGCAGGCGCAGGCGCAGGCAGGTTGGGAGCCCGTCACATGACCATCTCAGGTCAGGTTACTACCTAGGTAGTAATTAATTAGTAGTAGAACTATAGGTCAGCTCTCGCCCACGCGGGGTGGCCAGGCAGTCTCTCGGCGTCCCTGGGCCCGGAACGACAATGCAACCGCCAATTATTAGTTGCCAATTACTGCTGTACCTGTCACTGTACATACTAGTAGGGACTACCTAAGGTTCTGGGTACCTAGGCACCGAGGTAGTGATACTAGACTAGAGCACGCCTGTCAGTGCCTAGGGCCTGGAGCCTGGAGATTGCCGAATCACGTCGTAAGGCGCCCAAGGCCACCTCCAGAGGCTATTCCCTGCTAGACTGTCGACCTATGTCATAACCTAGCCTCATCCTTCGAGCTCTAGACTGCGCAATACTGTAGTACGGACAGTAGATCTCATCTCGAGCTGGAGTTGCTTCGATGCTTGGACCACGATGGCTACAGTTTCGCCTTCGCAGCTGTGCCTGTTAATCTCGCATCCCAGTCCACAGTCTTCACTCCCTTCTGCAACTGGCTCACTCCAAATGCGGCCTCGGCGTCCGGGCTCATCATCTGGTCGAAGTTCTTCTTAATCCCTTCCAACTGCACCGCTTCTCCAGCATGGACCCAAGCCAGCTGCACCAGGTCCTTACACATGGTGCTGGCCTTGGGGGCAGATCCCCTCAGCTCGGTCAGATACTGGTCGAGGACCTTGGAAAGGCCGGCCAGATCGTCAGCCAGCTTGGCGACCACCCCGAGCTGCGCGAGTTCTCCTGCTGCGACCTGACGGCCCGACAGCATGGCCTCACGGGCGAAAGCGAACCCCCATTCCCGGATGACATATTTCGAGATGGTGGCTGGACACAGGCCCAGACGTACTTCACTCAACTTGACCCATGCCGACCGCACCGCAATCCGCACGTCGCAGGCGAACGCAAGACCCACGCCGCCGCCGAACGCCGGGCCTTGTACACAGGCAATCGTCACCTGAGGGGCCCGGGCGATGGCGTCGAACAGCCGTGTCAGGATCTGGTACTGGATCTCGGTTGACGAGCCGCCTTTGGAGACCCGTGTGCCATTTGCGCTGAGGTCCATGCCGGTACAAAAGAATCTGCCATTGGCAGCTATGATAATGCGTGAAACGGAGGGGTGGCTGGTGGCTGCGTCCTCAAAGAACTTGGTCAACCTTTCAATCATGGTGGTGGTCAAGGCATTGCCATTCTTCGGACGATTGAGTGTGATCTTGACATTGACCCCGGACTTCTGCACCAAGAGTTCGTCGTTTGCCTCGTTCGGCCCGACCTTCTCCCAAGTCAGAGCATGCGAGGCTTTGCTTGTGCCTGTGCCTGTGCCTTTTTGCAAGGTGGGTGTCTGTGCTTTGAGTCCCGCCTTCACTGCCAGAGCCTTCCCAGCCCGGCTCTCGTTCTCTCTCGACAGGGTGTTCGACACCCAGACACCCGTCTCGACCAGCGCGTCCAAGTTCACCCCTGTTGTGACTCCGGCCTGATGGAACAGGTACACGAGATCTTCGGTGGCCACGTTGCCCTTTGCCCCTGGGGCGTAGGGGCATCCGCCCAGGCCGGCGATGCTGCTGTCAAAGACCCTCAGTCCGCACTCGTACGCGGCCCACACATTGGCCACTGCCTGGCCGTAGGTGTCGTGGAAGTGTCCCGCCAGCGAGCTCGCCGGGATACCTGCTGCGAGCAGATATCTGACGAGGGCTCTAGTCTTGGCTGCGACTCCCACTCCCAGAGTATCGCCAAGGCTGACCTCATAGCAGCCGGCGTCGAGGAGGCGTTTGACGCAGTGCAGCACGGCGTCTGGCGGCGTGGGCCCGTCGTACGGACAGGCGAAAATGGACGAAACGTATCTATGTGTGGCAATGTCACTGTCAGCCTCTCGACTTCCAAATACTGATACTGGCTACTAAGTTTGATAGGAGTGTGGCCAGTCCAAACTGGGTTCACGAGCCTGCTCCGAGCGCGTAACATACCCTCGTACCTGAAGCCCCTGGGTCAGAGCCTGGCGGGCCACCGCTTCAGCTCGCTGCAGGCCTTCCTCGACGGTGCAGTTCGTGTTGGCTCTGCTGAAGCCTTCGCTCGCGCTGACAAAGACGGCCACTTCCTTGACCCTGTGTTCGACGGCGATGTTGAGCCCTCGGAGGTTCGGCACCAGCACGGGAAGTCGCAGCGAGCGGTCTTCCAAGAACCTGCCAACCTTGGGATCGGCCAGCACTTGTCGACAATCCGCCAATTGGGGGATTGCTTTCGGGGACACGACCGAGGTGAGTTCGATGGTGCGCACATTCGCCGCATAGAGCCGTCGGATCAATTCGATCTTGACCGCCGTGGGCACGGTGCGCGGAAAGTTTTGTAGACCATCGCGAGGACCGACTTCCACGATGCGCACGGCGTTGGTGTTGGTGTTGGTGTAGGTGGTGTTGGTGGTGGCGTTGGCGGTTGGGGTTGTACTGTTGAGGGGAGACATGTCGATCGATGGTGTTCCAGAGAATAGGGAGGTGTGTCGTTTGATCTTCTTTGTTTCTTCTGTTGTATTGAGATTGAGATTGAGATTGAGATTGGTGTTACTCTCCTTTCGTTGTATTGAACTTTGCGACGCTTGCTCGGCTTTCGTTGTATGCTATTGAAATTGCGTCGTCAACTTATCCCTTCGTAGGATCTCGATGCAAGTTGAGGTTATGTTGCCGGTCGTCCTAGTAAGGTGTGTTGTCTGCCGTCAATCTCAGTCGTCTAATGGGATGGATTGTTTCCTTTTTCTTGCGCTTGCGCTTTCTCTTTTGTCGTTCAATTCCAGCAAGAAATCGAACTCTTTGTGTCGTCGTGGCGAGCTCGGTTTCCAGTAACGCTTCTCTGTCGTCGTAATGAGCTCACTTTCCAGTAACGCTTTCTCGTCGTCGTGATCTCACTCTTTGGGATGGAATATTGCAATTCTGTCATCCCGTCATCCGTCAGCGTCAACAACATGAACAAGTAGCCCTGTGTAGAACTCGATCCAACTCACTCTGATATATGTAATGTTGGAGTTGGGTTGGGATTCGTGTTCCAACTTACATTGCAACGATGCGACTATCGCGGACTTATTGCTCCATCTTCATTTCCATTTCCATTTCCATAACCATTTCCATAACCATTTCCATGTTCAGGTCCATACCCTGCCGATGCCGATGCCCTTGCTCTGTTTTCCACCAACGGACGAGATGTTTGCGAGTTCTGAGGGAGGTACCCTAAATATCCGAGATGCTGTAGTTCTGAGGGTGGTGCCCTAAATATCCGAGATGCTGGAGTTCTGAGGGTAATACCCTAAATATCCGAGATGCTGGAGTTCTGAGTGAGGTACTGTACCACAAAGTATCCGTACAAGTGCTCCAATGTGGACTGTAGTGCCAGTGCCGGTGCCGGTGCCAGTGTCGCCTGCAACGAACAACCAACTAATTGCAAGAAAGAGTGCACCACACCACAGGACACTGATTGCAAAGAAAGAGTGCACCACACCACAGAACAGGACACTGATTGCAAGAAAGAGTGCACACCACACCACAGGACACTGGTAATGGTAATAGTAATCACAGCAATAGTAGTCGTAAGAGTAGACGATGAGTACCTAAAGTAAACTCACTATCCGTTCATGTGTAGATGGTAGTATGCAGGTCGAAGTACTGTACGCATAGGTTAGGTAGGTGTATGTGTATCCGTACCCTGTGTCGTGTTCCCTCCCCTCTAGCGGCGGCTTGGGGCCATGCAGTGCAATGCAGTGCGTGCAGTGTGGGCTACATGTACCTAGTTAAGGCGGATGATCCGGCCTCTGCTTCTGCCTTGGTCTAGGCTGCGTGGGCGTAGGCGTGGGTGTGGCCGTGTGCCTGCTACAGCGCAGTGTAAGCCCAAGCCTTCCCCGCGGGTTTGTTGCCGGCCTGTTGGTTTCTCTTTCTCCGTCTCTTGCCGGCCTGTTTGTTTCTCTGTCTCTGTCTCTGTCTCTGTCTCTGTCTATCTCTGTCTATCTCTAACTCCTGTCGGCCGTGCGGTGCCATGCCGTGCCCGACAAAAAAGAACCTGGCGCAAGATTCACCCCCACCACCCCCGCTCCCGCGCCAAGCGGGCCCGGAAAACGGACCGGTCTCCGCATGACGTAAGCGAGGCTTTGGCCGCGGTGCCAATAAAGGGGCCAGGAGCCCAGGAGGCCAGGCCGCGGCATCTCGGTCTTCGGTTCACTCATGGCGCCTGATGCCGAAGCCGATGAGCTGGTAACACAACACAGAAGTACTGGTAACACAGGTAACACCTACCTGGTACCTATAAGAAACACAACACAGAAATCCTGGTGTTACTTAAGAAACACAGAAATACTGGTATTAGTCGACGTATGGGAGGGAAAGAATAGTAATTCATGGGTGCAAGTCATGGTAGAACGTATAGCTACCTATCCAGTATACTCAATAGTATATCTGTACATTGTATAAATATACTGTATATACTATACATACAGATCTTGGCCTTGAAAGTCTCTTGTTGTTCTTGAAGACGTCTTCTGTACGAGTATTGTTCTTTGAGGCGTCTTCTGCACGTGTATGGGTATCGAATCGTCTTAACTGTCTGTAACCTAGAATGCCTCGGCATCTTGGCCACCTTACCTCTAGTAGACACTAGATATTGTCTGTATACACGATGATAGTAAGTATAGTAGTAGGCTAGACACTGTCTGTATACACGATGATAAGTATAGTAGTAGTCTCTGCCCTCTACCCAGGGAACATACTTACAGTAGGTACCATGCAGTCTATAATTTCGCCTTCACCTTCGCCTCCAGCCCAGTCTTGGACTTGGACTTGGCCTCGACCAACTGGTTGCCCAGCGCGCGCAAAACATGCTTCTGATGTTTCCCGCTGCCCGTCTTAGGGAAATCATCACCCACGCCCGAATCGCCGATCCAAAACACATGCGCCGGGGCCTTGTGTGACCCCAGCTGCTGTCTGCACCACTGATGGATCTCTGCAGGTTCGGGCCTGGGCCTGGGCCTGGCATCAGTGTCGCCCGCGTGTCGCAGAAAGCAGCCGACCACTTCGCCGTACTTGGGGTCTTTGAGCCCGACGACGCTGGCCTCGGCGATGGCGTCGTGCTCGAGTAGCCGATCCTCGATTTCCACGGGAGCAATGTTCTCGCCGCCTGTTGTGGTGACGCCGAGACAACGTCAGCTTTGGTTTGCGATAAACGAACGACGACGAATACAAATGAGATCAGTCGTGGTATCCGCCATAGAGCAAATGGTTCGCCAACCCCAACCACTATAGCAGAGCGTTCGCGTGCCCATGACGTACAGTAGCCTCAATCTCGGATATCAAATAACGTGGATAGAAAAGAAGAAGAAACCTGGTAACACAAAATCATAGACAGTGATCGAATGGTCAACATACCTCTGATGATGAGATCCTTGATCCTCCCCGTAACGATGCAATAATCATCCTCGGTAATGACACATTCGTCGCCCGTATGCATCCATCGCACGCCGTCTCGGTCGACCTTCATCGCCTCCGCAGTCTTCTCCTGGTTCTTCCAGTATCCCTTCTGTAGGGCGAAACCGCTGGTACACAGCTCGCCTGGCACGCCGCGCGGCACGATCTCGCCATTGCGGTCGATGATCTTGGCCGAGGTATGAGGGAAGACCTTACCGACCGTGGTGGCACGGCGTTCGTCCGGGTCGTCGATCGGCGTCATGAACGTGACCGGGCTGGTCTCGGTCATGCCGTAGGCAATCAGTGTCTTCTGCACGCCCAGTTCTTGCCGCAGCTCCTTCATCAGCGGCACGGGGACCGGGGAGCCCGAGGCGAGCCCCAGCCGCAGGGTGTCAATCTTGTAGCCTTTCCCTTTTCGTCGATTGGCTTCCATTTCGGCGATGAACATGGTCGGCACTCCCAGAAGGACCGTACATTTCTGTTGCACGATGGCGTCGAGCACCAGATCCGGGTCGAATTGATCGCACGGCATGACGACAGTGCTCGAGTGGGTTAATGATCCCAAGAACCCCATCACAAGCCCGAAACAATGGAACAGGGGTGGCGGAGAACACACCACATCCCGGGCCGTCAGGTTCAGTCCGTCACCGAAAAACCGGCCGTCGTTGATGAGGTTGCTAGTGTGCGCGTCCGTGTGAGTGAGTTTCTGCTGTCCACGAGGCAATGAAGCCCAAATCAAGAGGTGCAAAACTTACAAGTGCGTCAGCATTGCAGCTTTAGGGGCTCCGGTAGTTCCTGGCTGCCGTCAACACTTGCTGCAACCCAAAAAGACGCTTCCTCGAGGAATCAATCGAAAGCTTCACAGTACCTGAAGTGAACTGTAGATTGAGCACATCCGTGTTTTTGACTTGGCGCTCGGCCCTTCGCAAGGTGGCATTGTTCATGAAGATGGAGTGGCCATTGTCGGCAAACACATTGTACAGTAGCGTCTCGCGCACGGGAGAGGAAAAGGCGGTTGGCTTGGTGGTGGAGAGAAGAACGACCCTCTGCAGTTCTGACACTGCTTCTGACTTCCCACACACAGCCTGGATGTGAGGCGAAAGAGACTTTTTGCCAATACTCGGGGCGATGAAGAGGAGCTTGCAAGCTGGAATCAGAGTCAGAATCAAGTCGTTGTGCTCAGTACCGTTCTCGCTTTTCCGCCATCGGCAAATTCATTGTATAGTGGAGGGTATACAAAGCAGGACTGCACTTACAGCTGACGGACAGGGTCTGGCAGAGCTCGTTGGGGGTATAGGTGTTGTTGAAGACGGCGAACGGGCATCCGATCCTGGCAGCGCCGGAAAAGACCTCGAGGTACTGATAGCAGTTGCCGGCCATGATGCCGACCGTGTCGCCGTGCTTCAGCCCGGCCTCGAGCATCGCCTTGGCCAGCAGCCTGCTGCGGTCGGCCAGATGCTCGAACGACAGGCGGTGTTTCTGCCATGGAAACACCGCGGCCACGCGGTCCCCATTTTGTCGGGCACGCTCGTCGATCAGGTCGCCCAGCCTTTGCGTCCAGAGCGCAGGTGTTTTCGGCCCGTGGATGATTGACAAGGATGCCGGTCCTTTGCTGGGACCCTGTTCACTTGAGCCGTGCAAGTGGTTCTTCACGGGTGTTCCAGTTGCAGCGTCGGATCCAGGCTGCTTTGCTCTGATAGCCATCTTTGAGTGAGCCACACCAATACCGGGGGAGACAACAACGTACAATCAACCACCATCCCTGACCAGCACCAGTAGCCGGCGGCAGGATTCCCTTTTGTTGTGTGCTTGCTGGCAGGATCACGGAGGCCCGGGGCCCAAAAGTTGATGTTGGCCCTTTCGGCTACGGCCCGGTTGGTGGACCGCGGTCAGGACGTAGCATCTGCTATCTGGGGACGGTACGGGACCAGGGCCCCGCCTGGGGTCAGCGCCAGCCACGGGCTTGTATAGTACTGTACCCAGTGTACCTGCAGTGATGTTGGTGTCTCGGCCATCTCGTCCCGTAGTTCGCAAACAGTGCCTTGTGTCCTAGACCTCTCTTCTCTTCTCGACTCGTCGTGGTGGATTGGATCTATTCGGACCCGAAACGAGGCAGCAATGGCGAGCATCGACGCCCTTCCGGCCATAGAATCGAAGTCGATCACCACCGACGCCCAGAGCAAGTCGAACCGCGAAGCCTGGGCGCCAGTGCTGGACAAATATGAAGGGTTTCTGAAAGATACGACGTCCGAAGGGACCGACATCTCTCTCCGGCGGCATCAAGCGCGAGGTCAACTGCTAGGTACTGTCCGGTCCTGTCCACGTTAACTCAGTTGCCTGTGCGGCCAGAGTACTGTAGGCAGTAGGCGGAAATCTAACCGACTTGCACAGCGCGCGACAGGGTCAGCCTGCTGCTAGACCCGGACTCGCCCTTTTTGGAGCTGTGTTCCTTCGCCGGGTTCGGACTGAAAGATTCGAGCCCATGTGCCAGTCTTGTAGCTGGAATCGGGAGTGTCTGGTGAGTGCGGCGCCGCTCGAACTGTCTGGGTTTCATGCTGATTGAGGCGACCTCGCTTCCCAGCGGCAGATTATGTCTTATCCGATCCCATATTCCGTCTCAGAGCGGAGGAGCATGGAACGAGCACACAGGTACGAGCCCTGTCTCAGGGATGGAATGGAGTGCAATGCAATGTAATGCTCACGGAGACAGTGTTGAAGCAGAACCGCGTCACGGAAATTGCCAACGAGAACAACCTGCCCATCATTGCTCTAATACAATCGGTAAGCAAGATTTCCAGGTCTGGGGCTGGGGCTGTAGGCTTAGGCCCAGCGACGCCCGGCGAGGCCAGCCTCAGCTCCCGAAAAGAAGCCTGAAGCCTTTCACCCCGACTGCGGTGCTGACCTGACTCTGACTGCTCTCTCAACTACAGGCCGGCGTCTTCCTCCCGCAGCAGTTCCGAGTCTTCCACAAGGGCGGCCAGCTCTTCCGCGACCTGGCCCTCCGCAGCGCGCATGGCAAACCGACGTGCTCGATCGTGTTCGGCTCGTCGACCGCAGGAGGCGCATATGACCCTGCGCTGTCGGACTACACCATCTTCGTCAAGGACCAGGCCCAGGTCTTCCTGGGCGGCCCGCCGCTGGTGAAGATGGCCACGGGAGAAGTCATCGACGCCGAGGCCCTGGGCGGCGCTTCCATCCACGGGTCTGTCACTGGACTGGCGGACCAAATTGCCACCGACGAGTAAGGCCTTGTCTTGTTATCTTTGACTGCGTTTCTTTCCTTGGGCCATCTTAGACCGTGGTCCCAGTGCTGACCCAGTCCATCTTCCCACACAGGTTCGACGCGATCCGCAAGGCCAGGGACTGGGTGCTCACTCTCGCCGCCGATGACGCCGCCGCCGCCCTCGCACTGCCGACCCGACGGTTATCTCCTCCCCTCGAGCCACGATACTCGCCCGAGGAAATACTGTCACTGGTGAACCCGGACATCCGCAAGCCATTCGACATGAAGGAGGCTCTGCTGCGGATTGTGGACGACTCGCGCATCCTGTTCTTCAAGCCCGAGTACGGCCGCAACCTGGTCACAGGCTTCACGCGGATCCAGGGCATCCCGACGGCGATCATAGCGAACCAGACGCCGGTGATCCACGCCGACGAGGCCGCCAAAGGCGCGCAGTTCATCCGGCTGTGCAACCAGCAGAAGACGCCGATCGTCTTCCTGCACAACGTGACCGGCTTCATGGTCGGGTCCAAGGCCGAGCATTCGGGCATCATCAAGAGGGGCGCGCAGTTCGTGTCGGCCGTCAGTTGTTCCACCGTCCCGCACATCTCGATCATTCTGGGCGCCTCCTACGGCGCCGGCAACTACGCCATGTGCGGCCGCGCCTATAGGCCTCGCTTCCTCTTCACCTGGCCCATCGGCCGCTGCAGCGTTATGGGGCCCGACCAGCTGGCCGGCGTCATGCGCACCGTCGAGTCCAACAGCGCAAAGGCCAAGGGCGTCCAGCTGCGCGCCGAGGATCTTGACGCCCGCGTCGCCCGCTTCCGCGACGGCGTGCAGACAGACAGCGAGTGTTACCGCACCTCCTCCGTCCTGCTGGACGACGGCGTCATCGACCCGCGCGACACCCGCGACGTGCTGGCCATGTGCTTGGAAATCGTCCAGAACGCCCCCATTGAAGGCGCCCCCGCTCACCGCGCCCTGGCACGGATGTGACGGTGATACCGAAGCTGGTACTGTTACACACATCTTGAGAGATGTACAATATACATGAAACATACGCCTGGAGTTCTAACAGATCCAATCCTATCCGTGGTTCATATTCTCTCTGCCTGATGTACAAATCTGAACCTGTATCTGTATGCAATGCCATGTCCTGGCCCCAAAGGCCATTCACTCATTCTTAGATCTGGTATGCTATATATATATGGTAGGTATGGATTAGTGAAAACACACCGCTTCGGATCCAGATTCTCTCTGTCCCATCCATCCCATTTTACTCGACCCAACATAGAACCTTGCCTTCATCCACCGAGGCGCCTTTCGCCACGTTGCATTGGAACTTGCCCCCCATCGACATGGAAATGTTCATTTCCATCTTCATGCTCTCCACCACCATGACGATCTCCCCGGCCGTCACGTCGTCGCCGGGCTTTTTCAGAACGGAAAGGACCTTGCACGGCATCGGAGCCTTCACGGCCGTCGATTGCGTCGAGTCGGCCACCGCGACGTCGTCTCTCAGGCTCTCGCAGAAGCTCAGGATGTCATAGCATCGGAAGCGGTACCAGGTCCCCAGCCCAGGAATGTGGCAGGAGATATCCTGTGCGGTGCCGGAACCGGCTGACCGGAACTGTGTAGACGGTGCATCGGTAACAATATAGCCAGATATCGGGTGGCCATCCACGCTCAGATTGACCGAGGTCGTCACCCACGCACTCGCTGGTTCAGTCTCAGCCTCGGCCTGTCGGCGTTTCCATTCAATCTCATGCGTCGACGTTCCCGACACTGCTCCAGTCCTCAGTTTGTTGCTGATGCTGTTGTACCGGGCCGAGACCTCCCACGCTGCCGACTTTGGTTTGGCTTTGTCCTTTTCCTTGTTGTCTTTCTCTTTCTCGTCCGACTCGTCCTTGTCGTCCAGCGGAATTAGGGCGATCTGACTGCTGCCACTCCGTGGCTCGGCCGAGGACTTCCAAACAAGCAAGACTGGTGCGTGGCCACCATGAGATTCCATCTGCCGCACTATCCTCGCACTCACGTTGACGGGGTCATACCGCTGGTTCTTGAACGCCTTGCGCACATGCTTGAATGGTTTCGGCGTATTCTCCGGCTTGGCCGGATCAAATTCTTCTCGTAGAAACGAGGCCGCGACCAGAGAGAGGATCGAGGTCTCGTCAAAGGAGCCGATAGAGTAAGGATTCTTCAATAGTTCGGTGAGATTGTTGGGGATAAAAGACGTGGTGTAGGCTGGGTTGCGGAACTCAGGGTGCAATAGACAGCTTTGGAGAAAGAGCTGGTTGGTTTTGACGCCCACGCAAGCCGTGTTGGCCATGACGCGCGCCATCTTCTCGATGGCCTCGGATCGTGTCGGTGCCCAGACGATGATCTTTGCGATCATGGAATCGAAGAAAATGGAGACCTCTGCCCCTGAACGCATGGCCGACTCATACCTGACATCTCTGGCTTCGAATGGGCTGGTGACGTACGGCCTCCAAAGACGAACCGTGCCGTGCTCAGGCATAAAGTTCCGCTGCGGGTCCTCGGCACAGAGGCGACACTCAATGGCGTGGCCGTTCTGCGGGATTGCTTTCAGCGGCGAAAGGTCTGTGAAATTTCCTCCGCCGGCAGCGTAGAGTTGCAGGGCCACGGCGTCCAGACCTGTCACCTCCTCCGTGATGGGATGCTCCACCTGCAGCCTCGTATTGACTTCCAAGAAGTAGAACCGACTGTCTTTCACATCGACCACGAACTCGACCGTCCCGGCGCCTTCATACCCGAGCAGTCGGCCGATCTTGACGGCAGTCTCGCAGAGGGACGCACGTGTTTCGGCATTCAGGAACGGAGAGGGCGTCTCTTCGATAATCTTCTGATGGCGCCGTTGCACGGAGCACTCACGCTCCCAGAGGGATACCACGTTGCCGTACGAGTCCCCCATAATCTGCACTTCGATGTGCTTTCCGGCCTCGATGTACTTCTCTAGAATGCAGTCGCTGGAGCCGAAGGACCTCTCGGCTTCCGACCGGGCACTCTGCAGTTCGTCTCTCAGCTTGGACCGCTCGTGCACGATTCGCATTCCACGGCCTCCTCCGCCGGCCGACGCTTTCAGCATGACCGGAAACCCGATCTCCTCGGCGGCGGCCTCTAGGTCCGCGATGTTCTGACTTGAGCCGGTAAACCCAGGGATTAAGGGGACGCTGGGCTCATGCTGACGGAGATAGTCCTTCGAGCTTCGTTTGTCCCCAAGTGTCGACATCGCCTGGGCACTGGGGCCGATGAAGATCAACCCGGCATTCCGTACGGCGTCGGCAAACCCAGCATTCTCACTGAGATACCCGTACCCGGGATGCACTGCATCGGCGCGAACAGAAAGCGCCACATCCACTAGAAGTTTGATATTCAAGAAAGGATTGCCGCTTTCGGCCTGGATGCTCCCAACGCAGACTGCTTCGTCGGCCAGCTGCACGTGCTGTGAGAGAGAATCCCTGGTGTGGCGCTTAGCCCGGGCTCACGCCTGTTACAAAATCTCAGATGGTCTGCACTCACTCTTCGGCATACAACGCAACAGACGCAATGTTGAGCCTCCGGCACGTTGCCACAACCCGACAGGCGATCTCGCCTCGATTGGCAATGAGGACTTTTCGAATCTTTGAATTGCCATGTTCATCCCGAGGCAGAGGAGCCACAAACAACGGTGCCCTGGCTGCCATAGTAGAGTGTCCTGAACAGAGATGTCGACGTATCGTATGGCTCGTGAGCAGGGAGTTGATCAAGGCCTGTAGAGCAGCTTCAGGTCATACAAACCTGTTGTACAGAGTAGAACGGCCGCCCCCCGTCGTAGCCGTAGAGGAGGGGCCGGCTTCCCGCCAATCGGCTGGTGGCCACCCCCCCCGGTCTCTGTGGGCCCGGTCCGACTCGTCCACTTCCCCGTGTTGAAGGTCGCTTATGTCAGCAGGCCTCGGCCTCCATGGGCCGTACTCGGAGAACCCAACCCAGCATATTCAGACCGTCATCAGGCCCAGGTCTACTCCGTTGAGACAAGGAACAAGAACCAGGTGCCAATGATCCTGTGGCTGCAGCCCATCGGAGGTTGAAGATTCTAGCACCTGGTTTCTGATCTGGGCCCCAACTAAACACAACGTATCATGGTCACATTATGTCGTCGACAGGCCTCTTAAGCCATTCATTCATCTTGGATAATCTCTGAGGATGCTGCTCTCGGCCTCCAGACCCCCAAGTCAATATTTTTCGTACACACTTCAGAAACATTTCTCGTTCCTCTCCAGGAGGAATCGAGGTGCCAAATTCCGCCGAGGAGGTTTCAGGAATTGGGTGGTTTTGATATCCAATTGCCTATTGTCGTGAGATGTCAGTGTTTCAGACCAAGTGTTGTACGAAACATTACAATTTACCTTCTTCGTCAAAAATATACCCGGGAAACAGGGCTTCGTTTGCTCATCTCCGGCCGTGGAGGGTCAAGATATCCAATGTACCGCGACAATGCCAACAGGAGAACGTACTGATCGTGCACACGATCAATACTATCAAACAGGTTTCTCCCGTCAAGAAGTTCGAGGGTCTGATCATGGTGATTGATAGGAGTTTACCGTGACGCCTTCGAATTCCCTACGTAAATAACTGGGTAAACATCAGACACCGTAAACATGTATCTACGCCATGGTTCGTGGAACGTAGATGGTCTCCTACGCTCACACACCCTAGAAGGCTTTTGGTCAAGTCCTTCCACCTAGGTGAGTGGGTGCCATTGTGACGTGACTCTTAGAGAGACGGATACTGCCGTCTGACAGATGCAAAGATCAAGCGAGGACGAACAATGAAATGAAGCCCATCTCACTGAAGCTCGAGAATATATATCTCAGATGGCAAGTTTTCCGAGGGTCACATGTCAGGCTCCGGCTCCGGAATCTGGCAAGGCTGAGCCGATTTTCCACCATCGCATTGTCATTCCTCATCGCCATAAAACCGAATACGCCTTTCGATATTAGTGCAAGAGAGCACCTCGGCATATGACGATGATGACGACAACGACAACGGCAGCAGCCATCGAACAGAGATTGGCGTTCTGTACTCTGGGCATGTTTATTATTGGTCAGGGTTCCCTGTTCCCTTCCTGCTCTCTGTACTGGGCTAGACTAGACAGAAATTGACGCATCACGGCAGACGAGATCGAATACATCAACGGCAAAGCGCGCGAACAAAGCATCATAGGCGGTGCCGGCACATACGCCGCTCTCGGGGCACGCCTGGCAGCGGGCGGGCACCAGGCCAAATATGTCTCCTGGATCGTCGACATGGGTTCCGACTTCCCCTCCGAGCTCAAAGACGTGATCGATTCATGGCAGACGAGTTGTATTTTTCGACGCGATCTGAACCGGTTGACCACGCGAGCATGGAACGGGTACGGACCTAACGAGTATCGAGGTGAGCTCTATTCCTTCCCACACTGTTTCAGCGATTCAATCCTGCATTTCAGGGCTCATCATGCCTCCCAGCTTTCAAATACCTGACGCCCAAGCTACGGCTCGAGGAGAACTCATTGTCAGACGAGCAAGTTCTCGCGCGAGCGTTCCACATGGTGTGCTCAGCTGCGCGCTGCATCTCGCTTGTCCAGGGGATCATGGCGCGGCGGCGGCAGCTTGCGATGGACGAGCCGCGCCCGGTTTTTGTGTGGGAGCCTGTACCGGACCTGTGCACGCCGGAGGAACTCGAGCGACTTCGCGAAGCCACTGCGCACGTTGACGTGGTCAGTCCGAACGCGGACGAGTTTGCGGCATTCTTCACATCAACGCCAGAACACGCAGATCGCGAGGCCGCAGTGGAATATCTTCTCCGCTCGAGGGACGCCCAGGGCCAAGCTCGGCCGCTGAAGACCGCTCTGGTGATTAGAGAAGGGGCCCATGGCTGCACAACCTACTTGGGACCGTCTCATCTGCATCTTCACGCGTACCACCAGAGATCCGAGCGAGTGCTCGACCCCACCGGCGGCGGAAATACATTCTTAGGCGCGTTGGCAATTGCACTGACTGGTACAGCGTCTCCAGGGGAAGGTATCCCGGAGTTGTTAAGTGTTCCTCAGTCGATATTTCAGCCTCAGAAGCTGCTGTTTGCCCTGTTACATGCTACGGTCGCGGCAAGCTATGCGATCGAACAGACAGGAATGCCTACGCTGTCGGATTCAGATCCTGATTCCTGGAATGGCGACCCATATTCACACCGTTTCCTAGCGTATTGGGGGCGAGAAAAGGCACATGTAGTCGGACAGCTCTCGAGACAGCTTCTGTCAGATACGTGACATAAAATCCCAATCCCCAGCAGAACCGACGTATCGCAATTGTTCACCAGAACAAGGCGACGAAATAAATGTTCGAACCGGCGGGATCGCCATATGATTGTGCAAGAGCCCGGTTAAAGGTTGCCTGTCTTACACCGTAGTCTGTACAGATTGCGCCATCCTAATCGTCCCGTAGGGTATTCCTTCTATCAAATATGCTCCGTGATAGCATGCTTCTTTTGATCTCATTTTGAGGCGAATACTCCTCTCGGACTTCACCTTCTCCAACTCTCTTCCGTGGGTGAAGACTGCAAGTCGTCAACTATTTTGTATAACGCGCGATGGCACGACGCCTGTCTGAGATGAAGCGATACTGGACGTTCGCTGGAGCAGGGAGTGGTTTCGGTGTTTATTGGCCTTTCTGCGCTTTATCGTGCTCGATCACCTGTTTGGTCCAACTGGAAACTTCGTTAGCACCTGGATCACCATACTCGCTCAATCGATCCCTGTCTATACTAGCCAGGGAACTCCTCTCTCGACTCTCTAGAGCTTCCGCTGGACCGCTCCAGCGCCGAAACCCCTTCATGAGATTTGCTAGGTGCACTTACTACCGACTCGGAAAGAAAGCGTCGCGCTCAGGAAATCTGTATCTGTGTTCCCGCTCGGCCGAAACCTTCCACGCCAGACCGGTGATAGCGGCGATGACCAGGCCAAATACCGCGGTGTTGGCTTTCCAGTTCTGCGGTTGTCCGTACCAACCACCGGCAGGCGACCAGATGTGTTTAGGGTATGGAATCTTGCCGCCTCCACCCATATTTGCGGTCGAGTTCGAAGAGAGTATTCGCAGGGGTATACGGTGGGAATAGGGTTGTGTCACAACGGCGTGGGAGGTGAGTGCGTGCGAGCTTCAACGGTTGACTGAAGTGCAGTTTGAGAAGTCATTGATGATTGGGGTGCGGCATGAGAGCTACAGGCTCGGCAGACCTTCCTGGTACAGCATATGCGTACAGCTTTCCCGTAGGTTCCTGGTAGGCACACTCCGTACTCCGTACACTACCTACTATTACGTGCCTATCGTCACGACTGTGCTAGAATGCCAGGTATGAGAAGATGAACGGAGACCAAATACGAAACCAAATATTGCCGTGGTAGGGAGTTTCAATTTCGATCGGCAACGGTGATACGGCGGAGCTCTGAATCAAGCCCGCAGCGTCTGAATGCCTTTTGCTCGAACGTAACGAACGTGACTTCCATGATGCCAAGTCCAATCGCCGCAGCTTCCCATCGAATTTCTTTCGCGTAGTCTCGTGTCGCAGGAGAAAAAGCTGCCCGACCATTGAACGACCCAAACATCATTTTCGGATGGTTCTATACGCACACATATCCATCGGGGCATATTGAAGAATCATCCAGATCAGCGGGGTGGCAGCTGGAGCTGCTGTGGCTCTAATGAAGAGATTGAGACTCCTAAAATGGAGTGGCAGCGTACTTTCACCACGGACCAGACCTGACCATATTCAATCCCAGCTTTACACTTTTCGACGATGTCTGGCTACAGCCGCTGCACCTTCTGAATCCTTTGATGAATCGGTCGAGGAGTTAGCGGATGCTCCATTTCTCCCGGAAGAAATACTTCAGCGGTTGCCCTCGCCTCCGGTCACAGCGGCGAAGACATCGGCCAAGCTGGCCGCCCTCCATGCTCGGCTCTCCCTGCCTTCACGTCTCCCGTTAGAAACCTTAGCGAGGACGCTCGTCGATGCCTCCGCAGACCCTTCGATACGATTCAACAACAAGCCATTCGCCGTGCTCGGAAATGATCTGTTAGGTTATTACACGTCAGAATACCTCCTCAGTCAATACCCACGTCTACCGCTCGCCGTGGTGTTTGCGGCGATGTATGCTTACCATGGGCCTGCAACACTGGCCGCGATTGCCCGAGAGTGGGGAGTGGAGGCTGCAGCAGAGCCAGGCGGTGAAGTCGACCCAGGCCTCCTCCAATTCAAAAGACTCCCTCCGGAACCAAAACCCGAACTCCCACATCCACAACTTATCAGCACTCGACAAGAAGAAAATCCGAAATTCCGGCGGACCATGAGCTCGAGATCTGTGTACGACGACCAGTTTGGCGAGATCAAGCGACGCGTCCAGGGTGCAGAGACCTCTCAAGAGAAAGGCGCGACCCTACAACGGGCGAGCACGGATTTTGTGCGAGCAGTATTTGGAGCAGTATACCTCCACGCTGGGCGAGCCGCTGCGAAACAATTTTACAACGACCACATTACCTCAAGACAGGTGGATATGGCCAGTCTTTTTCACATCAAGAATCCGACCAGAGATTTGAGCCGACTGTGCGCAAGAGAAGGATTCCAGGCCCCTGTGGCCAAAATTCTGAGTGAGACCGGGCGAAAGAGTAGAACGCCAGTCTTTGTGGTTGGCATATATTCCGGTAGCGATCTGCTCGGGGAGGGTGCAGGTGCCAGTCTGGATGAGGCCCGGATACGAGCAGCTGTGGCCGCCATGAAAGGGTGGTATCTCTACAGTCCAACCGAGTTTCGACTGCCGAGTGAAATGGAAGAGCCGGGAGCGAGGCCGTGGACCCCTATCTTGGTTGATCCAGGCGAGATTGCCAACTGATGCTGGGCTTCGATTCTTGTTATAACTGGCAGCATTCTCAAGAAGCGGTGTACTTTTATTACCCATGTGTTGCACATACTAGCCAGCTTCGGGCGCACAAATATTGGACAGTGGCGCATCGAAGGGCAATGACCGGTCGGTCATGAATTCATATGCTTCTCCTGAACGGTACAATTGTCTTCTCTCGAAGTTCTGAATTGCTATCATGTCAACACGCCGAGCCAAGCTCTCACTCTTGTTACGGCATCCTACAGAGTACTGGGCCAAATTAACCCAAGTCGTGTGTCGTCTCACTAAGATCAAGGCTTGATAGGACAACTTTCTCAGGGGTGTTGGTCCCTCTGGAGGATAGTAGAAATATACTCTAATACTCTTGAAGTCTTTCCCATCACCAGTGCTGCACGACCATGGCGCTACCTATAACACAAAGTGGTCAAACGGAGGAAGCCTCCAGCTTTCTTGAAAAACGAATGGCACCTACCGGACACGTTTCTTTGTTTGCCTGCCATCTCCTGCCTCGCAGGTTACCTGCAGTCTCCCCAGTACAACAAACCCGGCGCGCCTCTTCCCGCTTCCTCAGTTTCCAAACCACCTAAACTCACAACTGGAGAAAGTTCGCCAGCTTTTCTCAACTTCGCAGATTCTTCCTAGACATTATCCTCTGGCTTTCCCAAGTATTTGATCCGCAACTACCGCCACACAACCGAGGGAACTTGTAATAGAGTGAGTACCTATCATACCTACCTAATAGTACCTAAGATATAGGTACCGAGGAGCTAAGTTTTTCTGTACCACTGCACGACCACTGTAGTACGGCATGGCTGCTTGTTCAGCCTCAGCCTTGGCATGACGTCGACAATCTGCCACTTACCACCATTACTAGTGCGGAGGCTGCGCATGTCGGTGCTGCGTATGCGACGACGGCTGCCTGGAGCAATGAGCTGTCCGACATTTTCTCTAGACGACCAAACTTGCGACCGGCGTAGGGCTTAGGCGTCCCAAGGCCGGGCAGATCGACGCTGAGTCAGGGCGCAGCCAACATGAACCCGTGGAACCTTTGCACGCAAAAGTCTCCTGCGACTAAGGGACCCCTGTCTGCGCCACTGTCAAGTCTATGACTTTCCCACGAATCAGGCCATGCGACTACACTTCCATGGTGTCCATCATCTACGAGATCCAAGAGCGGGCGGAGCAGCATCCCCAGATGATTCCCAGGTCACGCGCTTGACTGGGGCTTGTGACTCGCTCAAACCCCCTTCAAAGGCCTCTCGGCCTGCCACGAGTTCGCCTTGCTAGGCTTTCTGTGTCATACTAAACCAGCATGTTGCCCGAAAGATGGCGGAGCCTATTCCCTGGCCCGTGAGTTTCGATCTCTTTTATAAGGGCGTCGGTTTCTCAGTCCTTGACAGGTCATGCTTCAGAAGTCTCGACTTTTACACCCGCTACAAGAGTCCGTTTAGATTGCAAGTATCATGGCAGCCGCAGAGTATTTCGGCTCTGGGGCTCGACCCTCTTTTGGGCAATCAAACAGTCAATATCTATCGCCGCAGCCTCAGCCTCAGCGGGCACATTCGCAGCCAGGCTATTCATATCATCCTCCGCAACCCGGCCAACCCAGCCAACCAGGCCAACCAAGCCCACAACTACCACCCCAACATGTTCAATATGGCCCTCTGCCTCCTCCTTATCAGCCGCCTCCTAACGAACACAAACCCAGTGTACACTTTCCGCCCGCCGCCTCTCCATTAGGCCAATATCCACCGCCCCCGCCGAATCAATCGAGGCCTGATCCTTACCAAATGAGTCAAACCAACTATCAGGCACAACAGCTTGCTCCTCCCCAACACGGCCCAATTATTCCTCAAAACTACCCCTACCAACAGCAGTCCAACGTATACCCACCTTACCGGCCCGGTCCAGGCCCTTCCAGCAGTGAGTTAGGTTTCGGAAATGGATATACTTCAGATCCAGAACCGCAAAGAAGAAAACACAAGAGTCGCCCACGCCGCGTCTCTGAAAATACCAGATCCACAAACGCGGATGGGTTTATTGGGGCGACAGGCGGCGGACTGCTGGGGGACCTCCTGTTTCCCGGGCTGGGTACGATTGGTGGCGCCCTTTTTGGGTGGGTTGGTGGTAAGGATTACGGCAAACACCGGAAATGGCGCGAGGAGAAGAGAGAACGCGACCAGGAGAGGTGGGAACAGAAGTTCGGCCGTGGTCGGTCGAGCCGGTCCAGTCAGTCCAGGAGTCACAGCCGGGACAGGCGGAGGAGTAGTCATGATCGACGGAAGAGTTACGATTGAGGCGGAAGTCCCTTTTGCAATCGACCCAGACGGCAACTGCAGGCTGGTACCCCATTTGTATGGGTGTAGCAGCACAGAAAAGTCTTCGTCTCCATGGCCGGTCCATCGAGGCTGACGGACATAATGAAGCTTTATTGAGCACGAATCTCCAGGAACAAGAAAGAATACATGTCGTTAGTTATGAACCAGTTATGAAGTCGTTTCCCGCAGATGATCCCATGATAGACCGCCAGTATGCTCCAAAGCCCACTTGCATGTGTGTGGGAGCCGAAGGAGGTAGTGAAAGATGTAGCGAAAGACGGACGGTAGAACATGGGATGCTCGTAATGGCTCCCCCCCCCCCCTATATCCATGTAATGTGATTGGTCACCGCCACTCTGCACCGTCAATCTCGGCCACTTGCACTTGCGCAGTCTGCTCGCCTCTGGTTCAGCGTAACCAGACCGGGTCATTGCTTCATCTTTTCTGCTATGTGAGAAGTGCCGTCGACAAGTGTCGTGCAGGCTTTGCCGCGAGATTGTGCTGAAGACGGGTTGAGGGTGTACCCCGTGTAGGCCTTCATCACCACACCGCATCCTGATCATCCACCACAGGAAAATTGGACCTATGTTGATGCCCTCGGGTCCGCCGCGGCCACGGCGGCCAAAGTCCACTACACCAGCGGATGGCCCTTCTCGCCGGCGAGGCCGGCCGATGAAACGGGCCTTGGAATTGAAACCATCCCGGAAAGCCAGAACAGACCACTCGAAACTGTTACACGCGCAAGCTTCAGCAGCAATGGCAGCTTCCAAGCCGTCAAACTCTCAGCGGCTCTCGCGCCTCGAATCCCTCCCCGTCGAACTGATCCAGCATATTTTCTTCTCCTCGTTCGAAGTGAACATGCCACGTGCATCGACGCATCTGGCCCGGGTGCTGTCCAAGCCCTCGATCTACAAAGCACTCGTCCTGTTCGCGTACTTTGACAATCTGGATGACCAGCTCCCCATTGAAACCCACCATTTTCGACCGGCGGAGTATAGACGCCTCAGTCGCGACGAGCAGATCCGATTACAGCGAGGGATTCTCGGCTGCAGATGGCTCACGCCGAGTTTGTTGAAATCGTGCATGCCAACACTAAGCAGACTTCAGATGACTCAGGCATGGCACCACGAACACCAGGCAGAGAAGGCACTCGGGATCGGGTCCCGGGAGCTGGAGCTGTCGCCATTGGTGCCACCGGAGTTGGTGACACCGGCGGTGAGGGTACTGCTCCAACGGGTAGCCGTGCTGCCAGCGCTCGACGATGACCTGGGCATGCGAATGCACTTTTTCGCCATGCAGCCCCTGGTGACACTGAAGCTGCCTTCCCCCGTCCATCTAGGGTTGGCCCAACGCCCTGACGATCAGGGACCGCAGCTGCAACTGCCTATTCTCGGCCCGACGGGCGACGAGGACACCTTGCCACGAATCTTGCAGTGGTACTCCTGGCTTAATAGGACCAACGACTTTTACAAAACTGTAAGGAGGGGCTCTAGCACCAGCATCCTCGCGGCACGGGTACTGCCCGATCACATCGTGCGCGGGGGCCCATGGACGGAATCCAAACTAGAGCTGCTGCAGCTACTGAGGCAGGGTGTACGATTCCTTTTTGTGGACCGTGTGCTCGAGATCTCCGCTGCGGCGCTCTTCGAAGGCATGGCCAGCGCGATCCGCGAGGAGAACGACCAAGCATTGCTGGTCCTACTGGAACTGCATTACGCCACCATGAGACTGCATCCGAGGCACGAGCCGAACCATCTCGACGGCACGCCGCTTCGCGGAAGACGATACTTGGTGGCGCCGTTTGCACATCCCTTGCCTATTGAGCTATTCCACTTGGCCGTGAAACGTAATTCTACAGCACAACAGATCCTGGCACCGATTGACCCAGACGCAGGAGGAGAAACCGAAAGTCAACGAGAAGCACGACCACAGCCCCAGAGCCAAGTCACCACCCCCGGCGAAGCCGACCATGAGCCTGACACTCCCCTACATCTTGACAGCCAACCAAACGAAGATGGCGCTGGGCCCCTTCGCACACCTCGCCCCTCCACCGCCCGCATACTGACCCTGCTGCTTCGTGAGGGCGTCGACAGCGTCGGCCTCGACGACTCAATCCTCACGCGCTGGGCGACGCACACCTGGACCCACACTACACGGTCATCCGACTTGCAGGACCGCCGGTTAGCCCGCTGGCTGCTTGACTACATGTCTGGTACGGACGACTACGGGCTGGCCCGGGGTGAGCCGCTGTTTGTGAACGGCGAGTTTGTCTCGCCCCGCAGGGAGGACGAGTGCCCATTTCCCCAGAAGTCGTTTTCGGATGAGATTGGCTATGTCGTCGATGGCGAGCCGGAGGCCGCTGTGAGGGCGCCAGATGGTGGGCCATGTGGATGAAATCATCGTTCTCGTCCTCATCCTTACCGTCAGTGGTCAGTGACCGATCGAGCAGTCATCACGACCGATGGACAGTGATCCATTCGGTAATCGGCTCGATGGCGGGAACCCAGCCTGACCCGGAGCGGGATGTCCAGATACTCTTTTTTTGAAGCTGTCTCGTATATGTCAAGCTATATGCAACATCTTCTTCACCGGTGCTGCTGGCTTTTCCCTATATACTCTCCTTTCCCCCTTTTCGCAACCACAGCGTCTTCTTTCTGTTCGACCCTCACGGCTCGCCTGGCCAGATACGATCAGCGATCTTCCTCACCAGCTTCAATTTCGCAATCATGTCTTCCATCTTAACCGCATTGCCGCTCGAATGACTAGCGAACCCGCACTGCGGACTGACTCCACATCTTGCCAGGGCTTCTTTCTCGATCTCTCCTGTGCCCTTTGCGATCCACTTGGCCGCCTCTTTGACCCGGGCGACCATCTCATCCTCGTCCTCCAACTCGGGGAACTTGCTGGTGATGACGCCCAGAATGACATTTTTGTTCTTGGGCAAGTGCTGCAGCGGTTCAAACCCGCCGGCTCGATCGGTGTCGTACTCGAGATAGTACGTGTGCATGTTGAGTTTCTGGAACAAGATGGTGGCGATTCGGTCGTAGCCGCCCTCGGAGAAGTGCCGCGAATTGACAAAGTTGCCGCGACAGAGGTGCACGCCGACATGCATGTCTGAGGGAATTTCCGCGACGCACGCATTGTACAGGTCGGTATATTTCTCGAGAAGTTTGTCCGTCGAGTACGTATTGAGAGGATCTTTGTTCCAGCCTTCGATCATGGCTTCAGAGCAGAAGTCTGGCGAGATATGCGAGTCAACATGCCGAGGAGGTCAGTCTGGGCAGATTACAGCACAACTTACAGGCCAGATTGGGATCGTCGAATTGGACATTCCTCAACCCGTGATCGTACAGGATCTTGAGCTCCGCCTGGTACGCTTTGGCCACATCGGCGAAGTACTCATCATCATTCTTGTACACATGCTTGGGGTACGCCTTGCCCTCTTTGTATCTGAGATGGTACCAGTTGGGGGCCGCCGGTGTGAGCTTCAAGTCTTTCCACTTGGACTGAGGCACCAAGCTCTTCAAGAAATCAAATTGAGCAGTGTACGTACTGCCCACATGTCTGATCTTGCCGGTACACAACACCGTCTCGCCGGGCTTGTATCCTTCTTCTGTAAATGCGGCAATGTCGGGAATATACATGCGGAAGAGATCCGCGTCGGGATGTTCGATCTCGGTCATGCCTTCGAGACCGGGCCAGAAAGAACCCCAGAACATGTGCCGGCGATACTCGCCGTCCGTAATGGCATGGAAGCCCAGGTCAAGCTGCAGCTTGACAATGTCCTTTACGTCGGCATCCTCGACGGCTTCGAGTTCCTCGGCGGGTTTCTTGCCTCCTTCCCACGCATGGCGAGTCTCGAGGAGCTTTTCGGTCCGGAGGAGGGAACCAAGGTGTTCGGCGCGGAAGGGAGGATTGCAGTGTCGACTCGGCGGCGACATTGATGTTGCGGGTAATTTATGTCAATTCCAATGCTACGGCAGGGAGGAGGATGTCGTGTGTGAGCTGGTCGTCCGTGAATCTACCAGTCGGTAGCAGTGACAGAGACAAGGAAGGACAAGCAAGTTACAGTAGTAACGATGAGATATTCTACATGCGTGCAGATACAAGGAAATATATCCATCCACACCGTTGGGTTTATACTGTCCCTGGGGTTAGCCCGGGTTGAGAGGGGGTTTGCGTCACCCGCGGCATCTCGACCACCTCCTCTGAAAGGAGTACTCTGTATGTCTTCCAGCTTGCACATGTCCATCCTATCACTCGACGAAAATGCAGCAATTTATCTTACAGCGTGCAAAGAGGCAGGATCCGGCCGTCGAGGTGAACCACACACTGTATTTTGCAGGAGAGACACGGTTCGGGGGCGCAGGGAAGACGAGGTTTGGGGTTCGAGGATGGAGGTTGGCGCTTATCTTCACGTGCCGATAAGGCTGGCTAAGCCTCCTATGCCGTATTAGCTCGCCTAGTGGCTTCATTACCCCGCACCGCAGTTTGACACAGTCCCGCAGTCTGCCTCGCCTGCGACAACGACGATGACTGCGGCAGTCCATGTCTCGCCACCAATTCTCGCCCTCCCGCTGTCGCTATTGTCTGGCCACTGCTCGGACGATTCCATTTGTGTTTGATCTCCCCTTGTCAACGCCCGTTTCTTCTTGGATCGACACAGTTGTCCGTCACCTCACCGTACAAGGCGATCATCTCCTCACTGCGGATGGCTGGTCACCTACGGCCTATTGGGATCCTCCTTGATTGATCCCGGCCCCCGGCTTTTGCGGATTCCTGCCACCTCGCCACAGATGGATGCAATAGACCGTGGATGAATCTCATCTCAATTAACAACAACCACAACTTCGCAGATCAAGATGGTGCAATATTCCGACTAGTTTTCAATTAAACTGAAACCACTGTCAACTCATCCGCCTTGAGTCCGCAAAGTCCCCGGTCAAGGGACGACCGCCCTGCCTTCCATGTCACTTCTCGATCTGCCCAACGAACTTATCTCCCGCATCATCTCGTTTCTGGACTCGCCCAGCCCCTTTGACGAGACGGTTCTTCACAAACCCATCTCATGGCGGAACCTCAAACAGCCATGGCAGGTTGACGACCCGGATCACATGCCCGACGGGACACCGTTCTGGCGCGACCCATTGAAGCAGCTTTCTCTGACCTGCCACCTTGTCCGCTCGCTGACCATGCCCCTGCTGTTCAAACACGCGGTGTTGCATCCCCACCGTCTCACGGAATTCCTCGCCTTCTTGAGGGATCAAACCCTCACCCACCACGTATCCAGCATCGTGGCCGATGTGCCAGGTATATACAACCATCTCCACCCGGCATGGTGGGCACGCTTGCTCAACGAGGTACCTGTGACTCGCTTCAGTATTTTTGCTCCCCCAGAGGTCCTGGCCGAAATGGCCGGTATAAGCGCCGACAGCGCCGATGCTTGGGCTTTCGACATGGCCACTCAGATTCTCAGGTTTGACCAAACCGCCGAAGATGCGCGAGCCCAGATCGACTACGACAACCTTCCGAATTTCCTCGTTGCCCGGCCCTGGACGAACATGACCTTCAATGAAGGCTCCAGTCTGCTGGCATATACCACCTATGAATTCTTTCTGAGACGGACACCTTCACTGCTGACCGCCCTGCAATCCAACCACTCGGCTGCCGGAGAGACGTTGTTTGCCAACTTGCTCAGCTTCGAATTCATCGCCATCTTCCCCTTCTATAACCACATAGACGAAATCCTGAAATGTGTCCGTCGAATGAAGAGACTGAAAAGGTTATTCATCAAACTGTGTCCTGAGCCCGACAGCACAGTCCTGCACGATGAGATTGAGCAGGCCGGGGGACATCTGGACGTCAACGATCCATGGAATGAATGTGAGACGTCTTGGATGCTGATTGCTCACACCGTGGTGTTCCTGACCATGGAGGGAGCACTGGAAGAGCTCCACATGGACGACGTCAAAGTTGACGGGGTTAGAAGCACTTTGGAAAACAGCCTGGTCGCCCGGTTGCAAGAATGGTGGGCGTACCATGGGGACGGGTCCGGCGTGTGGCGTCGCAAGAGCCTGGGTCTGGTGGCCTCAGCCCCCGTAGCCGGTCAGTAACGATGTAGTGGTTTGTTGGATTTGCCCGTCCTCTGTTGACTACTTTTGCATCTATTGTCGAGGATCTGCAGATGCTTGTCCTTTACAGTGGTAGTTACGGTAATAGCTAGATTCTTCACCAGACTTCCAGTCGAGACTATTACTATTTGCAGTTATTTATTTCAGTCTATATCGAGGTAGCATAGGATCTGGGCGAAAGTACCAGCACTACACTGTACATCCTGTCTCGGACCGCCAACGGCGGTAGCAGCCAGTCATGGGGAAGGGGAAGGGGAAGCTTAGTGAGGATTTCTTCAAGTTGATACGTACGGATACTTAACTTGCCCTTACAAACTCCGCTCAACGAGTTGAACTGCGTCTACGAAACTTTTGAGCGTGGGGGGGTGGGGTGATATATAGGTATAGAAATAGGTTAGGTGTTATTCAGAAACAAGTTATATAGATAAATAATGCTCAAAAAGTGTTCGAAATCACAACACAAAAACCCGTGAAAAACAACAGGTCGCTTAGCTCAGTTGGTTAGAGCGTAAGTAATCCAGCTCTCCATCCATGCGCCGTCAATTAACTCGGAACAGGTGGTGCTAATATCAAACACATCTGTGTCTGGGACGCCAAGGTCGCGAGTTCGACCCTCGTAGTGACCATCTAATTTTCTTTTTTCTTTTTTCTTTTTTGTCTTTTTTGTCATTTGTGACAGACAGTACGGCTTACCTAAGCCGGTTCGCGCGGCCTACCAGTGGGTGACAGAACCAGTCCCAGTTAGCACTATAGGTGGCAGGCTCTTTCTATGTAAACCTCCACCAAATACCCTCTTGTTAATGCTTTACTCCACCAATACGGAGTACTGACTTTTATGTTGTACAACTACGTATTATTGATATCCACGCAAGGCGCTATCGGCTGATCGTAAATATGTTTATATATGTATATGTGTATATGTCTAATATGTATATGTTTATATCTGTGAGACTGATATCACTGATGCAAAGCGGCAGGCTATTGCTGCTATTGCTGTTGCTGTTGCAGTTGTTCCTCATAGCGACGGTTCCTCAATTCGGCCAGCGGCAGCACGACATCACAGGTCGGGGTGCTGGGGCCAGAGCCGGAGCCGGAGCCAGCCAGACGTTTGACAGCGTCCCAGGAGCGGATAAAGGAGTCGAGCTCGAGTGGGTGGCCGGCCTCCAAGTCCTGCAACATGGAGAACTGGTGGTGGCCGGTGCTGAGGGTGAAGGCGAGGCGGTCCTCGACGGACTGAGGCACGTGGACGGACAAGGCGGCGCCGACGGCGTCAACCTCGCGCAGCATGGCGGCGAAGACGGCGACGACGGCGGGCTCGGTGGCGAAGCCGCTCATGTCGGCCAAGGTCAGCACGGCGATAGGATTCCCGCACAGGCTGTTGGCGAACTTGGTCCAGATCTCGCCGCGGATGTTGTCAGTCACGGTGATGTCCAGGCCGCCGGCCTGCATCAGCTCGACCAGCGCGGTCAGGCGTTTCGAGTCGCCGCTGTGGCCGGCCAGCTCGCCCACGGCGTAGCGGGCGCTGCTGCCGTCTTGCTGCGTCACGTTCGGAGCGAGCCGGTGGGCGCCGCACCAGAACACCACGGGGATGACCTGGCTGGGCGGCAGGACCTGCCACGCCACGCCGTCCGGGTCGATCTCCGGCAGTCGCTCGTCGTCGTGCGCGCCCGCGAACCCGTGGAAGAAGTAGTAGGGGATGCCGGTCGACGGCGGCAGGATCGTGGTGTTGGGCCCGACCAGCTGCGAAATCGTCCTCAACACCGCCGCCGTCTGCTGTTGGATCTTCAGCGTGATGATCACATAGTCCTGGATCCCGAGCGCCGCTATGTCGCTGTCGCTGCTGCCCACCGCTTGCACGCGCGCGGTGAAATCCTCCCGAGGCGTGATCACTCGGATCCCGTTTTGCGAGATGGCTGAAACGGTTCGCGAGTGCGGCTGGGCCACCACCGACACTACCGCTTTGCCTGTGCGAGCAAGGTGGCCGGCGAGGTGGCATCCAATCGCCCCGGCACCGTAGATACAGATCTTCGGCTTCGGCGTCGGATTCGGATCCATCTTGATACGACCTTAATGGACGGATCCTCGGTATAACGTGCTGCATATATTCAGCAAGTACTCCGTCGTGTGCCTGGCAGCCATCATTGGATTGGGTGGGAAAGGGAAGCTGTTTGACTGGTGACGGCAAGTAATTCAATTACTAATGAGGGCTCAACATACCGGACAGAGTAAGTGATTCTAGTAGCCAGGAAATTAGCCCGACCCGATGGCTGATTCCAGAGTAGATGTATCCGTTCTCTGTATCCCGATGTCTTATCAAAAAGGAGATGAAGACGGCAGCCATCGTCATCGCACACAGCGAGGGAATGACTGGCAGGCGAAGGGGCCTCCTAAGCCTTGGCCCCTTGGTGATTTGCATCTGGCACCTCCTAGGTGCTTCCTAGGCGCCGCCTACTGTCAGTCTAGAGGCCCGGGGCCCCTTTTCATTCCCCAGTCGTGCCCAAGCTGGGGCTGGCCATTTGTTAATAGTGGATCTTGGTCGCGCTTATCAGATCCCGAGGGCGACGGTGCATCAGTGCATTCCGGCAAAAGCGGCAGATCCTGGCCAGGATTCCCTATCCAAATGGCCTGGGTTTGCCCGCCTGAACTGCATTCAACGTTCCGATACCCGGCGGCCATGCGCGGATCGTGGGCCAGCGGAGCCCCAAGGACACCCCCCGGTCGGTTGTTTACTGTATCCGTACCTGGGTGTATATACATAGTCCGGGGGGATTTCCCCCCTCCCTCAGCATCTCAAATGCGCACCCTGTTGAAGAGCCCGACTGCCAACCGGGAACGAGACCAGACGACACGAGACGACACGAGACGGCACGAGACGGGCATTCGGCCACAGCCCCTGAAATGGGCAGCTCCGACGACCTCCCAACCCCAGTCGAGGGCCCTCCGACACATGAAAAGGACGATACTGGTCGCTGGCGATCGTACACCAAGAAGAAACGGCCCTGGAGGCTGGTGGTGACTGATTTCGAGGCGATTGTCAACGCCGACTATGCAGGGAGCGGAACGAGCGAAGATCCATACATTGTCGACTGGCTGGACGACGACCCGGAGAATCCAAAGACCTACACCGAGCGCATGAAATGGGGAGTCACCCTCCTCGCCGCCACGCTGACCCTCTGTGTGGCCTTTGCCTCCTCAGCATATTCGGGCGCGGTGGATAGTATTATAGAACATTTCCATTGCAGTGAGGAGGTGGTCATTCTGGGCATGTCTCTCATGGTGCTGGGCTACGCCGTGGGCCCGCTGCTCTGGGCCCCGTTATCCGAAACCTTTGGTCGCCGATACGTCTTTCTAATCTCCTTGGTCTTTTGTACTCTCTGGCTATCCCTCTGCGCGGCATCTCCAAACATCCAGTCACTGATCATCTTCCGCTTTCTTTCCGGCACGTTTGGCTCCAGTGCCCTGGTCATCCCCGGGGGTGAGATTGCCGATATGTTCGAAACCGAGACGAGAGGGATCGCGGTGGGGATCTTCTGCGTCGCTCCGTTTATGGGACCGGCCATCGGTCCCCTGATCGGCGGCTTCCTGGGCACCGCAGCGGGCTGGCGTTGGGTCATGGGTTTTCTCGGTATCTTTGCCGGGTGTCTCACTGCCATCGGCGTCGTTCTCTTACCCGAGACTTACGCCCCGGCGTTGCTGCGGTCTCGAGCGAAGCTGCTCTCACAGGTGACGGGACGCGTCTATTTGACAGCCATGGACGCTCGTAATCCGCTCAACATCCGGGAACTGATCAAACATTCTCTGATCCGTCCGTGGGTCCTCCTTTTCCTGGAACCTATTGTGTTGAGTCTCACCGTAAGTGACCGGGCCCCTTGTCCTGTTCCACGCTGGCCGGCCCACCAACACTAATCTCTTGGTCAGCTATACATGTCGGTTGTCTATGGTACACTCTACCTGTGCTTCGCGGCTTTTCCTATCGTCTTCCAGGCCGGTCGTGGCTGGAACCCCGGCGTGGGGGGTCTTGGGTTCATGGGAGTTCTCGTCGGCTTCCTAACCGGGGTGTTTGTCGTCATTTTTGACAACAAACGTTATATCCGCTGGCACCGCAAGACCAACGGATTTGCTCCTCCTGAATGTCGACTGCCGCCGGCCATATGGGGGGGCCTGGCAATCGTCGTCGGCCTGGCGTGGTTTGCCGCGACCAATGGCCCGAATATCCATTGGGCAAGCCCCATCATCGCGGGATTTCCATTTGGCCTTGGGTTTGTGCTGGTCTTTCTCTGCTGCGCAAACTACCTGTAAGTGGCAATTTTCCAAACCCGGAGCCTGTCTCATGGCTTCTGTCGCCGGCTTTTCCTGCTCGCCGACCCGGATAGCAAGCAACACTGAGATTGACGCATGGATTTTAGGGTCGACGCCTACGTCATCTATGCTGCCTCTGTCCTTGCGGCCAATTCGGTGATGCGCTCGCTCTTTGGCGCCATCTTCCCTCTCTTCACCACCTACATGTACAGGGTAAGACGATTGGATTGCGTCCGAAGGTCTGTTTGCTGACGGATGTCCAGGATATTGGCATCCATTGGGGATCTGCCGTCCCTGGGTTCATTGCACTGCTCTGCCTCCCATTTCCTGTCCTCTTTTACGTGTATGGGGCCAGAATCCGGCGGAAATGCAAGTACGCCGCCGAGGCCGCCGAGCATCTGGACAATGCTAGAGGGAGGTTGGAACGATCGACGAGCAGGGCAACAAGCCGGGCTGAAATAGAGCGGGCGCGGAGGGTTGCATCGAGGGACTCGGATATGAGAGCGGGGGTGGAGGAGGAGGACGAGGCTGCTCGAGAGGACGGTGTGAAGTGGTGATTGCTCGAGGCAGCAGGCAACACCTCTAGCAGTGTTCCAACACCGACAGACCTCAGGCTTCCTTCCATCTTTGGTAGTGGGGAGAGAACTTTACTATGACACCCTCCATCGAAGAACCCTGTCGATCCCTTTGGCCGTCTGATCTGCTGATATGAACACATTCTGCATCAAGCCGGCGCCTGCCGTGGCCTGACGTGATTCCGGCCTCTGACCTACCCTGACAATCACCTCATCACCGGCGGGATGAAATGGGCACTCTATGTCCGAGTTATGCAGAGAGGCGACTGCCAGTGTGTCCGCATACAATGTGAGGCAAAAGGGTAATAACAGGCGTGACGTAGGAAGCTCTCCCGGAAGACGATCTCAGGCCAAGCATCATCTCACGTGACCGATGGTTTTCTTCCAGTTCAGCTTACTAATCCCAACACCAGCACCACTGCGGTGCCTTATAGGTGCCCATACCTCCCACTTGATACCTACTACTACTGTCACTTCGTCGTACTACTACTGCTGCTGCTGCTGATGCTGCTGTGTAAGTGCCTAGGACCTAGCACCTAGCACCTAGCACCTCCCTCGGACCTACCTACTAGGCACCTAGCACGGAGCACTGCCCAGTGCCTACTCCGGCGCATGGATTATTGCGCACCGCTCTCCCCCCGGCATACCTTCCCATCAATCCGCGCGTCATGTGTAGCGGCCTCGCTACCATTGGCCCAGCGGGCGGGAACAGAATGCCGCTGTCTGCCCCGGCCAAACAGCAGCGGCGCAGGACCGGGATTTATTTCCAGTAGACAGGTCCAGATCTCCATTTTCGCAGCATGATTTGACAGAGGCTGCCGGCTGCCCCCAAAGCAACAGGTGGGGGGGTGTGCTGATCTCCATCGACCTTTCCGCCTCGGGTCGCTCTTCCTTAGGTTCCTTAGGGTTCCCTAGGGATGTTGAGATCTGAGCAAGCACCCAAGCACCTTGACTGTGTGTTGCCAGTTTGCAGCCTAGGGCCGCTACAAATAATGGCGCTCTCTCCCAGTTCCCTCGTTTCTTCCATCACCAGACTGGTCTCTGCTCGATTGTCTTTGAACCTGAGATATCCCATTTGGCCCCGACTGCAACTGCGACGAAGGGCAACTTGTTGACCTGTCTTCGCCATGGACCATCGTCTCCGTTGACACGACACAATCCCATCGGCCACGTCGAACATGTCTTCGCCACCCAGAACCCGACCGCTGAAGCCGGCCAAGGACGGCCAGCCCTCCAAACCATCCATTCCGAAGAAGCGACAAGCCAGTGCGAGAATCTCGGCCGCTTGCGAGGCGTGTAAAAAGAGGAAGACCAAGTGCACTGGCGGCCCGGCACCGTGTCAACTGTGCGTATCGCTCGGCACCGAATGTATCATCGATTTGTCGCTGGACATGAGACGTCGCGCCGCCCTCCAGCGAACCCTGGACGAGTCCAGGATCTTTCAAGACACTCTGAACGTCCTCCTTGGCGCCATCCGCGGCGGCCCTTCCGCCCGCCTAGATGCCCTCTTCGAATACATTCGTTCCGGTGCCAGCAGTGATGACATTGCCACCGCCATCCATTCCCAATGGAACAGCATTGAGGATCAAGATTTGGACCAAGTATTCACATCGGGCGCCGATGAAATGGAAGAGCCACTCCTGGATGGATCCGCTGCTCAGCTGAAGGCCTTGGCCGACTCGGTCAACGGCAATCCCACACATGAAGAGCTCGAGACCCAGAAAAGAGAGGCATTCAGGCTTGGGTCTGTGGGATCGGACTCACGTCGCGGAAGGCTCAAGAACAGGGTAGGCTTATTTGATATGTCGCGACTCGTGGCGGCCCTGAAAACCTGCACCCCGGCCGACGGTGAAGAGCTTCTACGCCAATTCTTGGCCTCACGATTCGATGACAAAATTTCTTCCAACCCCGGTTCCGGTTCGGTGTCAAGTGGCATGAGTTCCTCAGATGGGGTGGTGCAACAAAGCCCCTATCCCAGCATGGTTGAACGTTCTCAATGGCACCCAGCCTTGCAAGCGCGTTCGGAAAGCAACCGAAGCCAGCAACAGGTACACGTAAGTGCGGATGATTTGGTTGTGTTAGTCCTTGATCGACCCGCTCTCATCCGTCACATTACTGACACTTCTCGCCACTCCAGGTCGGCTCACTCTCACGGCGGGCAGTAGAGACAAACCCGATGAGCCATACCTCTTCATACACTTCATCGTCCTCGCTTGGGTCCGCGAAGCTTCAATCTTCCCCTCAACCAGTCATCAGTACCGACATGCTCATGGTTCCGGACCGTGCCATTTCACCCACCGTGCCTTACCTGGAGCCGATTCAAAGTCCAACCGCCTCGACCTGTGCGACGAATATTCGAGACTTGTGCGTGGCACAGGAACATCAAGCAACAAGGCTTCGCATCCCCCCACATCTCGTGCTGCCTCTGACCGTCAACGACGACTCTTACATGAGCCGGACATATTCGCATTATCTGCAAGCCGCCCAACAGATGCTCGAAGCAGGCGTTCCCCCCTCAGACATCATGGGTCCCACTGCTCAGGTGGTGGTGGATCTATTCTTCCGGCCACGTTCAGCCAGCGACAAATTTGATTGTGCTTCGTGGGCATGCGAGGTTTGCCGGAGCTATGACCATGATGTCTTTGTCCGGCTCGCCTCTGTCTTTATGCTTGCGTCCATGATGCGGGTGAGTTGGAGCCGCCCAGGTTTTGGTCGAGCACTACAAAATGTGCTAACATGCTCCCTAGTGGCTTCTAGTACCAACTCCCGAGCTGTATCAGAGAATTCCGGACATGATGAAGCCGACGCCCTCGCAGTGTATGATTCCGCACATTGGAGCCATTGAAACCATCCCACTGTATGTTGTCCCACACATGTCACCTCCTCTCCCACCACTGACCTATCGCCTGTTAGTCCTCCGGTACGAGATGCTGTCATTCACCGCCTGCGCGATTGGCTCACCCCACTGGTGCGGGCGGGGTGGAGTGTGAATTGGCAGTATGGGCTGGACGCGGCCATTGAACGAGATCCGGCCACCGGATCCACGGTCTTGACGGCCGACTTTATCGAACATGTGTCCGACTACAACAACTGGAGTGTCGCTCGCAGCTTTCTCGAAGACTTTCCTGAGGTTGTGGGACAGATCAGAATCCATGAGTCATGATCCACCCATATCCGTAGAACGGTGAACCATGACGAGGGTTGATCATACATTGGCGCAGTTGATGTTCGACGCCTCGATCTTACCAGAGAATTAAGCAACCAGGCCTTTGAGCTGTCTCACAATCTTGGTCAGTGTTTGATGACGATTAAAGCTTGGGGTTTACCAGCTCAGCACGTTTATTCTCAAACGCAAAGCGTCATTTGGAGGAGCAGACGATACCTGTACCGCATCGGCCGAGACTTGACAGGACTTTGTCGACCTCAAGTTGGGCCTGACTCTGCTCGAATGCCCTCCCACCACTCAAGTGCGATGGTATCACAAAGACCAAAAGTGGAATGCCACCCGAGGGGCCCCCGGACTCGATCCAAAGCATGAAATGAGTCGCATCTATGGTAGATTGCTGGCTTCGATCCGATAGCAGCGAGGCTTGCTCCGAAGACATGGCTTGAGGGGTCCCGCCGAGAAAAAGAGCCCAGTCTTGGTCATTGTAGCCGGAGGGTGTAGTAACCCGAAGAGACCAACCTTGAGAGAGATCTGATCTCGGCGGCGCTAGTTCAGTTCGGTTCGGTTTCAAAGTCAACAAGGCCAGGTTGTCTTGATCTTATTTCTTGTGTCTGTTATCACGACGTGACGCAACGCGAAGCAACGCAGCGCAGCGCAGCACAAAGGATCGGATCGGATCGGATCGGATCGGAACGCAGCAATCAATGGGATGTATATGTATCGGGTATGATGTCTGCGTGATTGAATGGGATGTGATGGGGTAAAAGTAAATCTGAATCTAAATATGGAATGTGAATATGAAACATGAAATAAAAGATGGAATATGGGACACGGCAGACGGCATACTTTTGGAACATGGAATAGGAACGAACCTACCTACGGAGTACGGAGTATACGGAGAATAATAGAGTGGCACCTACGGATACACTGGCGCGTCGGCGTCTGGTGGCGACTCAGCCTCGCGTTACGTCAGCGTCAGCGTCAGCGTCAGTCCCAATTACAGTCCCAGTGTGGTGCCAGTGCCAGTCCCCAGTCTCTCTCAGTCAAGTGTCAAGTACCTAGGGATAGTGATACCACCTAGATACTTATTAGATACTGGATATTAGATACCACCTACTACTAGAGACGGAGACGGAGTACTAATTAATTAATTACTATAGTCAGTTGGCACCTAGTTGGTGTCTCGGTCTACTTGTACTCGTATCGAGGTGGTGGCGACGCCTCACGCCACGCCACACCTGCCACGCCACACGCAAACGTACCTAGGTACTACCTGACATATCAGATGGTTATGGTTATGGTCATGGTCATCAAGGGTGATCCTGACAAGTATTCACTCTGCTGGAAGGAGATGGGAAATTGCTATCCATATTGATTGATGGCGACTCTCAGTCTTCGCCGGTCGTCAACATCGACATCACACATGTGGAAACGTAATGACATAATTGCTATGTAGAGAAGAAAAGAAAAGAGACGAGTGTTGAAAATGCCAACCAAGATACCGCCGTTCCTCTGGGAGATACAAGAAACAGTTCTGACAAGCATTAGAGTTACAGTTGCAATTCCCAATTCCCAAATCCCGGACCTGGTCGTTGCAGAAGAAAGGAATGGATCATGAAACATGACACCCCGGTATGTCGTTCGCACACACTCTCTCTGCCTGGAATTAGCCCCCGTCACCGCCTGGGATTGGTGCCTGCTGTGCATGCTGTGCCTGCGCCTGCGCCTGCGACTGTAGCACCTCAAACACCATCTGTGGCGGCAAGGAACGCAAAAAGTTCTGCAGCCGCAGGATCTCCGCGCTCTGGCGCCGAATCAAATCCTCCTTCCTGAGTAACTCGTCTCGTAGCCGTTGAACCAGTTGCTGCGTCGGCGTGGTCGTCGCGGTCGTCTGCATTTGTGTTGGAGTCTGCGTCGTCATCTCGGGAGCCCCGATGGCTACAGCTGCACTGCCTGCTACAGTTGTCGCCACATGCATGTGACTGGCCATCGCCACCGTGTGGCCACTCTGGCTCTCCGACGTGGTGGAGACTTTCCTTCGCTTGCTAGAAGGACTGGACACTTCCTGTTGCGAATGTTCCGGGGCTGGTATTGGTATCGATGCCGTGGTAGGTCGGTGGGCTCCTGATTTCGCAGGATAGACATAGTCGGAGGTCTCAATCTCGTCGAGGTGTCTTCTCCGTTTATGCTCCTCAAGGTTTTCCTTTCTCGTGAAGCCTACGCCGGAACTTCGATTGCAGTTGGCGAACGGACAAAACAGGGGTTGTTTGGTGGAAAGATGCATTTTGTGCACTTCTCGTTGATGCCTCAGGAGACCGCCTGAATATGTGAATCCAGGATTTAGTTCGCACCCCGATTCGAGACATTTGTACGGCCTTTCGTGCCGGTCCATATGTTTGTTCCATTCGCACATCCTCCTAAATATCTGGTTGCTGTTCCGACAGTTGGGGTGGTCGCAGCACATGTCACCTTCTTGATTGCGAGGAGGCGGCCTGGCACGGCGGACAGCCGAGTTGGTCCTGGAGAGGGAGGAATGATGATCTGACACCGTGTCATAATGTTGCTCGCGCTCGCGTTCGTGTTGATGTTGGGGCTGGTGCTGGCGCTGTTGCTCTGCCATGCCGACGACATGTGTATGTTTGGATTCGGGTGTGCTTGTGGTCGATGCTGAATCGCTATCAGCTGGTGGGGAGAAGGGATAGTGGTGCGTCGTCATAACCATGATGCCAAATCACACAAGACATAGAATCTCGAGGTTGAGGTTGAAGCTGCGTTTGCGGTGGCAGTTGCGGTTGAGTTGAAGCATTCACTTGGGGGCACGAGCAAAGCGGAAACCCAAGGATATGGCGGAAAGGACGTCTCTTGGGCTGAGATGCAGATGACGTTCCCATTATATGGCGGACGCGTGCCCGACCAGGATTGAGCTGGACCGAGTAGGCGACAGGCTGCAGTGTGCAGGCTGCAAGGCTGTGCATGGGTAAGGTAGCGTCGTAGGATGATTCACACCGCAGGACTTGGGACTCATGCGGTCTTGGCCAGGCCTCCTTCGGGCACGCCTCGGTACGACGGGGTGTGTTAGACAAGGGCTGGAGACCTGCTACCTGATTCCTGATTTCTGATCTCTGGGTAGGGCGGATGGAACCCAAGTCATCGGTCAGGCGCCACCTCAGGCGAAACACAAAATACCTAGGTAGGATGGCAGCGCCGCGCGCTCAGCGTATCGTCGATGCTAGCGGCCGCGCTCTTATAACCTGCCATGGATCGCAGCGTACCAGCTGACCAAAAGCTGCGCGAGGTGAGCACGGGCGACTGATGACTGATGCCTGAACGTGACGTGGATGCCTGAATCTGGGTCTTGGAGGGGGTGGAGTTGGGTCGTGTGGTGAAGTGGCGGCCGTTTCGGTGCCCTTTGCCTCGTCCGTCCGTCTGCAACAAGCTGGTGCTGTACGGAGTATCCGTATGGATACCGGAGCGAACTGTAGGATTAGCTCGTAGAGTGAGCCAAACTTGAAGGGAACGAGAACCAGGAACCAGCCACATGACCGGCCTGCGAGCCAGTCGACGCTCGTGCTTCCCCGAACAGCTTCACATTCGTCGCGTGAGTCATGCTGCCGAATAGATGATTGGCCGACCCAGAGAGAAGTCGGAATCAGTGGGAGGAGAAGGACTGCGTAGTACGTACTCTACTCTGTACAGTAGGTACGGATTACGGAGTATACTGTAGTGTGTTATGTCCAGATACATCAGCAACGTCCTGGAGACTGAGGTCAAGTTTGCCGCCTGAGGCTATACGCCTTTACTACGCGTAGCCTGTAGCCTGAGGCCTAACCCGTGTCGCCTCCTCCGAGGCGCTGCTTTACAGGCATGTACGTACTGTACCTACTACCTATTAGGTACCTAGTGTCCGGTCCGCCGCCACTGGTCGTAGGCGCAGGCGCAGGCGCAGGCGAACCTGAATCCCACCAAACCACCAAACCACCAACCCCCCGCCGACGACGCCTCATGATGCAAGCTTCACTGATTCCTTCCTCTGTCAGGCTCTGATTCGCCATATTCCGTGCACAATTTGTCCCTGGCGGTCGAGTCAAAGCCCTCGAATTCGATCCCGCTTCCAACCAAGGGAGCTTCGCCCCCCCATAGGACGGCGCCTATCCAATCGCCCAGCGCGAGCCGTCATCAAACTCCGAAGCCATACTAGTACGGAGGACGGACACGGAGTACAAGACAAGTACCTAAGACAGAATCTACGGAGTACGATTACAGTTACATGTATGGGTACGGGTACGGGCTCACCGAATGTTGGGATCGGACCCGGGAGCCAGTGCCGAGGGCTCATTCCCACATTTGACCGCTGAGTTCGGATCCTGCTCTGTATATAGTCTATTCCCGCGTCAGATGGGGCGCAGCCTGGCCGGGCTAAGGCCTGCTGATCTGAGCTGAGAAGGCTGACCGCCACAATACAGCTACAGCGGCAGATTTCTTCCCCCATGATCGGACCTGGTCCCGACACCAGACCAATGACCACTCCTCAAGATTCCGGAACCCAAGGAGCTTCTTCTGTGCCGCGCTCAACGGGCGGATGAAGAATTACCAGTAACAGACAAGCCTGCAATTTACAAAGCCCATCTCAGGTGCAGTCGGCCGACGCCACCGCTGCCGCCGATCGAGTGGGAGTGGCGGTTGCGTGGTGGCGCTGAAAAAGCATGGTCTCAGCGCGGGATGGCAGAGTACGCGGCCAATGATCAGGATGGCTTAGATAGGACTGGAGTGCTTCCTTGTTGTGTAGCAGCGGAGCCCAGAAAAAGACACGTAAAGGGGGGAATTATGTGGGATAAACACCCTTCGTTGCTGCGAATCTCACACCGGTTCGTGTATATGTCCTAGGTAATGTGCCTGAGACTGTTCCTCCCTCAATGCGTGTACCGGAAGAAAGGGTTGCGTAAGTCGGTCTCGTCGCTGTAAGCCAGAGTCTCGCCGAGCAGCATCTTGTCCTCTTCCCCCATGCTCTCGAGGATGCGCCGATTCTTCTTGTTGAGCCGGTCATTGCAGTATCGCAGTGCAAAGCAAACAACGACCTGTGCTGTGAGACATGCGACAATGGCAATCTTGCCACTTTTGTACCCCGGCGCCTCGCTCTCCTGGAAGGTCTGCGTGCCTAGGATATTGCCCGTACAGAATCCCACCAGCGTCAAGGCGTTGGCTGTGACCTTTTTCGAGTGTCCGGCCAAGTTACTGGCGTTCCATGCCAGCAAAAGCATAAAGGCGGCTCCAAAGGTCCCGCTGAGGTAAGACGCAAATAGGAGCACCCCTTTGTCCTTCGGAATGCCTCCTGGGTCGAGCCCGTACATCAGACCAGCCGCGATGATGGTGGGGATCAGGCAAATCAGCATCACCAACGATCGATCGTTCCAGCGGTCACTCAGATATCCTGACAGTAGGACAATAAACACGGAAACTGCCCCGGACGGCATGTTCAAGATCAGTGCCTGTTGGCTGCTGTATCCAAACGTCGTGAGGAGGATCGAGGAGAAATTGGACAGACCACCTAGAATCACATCAGCGGTTATCACCAACGGGACTCGGAACCCGCCAGGTGGTGTGCGTGCCAGCCATCCAAGTTACAGACTCCGTCCGCCTAAAATGGCAAACGGTCGTATCATGCCGGGCCACGTCTTTGTCGGCGGAGGACTAAATGGAAAGGTGACTCACCGTTTGGAATGGACGTCAACAGCACAGACAGGAAGACCAGCCAAACCCGGACGTCCCGAAGCGACTCCAATACCTGTGACTTCTTGAGTTTTGCATTCTGCGTGCCCGACTGATTCTCCTTGACGCGAAGCAACGCTGCCACCTTCTCCGCCTCGGTGAATCGTGCCGCCTTGACCGGTGAATCAGGCAGCAGCATGAACACACAGAACCCTAGCACGATCGTCAAGAGCCCGACAGCCAGGAAGAAAATGCGCCAACTGGCAAATGAGCTCTTTGAGAAGCTCGCTCCGTAGGCAACGGCACTGCCGATGACCTGAGTCATCCCATTACACATGTAGAAGAATGAGACTCGCTTTCCTTGTTCTTCCTTCTTGTACCACATGGCAATGATCAAGACAAGGATCGGGGCGACAGGCGCCTGATGTTTGCTGTTAGAACATAGGCAAATCGAATGAGCTCTTGTGATACCCACGCACCTCGAAGATTCCCAAAAACGTCCTACATATCATTACGCCGGCGTATGAGGTGCAGGCTGCCATGCAGGCCAGTACAACACCCCATATCATCACATTGGCTCCCAAGTACTTGCCCAATCGGCTGGTTCGCTGAGCGAGGTATTGGGTAGGAAATTCCGCCACCAAAAAACCGATGTAGAACATCATGGCACAGTTGGAAAAGTCCTGGCCCACGAGGTGTGTATCTTTACGGAACCCCATGATGGCCGCGTAAGAAATGGTGGTCTTATCGCTGGTCGGATCCATCAGTCCATTGGATCGAAAAGAAGGCCTTTTGGTCGCCAACAAGAACAAGCAATTAGGTAGGAAGCACTTACAGGTATTGCAGGAAATAGACCGCAATCATGCAGGGGACAAGGGTGAAATCGATCTTTCTCACAAGACGTCTGGTCGCATGGGGGTCAGCCAGAATGGCCATCGCCTGTTGCCGGACGGCATCGGCATTGGGATGGTCTTTCAAGAAGCCAAAGGCTTCATCGGCGTCCTTGGTCGAGATGACGAGTTGGCCCAGGGCTTCGTCCAAAGATGCGACAGAGTCCAGTCTATTTGCAGCAATAGAGGATTTCTCTGGATCCATGACCACGACTGAAGCCACTTTGCCCTCAACGTCCATTCCGCAGCCGGCCACCTATAAAGCGAAATCAAGGAACGGCGAGTGCTATCGTCTAGTCTGACCACGAAGGACGAGGACCAGTGACTAGCAATATATACGCTCATTGTGAGACTTGCCTGGCCCAGCATCCGGTGCTATACCGGCCCATGATCCACCCATACAGCGCATATCATGATGATCAACCCGAATCGAGAAGGTCGCAAGGCGAGTTGCCGAAGGAGAACACCGCCGCACATGGCCAAGATGCAAGATGTATATGATTGATTAAGGATACCCAATGCAACCAGGATCATGTTGATATGGGCAAGATTCAAGATTGGTTGGACAACCCACGCAAAGAACCACGTCGTCATATATTGTCCCAGGGGGAAAAGTTATCGAACTGCCTGTTAAGGAATCCAGTATGTCACTTTGATAACGGACGCATCGGCAGGAAAAGACGGATAACCGAGGACCTACAAGCCTATCATGACCGAGTCCCCCGTACGATAGGAGCAACGAAGCCTCAAACTCCCAGAGAACCAGAGCGCGTTTTGCCAGAATCGAACCGTCGCACTGCCCATACATACGGCCACCCATCTAAGCATACAGTGCCCTCCGGGGTCTTGCCGGCTACTTTCGACGATAAGATCATAGAGGATGCCCAGTGCCGAATGCCCGAATAGTGGTCTTCTATTGAAGCGAGCTCGATTGATAGAGGATTACGCCAAACAGTAAAGCCTTATCGGTGGAGACGGACCACTCCCTCTGTGCTGGGGTTCAATGCCGCATATCAAATGTAACTCCCAATCCCCATGATAGAGCTTGTCGTTCAAACGTGTATCACTTGCTGAATATGAGGATACACGTGTACCAGGCGGTCCCAGAAGTCGGGATGATCGGTTATGGCCACCTGCGGGTCCCAGGCCATTGCCACAAAGACAGTATCGACACCGGCGCCGATGGGAGTCATGAATATCTGACATACCTGCAGTCCGATGAGGAAGGAGAATGCCATGATAACGGGGGTAAAAGTGCGATCGTTGTTGTATGCCGGGTGAGTGTAATCCAAATACAGGTAAGCCAAGAGTGCGCAAAGGTAGGCCACGAAGACCGATCCCATGGTCAGGACGGGCCCCACGAGGCAATCGTTGACCAAGGCATCTACCCCTCGATCTTTCATCATCTTCCAGGTGTCTTTGGCCGCGGCGATGTACGGCTTGCCGTAAAGAGCGATGTGAGAAAACGCATATCTGTTGATAAACTCGACAAGCCAGTCCAGACAGCCGATGAGGCAGCCGAGGATGCAGAACATGATGCTACCCACCAGGTTGCCCTCAGACGCTTCTTGTTGCTGGGCAATACTGCAAGCCTGGCGGAGCATGTTGATGAGAGCCACGATCAGGCTCCCAAATGATATCGATCCAAAGGAATAGGTCGTGGCCCGTCTCAAAGCTCCCGAGGTCGCGCCAGAAGGAATACCGCCTGGTTTTCCAGCACAAAAATACCAACTGCCGTAAACGCCTGCAATCGTGGTGTACATTGTGTTCTTGATCCATTCTGAGATCCAGTAGCCGGCGAAAGTAACAAACACAACCAGGCCAATCACTTTTCCACTCGAACAGCCCCCCTCAGAACAGGCCGGATTTGGATTGCTGCCGGGGTTGCTAGGCATGTAGGACACGTAGATGGCAACGAGTGTGACCGAAAACCAACCGGCAAAGATCACGCTAAGGAGGCCTCCAACAAGGCTGACCAGGAAGACATGGACCCTCTTCATCCTGGCAATGTCCATGGTTTTCTGCAGCATTACCACGGCAAAGGGGATGCGCGGAATCCAACTAATGAAACAAATAATGGCGAAGACCGCAAAGATGGCGAAGACAATGCCAGCACCCCACAGCCGACGGTAAAGGTAGTAGACCGCAGTACCAACAGCCAACGCGCAGTTCAATATGCCGGTGATCCACACAAATTGTTTGGTAAACGCCCGCGCGGCAAGAAAGTAAGCCCAGGACACGGCGAAACCGACACAGAGGACAAAGGCAAAGAGGATGATGGTGTTGGTATCGAGAGAGAAGTTGTTTGAGCCGCCATAAATTCCACCTCCATTAAAGCTAACGTGCTTGGAATATCGGTGGAGGGTAAGGCCCGAAACTGCGACGAAGCCACAAAACGTTGCGATGAGCTAAAGATGGTCAGTCGCATGAGACAAGCCTCAAGTATAGTTAGGAATTGGTCCGTACCAGCAGCCCTGCCCAGAGGTCATTGAATTTCGGCTTTTGGATCTTGAATGTCTCTTGAAAGCTCTGCTTGTCGTCTTGCGGAGGGACGAAATTGGCTCCGTAGGTCGGAGGCTGTTGTGTATACTTTGGCTCTTGAGGTTGATAAGGCTGCTGAGGCGGTGGATATTGCTGTTGCTGCTGATAACCTTGCTGGAGATGGGCTGGGGGAGGAGGATATTGCTGGTAGCCCTGCTGCTGCTGTTGGTAGGGAGCACCAGCGCCTGCCATAGACTGGTTGCTGTAGTAGTCGGCTGCTTGTCCTTGGTGTGTCATAATTGCGACACGCTCCCGGGGTAAGATATTAAGGAAAAGTAAGGGACTGAACTGATGAATTGAACCACACCGGGAAGAAGGCGAACAGCGGGAGAAGAGAAAGCTATTAGATCACATGTTATTAACAGTAGCAGGAAACGAGCAGGAAGAATGGTGACGGTGTTGTTGGACAGTGTGCAGAGGTCGGTGCGATGGATACTGTGGTGATACGCTGAGCGGGTCAATTATCAAATTGTTCCTGCTCCCAGTGAACTTTTGGGCGGGCTTCAGCTTGGATCGACCGGCTGCCACGGGCGGGAGCAGTCGATGATTGGGGGTGCGGCATCGGACACGGGATCAGCTCCAGTTGGACGAGCCACCACTGACGCCACCATACGAGCTTAAATGCCGGGCTGGCCAGTTAAGGGACTCCGCCTAATGGAGCTCCAGCCGCCCAGCTTGGGCCCAAGACATGTCTACGTAATAATCCCCAAGTTCTTTCACCACTACACCGCAGGTCGCAATTTCAACGGTTGTCCTCAACTCCAAAGGCCACAAAGGAAAAGAATCTAAATGAATACCTGCCTTCTGCTCGACTCTTCATGAACATAAAGCTCGTGGGTTTACTAGGGCAAATGCCATGACTGACCTTCTTGGGCACGCATAACGTCGCTAGGGCAGCACGATGTCGAAAACAGCCATTCCTCTTCTAGTCGTCCATGTTTTTCCGCTCTCGACGATTACCTTGCTCTCGAAGTACATATTCAGTTTACTCGTGTCTTGTGACTCCATCCATCGATGATTAACCAGAACGCCACACTTCAACAGAAGGGCCGAGCTTATCCTCTGCGCCCGAGTCCTTACTCTAGAAAGACTACAACTCTAGCCAGGGCTTTCCATGAGACGGGCCAGATGTTGTAGGAGCTGACTGTAAAGAGGAGGGCCACACATAATTGCCCGCCCCGGGACCGAGTCACAAAGAGGTTGTCGCGTGGACTTGCAAGCTGAAGGGAAAATCGTCAGTCACGGACAGTATCGCGCTCATCGGATGAGCGTAGGTTAATGTCTGGCTGTGCTGCACCAGCAGTGCAGCTCTCGTCGTGACAGTTCAAGCCAGGGGAACTTTGAGAAACACACTATCGCTGCTTTGCTGAAGTCTTTCTCAATTTCTCAATGCATGCTAGGAGCCAGGTCGCCCTAGTTAGAGACATTTTGGGTAAGATCGAGAGACAATGTATAGATGATGCTGAAAAGGGCCCAAAGAGGTAGACGTATCGAGCCGTGTTTTTTGAGCCGTGGTTTTCAATAAGAACTCACTTACGGCAGATTCTTTTTACACAATATTCGACAGGAGGATGCGCCTTCGCATCCCATCCAAAAGAACAGACATATTAGCTTGCCGAGATTTCGGAGCGTTTGAGGAGTCGCTCTACCACCATGGAACTAATGGTCAAGATATATGTCGCAGGTTCTTCCACCGATGTGGGATGCTATGGAGTTCTAGATCATGAGTCCGCCTTCAACCACTCGGTCTTGAGGGGTGGACAAACATATTTAGGCAACAAAAGGCCCAGCTTCAACACCCCTGTTGACATCGAGCCTTGTATCGAAAAGCTCGTCTACGAGACATAACACCCCTTTGGTTGGCGCCTCTATCCAAGCCCAGGTTAGAGCGCCATTCTTCCAAGGTATAGCTGGTACAGTCCAGTCCATATTTTATGTTTTGGCATGCCTCTTATCCAGTGCTGAGGGCAACATTGATGAGCAATCCAAGTCCTTGTCTCGACTTAAGCTGGACCGATCCGATATAACGGTGACAATGCTGGGTGTAAGTCCCGCTGGAATCATCTGCTTCGGTCAAGCTCTGCTCCAACTTTGCATGACGATGCTCATCAGGCTCGGCACCCTTACAGCAGCCCAAAGAGTTTCCTAGTATACTGTTATTTCTCCAACGTTTACTCTTGGCGAGACGACGAATACACAATTCATGACCCGTTGCCTTTCGGAGGTTGTCATGGCCGGATTTCGTGGTTCCGCAAAAGTCATGGTCAGAAAAGCCTTGAAACTATGCCACACCCTCAAATTCGATGCGAATAATTTCAGAGGCCGTCCACAGGTTGAGTAGGGGTAGCACAAAGTCAAGATTGGGAATTTGAAACCAGGAACACAATCGCAGCTATGTTGACCCTGACACGGCTGGCAATGTGAACTATCACCAGTGAAGCTGGATCTGGAAGCCAGCGTTGCCTGCTCACCTTCTCCCATTATCAAGGTTGCCCTGAGAGCAGCAGATCAGGAAGGTGGTATTGAATGGACGAGGATGGACTGATCGAAGCGGCTCCTGAGAGACAGGCAAGTCCCCTTATGCTGGGGCAGTCATACGGCGACCATGTCTTGCGGGAGAATTCCTGCTGACCGGCCGCTCGGGAATCAATGGATACCTCAGTGCTGAAGCTGACCACCTACCGGTATTGCGCGGCCAGTTCTCGCGAGGCATTGGCCCGCAGTATGGCCTCGGAGATGCCAACAGAGGACTGCTTATCTGAGCGAGCACGAGGGATGCAATACGGGCGGCCGATACAGAGAACTGAATGCAAGCTGCGACTATCTCGATGAGTACGGTACTAAGGGACCTTCGAAGACTATCTTGATGAGTAACGGTACTAAGGTACCTTTGAAAAGCCGGTCTCATTTTGACGGTGATTAGTGTGGGGGGTGGTCAGCGCTGCTCCATGCCGAGTCTTCTCAGCGCCTTGAGCACGAGTCATGAATCACTGCCACTGGCATCTCGATTACTCGATGGCAGATGCACTACTCTGTATGTCGGGGGACCAAGACTTTACCGTAGGACAAAATTAGCACCGATCTGCTCAGATTGCTTGAAGTTCGAAAGCCATTGAATATCGGGTAGTGAAGAGGAAGTTGGCCCCGTTGCACAGCTTGAATCGTGAAGACTCTGGTCTCATTTGTCTGTTGACAACAGCCCTAGGCAGAATTTCAACACCCTGCAGGGTTGCGAAAACGAGAAACGGCCAGTGCCCTATTAGCAAGCTGTCTGCTGTCTGGTGTCGTCTGCCCTATTCGCAAGCTGTCTGGTGTCGTCGTGACTCGTGCCCACTGGGTATCACAGAGCCAGCGAAGCTGACCGTACGAGTACTCGTATGAGATGGCTCCACCGGCAAAAGCGGCCCAGTAGCTTTCAATATTTCCTGAAAGACCATGCATGAGAAATTGGAGTCTAGGTGCCACCCTGGCATGGCATGGAACCTGAGCCTGAGGCGAAAGGCCGGGCTTTAGGAGGGACCCTGAGTCTGAGTCTGAGTCTGAGGCCGGGCTTAGAGGCTAAGGGGCATGTGGCTGAAAGGAAAGGACGCAGAGTCGCAGTGCCAGATGCCAGACAGGGATCCCGCCTACATAAGGCATGCAGTACTATTCCACTTTCGACTGCGTGGCCCCATTCCGACGCACTTGTTTGACCACGTTTGACCACCTTAGCGAGAATGCTGCCACTAGGTACGGATACTCCGTAGGGTATGGAGTACGGAGTACGGATATAATACGAGTAGCAGTGGTGGCAGAGGGTCTCGGCTTTGTCAAACACGAGAAAGAGAGGGAGATGCCTGCTGGCATGGCTGGGCTGGGCTGGACTACTGCAGATGCTTGTGCAGCGAGCGCATCAGTGTGATAGGGAGGGAGTACAGCGGTCTGTCTTACGAATCAGAATCAGAATCAGAATCAGAATGAATCCACGCGAGTTGTATCCGCACTGCATTCCCTATCCCTACTTCATACCTACCTACAGAGACAGCATGTGCAGGAAAAGGAGGCGCTGAGGGGGATGGATGACACAGTCCGAGTATCGGTATGTAATACGGAGTACTCTGTCCAGTGTACTCACCACAGGGGTGGACTCTTCGTTTACAAGAAGGCGCTGTAGTCGTAGTTGTACAACCTCGCTTAGGCGAAAAAAAACACCAACCCCCAGAAAATCCCCAGGATTCGCGATGGGGCCGGGGCTCCCTAAGCTTAGGGCCCGTCTAAATATCTACGGAGGATAAGGGGACATACTGTACTTGTACGAATTAGTAAAAGTTGGGTGTTGGTGCTTTTGGAAGAGATCGTGGTCGTGGGCTTGGGCGGGGGCTTCGTGTCCGCTCGCTACCTAAGAGAAGCACAAGGGCACATGACCCGGCATTAATGATTCCCTATTATTATTGAGGGGGTGGGTTTATGGGTGGTTTTTAGGCGATGTTGACTGCCCATGGAGCCTAGCCTTACACTGTAGCGCCCTATTAGTCCAGCGGCAGGCGGGCCTAAGCCGTGCCTCCCAAGCTTTAGCCCTTGAGATCTCAATGGTCTAGTACTACTACTTCTACTCCTACTCCGTACTGCGGTCTCCAGTGGCCAACTGGGAATAGAAAGATGGCCTGTGCGTGCGCCCAGTGGTGATAGTTGGCCACCCCGCAAAGTTTGGCCACCCCGTCTACAAGAGGGGGAAAAGAGAAAAAAGAAAAAGAAAAGCGCCTCGTTGGCAGCATGTGTCAAATACGCCTACCGCAAGCGCACGGGCTGGGAGCTGCGTCAAGGCGTCAAGACATCAACTGGTCGCGTGGTTGAGTGACAGGCGGTCGGAGCCCCTTGCCTGTATACCTAGGTATGTACTGAGTACGCAGGTTTCGGTGTGTATGCACCCATATCCGTCCAGACAATCGACTGGGTCTCAAGGGCCGAGTCTCCTGACCTGAGGTGCTGACAGCCAGGCCAGGCAAAGATGAGCGCGATCCCTCAGTCAGGTAGGCAGGTAGCACACAGATCAAAGTGTCAACTTGAACGTCGGTGCAAAGGTTACTGTACATGTTGGCAAAGATGACACCGGCGGACAGGTTCAGCTGGAGGTACTCTGTACAGGCAGAACCTGTCAAACCTCAGGGACTAGTACTCAGAGTCCGGACTTGCTACTCTGCTAGATTTCAGCACCGAATGCGTATGAAAAGGCTTAGGCCTGGCAGACCAGAAGCGCAATGAATGTCACCTGGGTCGGACTGCACTGTTACATACCTTTTGCCTTTTACCTCCTGCATTCCTCTGTGGTTGAGATCCCTGGTCCAGGGTCCTAAACTTTCCTTTGGCTAATGACTTCTGCGATCCGTGTTGTTGGGAGCATGCATAACGTGACAGCACGAAGATACTTCTCGTTATATGCTTGGTCGTCCTGCAGCCTCCCATCCTAGCTCTCTGGGTGTTAAAGTCTTCAAGGGAACCCCGGATCAGGACCCGAATCTCAATGTTCGATGGTACCTTGCACGGGTGCAACTTGGGTCAAAGTTTAACCCTTCATCATTGTGAGACTTGCATCACGCAGTCAATTTCACTGTCACTGCCACTGTCACTGTCACTGTCACGAGACACAGTTGCGGTTGGAGTTGCAGTGCCGATGTGCACATTGGAGACATGACACGACTAGACATAAATCCGCCCGCTGAGGAGCCTGGTGTAAGAGCCACGAAGTGAGTGGCCCGCGGACCTGGGACTGGTGCGAGATTGGCTCGAGCGCAGGGGGTCTTGACGGGAGCGGAGGGGCTGTATCCGTACCTACATAGGTTGGTGAATGGACGATCGTCCCGATAAGACGAGACATCAGAAGAGACATCGGGGGCCGTGGTCGGGGAAAGTTGATGACGCCTCCAACTTGAACGTTGAGAGCATGACCAGGATGTCCTGTGATCGCCCGAGCTCGAGCTCAGTTTTGTGTACTAGCAGGATATGCGACGGCGGAGGTAGTTTCCGATGGCAGGTGGCACCGGGGCCATTGGCAAGTCACAGACCGGCTCAACGACGTCTCGTTGGCATTGACCATGATCAACGCCTCACAGGTGCAGGGTACACGCGTCGTCTGGGAGCAAGAAACAGAAATAGAGTGGACTAGAGTAATAAGTCAAGGTAATGGTGGTCTCTTGAGACCCCGTAATTTGTATTTTCCTTGAAAGCTGTCCTTCGGTCTCCAGCTAAGTTTCTCGTGGATGATCAATATGAAAATATGAAGAGGCCTGTCCGGCCAGCAATCGGCCAAAAAAGGAGTAGAGTGCTGTGCTCCCTGTCACCGACCAACAGTAGTGTCCGACAAAAGAAAAAGTGCATTCATGTATTGCCCATGACATTCATCAGCCATCCATCACGTAACCGTCCTGAGGTCTGGTGGTCCGGTATCATCCTAGCCCATTCCTCATCCCATAATCCATGGCCCATACCAACACCAAACTCAGTCCCAATCTCAACGCAGAACTCAAACCATCTTGATCTGGTTTCACAGCTTGTATCATGCATCACAACAGCAACAATAACAACCATAACGATGACGACGTCCATCATTCAGCCCATAGGCTGTACCAGACTTTGCACGGCCCAAACTTCCATACAGCCAGCCCGATCTTAATGTATAGTGATGACAGCACCGACCAGACCAGACACCAGTAGTAGATCGGCATATGTAGTTGATCTCCAGTCTCCGACTGGTAGCAAATGCATGCTTGAACTTGGTATGCTTGCACTTATCCTTCAATGTTGGACAGAAATCCCATTCCCAAACTCCCAAACCATGCTTTTTTAAGGGTGGGCTCAGTGACCCAGGGCGCTGCAATGCATCTTCACAGAAGAGTAGATATTGTAGACTCGCTCAAGACTTGACAGAAGCTTTGAATTCATCTCTGCCTTGCATAGAGACTCGGCGTCGCAGAGCTCTGGTTTGGTCAAACGATCCGACATAGTCCTTGAGATCGTTCTGAGCCTGCTCTGATATCTTGGGGCTGTGGGGCCTGGAACTTAGAGACATTGATAGAGAGTTGGAAGAAGAAGTTCGGTGGAGAGAAAAGTCGTAGGCGGGAGGAAGGTAGAGCCCGGTTGGGGTGAGGGACAAGGGCGATCGTTGTGGGACAGAGCTGGTAGTAGTGGTGTAACCCGATAACGAGGAAGATGATGTACTCGACTCGGCCATGTTGAAGTTGTTATCCAGTTGTGTGAGACGACATGCTGAGGAACAGAAAGCTGTCCCGTTAGTCTGGCGATCGCAGGAGAGGCAGAAGTCTCCGAGAAGGAAATCCATCTTGGTACGACTCTGGTCGACGGAGAATAAGCTGTGGATGACGAGAGGGAGAAGACAGTGGTGGATGGCGATTTATATGCCGGACCAAACAGGTCAAGCAGTGCAGCACAAGGCGTATGTGGTATGTGTGGTGTGTGTGTATGTGTGTGTATGTGTGTGTGTGGCAGTGAAGGTGTGCCAGGTCAATGGAGGGTCACGCAGGCAGAATGGTATGCCCTTCTCTGACCGGGCTGACGTTTGATGAGTATTTCAATGAAGTAGGTGTGGAGCAGATGGTATATCTCTCAGACTCCGACTCAGCCTCCGACTCAGAGTCAGGCTCGGGCTCAGGCTCTGGGTGTTAGAAGCTGGAGGAGAGGATGAGTCAACAATAGTGAGGTGTGGCCGTCTGAGAGTCTGGCAGAAGTGTGGTCGGGTCATGAGGGAGGAGGACGTGTGTTTAGATAAAGAAAAACCATGGACAGAGAACGGTCGACGATGGTAGAGGGTCGCCTCGTGTGGATTTTGGTTTGGGGTGCGGTTCAGTGGAGAGGCAAAAGGATGGGCGCCGGGATGGGCCAGATGGTGTGCCCAAAAACGGCATGGGACAGGCCGCAGTCTGAGCTGGGGCCCTAACACTACGCTGCGCTTGGAGTTTAGGTGGCGCGCCTGCAGCGGACAAGGGAGAAAAGAGGGGTAAAGCCTCTTCGTGCCTGCTAGCCTCTAGGCCTGTTAGTTTTCTTGACTCGTACTGGGGCATTCTTCACGCCACAATCCACTGCTGGTCCCTTTGGTTACAGCGCGCGCTCAGTCGACGCTGCTGCCTCACGCCTCGAGCGTTCAGTCCATCACCCCCGTCACGACACCTCTCACCAGCTATACCAGTCGAAGCCGTCTCGGAATTTTCATGTCGTGGCCTGCCCCTCACGCGGATCGCACGCAAGCAATCAACTACCCTACCTACCTACCTACCTACTACCTACTTACCACCACGCTAGTAAATATTGTACTCTCCGTACAGAGAGACACCGACCCTGGCTTAGCTGGCTGGCCTCTACGCGGTCAGTCCTCTGTATCGTCCGTCCCCAGCGGACCCTTCTGCAGCCAAAGCAAAAACCCTATGGCAAGGGCCCCCAAACCCTCGCTTTGATCAGGAAGCAAGGCACCATCCAATCTGGGCTTCGCCCTGCAGCTAGCCACTCTGTGGCAGCTAGGAGATCAGACCAAACAGGAGCTGGGCACCAGCCATGGATGGACGAACTTTCTTTCTCTCGCCATAACACTGTCTCCAGCACAACGATGCTACAATATGAGAACCTTGGCTGTAAGCCTGTAACAGATGAGACAAGCATTGCTTCCTCCATCTCACGTGCTGCCAGTGCACGGAGTACGGAGTACACAGATTGACAGGAAATACTCCACACACTCTTGACATGCGCAGCCTTCACTTGAAACATCTCATTGGTTTGACCTGCCGCTGCACTCGTCAACAAGCAGGCAGGTGCCTCAGCCCTGACGACGCTGACCTGGCCTGACCATGCCTCACTAGCCTACTTTTCGGTCTTCGGACAAGCCTGTCGTTCATCTCGGCCGTTCTGTGGCAGTTTCTTCCCTTTGAGGCGCCGGCGAGGTCTGCAGAGCAAGAGGGGTCAACAATGAATATCCCGCCGTGATCTGGCCGGCTCCATCTCCAGACCTTGGCTTGCGGTTTGACACCGTCCTAGGCCTGCCGCTGACCGGCCCTTCTCCCACATCAAGGACATCTGCGCTCTGGGGTTTGGGGCCTGCCATACACCACACCCTAATTCTCGTCTAAGGTAGTTTATGTTGGAAGCGTGGGGTGTCGTGTTGTTCTGAATGGTTGGATCACACCACCATTGCTGCAGGGGCCGCCACTACCAACCAGCTCGCCTCCTTTGGCTTGAGCCACATCAAAATCTTCTCAGCAACACGGAATTTGTGCAAAGTGAGCAAACTTTCGCAACACGGGACATTCCGTCCACATGGCAGCACATGAAAAGATTTCTCCTATGGAGGTCTCCTAGGAGGCGCCCGGTCTCAGCCGACAGAGCAGAAATACCACGTTTAGGACAGCGTTTTGCAAAGGCCGGCCCCTCGTCCGATCATGCAAGGGAGATTTTCCACCAATGTAGAAATTCCCGCTAGGACGTCAGCATGCCAAACTTGATTGCGAAAGGATTTTCCATGCTAGCAGCTTGAGTCGACGATTCGAACTGGCTCCTACCCAACCGGCTCAAGTCAGTCTCTCATCGGCGAATGATCTCCCGCTACGCAAAGGAATGAGCCGTTTAGCTACGCTGTCCTGTGCAGTAGCTCCCCGTTCCTGGCCGTCTTATCAGTGGGGGCTGTCGACATCGTTCCCCACCGGCATGGTTGTTGCCAACGCTTCAAACACGATGTTTGGCTCTTGGTGTGACTCGGGCACTGACAGTAACCAGATGCCTCGAATAACTCGTGGAGCTTCGTCTGACTTGTACCGTCTCACTGGTGGGACGCCCGTCCGAAGTTACAAGCAATCATTGCTGACCAGGACGTTCTATGATTGGCAACCACGAAATGACTCAGGAGCGAGCGCTTCGGCTCGTGCGCGGACGAGCCGCAGGGGTGTCAAGTCTATGCTGGAGCAAGGCTCCACCTGTGCTGTTTTGCTACTACTACGTACTGTATGGATACCAGCACCACACCGTCGACCTGTTGGCCTCAGAAATGGACATCAATCTCGCCAACGTCTTCAGTTTACCACTTGGGCACTTGGGCCTTTGCCATGTCGAATCGCGCGCTACACAGTACACACTAACGGTCCAGGTTTGGCGGCCACCTGGCGAAGCGACCTAACTATTGGTTTTACGGGTCGAATTGTGCAAGATTTCTCAGTGTTGTGGTTTTTCTACCCCGCGACCTATGTTGGTGGCCGCTATCACAAGCTTATGCAATGTGTTTCAGGTGGTCCGGGCTCTCCAAAGCACGCACCTTGTAACAACGCGGGTCTCCGCTTTCAAGTCACGAGCGCTCGCTTGAGGACATAGGGTGGTTGGATTCCAATGGATGCCATGTATCTTTTCGCAACTCTCCAGGGCGCCGGCGTGGGCATCAGCATTGAACCCTCACCAAGTGACCTTTCGTTCTCAGATCGATATGCCATGGTGGGAGTGGAGGTTGTCGTTTCACTCGTTTCAGCTCGTGTCAAGAAACACACCATGCGCCTTCACACCTCGACAATTGAGACATGGTTTCACTCCGATCCAAATCGACGAACCTGGCCGATCGTGAGTCCCCTATGTAGATACTTGATCAAAGCTCGGTGATGCAGAGCGCCAGATTGATATCTAGTGCCGCAACACCCGAAACAGCGTCTTCTTCGTTTGAGCAAAATGGATTGCTTGATTCTCCAATTAAACTCCCCCACGCTCCGTCGAGAGCCATGACCACCAACCTCGAGGTCAAAGCCAGTCTAAGGAAGAACTAATAGTACGCCTGGTGATCGCAATGGCATTTGGACGGTCTCTATGCGACGGGCCGTTGAAGTTTTGACTGGCACCCGATGCCTCCCTGGTGGCGGAGGTCAAACAGCAGGCCTCCGTGTGTTATGTTATCCAATCCTCATGTCGGAACACCCACGTCACTCGTTCGGTTTCTGCTGCGAATGGAGTGTGCTCATTGAAGCACTCTCAGACAGTGAGCTTGCGACTCGAGGCCTTTCTGCGGATGGCTTCGAAACCCGGTCATCAACGGTTCCTCGCGAAGCCCGCCCTCGGGGAGTAGATCATTGCGCGAAAGGATAGATCCTCGCTGATCATCCATCATATGCCGGATCGAGAGTAATGATCTGCAACCAAGAAGCTAGTGGTGGCTTGACCAGCCTCATAGCCATTGGAGGCAAATAGTGGCGCGACCCTTCCTCATTCATCCTCAAGCTGCCAGTGAGTGTCTGGCGGCCTAGAGCATTCTTTTCGTTGATTCACGAGTTGGTGTTTTTACATCTTTGTGCTCACATGGAGAGGACATTTCCCAGTGAAATTGTCACAGTGGCGCGGAGGCAACCCTTGCGACAGAAACGAAACGCCTGTACAGCAGGTTGGGTCAACCGAAGCATCCTACTCGCGAGTCATTCAACATGGGATGTGGCAGACACTCCCGATCGCTGCCGTTAATATTGAAGCTGGGTACTCCGTACTATGCTCCGTATGCTTTCCGCGATTCAAGGGTCGGAGCAGTCGCCACGTACTAGTCCATACGGGCCGCACACCCTTGTTTGCCACTGGTGACTGTATAACCTCCGATTGCGCAATCTGTTGTGCTGCCCATCACAGATTTTGGGTGTTTCAGGGACGATCCTTGTCCGCTACGAAGTCAGACAAGAACGTCCTAGAAGTTCGCTTGGGGTGCTCCAGAGCAACCCCAGACGATGACCTTCATGCACCAAGGTTCCCTTGGGCACACTTTGTCTGATACCAGCTGCAACCTCCAGTGGAGTGGTATAGCTCACTGCACAATCGACCGTTGAAACTCGGTCGCTTGAAACGGCATCATATGACTCGGACCTCGTCTCGCGCCTACCCTGGAGCTACTATGGCGTCTACATTGAGGTGAAACTATCCGACGAGTATTTGCGGCGCCGACGGGTCGAGACAACAAGATATCTTTCTCGGAGTCTGGCGCTTGCCGTCCAACCACTAGAACAGTAACACTCCGGACATACTGTATGGACGGAACACTTATGTGCGGCGCGGCATAGAGATGTGCCGAACAGTGAAGATACTCGCCATCTTTGGCAATCCTACAGTATCTAATACGTTCTCTTTCTGTCTTTAGATGTCGTTGATATACTGTCACGGAAAAGCAGATTGTGTCGGGTGGATGCCGGGACTAGAGGAAACACCTCATGGATCCCCGTTTTGGAGTCTGTCTGAAGAGAAGCAGAACGAGCTGCTCCAATGTCCAGGCCATTACTATTTGCCAGGGTCGATTTCTGGTCTTTCCGGCCCCGTGCCGGAATCGCCGGACTTAACGGGGCTGCGATGTCGACCGTCAGGTGTTGTCTTTGGCGACACCACTCCAAACTTTCTTAGACTAGACCTCCCGCTCCTTCTACAGCGAGTAGCGTCATCAAACACCGCCGTTCGGTCCGCACGAAGTCGGCCTTGAGTCTCGGCGCGGTTTTCCAAACGCCTATCGTGGGCATTGTACAAAGCACCCTGGACTGGTCCTGAGCCTGTCTTTCCTCCCGTCTCGGTCCTGGACTCTCGAGGAAGCTGTCCTTCATAGGACACGTCATCGAGAAAAGTAACCCCACCGTCGCCTAGACCTCTCAATTGCGGATCCGTCGATTGCTCGACGAGTTCGTTCGGCCGAGGTTGACGATGAGTATGCCGACGATGGCGTTTCTGTAGGTTCCCAAGAATATTTCTCCCACGAAGGACTCCGCCTTGGATACGGTCCTTGGAGCGAGGGATCCGTCGAATGTACCGACACGTTCCCGGCGCACTTGCCCAGAGTTCTACGTTGATGGATACATCCCCTCGAGCAGCGCGACGATTGGATTCGAGGAGAATGGCGGCCAGGTGGACTGCAGTGACATAGCTTGGTATGAGGTGTCCACGGTTGAGTCTCTCCAGCGTTTTACGACGGGATATCTCCAAGCTGCCAGCTGCAGCGCTTTTTGCCGATGACGGCATTGACCATTTGCCAGCACGAAGATGACGCCAGGGCGGAGTGTTGGCTAGGAACCTATCTTCGAACGTCTTGCAGGCCAGGATCCAGTGTTTTGGATCAGATGACCGGGTCAACATCTGGACATAGAAATTCCAATTCTTGCTGGTCAAGGAGAACCCCACCTTTTCTAGCCTTTCGACGAGCTCAACAGCAGTCTGGTGAAGACTCTGAATATCCAGAGCTCTCAAGTATCTCGTGATTGGAGCTTCAAGAATATGTCTTTGTGAGAAGAGGACCTTCAAGTCAGGTCCATCGAGTGGAGAGCCTCGAGCGGGCGTGGTTATCATGGAAGTAAATGAGAAGTTGGGCCCGCCGATCATATCAATGCCCGTCGCCGATTCGGGGGGGACAGGGGAAGCTTGTAAGGTTTCTTCTTCAGTGGTAGGTGCCTTTCGCGTAGCTGAATATGGGCGTGCGGCTCTGACGGCCCGGTCGAGTATTGAATTCCACGTCTTCTCAACCATTCCCCAATCCCGTTGCTGCGTCAAGACGATGAGACGAGTGGTCCGAAGGTTGATCGACTCTTGGACGCTTTGGTCGAGGTCGAGATATGATGACTGCGACAGGGTTTCGTATCTTCGCAGAAGCTTGTCCGCTTGTTTGGTCCTTCCCTGAGAGGCCAAAATCCCCGCCATGAATTCCATATAGATCGAGGGGAGCGCATGTACAGGTTTACGCCGCCCGAACCCGGGTTGCGGGAGCCTCGTTGCTCGGTCCTGGCTTGCCAGTTCGTGCAGGATTGCTCCGAGGTAGTCGCTGGCATAATGCGGTGAACCGTTTGTGTCGAGGCTGCGAAGACCTTGCAGATGAAGCATCGCAAGACGTGAGCTAGGGCTCAACCTCGGAAACAGTTGGCGCATTTCCCGGTAGACCCCCTCAGCCATTTCGCGATTTCCTTCCTGCGCATATCCCTGCAGGACTATGGAGTAATGGAAAGGCGTGGCGGCGAGGGTGACACTCGCGTTGAGACTGTCGAGAATCTGGGCCGCATCCCGAGTTTTGCCAATGACGACGAGCGCAGCCATCAGTGCGGCATAAGTCATCTCGTCTGGCTTCAAGTGGAGGGAGTTCATGCTTTCCTGAACCCTCAGCACCCCCTCGGAATCTGCCTGAAAGGCGTAATGTCTCAAGAGATAATTCCACATTTTCACCGGGTCACCATCGAAATTGGCCTTGGTGGTGGCTTCAGCAAGCCTTTCAGCAATGTCGGCTTGATCGTTGAGGCAGTATGAATGGACTAAGCCACAGATCATCTCGTAGCTGCCTTTGATCTGGTACTGTTGCGCTTGTTCAATGATTTCTAGGACAGCATCGATATCTCCGGACCTTGCGACTATTCCCATCAAAGTGCCAAACGTGTACACGTCAGGAGGCACGCCTTCAGTCTTCATTTTTTCAAAGAGATCAAAAGCTCGCTCGGGTGCAAAGGATCTGGCGTAGGCGTAGAGCAGGATGTTCCAGCAATACAAGGTTGGCTTGAGTCCCCAGTCTTGCAGTCTCTGGAACTCCCGTTCAGTACCTTCGGGGTTGCCCAACCGGGCGTACACGTATAAGAGTGGCGTGAAATAAGCAACGTCTGTTGGGCGCGAGTGCACGGAGCACAATTCCATGAATACAGCTTGGACACCGTCGATATCACCTTGGGCTGCGAGGGCGGTGAGGACTTTTTGATAACTTATCTTGTCCGCGGCGCCGTGGAGAAGTGCAAATTGCCGCAACCAGTACATGTAGAGTTCCGAAGGAGCACCTTCATCGGAAAGGATTGAAAAAACCGAGCCATACATGGAAGGAGGCGGTTGGAATTGCGGGAAATTGTTGCGAAGGTGACGATAAATGAGCCTCGCCAGCTCTCCCCGGTCTGGTCTCCTGGCAGATCTGAGGAGTGTATGGATCGCATCCAGATGGACCGTGGGATTGAGCAGTCCGAGTTCCTTGTAGAACTCCAAGGTTGAGATCAAAGAGGCAGGAGCGATTTCGCGCATGAGCCTGCCACTCTTGACAAGAACATGCAAGAGTTCGCGGCCCAAATGCAAGAGAGTCCCAGCCTGATGCATGACCACCGCTCGCCGATCCAAAATCTCTTTCGCCAGATTAGATACGGCCAGCGGCAAATTCTGGTATTTGTCGACGTGTTTCAGGAGTGATCGCCCAATTGGCAAAGCAGATAGCCGTTGACGGTCCCGGGTCAAAGGCTCGAAGGACATGGACCAAATTTGTACCGCTGCATTCCATAATTGGTGAGAGGCGGTATGCAATAAGAGAAACGTGCTGCAGTCTTGATTCAACTGGCGGGAGGTCGCTTCTGCATTGATCGATATCGCCTGTCGATAGTCGTTCCGCTGAATCGCCGTTCGAGCAGCACGTTCGTAGTCCGTTGCCCCCCGTACCTCACGTGGAATGAGTTTGAAGACTCGTAGCGCAACCTTGAGATCTTGCTGGACGGTCGAACTGGAGAGAACACGGAACACTTCAGCCGCGTATGCCTCCTGATGGGGCAGTTGCTTGAACAAAGCCCAAGCCACTTCGAGATTTCGTGTTGCCATGGCCTCAGATTCAAGAGATTCGTGGATGTCCAAACTATGCCGAAGCTCTCTTTCAATGTCGTTGACCGTGTCAGGTATGGAAACATCCGACGAGTCGGCATTGGGACCTGTCGGCGCGGAGAGTCCGATGCTCAGGTGTCCAGATCCTCTTGAAAGATCAACATGATCAAAGACAACGTTGCTAGCATCATCATCCGACACGTTCACGCACGCGGACAGGATACCCTGGCGGCGTGATTTTGGAAAGTCCTTCAAGTGTCCTTCAACGTCCGAATCCGCGTGTGCCACCACTGCATTGGTATTAAGATGTCGCGGGTTTGGGATCTTTTCATCATATTTTGTGGGCTTTGTATAGGCTCTCGACGATCGTTTTGGCGGCGGGCCAAAATTGGATAGCGCATCGGACCTCAAGGACGAGGACGCAGTGCGGCCGTGGCTTGCCTGTTCTGCAGCACGCCGGGATCCAACGAGATTACGCCCCTGCTCGACCCGGGCTCTACTTCGGGATTTAGCCCTGATATTGTCCAGGTATAAAGGCCACCAGTGCGGCACGGAACGCTCGTCTGCACCATTCCTCCAAAAAGACGGCCCAAGGATACGACGGCTTCGGACAGGAGGCTCCAGTCGGCGAAGTAGGAGATGAGTTACTGGCTCAACGCATGACGAAGCACGCTCGAGCATGCCCCGAGTGAGTGTCTTGTTTGATATGGGGAGAACGTGGTGAACGGTACAGGAAGGTCGAGGTCATGCGGACTAGGATCGAAAGAGGCCTGAGGCAAAGGTTGCAGACAGCTGCAATCCGAGGAGTGTTGACAACAGTCTGCGAGAGTTGCCGATAGAGAGGTGTTCAATACAGGAGAGGAGGAATTAAGGTGACGAGCCAGGGCGAGGTGGTCGTTGAAGGGCAGGATAGAGACAGTAATTACAGAGTAGTAGCTCAAAGTTGATGGCATGATCGAAATGTTGTCAGAATTCTTCCGCGTCGGCGTTCACTCTCGCTGGCTGCCGACCGCAGGCTTAGGCCCCTACTAAGTAATTCCTCACACATCAATAATAATGTGAGAGTGGCCTCCCACCACCCACCACCCCTCCTCCATACACCAGCGCACAAGGCGACACACTCTGTGCACGAGATGAATATCACGGGCTCGGTGGTCTCTGAGCGCCAACGCGCGTTGCTCGGAGGCGACTACAATGCCTATCATGTCCAAGCTACCCGCCGAATTCACAACCTGCGGCGAAGACTGGGAGCCACGAACCGCGGGAGAAAGTACACTCCGAAATCTACAGTCACCGCCGAAAACGTCGCGCAAAATGCAGAGTGAGTGCTAGTGCTCACAACTGCATGCGGGAGCCTTCGCTGACTTGGAGTCTAGATGGGTGCAGCTCTTGCTCGCCAGTTCGGAAAGAGCGTGGGCAGATTCAATGGCTATGAAGTCGGCGCAATCCACCGAGAACACCCAAAAGGCCATGCCAGGCTCGACGAAGCGACAGATAGCCTCGAGGCTGCGACGGGCTATTCTGTACGCCGAAAACCTTGTTTCGATCCTCCAGCATCGCAGCACCATTGGAGCCAAGGGCATCGATGATTTGGAGGCACGGGCATACCTGTCCATGCTTAAAGGAAGTCTTGACTTCGAAAAAGGGCGCTGGCAAGCATGCATTGAACACTACTCTATTGCACAGGCCGTGTATACGGCGTTGGCACGCAGCTCTCAAGGGTCAGACACATACAAGGAACTATTGTCCAGCATCGTCGACCCGAGCATTCGCTACGCAGCATATCAACTGAAAATACCCCGAACAAAAGCGACTGCCGAGATTGCCATCGAGAACTTTCCCACGTCCGAGCCGGCCCTGCGGAAAGAGGTGGAAGAAATTGACCCGCAGGCGTTTGTCTTGGGGACGGATGCAGCTGCTCCTACCAGCGGAGGGCCCCAGGAAAATCCGTCTACCATCTCCTGGAGGAGTAGGCAGGTGAATCTGGAAGATGCTAATATCTCCCAAGCACTAGGAATCTCGAAGAAACAAGAAGACACCCTGGCCGCGGCGTTCCAGTCTTTCCAAGAAGGCCGCGTGAGTGCCAAAGATCTTGCAAGCGCATACGAAGAGGTCATCACCGCTCGTCAGGACGCTGCGGACGCTACCAAGACCGCCATTGACGAGCTACTTGCAGAGGGAGTCGACCCTGGAGACGCTCGCATGCAGTCTCTGCAAGTCACCCGCACGGCTGTCAACTACGCCGTTATCGAATGGCGGATTGGACGGAACCGAGTTCTCTGCGGACCTGAGGACGGTCTACGTTTCACTGCGGAGAAGCAGAAACAGCCAGTCAAACCGCGCAAAGACGGCAAGGCTCGAGCTGTTAAAGAGGAGAGTTCAGGCCGGAAATTGTCCCGCCTCCGAGAGCGAAGTGCGCTGTATGACTCAATCCTCCAAAGTCTTGACGCCGTGAAGGAGCTCCCGGGCGTCATCGCCGACAGCGCATTCGTCGTCGAACTTGACGCAAAGCGCGCTTACTTCCGGGCACTGAAATGCCTCGCCATCGGCCGCTCCCACGCGATCAACGACCATATTCCGAACGCCTTGGCTCTGTACGCCCGCGCGCTCGAACTAGCTCAGGCAGCATCGAGTAATCTACCCGAGAACACGTCTTTTCCGGGCTTGCCGCCAAAACTAGACGTGTCCAGCCAGGCATTGGCTCAGACCACATCGACCCTGAGCCGACTTGTAACGCAGTACCGCGCCCTTGCCGAATTGAAAGCCTTGACACCGCAATCCCAGTCCGACAAAGACGGCATTGAGAACGAGACGGCAGGGCCGTCCTTCAAATCCGCCCCTCTGATCGAGCGCCTGAATCACCACGAATACATTGACCACGTGGACTTGACAAACCTAGTCAACTACCCGCCAAAGCTGCGTCCTGTACCCGTGAAGCCGTTGTTCTTTGACGTCGCGTGGAACTACATTCTCTACCCTTTTGAGAAACGCGATCAAGAAGACGAAGGCGCAGTGAATGGGAAAGCGGACGGCGGTGCCGCCGTGCCGGAGAAGAAGCAGGAGGAACAGAAGCCGACGAGGAGGGGTTGGTTCGGGTTTGGACGGTGATTGCTTTCTCCTCTGGTGTTTTGTGAGGTTGGACCATGGAGGAGGAGTGTTAGATGACTCTCTATGGCTGACTCGACGTGAATGCGTTTTGGGGACACAATCAGACTGGGCAAGAGCGGAGCTTACGAGCCGGAGCCAGAGCCGGAGCCGGAGCTGGAGCCGAATGAGGTAGGGAGAGGAGGAAAATGGCAATAGAAGAAAACCCGTCTCGGACCATATTTCCACACCTCCCAGGTTCCAGGTTCCAGGTTCCAGGTTCCAGCCGGCTCCTCACGTAGGTAGGTAGTGAGTGCTGAGTGATTCCACCATTGCTTAACACGAACATTTCGACCCAAGCGATAGACCGAGTCCAATTACGATACGTAGATGTGGCTGCAGATGTAGATGCAGATGCCTGTCTCTGTCTAGCAGCTAGCTTCACGGCGTAATAGAAATAGAACTGGAAACAGAAACAGAAACAGAAACAGAAACTGTGACCGATCCCATGACCATAGTTAGATTGGATTTCGAGTCTTGCGGATGCCAGCCACCTACACTAGATGCCAGCCATCCATAGCTTCCGGATCGCGGCCATGGTCATTGTCGAAGAAAGAGCCAGAGCCAGAGCCAGAGCCAGAGCCAGAGCCAGAGCCTGCAAGCTCACCCACGCATGGAGACGGAAGATGGAAGATGGAAGATGGAGAAAAATCTACTTTGACTGAAACCCAGGTGAATCACCTAATAAGTATCAAATCAATGAAATCAATTCAATCTAAATCAAATAGAACAAGCAGCCAGCCAGCTACTCCAGTAGTTATATACCGGATCAGTAAGTAGAGTGGTGGACACTAGCCACTCCACTGGTTATATACCGGATCAGTAGTGGTGAACACTAGACAAGTCGACCAATGCGATGCGATGCGATGCGGTGCGAGTGGCGGGTGAAATTGAATCTGTCGTTAGGTCGTCGTATCGGTACTTGGCTTCGCTTCTCTTCCTTTCGATGCAGCTCCAGCATGTGTCTCCGCAGATCCTACGTAGATAGATCTGTAGCCGACCTCCCGAAGGTACATACACTCTGTACACATACTCTGTACTCTGTAAGAGGACGTTCCCGACCCGAGATCATTTCGCAGTAATTGTGGCTGCGGTCGTGGTTGTGGTTGCGATTTGGCGCATACCAGCGCTCTTGCTCCCCATAAAAGCTTCGTCAATGTGTGAGGAGCATGCCGAAGATCCATATGTGTACAGTATGTGCATAGAGTAGTAGTGCTCTGGTTAAGCTCCAGACGCATGACTGCGGCTCCAGGCCCTAGGCTCCCGCAAGGAAGATCATGGTCCGGCGCCTCCAAACGACATCTGGGTCATGATGGTGCAGAAAGGTTTCGGTCTCGTCGTGCTTCGAATCACGATGGAGGGCTCCTCCTCGTTGCCCTTCGGCCTGCGGATATGACGCTCGTCTGTAACATGCTTGCTGGTCTGTGTGGTCCTCCTGGTCGTTCTCCTCCCTGGTCATCTTTCGTCTCAGGCTTGGAGATTCCGCCAGCACATCATCTGAGCGGTGCGGTGCATATGCATGTGCATGCTCGGGCTCGGGCTCGGCCTTGTCTCCGGTTTGGGTCTCTGCCTTGGCTGCCAGATATACACTGCCAGTGGTGAATGGGGTTGAGCTCATCACATCATACCTCGAATCGACACGGTCGGGAAGGCGTGCTTGCTGAGCAGCGAATGTCGAGTAGGGATACGGGTACAGATAGGTGGGCTCCGAGTCAGGGTTCTTCTGCACGGCCGGAGCTGGATCTAGATCTTGTCCTTGTTCTTTGGCGCTGAGCCTGGAAGTGCCGCGTTCGGCGTCTGACGGCGAGGCGTGACCCTTGGAGCGGTGGACCACGAGCAGAAGACAAATCACGAGACAAAGAGGCAGCACATAGATTGTTTGCGATCCAAACCACTCCATGAGCGAGTTGTTCATCTGTGTCTTGCTGAAGCGGTGCCCTGCCATGCTGTAGCTGTAAGGAGTAGAGGGCTATGGGAGGAACGGTATGGGCAAAGTGGGAGTCTTCAAGGAGCTTTCAGGTACCCATCCATCTGCCACGTCATGTATGTGGAAGAGGAGAGGCAACAAAGCCTCTTAAACCAACAACGAGGGTGGGCACGCAGCCTACCTTTTCAGGTGCTTCTGCCAGTAAGGTACCTACCTCCCGAGTCCCGCGTCGTATCATGGCTTTCCCTCCCGTCGCATCTCGCAGCCACTGTAGGACTGACTTCACATGAAGAGGAGGTAAGAGGGTAAGGGGCGGGTCCCTTTGACGGGCCGGAATCAGCCTAACAGCGGAAGAGATCTGAGATACATACCCATACACCCGCATGGTTTGTTTGTTCTGCCGCAGAGGTCTTAATTTGGCGTGAGTCAACTCGCTTGACACAAGAAGCGTGCACGAGCTAGTACTCGGTCCTCCGTAAAGATGAATATGGCTGGCTGGGGCCACGAGAGATATTGAATCAAGCTTTGGCCTAGACTTCGCGTGGTTGAGCGCAAGCGAGTGCCAGTCAAAGGCGAGTATCTCCCGCATGGCGTATTTTCCGGGGTCACCGGTGCCACAAAGGTCGACTGTTTCAGCTTCGATGGTGTGGACACAGGCCGAAAAAGGAATTTCTGGGTGCGACGATGGCGTCGCTGGATCCAAGCGGCAGACGCTTCACTCCCCGTGCATACCCGGTACCTACGGCGTACATTACAGTCGAAGTCTCACAGAATGGAGAAAGAGAAGAGGCTGGGGGCGCGCCGAGAACCGACAAGACCCGAGTTTATTGCTCGTGTTCAGCTGGCACACCTCACGCCACAGTCGAGTCGAGGCCAGCATCGAACAACACATTGAATAAAGTGTAGATTTGACCGGAGTGTCCGTATCCGGACTTGTCAAACTCAACCATGTCTCTCCCCAGAAGCTGAAGCTTGACACAGAATCGCCTCCGTAGCGTCGTTGTCCTTACGTGAGTCGAATCGAAGTTTACGTGAATTCGTCGACTTGGTCGAGTATCCGTAGCAGTACTTTTTACCCAAATTGAGGCGATCGGCGGACTCGAGGACGAACGGAGGGGGCTGAGGGTGGGTGGATGGACATTGGACAGGGCAGGAAAAGTGAAATTGAGATGGAGATGCAGTTGAGGGCGCAGCTCAAAAGCAAATTTGTCACGACGAAAGGGGGGGAAGGTGGCACGGGAAGTGAGGGACTTGGGAGCTTGTCAGCCCAGCCCAGCCTGCGGCGTGGCCACATCTCTTTGGCTGTCTCCCAGAGGAGCCTCCTCGCTGCAAGAACGTCAGGAGGGTGATTGGGTGATGTAGGTAGTTACACAAGCTTTCCTCCATAATACATGCAGTGATGAAGGGACATCTCGTTATGTTGGACCGCAACAGACCGATGTTTGATCTGCGAGGACTCCATTCGTAACCGGTGAGTATTTTGGTATGGGTGTCAGCCTCAAATCTGATCCGCATTTTTCTAGTCCCAATGAAGATCTCCAGCTCCAGCGCCACCCTCTGCGGATCAGGCGCCTACGGCGCTGATGCCAAAGGGAGACATTTCCTTCGACAAAACACACCGGTCCCAGGAAGCCGGCGCACGCTTGCGGATTACGCAAAGGATAGTATCGGTACAGGCAACTCCTCACCCTCCTCCATCTGACACTCTTCAAAGATTCGTCAGATAGTCTTCAATCTCCTCCTTCGTCAGTTTCCGGAATCTCGGACCGACAGCTCCTTCGACACCCTCGTAGCCGAGTAAGTGGTTGGCTGGTTCGCCCACGATCCCGATCTCGACAGTGTCGCCGTTCATCTCCCCCTCGATCGTCTCCTTCAGCGTCAACAGCGCAATATGAATGGCGTCCTGGAAACAGACAGCGTCAGCTCAATCAACAGCTCGCAATCCTTCCGAGACCTTACCTCCAACTCCAAAGAATCGTTATATCTCTTCTCCAAGAAGGTCTTTGCACTCGTCGCACTCTTGCCAATGGCGGTAGCTTTCCACGGGAAATAACTCCCGCTGGGATCAACCTGGTATAAGCTGGGCCCCCCTTTCAGAATGCCACCGGTTTTCCTGCTGGCCAATTTTGCCTCGGCGTCGGTTTCGCCTTCTTTGGCTTCTGTCGTTTTCGGCTCAATGCCGTCGTCCCATCCAGCTATCAGCAAGCTCACACCGTATGGTCGCACACCGCCAGACTGCGTAGCTTCTTGCATCACCCTCGCCACATCTTGCACCAGTATTCGAGTCGGCGGATACTCGTTGTAGATCCGCTTGTAGTTTGTATGTGACACTTTTCGGGCTTTGTCGACGAGAACTCGGTAATCGGGGCCCATTCCGCTGTAGACCATTCCAATGTTGGGCGTGATGAGGGACACTTTCGACAACGACGGAGGGTCGATCAGAGGGGACGAGGATTTCTTCTCTGTTGCAAGGACAATGCCATTTGTCGCTGGGGTTCTGGGTGAGCAGGGCATCTTTTCCAAACTGATCGAAAGCATTGGTTAGGTACCTTTTATGCCTAATGACGTGACACCTTGGTTGACTGCGTTGAGGGCATATTCTAAAGGCACTCGTTAGCTTGGATGACGGATGATGGAGTCACTATAATCACCTATCTGAACGAGTTTCCCGCTGGACCAAGTTAGCAATCGTGGCTACGGGGTTGAGGCCAGCCATGAACCTACCTAGGCGAGAACGTCGTCAGTGAGAAGGAATATCGGTCTGCCATTGTGGCGAGGCGAATAAAGGTCGCGAAGGCCTTTCAGAATGCTGGGATATAGAGGGAAACGGAAATCGTCGAGAGGCTTTGGGAAGATCGAGGACGATGGACGGTACGGAGTAGTGAGTGGTACAATTGGTGCTTGGCTTAGATGCGCAGTGTCTCCGCGAGGCTGCAATATCAACGCGTCCTCTAGACAAAACTGCACTAACTACCGAGCTGGACTGAGATCACGCCGCTTTGACGGGTCCCTATACGTTTACCTCCCTCCCACCTCCTCTCTCATCCTCACCACCCTCGTTCTAAACATCGCCCCTGGTGTATGTTGCCGTGCTTGACTGTGCGCTCTCTTGCCAATAGGACCTATCACCCCTTTCACCCTTCGACTTTTATTCTACCCCATGTCGGATGCCCTATGACGGTGTGTTCTTGCCCAGGGAAGGACAGGAATCTATCAGATGTGTCATTGACCCGCTGGCTAGGTCTCTCGAAGACATTGAGCTGTTGATGAAAAGCACCTTGGACCAGGAACCATGGGATGTTGATATCAACGTTGTATATTTCAGATGAGATGAAAAATGGTACAAATACATTGATGCTGGCATCCGCCACCGAAGCTGAATCTCGGCGGTAAATGTAACGCTCATTCCTCCAATTCCAGCTCCGGATACTGTGGGAGCTGCCAGGTTTCCTTGTCATCCTTCATCAGCGCATTGACCAGGCGATCCATCCTCAGCCTCGACAGAATTGCCAGGACAAAGTAAGCTATGGTTAACCCAAGCTTGGAACGAAAGATGGCGAGATTCAGGGGAGGAAGTTGCTGAACTCGTTCCACGTAAGGTCGCAGCACCGTCTCATAAGATTCCAGTGCCGCGCCGACATTGTCACCATGTCTCGCGAGATCGCCCGCAAGCACGTATGCTCCGACGAGTGATGCCGTGGTCCTAAGCCTAGTCAAAACACTCGGGCAGTATCCGGCATCGCCTAGCAGAACAACTCGCCCTTTGGACCAAGTGTCCACTTTGACCTGTGCAACCGAGGTGGAATAGAAGTCATCGGTAGTCCGCATCTGGGCGAGGACTCGTTTGCTTCCCCAGCCGAAGTCCTGATATACGTTTCCCAGAGGTCTTTCTGTTTCTCAACCGGCTGTTGAACCATCTCCTTCAACTCCTCTGTCGTGGATACCGTCAGCATGGCCTGGGTAAAGTCCTTGTGCGCGCAGCGAAGCGACAGCACCTTGAGCCCTGGTCGAAGACAGCTTTTGAACAAGGTACTGTTGAACTCTTCCTCTGATTTTGGCATATGGAAGTATGCAACCGAGTAGCCCGTATACCTGAGCGTAGAATCGCAGTCCTTCTTGGGCTCCCATAGGATCCGCCGCGTCAGGGAGTTCTGGCCATCCGCACCGACAACAAGATCGTACTCGTCTGAAGAGCCGGTCGGAGAATACGACGTTGACCCGGGAGTCCAGCTGCGTCAACTCAATCGCATGCTTTCCGAAAAGGTACCGCAACCTCTGCGACTCTTTTCCCAAGGTTTTGGTGACGGTCGCTTTGCTCCCTTCATACAGCACCGCTACCAGGTCCTCCCTCATGATCTCGTATTCGCTCGTCACTCCTTTGGATCCTCTGCCGGCTTCGTTGACGCCGAATCTCGCCGAATCTCGCCGACTCTCGGCCTCTCGTGTCCACGAAAGTGAACGCCGTCTCATGTATGCTCCTTGCTCGCACCGCATCGAGCAGTCCCAGCCTCTTCATCAGAGGGGCACCATATGACTTCAGATCAAGCTGGGTTCCACCGGGACGGAATTTGGATGTTCTCTCGACTATAGTGATGTCGTGACCTTCTTGGGACCGAACGAGGAAGTTAGCGAGGGCTGTGCCGGCGATGCCAGCACCGTTGATCAGGATTTTCAGTGGCATTGCCGAAGAGCAATGAGCAGGGGCGTGGGATGAGACAACTGCTTTCTTCTCGTGGGAAATTCAACTTCTTGGAATCTCAACACCATCAATTACGAGACGCCTCGCCGATGTGGTACTCTTTATACGCTCGCCCACGGACGTATGCGAGCGCGGAGGTAGCGACGGACGTAAGCATCAGGGGTCTTGGAGCGGCTGTAAGCAGAGCGGGTGTAACAAACACCCACATGGTAACGGACCAACGGGTCTCGCTACGAAAGCCCCAGATCAGGCAGAAAGTATTCCAGGTCCAAGTCCCAAAGCGAGTTTTCCGGCACCCCGTCCAAAGTTGAGAACGTGACGCCCGCGTGGTCGTCATACGGCACCGGCTCCGTGCCGGCTTGTGTCTGCAACATATCGTGGCATAACCGCAGGCTATCCCGTGCTCCTTGTGCAATCATGAGCTCACATGGCACGCCTTCTTCCGTAGCTTCGGTTTGTGCCAGTATCATACTGAGAAACATGTGAGTCTTGACATTGGTGTCACCTTGGTGCATCCTCGCTACCGCCAAAGAGATCATATCCCTCACGGCTTGCTTGAGAAGCTCTCGGTGCTGGGCGTTGCGATGCAGTGTCCCCTCTCGACGCTGCACTGAAACTTGCGACAGAATCTCGCGGTCGATGATGGATGTTGCATACCATAATCCCTCGCGGAACAGCCCCCCTCCGGTAGCCATGATTCGTGAGAAGCCGTCGTCTGGTTCGGGAGAGACGATGGCCATAGCAACGTCTAGGTTGACTTTGAGAGAATAGTAGAACAACGGGTTGGCCTGCACCTTGCTGGCAAATAAACAGTGGAGGGGGATTAGAAATCGGCGGACGAAATAATCGATCAGATTCCGGTGGAATGGGGTCATACCCGAGTGGATGTTCTCTTGGCCGAATTTCCTGTATGCGCAATATGATTCAGTCACTTCCGCGCTCAGTGAAAGCGCGTCCTGGTAGGACAGTTCCGGTTTAAGGCCGCCGACTAGCTGGAGAATGCGGAGGCGTGTCGGCATCGAGTCAAGGAGGATAAGCTGTATGGAGGAACTAGTGTAGATGCTTCTCGGATGAGCCACCAGCTCGATCGTCGACCCATCAATCTCATCGTCGTTGCAGTTGGAAGGTGCTTCGGTGTCAAAATGGTCTAGGGAGATGATGGGCGCCATCGCCGAGTCCAGGGCCGACTGTATTGCCATCTCGAGCACCGTAGCCCAAAGCCGCCTCCGGAGTTCAGCCTGGAGTAACGACATCGTCGGGAGGTGTTTGGGATCGCGATGCAGCCCCATCTGCATGGTCAGACGAATCACCGACCCCATCAACACCCAAACAAGGTCGCCGCCAATTGAGAAGATCTGTCGGGCAGGGATCACCAAGCAGGAGACCTGGAGCCCGCTGACGTCCAGGCGATCTTTTTCCAGCGGGCCGGACAGCCATGCCTGAGCAGCATGAACCTATTGTTGTACCTTTTGTCGTAGACCCGCGGTGGCATTCCCATGGTCGTGTAGACTTGACCCTATGCTGATTACCAAGAGGATCATGAGACACTGACTGGCCGTGGCACTCTCGGGGTGGTCCTAGTATCTCTGGTACTCGGAACGAAACGAAGGCACGTGAACTATCCGATACACCGACTCGAAAGAGGTACAGTAGAGATCAACCATCGTGTCTGCCAGCTCGCGGGAGGGGGGGCGAAGATCCAAGCCCGCTCCGCCGAGAGACTTGCTGGGTCGCCCTGTCTTGAGACATTGGGCCAACACTTTGGTCTTGCGCAGGAGGTCCCCCATTTTCTTCAAGCATAGATTCAATCTTCGGCCCATGGAAGGAGTTCGCCTTGTCGTCATCGTCTGTTTCGCCGTGGCTAGCAAGGGGGCCGCCGCCAGCCGCGGAATAGCACGCCTTGATAAGGTCAAACTGGAGTCCAAGTCAGTGCAAAACAGCAGACGGACGTCACTGTAGGCCGTACCTCATCAGCCATGCCCACCCAGTAGCTCCATTTCAAGGTCCTGGTCTTGTAGAGGCTGACCCGCGTATCTGGATGTACCGGTTGGCGGTCAGTCAATTCCACTCCAGGCTCAGAGTGCGCAGGGACGAGACTCGTGGCCAGAGAATTCTCGAGATGCTGTATCCGTCGTAAAAGAGCGTGTACACTTGGCCGCTCATCTTCGGCACGGGTGGTTGGTGGGGACTGGGCTGTGGTGACTTCTGTCGGCCCCGCGGGTGCGGGTGCTGGAGTGGACTGAGATATGTCCGCTCCGGCGACGAGAAGCCTGGACGGCACTCGGCCCGTTTCGTTCACGATTCCATGTATGCGAGATTGTTGGCGTTGGGCACGAGAGGATGGGGTATCAACCGATGAGGAGACTGCTGCCTGGCCCTGCGTCCTGCTTTGGACGGGCTGCCGCTGGTTGGAGGTCTCGGGCGCGTCCCGAAAGACCTTGTGCACACACGGGATCGCGACGGAGACGCAATGTGAGCACGGATCTTGCCGATCGCACTTGATCTTTCGTCGCCTGCATTCCAGGCACGATAATGCCGGTCTTCGGCGCCGGCGAGGTCTCTCCATTGATGGCGTGCGGGAATTTGCAGGAGAGGACAAAGCCGGCGCTGCTCTCGGCCGTCAGAGAGTAGTAGGTGCGCTTGTCCTAGTCATCCGATCTTCTGGCTGGTGAGGTTCTGATGGCACACAAGAGATACACCGCGGTCAAGTGGTGGATGTTCATTAGGAAGAGCTGCACCTCTCGTCTGGCGGGGATCCTGGTCTGGATGTCGACACCAGGCCGCGAGTTGGCCGGTGACATCGGATTGGAAATCCTCCAAGGCGGCCATGGACTCTCAAGAAGGCCTAGGCACCTATCAGGTGCTTCGGTATCATGCCAGTGGTGGCTTGGAGGTGAGTTGATGGAGGAGGTGAAAGGACGAGCAACGAGGGGGCGCAGCTCGGCCATGTTGCCTGATCGGGTGGCCGCAGTCTAGGCAGGAGATGGCGATTACTGGATCTTTCATCTTTCGCAGGCATGGCGGGCACTACTTCAGCCTCAGGGCCTCTCAGTTCCTCGGAAAGATAGACGGTATGGATTCGCTAAACATCATTAATACAAATGGTGGACATGAGCGAGTAGAAGAGTGGGAAAGGGTCTGGAGCCATCGCCCGCTTCCCTTCGAAGGGGTCCTCGCTATGGACCACTTGCTACAGTGGTGAGTGGTTACCATACCATTTAGGTGCCATTTACTAATTATTAGTGCTGTCGACAGACCTGCTCAAGGTACCTAAATACTTTTATGTCGTAGTACCTATTAGTGCGCGATCGACCTGTTTTCAGCCGCACCAAAGCGTCCAGACGGTGGCGGACCAGAGACATATGTGCCCTGAAATCACCCTGTGTAAGATGTACCCGTACATCAAAAGAAAGAGCAGGTTTGCATCTACATCAACACTATCCGTACTCCCTACAGTGTACTGTACGGATATTCGACCTCGTGTTGCTGTAATTGCCAGTGCACACTGTACACGGTACGAGTACAGTCAGTGCCTGCGCCTGAGGAGCCCGGGCTGAACCCCTGAAGTGGGCCGCGGGAGGGAGACGAGAGAGGCGAAGGGGCCAGACCATTCTTTCGCTCGTTTAGCCATCAACGGCGTCTGTCATCAGCCAGCCTCACTCCGCTCTCGGACAACAGCATCCTCGCCAAAACAAAAACACACCTCGATGGACAGAATTTGGACTGCGACTCTTCCAAAAGCGATCATGGCGCACAGCGGTTGCGCTGTGGCTTGCATCAAGCCTGCTGAACTCGTCCTGGCTTGCGGGCGTTTTAAAGCAGAGTGGGAACCCGCTGGAGGGCATGTATTTCCCTGTATTTCCCACTTCCCATTTCTCACTTCCCGCAGCTGAAGTTGGGTTCGTCCAAGGCGTGCACTGGAGATACCTTACTGTATCCATACATTCAGAACCTTGTACCACCATCCACATCATGGAGAGTTTCACCCAAGTCCAGGATGCATATTCGAATGAAAGCAAGAGCAAGATCCCAATTGTCCAGAGTACGGAACAGTGCGCCGACGAAGGCGGCCATGGCAATCGCCGGCCCAGTCGACGGTTCCCAAGAGTCGACCCGTGGGAAACCCTGGTGGAGAAGCTGTGGCTGTTTGAAATCATTGCATTGGCCGTCAGCCTGGTTGCTTTACTCGCCATCGTGACTATCCTCCGGGTCACCGAGGGCAGGAGAGTGCCGACATGGCAGATCAAGCCCAAACACACCAAACCGCTGACTGTGACCATCAACTCGGTCGTCTCCATCTTTTCCACCATCGTCAAGTCGACGGTCTTGATACCGGTCATTGCCGCCCTGGGCGAACTCAAATGGATATGGTTCCGGCAGGATCATCGCCTCACCGACTTCCAGGTGTTTGACAGCGCCGCCAAAGGGCCTCTAGGGGCAGCGCTCATGCTCTGGACATTCCGCGGAAGGAATCTCGCCTGTCTAGGGGCCATGATCGTCATCGGCTCTCTGACCCTTGACTTCGCCTTTCAGCAATTGATCACCTTCCCACTCAAACCGGTAGGGGTTGGTCAGGCAACCATTGGTAAGTCAAATTCCCCTTCCCCTTCAGTGCAACAGAGGTTGCCGGTTATCATTCAGAGAGTCTGATCGAGCTTGCTTCTTTTAGCCCGAACAAACGAATACAGCGCTTTCCGTCCAGGCTATATCACCGGCCTGAAGCTGCCCGAAATCCCTATGGTTGCGGCGGTGTTTAAAGGCATGTATGGCGACAACACGACGTGTCCTGTCACACCAGGCTGTACCACCGGAAACTGCACCTGGACAGAGCAATATACTTCTCTCGGAGTATGCTCCAAATGCTACAGCACTACCAACCTGATCCAGAAGCAGTGTGGAACGTACAATATGACCGAGGTGGACGAGAATGGGGACCTGACAGTGGTTGGAGATCCGGTGCCTTACTGCAACTACACCCTACCATCCGGCCAGAGTATTGCCGGCATAATTGGTCTTGAGTCAGACTCGCTGCCGGTTGTGGATGTTGGCATCAATCCTGCTTCGGGCGACACGTATTTCGGCAGCACCCTCACTGCACACCTCGCCACGATATCAGTGATGCGTGCTTCGTGGGAACAGGGAGCCAACGGGTTTGCGCCAGTCGACGTCAATGCCACCGAATGTGGCCTGGACCTCTGTGTCATCAAATACAAAGGGAATCAGCAGAAGTCCGTCTTCACCGAACAGGTGGTGGACACTTTCATCAACACCACGGATCACAGTCCGTTCTCGACCCCGGAGGGCGGCAGTACCATGCCTGCCGTCATCCAACCACCCGCGTCGTGGACGAATCATTCCTCGGCGAACGCGAGCAACATCTACTACGTCGACCCTTTCACCATTCAAGCGCTCCAGTTTGAATTCTCCCAGACCGAATCACCGCTCTGGGGAGGGCAGTACAATGACAGTTTTGGCTCCTCGGCGTCTCCAAGCAACGACTTTGTTTCATACGTGCGCTTCATGGGCGATGGAGGCATGGAGACCATGATGCAAAGCCTTGCCACGTGCATGACCCAACGGATGCGTCGCGCTCCGGGAGCCGGCACGAACCTACAGGGCCCAGGCACCATTGCCCTGGGAGAAGCGAACCAAGACATGCCTCACGTCCACGTTCGCTGGGGGTGGCTTGCTCTTCCGGCCACCCTGCTCCTCCTCTCCGCCATCTTCCTGGCCGCGACCGTGCTCGAGGCCAAGCGAGAAGGCGCCACCATGCTGTGGAAGACGAATTCTTTGGCCCATTTCTATCACCCGCTCCCTGACGACGGCACCCACAAGCTGCGCGACGCCTACAGCGCCAAACATGCCGAGAAGATTGCGAGAGACATGCGGGTCAGATGGGAGGAGACGGAGCACGGAGGCAGGTTTGTGGTCCTGTGATCCGGCACTGCTCCCCCAGACACCAGACGCTGGGTTTCCACGAGACCCTCTGAGTGATGAGATACAAGATTCTAGAGGTTAGAGGTTATATTGGTACAACCAGGTGTTAGGTTTTGATTATTCCATCAAAGGTGATGAGCGAAATGAATTTGCTATATCTGCATGAGCTTGGGGAGCTATATTACTCCTCAGCGACGGCCTGGCCGTGATCACACGGTTCTTCGAACCATAATGGACAATGGCCACTGGTCTGCTACCTTCTCAACCATTTACGTATGGACTGCTGTACCATGTATGGACGGTCGTACTACCAACTCGGTCCTCAGTCTTTAGTCCTCAGTTCCTAGTCCTCAATTCCTAATCCTTAGTCCTTAGTCCTTAGTTCCTAGTCCTCAGACTTTAGTCCTTAGTTCCTAGTCCTCAGACTTTAGTCCTTAGTTCTTAGTCCTTAGTCCTTAGTCCTCTCAATCCAAGAAGATTGCCCGCCCTCTCGACATTCACACCCTCTATTGCGAGTCTTTCTCTAGAGTTTCAAGACCTTTTTGACCGAGGGCCGTGAAGAGATCCTGGCAAACCAATCCTTGAGATGCGGGAACTCGTCCAGATTATACTCGTCCTTGTCGAGGAATGCGCCAATTGTGACATGCCAGGGGATGAAGGCGAGGTCAGCATAGGAGATTCTGTTGCCGACCAGCCACGGCCCGTCACCGACTTGGCCTGCCTTTCGCGCCGCCAGGACGCCGTCCAACACGGCCGAGACGCGACGAATCTCAGCAACGTACCGCGCCACCGCGCTGGGCAGGCGTTCCGAATGGAGTTTCTTGAACCACACCGCCTGGCCGAAGTACGGGCCCTGGCCGGTGGTCTGGAAATAGAGCCACTGTTTGGCGTGGTACGACTCGGCCGTGCCCGGGGCGAAACTCAGCGCATGGCCAGTGTCGTACCGCTCGATCAGGTACTCGACGATGGCGCCGGACTCCCACAGCGTCAGGTCGGTGTTGGGGTCGTAGATGGTCGGCAGCCGCCCGTTCGGGTTGATCGCCGTGTATTCGGGCTTTTTGACGTCGGAAAACGCAATGGGCACGATTTCGTACGGAACCCCGAGCTCCTCGAGAATGATGACCACCTTGGGCGGGTTGGGGCCGTCTTCACCCCAAACTTTGATGGGCTTGATAGCTGATGCTGATGCCATTATTGTGTTGTCTTGGTCCGGTCAAGTGCTGCTGGTTGTTGGTGTGTCGAGTGGTACGGTACGTAGTGACAGGACTCGCGTTCGATTCGATTCGATTTTGTTCTTTCCTTGCGTGTCCTGGCCTGGCGGGTCGGAGCAGAGCCTCGGTCAGGTGAGTAAGTATTTAAATGCCCGGTGAGCGGGTGTCTGTAAAGAAAGCTCTGGTCCGGAGAAGATCAACTGTGTAGGCTGGTGAATTACCTTAAGGGAGTTAAGTGATTGTCCGGTTTATATACCCCTCCCGCGGGTGATCACGTCTTCATAGTCTGGGTGATACGAGTAGTCGAGCCTGACGGACCAAATCTATCACGATTCCGTAATCCTACCTATTGTGGACAGAGAGAATTGGTCCGTCTTTGTAAGTGCCACCGATTCTGAGGCCACCCAGTGGATCTGGTCTGCCAGTCGTACAGTCGCTCTTTGCGCTATGATGAGTAATATATCTCCAGGCATACGGAGTACTGTAAAGATTTGACTAATCATCAACTCGCCTAAGGAACACCCACGAGGCTTTGGGGGACGGAGGTGGTGGAGGGAGTGATGGTCATGTGTGGACTGTACTGTACATACAGTACCTCAGCTGGTCATGGTGTGGATATGGGGCGCAAGTGAGCCTCAGGCCTGTACTGTATCCGTACTGTACTGTAAAGCCACCCTGATTGGTTTGCAGTCCATGCGCCGGCCCTGACAGGCCCTGAGGCCAAACACCCTGATTATCGACTGCGATAAGTCGCCAGGACAAAGGTATAGCAACCAGAATACCTAGTACTCCATACTCCAACTATGCCCTGGTCGCTCCTCTACAAATAAGCGTACGGACGCATCCGCTACCCCGGCCACCTCGTCGCCATGGCTCGCGATCGTGACGGCCTCCTCGCCGAGAAACATTACGACGACGACGCCGCGATTGTCGCCTCCGATCCGGCCTCAGAATCCGATAGCGACGGAGACATAGGACGGGACCCTGTCACAGACCATGACAGAGATGTACTTGAAGAGACCGAAGAACATGAGAGGTTGCTGCAGAAGCCTGGCAGATTCGAGGCAGCTCGAGGACTCCTCCGGCTCCAGGACCACAGGAAAGATGAGGGCAAAAGCAGTACTCGTCGAAAGACGCCTAGTAAGAGATCGAGACGGGGCAAAGAAACGTCAGACTTGGTCTTCGAGATGGAGGGGGGTTTCAAAGACACGAGCTCTCAGTCCTCTCTGGACTCGTCCGACATGGAAGGCACCCAGTGGGCTAGGCAGCCTCCTCGACAATCCCACCGCGGACGCCTGGCCTTGATACACGTCGCCATCATCGTCCTGCTTGTGGCTCTGGTTTTCGGGGCCTACAAGGCCTCTCGGAAACACTCCCGGTCGCCGATAGAACATCGACTGCCCAACTTCAACAACGGCACCCACATCTTTCGACCTACGACGATTCTGATATCTTTGGACGGCTTCCGTGCCGACTTTCTCAATCGAGGCATCACCCCAGCTCTGAGTGCGTTCATTGCAAGCGGGGTGTCGCCCAAATATATGCTTCCATCTTTCCCCTCGGTCACATTCCCCAATCACTTTACCCTCGTCACGGGCCTCTATCCCGAAAGCCATGGCATCGTGAGCAACCAGTTTTGGGACCCTGAATTCGACGAGGAATTCTACTACACCGACCTTAGTGTGTCGATGCAACCCAAATGGTGGACTGCAGAGCCCCTCTGGGTCACGGCGGAACACCAAGGCGTCAGATCTGCCATCCACATGTGGCCGGGCTCCGAAGCACATATCCCCGATGTAAATCCGACCTACCTGGACAAATACAACGGGTCAGAGGCCCTCTCTCGCAAAGTTGACCGGCTCCTGCATTGGCTCGATCTTCCCGGCGACGACGACGACGATGCGGCTCCGGACACTGAGAAGCGACCGCAATTCATCGCAGCATATGTCCCCAATGTCGATGCCGACGGGCACAAGTACGGTCCAAACAGCACGGAGATTCGGGCAACCATCGCCGACGTCGATAGTATGCTGACCATGCTGGTCGAAGGACTCTATGCCCGCAACTTGACCGAGATTGTCAATCTTGTCATCGTCTCGGACCATGGGATGGCCACGACGTCGACAAGTCGACTTATACAGCTGGAGGATATAATGGACGTATCTCTAATTCACCACATCGATGGTTGGCCTCTGAGAGGTTTGCGGTTGAACGACCCAGATCGAGACCTGGCCAATCTCTATGACCAACTATCCAAAGAGGCAGAGAAAACCGGCAGCTTCGACGTCTATACCCTCGAAACGATGCCGGAGCGATACCACTTCTCCAATAATCCTAGGATTGCTGAGCTCTGGATTGTCCCAAAGACCGGCTGGGCCGTTGTGGAAAAGGACGGTTTTGATGTCGCCGATGCGCTGAGGACGGGCAAAGATTACTCGCCCCGAGGTCTCCATGGCTACGACCATGAACACCCTTTGATGCGCGCCATCTTCGTGGCTCGTGGCCCTGCTTTTCCACATGCGCCCAACAGTCTCCTACCCGTCTTCCAAAACATCGAAGTGTACAATATTGTCTGCGATTCTTTGGGGATTGTGCCGCATCCAAATAACGGGACTTTGAGACTACCTTTGAAGCCCGAGGGACTACATAGCGACCCCGGTGCACCAGAGTTGGAGACTCCCCCCGACCCCATTGATCAAGATGGGGAAGCAGAACCTGCCGACTCACCCGATGACAACCCAGAAGGCGCAGCTGAGCCTGCAGATGCCGGTCAAGGCGAAGAGTCATCTGATGACAACGACAACGAGACCGCCCCAGGCAAGCCGAAAGGGAACTGGTGGGAGTTCTTACATGATCAACTCAAGAAGGCTAAAGAATGGGCTAAAGAATTTGTCGAATCGATCAAAGGCAATAAGGAGGGGCAAGGTGATCCTCCAGTGTGAGAGAGTAGGCCTCAGACCACTATTCAAACACAGTTTTGCAGTACGGCTGTCCCTGCCACATCTCATGCTTGGTCGGAGCATGTTGCATGAGGTCCAGACCAGGTTGGGGGCGTGAGTGGAGGAAAGTACTCGCTTCGGTGCTCGACATCCTCAATCTTTCCGATTCGAACATGACCCAGTCCTTCTGACCAAGGTGATCAGGGTCACTCACCATATACCCAGGTTCGCAAATCACGGCTTCGTCGAAGGTGAAATCCCGCATAAGAGACGTTGGCTTTCCTCACGGGCTTTCCTCGAGCGTCACCGCTTTTCAACCGGAATCTACCATGTGCCTCGGAGCACGATCTTCCCCGGCAGAGGTTGGAGGTGCAGACAACGGGAAGCTTGTCCTCCTGTATAGGCTTGTCGGAGAGGGACACTCACGATGAAGGAGACACAGTGTCGGTCATGACTGGGTCATGGCCATCATGCCAGTAATAGCTTCCGTTGACGGGGGTAAGGAAACGACTCGATTGGGTTGTTGTGTCGAGCTATATTGGACGGCTCCTGTAGCTTCGGTAACTCTTACCCTCAATGTATCAATACTAATACTCTTTCCAAGTACTGTATCAGTCACTGCGGACACCCAAGGCCGAGGGCGGCATTCCATGCCCGTGGCTCAAAGTGAATGTATCCGTACGGAGTACATCACCGTACACCGTATCTGTACTCCGTACTCCACACTCCGTATTTGCTTGTCTACAAAGTTGCCAAGATGTTCTTGGCGTGTTTGATGTGACGACATGCATCTTCTGCTCTCAGCATATTTTTGTATTCGGTAGATGGTTGGGGCCAGGGTCGAGGAGTAGATGGACTGCTTGAGACTTTACTGGTAGGTGGCAGGATTAGCCTATCTCCATCTCTCAACTCGTCACAGGCTCTTCATATTCTAAACCAAAGACATGGCCGACAAACCTCCTCCATCGCTCGCCGCAGTTGCGGTCTCCTCTCTTATTCTCGGCGTGTTGGCAGGCTACTTCATCGGCCAAGGCTCCAGTATCGGCGTCTTCGGCGGTTCAGGGGCTGGAGGCGAATTGAAGAAAAGCTGGCCAAACAGCTACGACGTCAGGGTCCATGCCGATTCCAGCGACGATCAGGCCGATGACGAGGAGGAGGGGGAGGACGAGGACGAAGGGGAAGGGGATGGAGATGGCAAGGAATTGAACGATTTCAGGGATTCCTCGGAGGAAGTGAAGCTTGTTCTAGCAGTCAGAACAGATCTGGGAATGGGCAAAGGTACATACGCACAGTCTTCCCCCAAACCCCCAAGGCAATCCGGACTGACTGACCGTCTTCCTCAGGCAAAATCGCGGCTCAATGTTCTCACGCAGCCCTCGCTTGCTACAAGTACCTCCTTCAATACCCTACTTCGGCACCTTTGCTGAAGCGCTGGGAGTGGGGAGGACAGCCTAAGATTGCAGTGCAGGTCAAGTCTGAAGAAGAATTGGAAACACTACAAGCTCAAGCAATCAGCCTCGGCCTTTGTGCGAGAATCATCCACGATGCTGGCAGAACACAGATCGCAGCCGGCAGCGCAACGGTCCTGGGCGTTCTCGGACCAAAGAGTGTGGTTGATCAGGTTACCGGCCACCTGAAACTACTATGATCGATATCGATGTAGGAAAGGGCGGCATTGGGCCTGACCTGGCTCGTTGCCACACTTGCCGGTGAACCCGCGAAAAATGTCACCCAACAACACCGAACTGTCCCGTCCTTCAAAGGGCGTCAGCAGCCGGAATTTCTCAGGGGCAGCAACCATCTATATGATAACGGATATCCTGGATATCTACTCGGACCCCGTCCAAATTAATCACCCAAAGCGCCATAACCCTGGTTCGACCATGGTCCCAGTGGTACCGACCCCGTGAAAAGGTGCGACTACACAATCGACTGGGCCACAATATACAGCATATACCTACCCGCCATCTCCTCAGAGTCAAAGTCAACCCCCTGAGAGACTGGTTCCTGGATTGAGCATCGCAGCGTTTTTGTCGAAACTTGAAGCTGCGCTCTGTAGGTGGTGCTCAAGTGGAAATGCGGCGATATTATGACTGCCGTGCTAGCATCCACAGAATGTGATGTTCTGGTAGATTGACAAGGACCGACGTCACACCACCGCAACAGCACCCGTCGTTATCGTCAGCTAACGTTTCAAGAAATGAGCACGCATACACACAGAGGCCAGAGGTGGTGCTCTTATCTCTTGTGAGGGGTTTGCAGCCTTGCAGCCTTGCTTCCATACTCCAGCACCATCCTCAAGGAATCAATGCTCGTCCGTCCGCGTGTGGGAACACTAGCACGATATGTCCTGTTCCATTCTCCCGCAGCTATACAGGGACAATCATTGCATTGTACAGCGAGAGACAGTGACATACAGTCCGAATAGGAGAGCAATGAACGGAGGAAGTCAGCTGGTCCAGGGAAAATCAGCAAACCCACATAGGTTCACAGCATAATGGCTGTGGCCAATAACGTCAGCACTGGCAGATTTTAAACATATATAGTAACTTGGATTCTGAATTGGTAATATTTTCCTATGGAAGGGGCCTGAGCCTTGAGCCCTTTCGCACGGCGATGCCATGGGCAGAGAAACTCAAAGATACGATTGTCTCGTGCCGGTCTCGTTGCTTTTGTAGATGGCATCGATCATCCTATGTCTGACGAGGGCATCCTCAAAGGTGGTGACACTGCCGGGGCCTTTGTCAACGAAGGCATCCCAGGCCAAGCCGACGTTGTAGGAGAGATTGGCGGCCTTGTCGACCAGGACCTCCTCAACCTTTGGACCGGGGCCGGAGCCGTAGACGGAGTGGGAGCTGGACGGGGGCGTGGCCAACTTCAAGGTGGGATGGAACATCTGGACGTGGCCGGAATCGGCCTCGAGGATCAGGCTGGCCTTGGAGCCATTGATCTCCCAGTAAAAGTCCTTGCCGGTCAGCGAGGAGCCGCCCTGATAGACGACGGAGGCGACGCCGCCGCGCAGCAGGGTGCCCTCGACGGCGACGTAGTCGTGGGCGGACTTGGCGACGGAGCGGACATGGTTGCCATCGGAGTCGACCAGCGACAGCTCAGGCCGGTTGTTGGCCAGGGTGGCGTGCAGGTGCTTGAACTCGCCGAGCACGTAGCACAGGGCGTCGATGGCGTGGCCGGCCGGGATGGTGAGCAGGTTGGCGCCGTGCTCGATGGGCAGCATGTACAGCAGGTCCGAGGTGACCTGGGGCCCGAAGACGAGCCCGTTGCCCAGCATCGTGGTGCCCAGGATGTCGCCCAGCGCGCCCGAGGCCACCAGCTCGCGCGCCCGCCGGATGCTGGGGTTCTGCCGCGCCTGCAGCCCGACCATGGTCCGCACCCCGCGCGCCGCCGCCAGCCCCGTCAGCTCCTCGGCCTCGCGCAGGTTCGCCGCCAGCGGCCATTCCACAAACACGTCCTTCTTGGTCGGGGCTGCCAGCGCCGCCTTCAAAAGCTCGTAGTGGTGCGGCACCTTGACCGACACTACCACCATGTCGACGTTCGCGTCGTCCACCAGCTCCGAGATGCTGCCGTAGCATGCCACCTTGCCTGGGAGCTGGTACTTGGCCACCGCCCGTGACGCCGCTTCCGCGCTGCTGTTCTGTAGCGCCGTGATTGCGTAGTCGTCCGACTGCAGCAGGTGCGGCAGGTGAGAGCGCGATGCCCATGATCTGTACGATTGTCACATTTGCTTTAGCTTCAACTTCGCCTGCGGTGTGTCTGTGTCTGCGCCTGGCCCCGGAACGGAACTGGAAATGTAACTGGGACTGGGACTGGATTGGAAGGAACCGAACTGGAACCGAACTGTAACTGGAACTGGAACTCGCACGTCCATCCTTGCTCTTGTAGTGTCGGGCTTTTATGTGCAGAACAACAGACGCTAGATATTAGGCAGAAGATTGAATTGAATTGATGGGGACGTGGGCAAACAAGGTAGAGTGGCGGCTGACAACGGTACCAAGCTGGTGATGTATGGCACAGTATCCTCCATACTCCATCCATACTCCATACAGGATCGCGATTCAAATTTCATCCCGAAAGGATCACGGGGCAAGGCGAGGCCAAGCTAGGGTAAAAGAGTAAAGAGCCCAGAGTGCTTACCCTTCGGCCGACAGCCCGACCACTCCTAGGCGGATGGGCGCCATTGCTACCAGCGTTCAGAAAGCTGCGTGTCGGTTCGGTTCGGTTCGTAAGGGTCTGGATGGTCGTTCAGTGCTCCGATGTGATGTGATGTGATGGTCAAACGAGGGTCAGGTCACACTCACTTACCGATATGTGTACCTAGAACATATGTGTTTAGGGAGGTGGATGGCTGTGTATGGATGGATGGGGGTGTTTGTGGTCGGTCACCTGGAGACGGGCTGACTTTGTATTTATAGGTAATTAGATACCTTGTTCAGGTGCAGATGCCAGACCCAGAGACACCGTGCGGAGTGAGTGCGGAGTAATTAGTGGGAAGCTGAGGAATATCTAATGCCCTAACGCCGCAGATATATACATATATATACGGAGTGCACTATTATTGCTAAGCTGGCAGTGCTCGGAGGGAATGAATGTTGTCATAAAATACTACCAAGTTGTGAGAATCCGATTCGTTCCGGGCTCCCAATATCCGTACTTGTAGGTTAGGGTTAGGGTTAGGGTTAGGGTTAGGGTTGAGATGGTCTATACTGTACCCAGCACCCAGACTTGAACGGCCAGCCATTCATATGTACGTACCTACCTAGGAATGATGGTCATGGCGGCTCTGAACGGGCAGGATACACTGATTATATCACATAAAGCCTCGCCAGCTGAACGGTCCTCGTGTCCGACAAAGGAATGAAGCGGGTTGATTCATGGCGAGCATCTATGACGCCGTAGCCTTGGACACAGGTCAAGTGCCACAAGGTGTAGTGTAGCGTAGGCGGTAATGACTTTTCTGTATGAGATCTGTCTGTACCGGTCCCGTGGGCATGTCTTGCCATGTCTATCTATCCTCTGGTCTCGACAATAATGGGTCTGGGTAAGAGTGAATCTAAGAGACCTCCCGGTGTATGGTATACTCAACCGAATGAGTCCACATGCGTGCAATCATCTGGTTCTTCAGTCGCTAGAGCCTTCCACCCTCCCCCCATACCCCGAAGCTAGTTCCGCGCTCCTTTGCTGGTACGTTTGGCGATATTTGTTCAATAGATCCAGGGAGATCTTGGATCCACCGCAGACAACAATCACCACCTTGGAGTCCGGCCGCAGGTCTGCGAGATAGTGCGCCAGCCTTCCGTCGTATGCCAGAGCCACGCTCGCGCCACAGGCCGGCTCGACCAGGAATCTCTCGTCGTCCAGGAACCGCCAACAGGCCGAACATGCTTCGGCGTCTTCGACCACCACCGTGGTGACAGTCGGCCGGCGAGCCTCTTTGAAGGCATGCTTGGCCACCCGGATGGCGCCTAGGGACGTCGCCACCGACGTTATACCGGCTAGGGTGACGAGCTCATCTCGTTGGAGGGACTGTGCCAGAGAGTCCGCCCCCAGGGTCTCAACAGGGAGGACGCGAACCTGGTCGCCCCATCCCACCCGGTCAAGTCCTTGCATGATCCCGGCGAACAAGCCGCCACCTCCGACGGAGCAGACGACGGCATCTGGCCTCTCCCCGTCCGGCATCTGAGCTTTGATGTCATCGATCATCGTGGCCGCACCTTCCCAAATGGCTGGATTGTCGAAGGGGTGGATGTAAATCCCCTTTTCTCCATGCCGTTCCGCCCCCGGGATGACGGCTTCTCGGAGATGCTGGTCGGCGAAGAACCAGCTATCGCCGTGTGGAATGACCTCCGTGGCGCCGGCGGCATAGAGTTTCTGGATCGTCCACTCGTCGGTGCTTGTGGGCACGACCACTGAAGCTCTGTAGCCCAGTCTCGTCGCTGCCGTGACGCACGCAAGGCCCGCGTTCCCGGCGGACGACGAGTAAAAGTGTAGTGGCCGCGTATCCGAGGGGTCCTGCTCCCTGATCGATTTGAGCACCAAGTTCCCGATTCCACGGGACTTGAATGACCCAGAGGGCTGGAGGTTTTCAAGCTTGAGAAATATGCGACTGCACAGACCGTCAGTCAGTATGAGGCTTGAAGCGTCTTTTGAAGTGCTAGTAGGTATTCACCATCCAGCAAGTTTGGAAAGGACACTGGACTCGAGGAGTGGAGTCTCGATCCACGGCTGCTTGGTGGTCGACATGTCGTCCGGAGTTCTCTCGATCATGGGGAATCTTGGTGCTCGTCTGGAGGCTATCAAACGGGTGTGCAAACGATAGAGAGCAACCTGCAGGGGAAGACTGCAGTCTTTATGCGCATATGTGAAGATGGCCGGGCACCTACCGGGCACCGTCGAAATGGTTGGAATCGCGCCCTGTTACATTTGATATCGATATGTATCATTCCAGCCAGCAACGGCGCGGCTGGTCGAATGGAATTGTGGGGCCAGAAGCCCGGTACTCCGTACAGGTGCAATGTTTTCCAGCCTCTGGCCCCGATATCATAGGCGTTTCTTTTAATTCAACCTCTACGCTGTGGACCAGTCTGGCCGGTCCTCTCACTGCACCTACAGAAGACAGCTTTCTAGGCGATGGCGGCGGTGAGGCTCCAGCCTTGTCCCCTTGCACTGGACAGCGAAGCGCACGTGACGCGGATGGGTAAACATGCCAACAATGCCGATATCCCTGCACGTGACCCTGGCCCGACGGCAGACTTGAGGCTGAGGACCTACTACCTCCCAGTAGTAGGACCCCATAAAGCCAATTGAGTGCAGTGTGCATTGTAAGACAGGAGCTACATGTACGTAGTGGTAGGTAAGTTTTCACAAGGGTTGGAGCATTGCGAGAAACAGACATGGCAGAGGGATGGGAGTTGAGGAGTGGCAGGATTGGCAGTTTCGTCATGCAGATAAAATTTTCCTCCTGCGCCGAGGAGACGCAGCCATAGCGGCAGATGCCCCCCGCACACGGACCTTCTTCATCGTGCAAGGAACCGCTGCAGTCTGCAGCGCCTGCGCTTGTGCCTTGCTCGCTTTCTCGCTTTCCCTTCCCCACCACTTAGCTTGCTGCCCCCCTACTCGTACCATCTCTCGCCCCCGGCCGCCCTCTGGCACCGAATCACTTTTGACTCATTTTCTGCATTTTCTGACCTACTACTTAGTCCCAAACCTCACCGCTCGTGACTCTTCCTCTCAACTCTTCCTCTTTCCTGTTCCCCAATTCCTTGATCGCCGTTCAATATTTCGGTGGCCGTCTGTCGTCTGCGCCCTCTCTTGTCCTCTCTCATACAACTTCTAGACAGCTCTCCGTCACCATGTGCCCCTCCGCCGACGAGATCGAGACCAACGGGGTCAATGGCCACTCCAACGGTGCCAACGGTGCCAACGGCCATGCCAATGGCGTGAATGGCAATGCCAGTATGTGTAGCTGCTGCTCCCCAGCATGCGTCATACTGACTCTTATTTAGGCCATCCTGGCTACACTGGCATCTCGACGCATGACGCACCGCCTCAATCAAGAAACCCTTACATGCCTGTGGGCGACTTCCTCAGCAACGTCAGCAGATTCAAGATCATTGAGAGCACGCTAAGAGAAGGCGAGCAGTATGTGCAGCATACCCGAGCTCCTCGGCTGAACAGGGAATTTACTGACTCGCTCCACTCACAGATTCGCAAATGCCTACTTTGACACCGCAAAGAAGATCGAAATCGCCAAAGCTCTCGACGAGTTCGGCGCAGACTACATCGAACTCACCAGCCCCGCCGCCTCTGAGCAATCCCGCAAGGACTGTGAAGCCATTTGTCGTCTAGGCTTGAAGTCTAAGATCTTAACGCATATCCGGTGCCACATGGATGATGCCCGGATAGCAGTGGAGACCGGTGTGGACGGGGTAGACGTGGTCATTGGCACCTCATCTTTCCTCCGAGAACACTCTCACGGAAAGGATATGACCTATATCAAGAACACCGCCATTGAAGTTATCGAGTTCGTCAAGTCCCACGGGATCGAGATCCGATTTTCCAGCGAGGATTCCTTCCGATCCGATTTGGTCGATCTTCTCTCCCTCTACCAAGCCGTCGACAAGGTTGGTGTCAACCGAGTCGGCATCGCTGATACCGTGGGATGTGCCACTCCCAGACAAGTCTACGACCTTGTCCGAACTCTCCGCGGCGTTGTCAGCTGTGACATTGAAACTCATTTCCACAACGATACTGGCTGTGCTATTGCCAATGCCTACTGCGCTCTGGAGGCCGGTGCCACTCACATCGATACCTCGGTCCTGGGTATTGGTGAGCGAAATGGCATTACCACCCTTGGCGGTCTTATGGCCCGCATGATTACCGCCGATCGAGACTATGTCAAGAGCAAGTACAAGCTGGAGAAGATCAAGGACATTGAGGAGCTGGTTGCCGAGGCCGTGGCTGTCAACATTCCTTTCAACAATCCCATCACCGGTTTCTGTGCTTTCACCCACAAGGCCGGCATCCACGCCAAGGCTATCCTGGCGAATCCCAGCACCTACGAAATCATCGATCCTGCCGATTTTGGTCTCGGTCGTTATATCCATTTTGCCTCTCGCTTGACCGGCTGGAATGCCATCAAGTCGCGGGCCCAACAGCTCAAGATCGAGATGACCGACGCGCAATACAAGGAAGTCACGGCTGCCATCAAGCGGCTGGCCGACATCAGACCCATTGCCATTGACGATGCTGATTCCATTATTCACGCTTATCACCGTGCCGTTAAGCTCGGCAAGAAGAATCCCGGCGACGCCGTTGAGCTACCTAATATGACCGAGGCGGAGAAGAAACTGCTGGCCGAGAAGCAACAAGAGGATGCTTTACGGCCGGAAAAGAGACGCCTGGAGGAGACTGTTGACGAGCAGATCTCGACCGAACAAGCCGTCAAGAAGGCCAGAACCAATGGCGTTGCTGCATGAAGGGTCCCACAGCGTTAATCGCATGTTTTCCGGTGTTTGAATGAAACTACGGTCTCTGGATTTTAAAACAAGGAAAGCTCGGCGTCATACTTTGAAGCCATGACTTATCCCGGGATATTTATGTATATAGGCAGGAGCTAGAAGTCGAGCTAGGGCGACTTGCGAGAAGAAGAAAAAAGTGATTTCTTCCTAGATGACTGAACTGCAAATGATACAGATGCGTTGCCTACGGACTAGATGTACCTAACAACTAATACGCAGGACGCCTCATTTTGGTGCATGAATGCTCTGCATGGAGTGAGGGCTGGTCGTACGTGGTACGGATGGATAGGTACTCCGTACTACGTATGTTAAACGAAATACGAGACTGTGGCGGATCTTTGCTACACTAGCTGGTGGCTACGTCAAGTGCCAGGTGACTCAGTCGGTGGTGCTGGCATTTAATTCACTTGCCCGGCCTCACCTCCACGTGTTTCAATGGTTTTATGCCTGTCCGATAGCACAATATCCAAGTCCCATCATGGGCTCATCTCCGCTGCCGGTCAGCTTGCAGAGCAAGTTCCAGAAACCGCGAACGGTGTCTCGCCTAAGAGACTTGAAAGGCAACTTTAATATGTGAGTCCACCACGGCTCCGACGATCTGGATGATACGCTTTTCAAGACACCAGCGCTGACAGAATGAGGGTCACAGACTTCGCAACATCATCTTTGCTTTATTCCTGCTCCGCATCCTACGCAGGTCGTTTTGGTTCCTACGGGGTCATGGGATCATCGGCTCCATCGTCCTCCTCTACCGTCATGTCCACAAAACCGCCTACACGGTGTTCCTGAATCTCCCCGGCGTAAGGTCACAAGTGTCGAGGCAACTGGAGATCGCCAAGAAGGAGATGGAGGATAAACTCGTGCCGACGGGACCTGGGATCAATCGCTACCTCCAACTCCCGAAAGAGCCATGGACGCACGAACAACTTCGGACCGAGCTCGAGGCACTGGCGGCGATGAAACGGACGCGCTGGGAAGAAGGGAAGGTGTCCGGCGCCGTGTACCATGGGGAACAGTCTCTGCTGGATATTCAAAGCGAAGCCATGAAGCTGTTCAGCGTGGCCAATCCCATCCACGCCGATGTCTTCCCCGCCGTACGCAAGATGGAGGCCGAGGTGGTGGCGATGGTCCTGGCCATGTTCAACGCGCCCGAGTCGGGCGCCGGCGCCACCACCTCTGGAGGAACAGAGTCGATCTTGATGGCCTGTCTGTCAGCCCGGCAGAAGGGTTTCGCGGAACGACGGATCAGGCAGCCCGAAATGATCATCCCCAGCACGGCTCACGCCGCGTTCCACAAGGCTGCCAGCTATTTCAAGATCAAGTTACACACGGTCGACTGTCCAGCGCCGGAATATATGGTGGACGTCAACAGAGTAAGGAGATTGATCAACCCAAACACAGTGCTGCTGGTGGGCTCGGCGCCAAACTACCCTCACGGAATCGTCGACAACATTCCGGCGCTGTCGAAACTCGCAGTTTCATACAAAATCCCGCTGCACGTCGATTGCTGTCTGGGATCGTTTGTCATGCCGAGTTTAGCCAAGGCCGGCTTCCCTTCGCCTTGGGCGGACGAAGGTGGCTTCGACTTTCGCCAGCCTGGTGTGACGTCGATCAGCGTGGACACGCACAAATACGGGTTTGCCCCCAAAGGCAATAGCTGTGTCCTGTATCGCAACCGTAAGCTGCGCGAGTACCAGTACTTTGTCTGCCCGGAATGGTCGGGCGGCGTATACGGTTCGCCCAGCATTGCGGGATCGCGCCCAGGAGCACTCATCGCGGGGTGCTGGGCCAGTATGATGTCTATCGGCGAGAAAGGCTACGTGGATGCGACGCACAAGATCGTCAGCACGAAACTCACCATCGAGAACGCGGTCAAAGAACACCCCGTGTTGAGAGAGACGCTGTCTGTGTTGGGGCACCCGTTGGTCAGCGTGGTGGCCTTCGAGTCCGTGGATCCGGCAATCTCGATTTACGACATCGCGGACGGGATGTCGCGCAGGCAGTGGCACCTCAATTCGCTGCAAGACCCGCCTGGCGTGCATGTCGCCGTGACGTTGCCCATGACCCGCCCCGACGCTGTCAACGGGCTGATCGATGACCTCGTCGCCGTTGTCCAGGAGGAGAAAGACAAGGCTCTCGAGCGCATCCGGGCCGGCGGGCCCATCGAGAAAGGGAAAGCCAAAGGCACGAGTGCCCAACTGTACGGCGTTGCGGGCAGCCTGCCTGACAAGACCATCGTCAAGGAACTAGTGGTGGCTTATTTGGACACCCTTTACAAGGCGTGACGCTGGGGTACCTTGCAATGCGTATACTGATCCAGGCAGACGTGGTTCTATTCGATATCCTCACGTACTGAATGATATACTAGACAAACTCACGTCAGGTGGGAGTATGGCACACAACAAGCTCTGTTTATTCCTCCTCATCTAGTGGACCTCAGATTGATATCATCGGAGCTGGCCCTGTGCTATGAGACCTGCGTCTCTCGTGACATCTCTACTATTCAGTCAGTCTTATTGAGCCTTTCTCGCCTTCCTTTATTCCTTTGGTCAGTGAGCACCAAATCAGCAAACAGACATGCAGAGAATCAGCATCGCATCGCTGATTATCGAGTTCGGACATCTATTTCCCCGTATCTCACATGATACCGACGAGTTAGATTAATATTCACGGGCATAGCTCCGATGCTAGATGGAAAATGACACGTTGAGCCTCCTAGCCAAGCACTGAGAAGACCTGGCTCTGTCTTGTCGCGCAGCCCGAGTGGCGATACCCATTGATATCAGGATGAGCCAGAGCCTGCTGGACGAAGTGGGCTGCTGTAGCCGAGCGAAACGAGTTCACCAGATGGTGCCCTGAGACAGCGAGTATTGACAGGGTACACAATTCTTGACCTTGACCAGTGCAAGGGAGAGACTTTCCACCATGGGTTGTGGAATGTGACCCTACTGTCTGTGATACAGGGCCAACAAACCAGGGTTGGCGAGATACAGCGAAAGATAATCCGCCCCCCGGCCGTTGGTCACTGATTGTCAACTGCTACCCAGGAAGTCCTCGATGGAATGAAAGATTCTCCGCTCCCCGGTGTGTCTGAATACCACGCTCTCCGTCTCCACATGGAGAGCGTGCTCAGCATGTCTCGTGCCGCCGGCCAGGTCGAGAGTTCGAGGAGGAGTCGCTTCTTGCTTCCGTCCACCGTCATATTTCCATCATCCTTCAAATACGCGGGATGGAAAGAAATGCAAACCCAGGCACATCGAGGTCGCGTTAGAGCCTCAGCCAGCGACAACTAGATCAAAGGTCAGTTATATCAGCACTTTATCTATATTCCAACTTACAGTGTCGTGTCGTCAGACTTAGCAGGCTTGGTCCCGCCGGTGGACCTGAGAAGGAGGCCACTTGCGGATCATCGTCGGAATTGGTGGAGTCTGTATCCTGTGCAGTGGCGTGAACTCTAACCTTGGGTCTGAGAACCTACCTAACATACGAAAATGCGAGATCGTCAAAAAGAAGCACCCATCAGACGCCGAAAAGAAACGTTCGATATGGTATCCAATAAAGAGGCTGATCGCCCAGCGTCGACCTCGTTCAGCTGTGGCGATTCGCTCTCGAGCCCTGCAGTCGGCAATCGTCTGTCTCGACCGCTGTCAACCCAGAGAACCTGGAGTAATGACTCCAGCCTCCGGATTCCAGGGCCACCCAAATGTGGGAATGCTGGCTCACCTCAATCCTTGATCCTGGCAAAAGGCCTTGTTGGCTCGACGCTGATATGCAGTCTGGCATCTGCATATCAGGAAGGGGTAATGATGGTCGTGGTTCGGCGAAAAAGAAGAGAGTTTGTCCACCGACCTAGGACTTGTGTATATAGCTGGGTTGCAGCTGTTCCTCTTGTCCAGATTCCCTCTTCCAAGCCTGCCTTGAAAAAGGGTACTCTGGCATCTTCCATCACACGCAGACAGAATCTCACCTTTTCTCTCAGTCATACATCATGCCTTTTCTCTTCAAAAAACCGGCAGATATGCCAGGGTCAGCCGTGCCTGCTGTCCTCATCGGTAGGTCTCGTTCCAGCAAATGTGGCGACTGGACTAACCTTCTTACTACAAGGGTGCTTCGTTGCCTTCGGTGGCGTCCTATTTGGCTACGATACTGGCACTATTGGAGGGATTTTGGCAATGAAATTCTGGCGCCGGCTGTTTTCTACCGGGTACACCAACCCGAAAGATCACTTGCCAGATGTCACCGCCGCCCAGACCTCCGAGATTGTCTCCATCCTGTCCGCCGGAACATTCTTTGGCGCTCTCCTCAGTGCTCCGCTGGCAGATATGCTCGGAAGGCGGCTGGCCATGATCTTCAACTCTGGGGTCTTTTGTTTTGGGGTTATCCTCCAAACTGCCGCTACCGACATCCCGACCTTTGTCGCCGGCCGTTTCTTTGCGGGTCTGGGTGTCGGTCTCCTGAGCGCCACGATTCCGCTGTACCAGTCCGAGACGGCTCCGAAATGGATTCGAGGAGCCATTGTTGGCTGCTATCAATGGGCGATCACCTTGGGACTGTTTCTTGCCGCAATAGTGCTCAATTCCACCAAGAACCGGGACGATACTGGATCGTATCGCATTCCCATAGCTGTCCAGTTTGCATGGGCAATCATCCTGGTTGCTGGAATGATCATTCTCCCTGAAACTCCCCGGTTCCTGATCAAAAAAGGCAAAACCCAAGCGGCAGCCAAGTCACTCGCTCGCCTTCGTCGGCTGCCTGTCGACCACCCAGCCCTGGTGGAGGAGCTCGCGGAGATCCAAGCCAACCATGACTACGAGATGGCCATTGGCACCGCGTCTTACCTGGCCTGTTTCCAAGCCCCGATCAGAAAAAGACTTTTCACCGGCATGGCACTCCAAGCCCTTCAACAGTTGACCGGGGTCAACTTTATCTTCTACTACGGCACCACCTACTTCACCAGCGCAGGCATCAGCAATCCTTTCATCGTCTCGGTCGTCACCAGTGTGGTTAACATCTGCAGCACCGTGCCAGGTTTGATTCTGGTCGAACGCTGGGGAAGACGGCCACTGCTCATGTTCGGCGCCGCCGGCATGTCGGTTTGCCAACTCATCGTGGGGAGCGTTGGGACTGCAAGGCCGAACGACAAGGCGTCGAACAATGCTCTGATCGCATTTGTCTGCATCTACATTTTCTTCTTCGCTTGCAGCTGGGGTCCTTGTGCCTGGGTTGTGACTGGTACGTACACGCAGGCCGAACTCATATTATCCAAAGTAAATAACTCACATGCTGCAGGCGAGATATTTCCTCTCAAGGCTCGCGCGAGGGGGTTGTCGATGACGACCGCTTCCAATTGGCTTTTGAATTGGGCTATTGCCTACTCCACGCCATATCTGGTCAATGCCGGCCCGGGCAATGCGTATGTTGGAGACCCCTGTCTTGCCTTCTTGCCTTTTCCCTGGCAGTGACTAACAGTGTCGTAGTGATCTCGGCTCCAAGGTTTTCTTTATCTGGGGTGCTTTCTGTTGCATCTGCCTACTTTTTGTCTACTTTTGCATATATGAGACAAAAGGCTTGTCACTGGAACAGGTGGACGAACTGTATGCCAAGGTGTCATCGGCGAGTCAGTCTGCGGGCTTCGTACCGACGGTTCACTTCACCGATGTCAAGGAGGTAGGGGCGACTGAAGCTCGACGAAGCACTCTGGCCGACCTCGAGCTGGCTGCTGTACGCCGCAAGAGCTCTGCCGCACACCAGGAGTACGCTAAATACTAGCCGAACCCGCTCGGCGTGAGGTGGCTGCAGGACATGCACAGCACGACTCGTTCTGTGGTCTGTCAATTGGTGGAGGTATTTAGTGACATTTCCAAGGAGGGTTACTAAGAGGATGTCTCCGAAAATAGAGACAACGAAGTGAAGGGCCAAACTAAGGTATCGAGATGTGGTTGGCATCAGACACATCAGGCTACTACTGCCTTTGGTACATTACCGGCCTGCTCCACTGGCGGCCGCCTGCGGTATTATAGGTGTTAGTTAGTAAAGGGGGCCCCCTGAATCTCGCTTTCTGCTTCAGCCTCGTCCTCTGGCGGAACAACATTTCTCCGTGAGCGAGCCTTTGCCAAGAGCGGTGTGCTGTTATAGTAGCATTTACACCTTGTAGCATGGTAGTCAAGGCAGACGACGGTAATAAGCACTTCACTTCCAGCCTAGGCCAGTGGTGAAGGGCCTTCTTGGAACGCAGTCATGCCTTTTCTTGCGCTGTCTCCGAATGCTGTAACTTATGGCACTCGCCCTGCTTTTTCTTCCCTTTCCCTCCTATCGGTCTCTCACGCTTACATCGTCCCGTCTCGATCAGGCTTGCTCTAGTCTCTGAAGCCCCCCACTGCGCTTACCCTGCCTTATCTCTAGCCATCATGGACGTGGATACAGATGACGTTTGGTCAGACACGTCCCAAGAAGAGGAAGAGGAGCTTGCTCTCCCCATACAGTCACGGGCTTACCAAATTGAAATGTTCGAACATAGCATGAAGGGCAACATCATCGCAGTCGTAGGTCGACCAGTGCTGAAGGCGGGGGCTGCTAATTTCTTTGCAGATGGGCACTGGCAGCGGCAAGACACAGGTGTAAGTGCGCGTCCTATCCGTTGGCTCTGCGCATCTTCTGAACTTGCCCTTCATCGAAAACAGGGCCAAGCTTCGAATCGAGGTAGAGTTGCAGCGCTCGCCCAACAAGGTGCCGTCCCCTTTTGTCTCCCAGGGATAATCCATGGCTGACGTGCCGGACAGAAAGTCTGGTTTACGGCACCCAGTGTGGTTCTTGCCTACCAACAGTACTCTTTCCTGTCACAACAGTTGCCCGCATTTCAGTTCCGACTCATAACCGGCATGGACAATGCAGAGTTCTGGGACACGCAAGAGGTGTGGGACAAGGCTTTGTACAATGTCCACGCGGTGGTTTGCACTCCTGCAATCTTGCTTCAAGCGCTCAATGCCGGCTTTGTGACCATGAGAACCATTTCCTTGCTTGTCGTCGACGAGGCTCACCACTGTGTGGGCAAATCGGCGTCCAGAACTACTATGCAGCTGCACTATCATTCCCTCAAGTCTTCCTCCGCGACACACGAGCTACCATGTATCATGGGGCTCTCGGCCAGCCCGATCACCAAGAAGGACAAGGCTGAAATCCGCCAGCTCGAGGTCAATCTTGATGCGCAGTGCAAATTCCCTGTTCAGCAGCTGGAAGAGTATACCGCCTTCGTAAACCTGCCCCAGCTTGAGACATTGACCTTTGGCGAACAGTTGCTGCCACCTCCCACGATCTTGACTCGCCTGTCGCAGATCGTGTCAAATATACAGGTTGCAGACGATCCAATCACCAAATTGTTGCGCGAAAGCGCCGACTACAAGGCCCGAGAGAAGCTCGAAAAGATCTTGAGAAAGAATGCCACCCCGGCCATGATGGAGCTGCAGGGGCTTCTGAGGTCGGCTACCACCATTCATCGAGATCTTGGAAGCTGGGCCTGTGGTGCTTACATCACGACCTGTGTTCGCAAGCTCCATGCGGCAGTGTCCCATGACACGGGCCTTCAGCTCCACGCGAAACCACCGCACGACAATCGCCGTTTCATGGATTCTAGCCTTCAGCCGTTGCATGGTTTGCTCGGGCCGGGCCATGACCATGTGCCTGCTAGGGAAAATCATTCGGAAAAGGTCCAGGTCTTGCTCGATTTTCTGGGCCGAGAGTATCGAGACAGCCTGAGGGGCCTCATCTTTGTCCAAGCAAGACATACAGCCTGGGCTCTCACCGCAGTCATCAATAACGACCCTGCGATGCAGAATTACCGGGCCTTCTCGTTCGTGGGCGTGTCGAACGCTGCGTATCAAGGCACCTTCGATTTTGCCCAGCTGCACGCTCAAAATGAAAATCTTGAGAGATTCCGGCGCGGAGAGCTCAACCTGTGCATAGCGACCGCGGTGCTCGAAGAAGGCATCGACGTGCCCGCCATGAACTTGGTGATCTGCTTTGACGAGCGTCCGAATTTTCGGAGCTTTGTGCAGAGTAGAGGAAGAGCCCGACAAGCGAATTCCAAATTCGTGCTTTTTCGTTCCCAGCTCGAAGCTCCGAGCAAGATGAAGAAGTGGCACGATTTGGAGTTGGACATGAAGGAAGAATCTGAGTCTTCGATACAGCAGCTGGAACAACGCCAGCGTCTGGAATGGATCGAGGAGCCTGACGGTACCGTGTTCCGGGTTCCATCGACCGGGTAAGTTGTCCGTCTCAGAACCTACCGGGTCTCTTCGCAGCGAGGAAATGCTGGTTCTCGTTCCACTAACAAGAAAACAGAGCCACATTGACGTTCGACAATGCCCGGCAGTTGCTACAGCGGTTCTGTGCCAAACTGCCCAAGAAGGGCGATTCCGAACGAACCGACCTGGCATTCTGTATCGACGGCGAGATTGGGGTCGAGCTGTCTGCAAAGGTCTACCTCCCGACGTGTCTCCCGGCAAATCTCCAAGTCGCATGCTCCAAGTCAAGCTGGCGGACCGAGAAAATGGCGAAGAGGGACGCTGCGTTCCAGGCGTACCTGGGGCTCTATGAGGCCGGCCTGGTCACGGACAACCTCCAACCCCTGCAGTTGCGAGATGAAAGCAATGGAGAGGAGCAGCATGACTCGATATACGGTCAAGGTACGGAGAAAAGAGAGAGCACTTATGCTGTCAGCCAGCAGAACGACCCGTGGCCCCAGGTAATGGAGAGTTGGGCGAGTTCTCATGCCGTCTACGCACACCGGCTGCAAGTCAAAGACGGGGACGGCTTTATGCCTGCCCTTAACCTGCTCCTTCCAGCGAAGCTGTCGGACACCGCATTTCCCTTATATCCTTCGCACTCAGACCGTGTGCAGGTGTCTCTAGGCCCGGGGAAAGAAGTGCCTGGCGACTACCCTGTGGACCTGGCCCGAGAGATCAGTCTACACCTGCTGGCCACCGTGCTTGGAAGAAGGCTGCACGGCTTTCGGAAAGACCAGTTTCCTTTTCTCCTGGTGCCGGACCTGGAGCCGCAAATGCTCCAATCATGGTATGAGAGCGTCTCCGTCAGCCGTCTGCTGACGGATTTCCGTACGATCAGTGCCGGGCAGGAGTATCTGGTGCTACCGAGCCAGGAACAGATCCCCTATGTCTATCAGCTGCAAGCGGGCGATTTCAGGGCCGGGGCCATCTGCAACGGAACTGATTTTGACCGTGAAGACCTCGAAATCACCGCCACCAGACTCTCGAGGAGGCTGGACTTCCTGTCTCCCGCCGCGACTCCCGCTCCAGCTCAACCGCGATGCTTGGCGGTGAGTGGATGCGCGCTTCTCGGGCTCCCCGTCGCATACGCGCGTCTCATCTTGCTGGTGCCCTCGATCACACACATGCTGGAACTCTCTCTGCGCTCCACAGCAGCCTGCCATGGACCGTTGGCGGGACTTGGCTTTCGGGACATTGACCTGGTGGCCGAAGCGCTGACTTTGCCGAGGGTGGGCAGTCGAAACTACCAGCGTCTCGAGTTCCTCGGCGACGACCTGCTGAAATTCTATGCGTCGATCCAAGTCTTTGTGGACGGGCCCAACCTTCCGGAAAGCCTGCTGACGATCGCTCGCGGCCGAATCGTCTCCAACGCCCGCCTGCAACGCGCGACTAGAACCGTCGGGCTCGACCCGTTCCTCACCCAGCACAGATTTGCCGGGACCAAATGGACGGCGGGAGTGAGCCGAGAAAGCCATCCGGACGAATCATCCACCAATACCAAAACTCATCTTTCTTCCAAGGTGCTGGCCGACGTGGTTGAGGCGCTCATCGGCGCCGCGAGCTTGGACGCGGCGATTGAGAGCATTCCTGGCCCCGAGGCCGAAGAGAAGGTCATTCGTGCTCTGCAGCTTTTCATCGACGAAGTGCCCTGGAGGCCTTTGTCGGAGAACGTGGCCAGAGTATCTATCATGGAGGACGATTCCGTGGTCGACGGCGGCCGGAGAGAGTCGCTCGACCGGGTCGAGTCTCTGATCGGGTACACCTTCCAGCACGGTGCTCTGCTGGCCGAAGCACTCACCCAGTCCTGGGTTGGAGGCGGAGGCGGGGTGTCATCCTACGAGAGGCTCGAGTTCCTGGGCGATGCGGTGCTCGACCACATTGTCAAGACGCGATTGTTCCGCAGCTCGCTGCAGCTCGACCCGGAACAGATGACGCTCCGGCGCCACGCGCTCGTCAGCCACGCGACGCTGGCCTTCTTCGCCTGTCAGACCTCATACACCTGCCGCGCCCTCGAGCTGACCACCGACCCACTGACGCGGGAAACGGTCGATCGCGAGTCGACCCGGACCGTCTACCTGTTCGACCATGTGCGACGGGTCGGCAGCCGCGAGGACGCCGTGTCTCGTGATGCCACGCTGGCAGCGTACAGCGACGTGCGCTCCGCCATCGTCCACGCTTTCACCCAGGGCCGGAAATTCCCCTGGATGGAGCTGCTGCACCTCGGTGCGCCCAAGATGTACTCGGACGTGGTCGAGTCCATCCTGGGAGCAGTCTTTATCGACTCGCGCGGCGACCTCGGCGCCTGCACGCGCGTCCTGCAGACCATGGGCTTCATGGATCTCGTTGACCGGTTCACCGTCGTGCCCGAACAAGACCTGGATCTCCGCCACCCCGAACAAACCCTCAGTCTGGTCCTCCCGGGCTGTGAGCTTATGGCACGCCAGACGAAGCGCAGTAGAGCGGGCGCGGGAGCGGGCGCGGGAGCCGCCTGGTGGTGCAAAGTCATGCTGGACGGCGAGAGGATCGCGCACGCCAAAAACGCATCTTGCAAGGACGAGGCGCAGTGCCGGGCCGCCGCGCGCGCGGTCGATATCCTCTCAAATCGGCCGAAGACCGAACCCGGAAATGGAGATCAGGGGCTTAAGACTTATGGGTCGAAGAAGCGGGATCATGGTGTTATGGCGGCTTAGATGTACGTGCAACAGGGATCATTTTGTCGTGGCAGCTTAGGTCTACGTGCAACATGCATGCATGGACTGGGGAGTGGGGTGAGAGCGGACGCAGACGCAAGCATGGAGATGGTGCATCCTCAGATCGGGATATATGGCTGAACATGCGTTGAAGGGATGAATAAGCGCATCTTCGTCTTCAGGGCCACCAGGCTACGAGGTTACGAGGGAGGTTACGAGGTTACGAGAGCAAACACGAGACTACTACGAGACTACGATGGATGTGATGACGGCACGAGAAGCCAGGGAAACGCCCCTGAATCGTATTGGCCTTCTACTGGGCCTTGAGCAACGCCACGAGAGCAACGACGGAGTTTGAGATGAGGGAATGAGTGAATGAGGGAACGACCGAATGACGGAATAGATAAATATGGAACATGAAAAGGAAGGCACCCACAGCTTATCATGTTCTGATGTTATGATATTCTGATGCTATGACACGAGACACGACAATGCGTGACGAACAACACAACACAACAACAAACAACGGCTTCTTATTCTTATTCTTATGATATATTTGCCCGGCAAGGCAAGGCCACGAGATCGAGATCATGATCGGACGAGATGGTGCATTCGCATTCGCATTCCCCTTGACTTGGACTCGGAGGTGCATTCCCCTGACTTTGACTTGGACTCGGTGGTGCATTCCCCTGACTTTGACTTTGACTCGGTTGCCCCTTTCCTCAAGGAAAAGGAATCGAATCGCTCGTTCTGAGACTTGAATGTCTCCCAGTCCGCCGTGCCGCCATCACATCAAAGCTGCTGAGCTGAGCCATCAGGGCTGCTTGTCGTGTCTGTCTCAACCCAGCCTGATCTTCTGGCACAAGATCTACGTGGTGATAATGTAGGTGTAGTGCAGTGTGTGTGTGTGGCAGGGTGTCTTCAAATCATCCGCAGACATACCATGCGGTTCAAGGCAGCAGCCTATTCTTCCTGTATTTTACGATTGACCCGGAACGCCTGGCTCAGATTTCACATTTCGGAGTCATGCTCAAACACCATTCCACGATACACCCCTCCTGTGCCCTGGGACATGCGTGCGTGGGTTACTGTTCACCAAACAAATATCTATTACGCTCTGGACCAAGGACCTGCTCTGGTTCATCGAGCATGACTCTTGCTTTGTTTGCACTTGAGAGTCCATGTCCTTGTCGCCATTTTGTCATGCTCGTGCTTGTTAAAAGTCCATTCCGACCAGGTATCCCTCAAAGATGCGCATGAACTTGGCGACAAAGGCTTCGAGGTGGAATATCACCTTGCTGCCTAGCCGGATGCGGTGTTCATAGAAACTGGCCCACCGAACGACCTCGGGTTTCAGACTGTCGTCGATTTCCGGAAGGGCCACCAGCTTGAAGCAGAGTGTCTTGAGCACCATAGTCGCCGGAATGCAGTGGGTCAGCAAGTCATAGAGCTTGGCCCGTGTCGCCAGGATCATGGCCGGCGTGCGTTCACGCACAATGTCTCGCGCAATCTGCTCGATCAGGAGCTCCCAGTCGGGCGGAGGAATGGGCGTCTTTTCGCTCGGCTCCGGGTTCTGCGCGTAGACGGCTTCGAACATGAGCAACGCCTTGCGCAGATTCCGCCCGGATTCTCGGGCAATCCGCTCGTTCAATGCTGGAATCGCCTTCCAACTCTCCTTTTTGGCGGCCTTGGCCAGGACGTCACAGATCTCGGGCTGCGTGGGTGCCGACACACGCACGAGCAATGTCCGACTGCGGATTGGGGCGATGATTCCGGCCGTGCTGTTGGCCACCAGGATCAGCCGGACGTTGGCACTGTACTTCTCCATCGTCCGTCTCAAAGCGGCCTGCGCGTCGCGACTGAGTCCATCCGCCTCGTTGATCACCACGACCTTGAACCGCTGCTTTGCCGAGAGATCGACTTGTTGTGTTTGTGCCACTTCTTTCAGCAGCTCCTGGATCACCACTCGGTCGTAGTTTCCCACATCGCTCGGCGTGATTTCCAGGTGGTAGACAGAGGACACGATGTTGAATTCAAGTTTGCGGTTGGACGAGGTCGTGAATATCCGCGCGTCGATTTTGATCTTTTCCACCCCGCCGCCGTACAAGGCTCGTAATGTGGCAAGAATCCGCGTCTTCTTGCCGGCTCCAGAAGGGCCGTAGAATAAAAGATGAGGAAAGTCGGCGGATGCAGCCTGGTAAAGAGACGTCTGTTAGTCTTGTCGCGAGCATGCCAAAGGATGCCCAGTTTGTCCCGGGACGGCTCAGGCTTACCAAGGAGGCTAGACGATCCGAGAGGTCTTTATGATATGTGAGGGCATCGAGTGAGCGAGGACGTAGCTTGTCGACCAGCAGTGCCATGGTTGGAAGGCTGACGACGTCGACGTGTTGATGGTGGTGAGTCGGGCTGTTGTAGTTTGGTGCGACGGAGACGCAAAGACGCGTTCGAGTTGGGGGAAAACGTGACACCGCGTATAGTGGTTCAAATGACGTAACGTAACGAGCCACCGACGTGCCGACAGATTCGCAGCAAGGCTGAGAGACACTTGACTGAGTTTACACACTACAGCCATTTAGCATCTGAAACAGATTTGATATCACTGGCTCGCCTGCAGCCTTTCCTGTCAGGACTACCGTCTAAAACAGAGCCTCGTGGTATGGCCTTCCGACGTCTCCTGATGTTAACCACCTTTTGCAGGTGCGCCTTTCCATCCCAGTTGACCAGCCTCATACATTCGTTTCCACCTTGCGTTCTCGTTGATGTCCATTCCTAAATCGGGGCGGTATTAGTCTTTGGCCACGGCTCGGGGTCATCTTCAGTTGTCCAATAGCCCTCTGATCTGCAGATTGCGTTTGCGTTTGCGTTCCAGACAACTGCGGGATGCCCGTGATAGCCTTTGCCGTCTCTATTGCCTTTTCGAACTCCTTGATTTCTCGCAATATCTCGGGCGCGTTTCCTATCCTTCTCATTAGTGGCAGCATACACTTGTGTCTCAGGTCTTTCATCCCGTTCCACCAACCCCGGTAGCTAGACAGAGCTGTCATGATGATATCATAAAGCTCATTGATTCGATTCTGGATATGGACGTCGATGTCGTCCAGTCTAAGAAGCTGCAGAAAAGGATGATAGACATAGGCATCAAATATGTGGGCGAGGCAGACGAGAATCTTTCTCTCCGTTCCTGATGGCAGTGCGGTGTAACTAGTAGAGAAATCAGTCTGGCGCTGGCTTTACACTTGGTTCTTTACTTCACAATCAGTCTCGCCCTCTGGCGGTAGATGCTCCACATATCTCGTTGCGCTGGTTCGACGGTAAATGGTGCCAGAGACCTGATGTAGGAAATATTCCGAACCTGCTCCTCTAATCTGTTGTTTGAGTCGTGAAGTCGGGCCAGAATCGATCGACTTCGACCTAGAAATTGCTCTCGGTTTGAGTTGGCGTAACCATCAAAGTACTGACCACTACTCGGCACTAAAAGCCGGGCAAGTTCTTTCATTTGACGGGCGAGAGTCTTGAAGCCTTCTTTGCTGCCTGCTGGGAGATCTGTACCCTCCACCTCTTCAAGAAAGTCCGCAAGGTTGGGTACATCCGGCGCGTCAGCGGTACGAGGAATTGGGCGTAGCGGCGTAGTATTGGCAGTTGATGCCGAGTCTGTTGAGAGAAGGGTTTCGTCATGGTCGGTGATATTGGAACACGGTGACGAGAAGTGCTCTTTGTCGTGACCCCCGTCGAATAGATCGGATGTCGAATTGAATTTGATATCAGGGTAACGCGCGAAAAGCGTGTTCAGGTTCGCCTCTGTGCGCTCCGCGCAGTCAGGCATCATGGTTATTTGGTCATTGGCCCGCGTGCACTTCAATTCTGGATCGTCGTCTGTATGAAGAACAGTGAGAAGAACAGGGCAAACGTGCTCGATGGAAGGAGCGACATGGCACGGGAAGAAGTGTGGGCGATTCAGCTGCAGCATGTTACGGCCCAAAAAGGTGCTGTTGGAAAGAATCACTCCTCGGTTGCTCACTGCACATCATAAGACAGCATGGGTCACAGAAAGTAATTCCCTTCTGAAGCAGTTTCTATTACTTAACTTTATCGTCTGAATTTACCAAACACGTTCCATTGCAAGCCACAGCAAGTTGAGTGGCCAGCGTTAAAGAGGCAGTTTGGCCTTGCAAACTGCGCATGAGGCCGAAGACATAACGCCAACGTACCTCACAGGACAGGACGCCATTGCTCTTCGCGCGCATTGACTGATTGGCACCTCATGGAAACGGATGTGACAACTCAAGTATGGGCGATTGTGGAGTGAATAAATGCTTGCCGATGGCAAACCCTTGAGGAGAGCGGATGACTCAAATAACAAATAACCAGGACCTCAAAGGTTAGCAAATGACCATCCCTGACTTTGAGCATCATCGAGAGCAGAACGATCACCGCGGGTAGTCCATCCCCCAGGCATACCCCCTCCTCCAACAGTAGATTCCGAAAGATTGACATTTCCGTCGGCTCCAGGTGAGATCTGTTCCTGCCGTGGACGTCGGTGAGTCAGGCTGCTGTCTTCAGACTGTCCCGGTACGTGCTTTGGCGTCGAGTGAATTCCTGAGCTTCTGTCCAAACCCTCCGGCTTCTCCTTTCCCGCCACATTACTGTCCGGTGAACATGGCTGTGGATCGATCACTTTGGGGGAATTTTCTTCAAACTTGAAACCCGGGGGCGGCTTGATGTCGTCGTCATCTCCCGGCAACTGGGTGTCAACAATGTTGTTCCCTATACGCTGGAGAGATTTGGCGATGATGGTCTCAACCCACTGATAGAACAAATACGAGGCGGATACAACTCCCATAACCACAACAATCCAACTGATATTCACAGCACGATCCCGCCCAGACGTTGACCTTCCTGAGATTCTGCTGCTAACAAATCCCGTATTTCGGAGGTTCCACCATTGAAAAGGATTGAGAAGGGCAGTTCTCAGGAAACTCAGGACGCCCATGGAAACCAGACCTTTCACGAAATGCCGAGCCCAGCCAGAGAAGGTCTCTTTCGACTCATTCACGTCGACCTCTTGCCAGACGTTTTCATGGCCAACGATGGTCTCGTAAGGGTCGGTGTAAAAGTTCAGAATGGGATCTGCAATGAAGCCAAGGATGAACATGACTAGCAGCATGACAAAAACGGTCAAGATCCCCGAAAATGTCTTGCTCCCCAGATACTTTTGAAGCGTGAGTCGATTGAAATTGAATTGGTAGCCACACTCATGGCATTTCCACAGAGAACCTGGACGGACGCCCTCGGTCCGGGACCTTCGTAGACAGAGCTCATGGATGTACCTCATTCCTCCTCTGCAATGGCATGGCTTGATAAGTCGTCCATATTCATCATCATTTTTATACTCAACAACTGGACGCTGAAAAGCAGGAGGAAGGCCGGGCGGATAGAGAGTGACCGTAGCAGGAACATCCTCAAGACAGAGACGGCACGTTCTGGTGGGGTATGTCCAGGTTGGTGCTGGCTCTGGGGCAGGATGGTCTGAAGAGGCAGGAGTCGGGATGTGTTCTGTGGAACTCATGCTGAAGGATATGCGGTGGTTTCGCCTAGACAGAGTCAATTTCTTGGAAATGTGAGTCAAGCCTGGCGACTTGAAGTGCACACATGGTCTGGAAGGAATGGGAAATTCAGGATGCAGATGTAAGATTGCAACATAGGTAAGTGAACAAAGAAGGGGAGATGTCATAGATGGGGCATGATGCTAAGGCCAGAGAGACAGCCGCCTGTCTTCTCGGGATGAATAGGAGTCTTCGAGACCAGGTAGGACGTTGGACGCTGAGGAGGTGGAAGAGGTAGAAGAAGTGGAAGACCACAGAATCGGTTGTCCGTGGTGATTGACTTCAGCCTGTTCCAGTTCTTGGGCACAAACTTGCCAAGGCTTGAAAACTCCGCGCCTCACCCCGTCATGTAGTAATTAGAGTGTGGCCACCAGTGGCCGCCCTTGCCCAGCACACTCGCAACCTGCCTCATGAGGGTGCGTCTTCACGAATCGATTAATCCTAAACTCCCATCGTGCTACTTCTATCTCCTGGGGCGGGGAGCTCAAATTATCAACAACTGATAGTTGGCGGATATTCTCCGCGACAAAGGCTCCTTCCCCGGCTGGATTAGTGATCGTCGACTGACTGTCTTGGTGGGCCATGAGCTGCTTTTCTCGAGTAGCCAGCTGTGAGCCGTGGCTCACAAAACAAAAATGCGGACATCTTGGAAGCTATCGAGGTTAAAGACCTCATGATGTCGTCTGAAATGGGTATTCAAAATAGCTCGAGGCTTGGGCATTTTGTTGTTCTGGAGCATCGTTGAAAAGGAGTACGGATAAAGTAGATGGTATGCCCACTCATTGATGCTGGTTCGTCCCTCTGTTTCAAGTTGTGGGAAGTTGAATCCATTTCGTTTGAAGCCCTTGATTATAGTTTCAAGCCGTTGTGGTCATAGCCCAAGATCGAGAGTAACGGACCGGCCGTTGCTACAGATCCATGTGAACTCTCCGCGGCTCACTGTTGTGTGACTTTAGGAGGAATGCGCTTATCGAGGGTGTACTCCTAGGAATCATGTCAACTCCTCGGCTCTCCAGCTGATCCTTAACATTTGAGGAGTCTTCGCACGCAGTATCTCGGAGGTGGTGAAAATATATCAGTTCAAACCGGCACGCGGTTCTACGTAGGAAAAATCATGAAGATGTCAGGTATCGAAATTCACTTGCTTACTGATGGATGTCAATAGCCTCGCTGTTCAGGAGCCAGGCCTTGTCGCTTGGTTCCTCTCACATGGTGCCGATCCAAATGCCGGATGCCAGTTGGACTTGACCCCATTGTCCTATGCCGTTCAATATGCCCCTTTCGACGTGATTAGGACGCTGTTCGACCACGGTGGCTCAATTCATACAGGGCAGCTAGTTCACTGTGCGGTCCGTCGTGATCAGCCAGATACCCTCCAAGTGCTGGCTTACCTCCTCAACAAGGGGGCGTCTATCAATGCCGTGATGTATCAGAACCGACCGGATTCCTATCAGCTACAACAAGCATTTGGACTGGGGACTCCTCTTCACAAGGCAGCTCAGCGTGGAAAGCTGGAGGTGCCCCGGTTTCTCCTGGAGAATGGCGCCGATCTCAATGTCGTGGACTCCCTCGGCCAGACGGTCATTCAACGTGCTACCATCTTTCGGAATCCCGAGGTGGCTGACTTTATGCGGCACAACGCGTCCATCTCATCACATTAGACCTAACAGAACCAGGTGGTCATCCCCGGCCTCCTGGTCCATCTAACTCGGTATCGACAGGTCCCTTCTCTTTGCACAGACAAGGCCAAAGCCAGAGCCAGAGCCAGAGCCACCTTTTCCATCGACCAGCAGAACTACACCGTACACCGGTCACTTTTGTGTTACTCCATTACTCCATCAAGCCCATCAAGCCCAGATGCCACTCAGAGCTGGGAATCATCCCCCAGGTGATAAGAACCGGCCCCGAAAGGGGGACCTGGCCCTGGCCCTGGCCCTGGCCCTGGCCCTGACCAGCCTATGGCCACACCAAGCCGAGGATGAACGTTGCAGAGCGATTCGAGGTGACTAGGATGGGAAGCGGCGTGGGGCGTTAACTCTGAGATATTTCCTGGCAACATCGGGGCGGACACCGACGGGTAGACCACAGGAGCCGTCATCGCCTGCAGTCCAGGTCTCGTGCTGCAAAGACCTTCGTAGCCAGAGCTGGCCATGAGGTAGGACGCCTGCATATCAGACTCTGTTGGCACTGTAGGAGGAGGAGGATGTCGGCTGACGCCCATCATGTTCACTGGATGTATGGCGGCCTGGCCGGGACTTTGTATCGTAGCGTAAGGGTCAGAAAACAGGTGTTCAGGTAATTGATGAGAGGGTGCGGTCGGATCCTGGGGAAAAGGCGATTCATCTAGAGTTGGCGGAGAGAGCCCCATGCTTTCGAGGATGACTGTCGTCGTGATTGCGCCACTGTGTTCGTATTGAGGAGGCACAGTCCCAGGAAAGCCCGATCCGCTTCGACAGGCGAAGTAGAGACGATGTAGGGCTACCTCCATGACCTGGCACATCTCGATGTAGCTGCAAGGACTGGTTAGTGATGATGGCCTGGAAGTTTGTGGTTGCTGCTGATTGCATCAGTGATGATTGAATTGCTTACTACTTTCTTGCTTCTCGGCCCCTTCTGAGATTGTATACACAAGGGCTCTGGCTGGTTCGGCACGTTTCACATTCAACTGCGCCATCGCACTGTTGGGGTCAGTATGTCCTAGGAACAGTAACGATATGTGGTCGATCTCGGTGCCTCTCATACTTTTGCCTTTTTGAGCCTGCATCGGTCACAGGCACGAGGTGTTCGTTGATGTGCCTTTGGCCCGTCGGGCTTCGAGCCAGTTGCCTGTGGCCTTTTTTGATTTTGTGTACCTAGCATCATCTGCTTAGGCAGTGTACTGTACCCGGTAGCATCTGGTTGATGCGAGTTGTAGTCGTCTCACGAAATCAAACTCATGGGCGAAATGGCATTGCAAATACTAGTTAGTTAGTAGTCAGCACCTTTATTCTAGCCACTCTTTCCAACCAAGCACATTAGCGCTGCCGCTGGTACCCTGGTCGAGCGCTGGTTAGACCCCACCCCCAACCAGGAGACAGGCCGGTGAGAGAGAGAGAGAATTGTTGACCATACCCGACCAATGACCAGGGGGCCCAGGCCCGGACAAAGAGGAGGAGCAAACCTGAACTTGCGGTGTTCGGTAACACCCTCTCAAGACACATGTCAGAAACGTCTGCTTCCAAGTTTCTGATAGGGGAGTCGAGTCACGATCCACGGTCGACGCGCCCAGCTGAGGGGGACAACATCCATGTTCAAGGATCTGTTGTGTGGGATACCCGGGCATCCTCAGTCCCAGAAGGGAGCGCGGCCCAGGACAGCCTGAGCTACTGGTGACATCAAAACATGATTGGCAGCGCCGTCGTCGTTGACGGGGATGGCTTAGGCACTGGGGAGGAAGTACAGTTCCGTGGACGGTAATTGGAGGCCATGTCCGTCGATCCGTGGCGTATGTCAGCTGCTAACCGAGAACTCAGAGATCTGGACCTCCTTAGCCTCCCTTTCAGCTGGACTACGGTCGGTTGGCCCCCTGTCCATGATTAGTCCATAGCAGCAAGATGACGAGGAGGCGGGAGACGACCTATCGCTGCTGAGCAGTAGCCGTGCCAGCAGGATGGCTCTAGGTTGCCAGCTCTTGCGTGCGAGCGGGCCAGGGGACAAACGGCGATCCAATGTTACAGTAATGCCTGAGCTCATCCCCCCAGTACTGTAAAGCACCAAACGACGTCTCTGCACTCTGATCGCTGCTTGCTCTCAACATCCACGGCCTGGACGAAGATGGACTCCAATTTCCACAGTCTTCCTGGTAACCAAGCTTGACAGCTTCAGAGCCCGCCTTTGACCAAAGCATCGATACCCACGAAGTCATCCCTGGGGTGGACCCTGGCCACTAGGTGTTGGCACCAATCCATTTGCGGCCTTGTTATTAGGTGGACTCACTTCCATCAACGTCTGTCCTGAGCTTTTGCTGGTGGGGCAAGAGATAGATGGAAAGAAACATCCCGTTGGGAAGGCCTCGGTTCGTGCGGCTGTCGAGGCAGGAGGATGTGAGGGGCGTGGTTAAGATTCCGGTGCGGAGAATGGTGTGGCCATGGACCTGCACTGTGAACAAGTACCTAGGTAAGTATTCCGTACATAACCAGCACGTCACATACCAGGATAGAATCACGGAATCGTGAATGTACGGATACTGGGACAAAGTACAAAGTACAAAGTACAAAGTACAAAGTGCCAGAGTAATTGAGGTTACGCACGATAAGCTAAAAGCGGCGTCGATAACCTCGCCTACGGTCTAGCCGCCAAGATTCGCGGGGCGGCAAGAATTATTGCGATTCAGGTCACCGCATCAATTTTTTTGGGATCGCGAGGGTCGACCGTTCAACAGCCGCATGGTATGTCACTGCCCTTCAGATTCAAGGCGGGAGACTCTGGACCCCATGCTACGGCTACCGCAATGGCGCCGATTACTACTTCTGCACACCATCACCGGAGTACCACAAAGGTCGACCATAAGCCTTTCAAGTCCCGATTCGCGTCTAAAAGTGCTCTGAAGGACAAAGCCAAAGGTCGGGAGACAGTAGACTAGACATACCCCCGCGAACCCAACACTGACAATCACAGGCAAAGTTGAGACCCATAGAGCCGAGAAAGGCCAAAGGAAGACTCCCCATCAACAGATTATGTCGAAGCTTGCAAGACGCAACCAGGCGAAACAACTCCGCATGCACCACAAGGACAAGCGAGAAGGGGAAGAGAATATATTTCAAGGCCTGGATGGGGCGGCAAAGCACATAGCCATTGTGCCATTGTCGCCAAATATCGATGCATACTCCGTCATTCGTTCGCTGAACGAGAGTGTCGATGTTGCGGGCCCGGAAACCTCCAGCGGCACGGTCCCCGCTCGAGTCGAAAGGTTTCGCCGCAATCTGCTCTACCTGCCATCCTCATTCGACCTCTTTAACGCGCTCGACGTTTGCAAACTCGCGGATTGGGTGGTGCTCGTGCTTGATGCAGAACAGACGTTTGGGGAAGAGGAGGACAAGTTGCTGAAGGCATTGGAAGGCCAAGGGATCACCAGTGTCACTGCTGTTGTCAAGGACGTCGAATCCAAAGTGCCGGCGCCCAAGAGATCTCGCCATCTCACCGACCTGAAGATTGGCATTGGCCGATACTTCCCAAGCTTGGACAAGTTGTCCAGCCTCGACAACAAATCCGACTGCGCCAACTTGGTCAGGAGTATGTGCACCGCCTCAACCAAAGGCATCCGATGGCGAGACGACAGGAGTTGGATGTTGATTGAAAATGTCAATTGGAACTCGCCCGTCGACAGTGCTCCGACCACTACAGTTAGACTCACGGGGACCATACGTGGGAAGGGCCTGAACCCTGACCGACTCGTCCACGTGCCAGGGTGGGGAGATTTCCAGATCGGCACCATCCGGCAGCTGCCCAGCCAAGGGCGCAAACGAAAGGCCGATGAAATGGACGCAGATGAACCATTGAACGAGTGGAACCCCACTGCGGACCAAGACGATCTGGCCGAACTGGCGCCAGAGCAAGCCGAAATGCTGGATGTCGCCAGTACGGCGGCCACAACTGAACATAAAGGTGTCCTCCTGGATGATCATCATTACTTCTCCGACGATAACTCTCACATTCCTCCGCCGCCGAAAAAACTCCCCAAAGGGACTTCCAATTACCAGGCCGCCTGGTACCTGGAAGATGTATCCGACTCTGATTCGGATTATCTCGAGGAGAATGGCGATGGCGATGTTGCCATGGATGGTGGAGGCGAAGGCGCTCAAGGCCCAGAAGATGGGGCAGTGCTTGATGGAGATGCCATGACGGAAGCAGGGCCATCAGAGTATCCCGAGTCGGAAATGCACGTGGACGCCGACGAGGAAGAGGAAGCTCGACAGCTCCAAGAGTTCCGAGCCGGCCGAAAGAACGAGGCCGAAGAGGACCTGGAGTTCCCGGACGAGATTGAACTCCCTCCGGACGTTCTGGCCCGAGAAAGGCTTGCCAAATACCGCGGCCTCAAAAGTCTGCGGACGAGTGAATGGAACCACGCTGCGGACCAACCGTACGAACCATTCGAACACAAGCGCCTGCTCCAAGTGGCCGACTACAAGAAATCGTACGGTGCGGCGCTGAAAGAGTCCCTAGCCGGTGGGGTGCTCGCGGGCACCAAAGTCGAAATCGAACTGCGCGATGTGCCTGTCGCTCTCGCAGCTAAGCCTGCACCGGCCTCCATGTTCTCGCTGCTCCGTCACGAACACAAACACGCCATCATCAACCTCAACCTCATGCTGCACTCGGACCTCGACGGCCCCGTCAAGTCCAAAGACGAGCTCATCGTCCATATCGGCCACCGGCGCCTTGTCGTGCACCCGATCTTCTCCGCGTCCGGCCAGACACCCAACGACGTGCACAAGTTTGACCGCTTCCTGCATCCCGGACGGACCGCAATCGCCACCTTCACCGGCCCCTTGACCTGGGGGTCTGTGCCTGTATTGGTCTTCCGCCGCTCGACGGCCACGGCCGACAAGTCGTCACACAATACGGATGCGGACGCGGATGCCGATGCGCCCGCTCTGGTCAACTCGACCGGCCCTGGATTTCCGTCGTCGTCGTCAGAGCTGGAATTAATCGGCACTGCCACGACCCTCCCGCCGTCGTCGTCTCGCGTGGTCGCGAAGCGCATCATCCTGACCGGCCACCCATTCAAGATCCACAAGAAACTCGTCACGGTGCGCTACATGTTCTTCAACCGCGACGATGTCGCCTGGTTCGCCGCCCTGCCGTTGTGGACGAGGCGTGGCCGCCAGGGGTTCATCAAGGAACCGCTGGGCACCCATGGCTATTTCAAGGCCACCTTCGATGGGAAGATCAACCCCATGGACGCCATAGGCGTGAGTCTGTACAAGAGAGTGTGGCCTCGCCCGGCGACGGTGTGGGAAGGTTGACGACGGTGATGGTGATGGTGGTGGTGATGGTGACGGTGACGGTAACGGTAACGGTGACGATTGTGAATGTTGTAGATTGGAAGGCATTGATCCGATCCAGGTTCTGCCCCTGCACACCGAATCTAACGAACGTTATGAAAGGATTTTGGCATTGACATTGGCATTGGCATGAAAAGACGAAGACGAAGACGGTAAAATATGAATCTATACCTACCTTATGTTATGCGTTGTGCGTATGAGATTGACTGAATAGTCGCAGCAAATCAGTTCAATTCAATTCACGAACACTGCAATGGTAATGGTTATACCCCTGCTACATGCTATGTACTATGTATGTGACACCGCATGACAACCACAACCACAACCACAACCACAACCACAACCACAACCACAACCACAACCACACAGCCAGCCAGCCAGCCAGCCAGCCAGTGTCCTCCCTTCCCCCATGGACATCTCATCATAAGAATCTCTCCCGATCGTGTACGTGTGCGTACCGTCTCTTGCTCCCCACCAAGATGGTCTCCCATCTCCCACGATTGTGCATGTCGTGTTGACAGATTGATTTTAGCTCTTTCTTGACCGTAAGGGTGGTGGTACATGGCCGTTCTTATCGCACATTGCATCTCTCATCTCTCCTCTCAGCGCAGTCAGTGTCAGTGTCAGCATCAAGCTGGGAGCTGAAGTGTACTTGTACGTGTCCGTGTAAGTGTACGTTCCAAGGTCTCAATATGACGCCTCACGCCGTCCATGTCGGCCTCTAGATCCCTGTAGCGGGCGCCCAGCCTCTGCATCAACTGGAGGCCCGGATCGACGGCTTCATACTCGGCCAGCAGGTCATCCAGCGCGGCGAGTCTTTGGTCTGCTTGTGCGTCCTGTGCATCCAGCTCGCGCAGCTGCTGGGCCATGATGCGGTTGCGGTTCTTGCGCTGTGCGGCCGCGGTGCCGGTGCCGGTCTCGTCGTCGTCGTCTTCTTCCATGTCCATGGTCCTCTGCGTCTCCATAACAAGAACACGGGTCTTCAGGTCCATGGCTTGCGCGACGGTGGTGAGGAACGTGAGGCGCGACATGGCGTGGCGGTGCAGGATGCCGTGTTTGGAGCTCTCGAGGTGTTGGATCTGCATTCGCAATAGATGGCGCTGCATGTCGAGCAGCGTGTGCAATTGCTTCGTGACGGTCGCTAGACGCTCGGGGAACGTCGAGGTGCGGAGATGGCTTATGTGGGAGAGTTGGGTTTGTACATAGGACAATAAAGTGCCAGACGGCCCCTGTGTGCCGGTGGTGGTTGTGAGGTTCGAGGTCGATGTCGATGTCGATGTCGCAGCTGGTGTTGATGTTGATGTCGCAGCCGGTGATGGTGACGGTGCCGGTGCCGCTGAGGTCTGGTCTGCGTCGTCGTCGGTAGCAATCGCGGCGATATCGCCCAGCACCGTTTCGATCTCGACGACGCGCGATCCAACTAACTCTGCGATGATGGGAATGTTCTCTTTGAGCCGGGCAATGTCGTCGGCAAGAAGGACTTCTGTGTCTTCGTCTTTGTCTTCTGCCTCCCTTCGCTGCGCATCAGATTCTAGATTTGTACTGGAGCCGGCAGTGGCAGTGGCAGTGGCAGTGGCATTACCAGAACACAGCCTGACATCGAGATAAGCTGAGATGAGAAGGAGAAGATCTCTCAATTCACCGGCCGTCTTGGTCGGCGTTGACATTGACGTTGGCTGAGTCTGTGAATCTGTCTGGTTCTTGTCCGAGTTGCCCTGAGGAGCTATCTCTGTGTGGTGTTCAACCACGTTCTCCCTTGCCTCCGTGGCCACAGGCTCTCGTTTGGTTGTGGTTGTGGTTGTGGTTGTTGCTGTAGTAGTAGTTGTTGTCGTACCCATCTCCTTCCCGCTACCCTCTTGAGAATCTGCATGCCAATCACCATGATACGCGACATCGGCAAGCAAGCAGCGCATCATCTGCAACTTCATCCTCCTGACTCGGCAGTCGTGGAGTTGGTCCTCGAACTTTCTCCTCTTCTTCCTGCTGCTGCCGTTGCCGCTGGCCCTCATCCTTATCTGCGCAGGGGTTAGAGTCATGGGTGTATTGTCATCGCCTGCCTGCTGCTCTGGTTCCTCTTCCTCATCGCCATCACCATCGCCATCGCCATCAACATCACCATCAACATCACCATCACCATCACCATCGACATCACTCATGGAAGGATCGCTCTCTGTCTTCTGTGACGCATCACCCCGCAGCACCTCGGTGGCAAGGTGATTCCAGACCTTGGCAAATGCCGGGTTCGCCGCAAGAACTGATGCAGGGAGCGGCGGAATCATAGTCATCTCTCGCGAATATGGCCGGCCACTGGGCGAAGATCGAAGATCGAAGATTTGTGTTGGCCAACCACCTGTTTCTACCATGAACGCGCGCACTCGTGTCTTGTGCCGTCGGGACGCTCTTGACACGCGTGGCGCCTTGGGGGGAGGTGGCCCCTCTGCCAGCTGCCTGCGACCGCAGGGAGTCAGATAGATGTACAGGCGCCTGCTGAGGCCGCAGGCAAAATAGAAAATCCAGGATACCTTGGCTGACCAGTTGAACTCCTTTGGAAAGGGTCGAGGCCGCGGCGCGGCACAGCGCGTCAGGCGTCTACGGTTGACTTGGCTCTATCAAGGCTGGCTTATTTCTGCGTTCTAAATTTACTACGCCTCTTCGGAACGACTTTAAGGACCTGTTGCTTAGCTTTGGTTCGGGCATGCATGTGTGATACTCATCCATTTCATTCCATCTCCAGCGCAAAAGTATTGTTTGCTCTGCTGCAACTACATACTCTCTACACGCGCCGCCGGCTTGCGTCCGTTGCACAGCACCGTCATCTAGCACGTCTTGTCCAATCGACTGGCAAAGCAACCAGGTCAACTCACATGTGGCCTCTGGGAGCAACTTGCTGTCTGGGGTTCGATGCTGGCTCGACTTCTGTCCTCGAATGCCATACCTATAATAGCCATGCAATAGTCGAAAGTGGTGGGATCAAGCTTGCCGGGTCTTCGTCGCCGATTTACTCTTCTTCACTCTCCTCCGAATCACCATCATCGCTGCTGTCGCCCGCTTCAATCGATGGAACAGCATTCGGAGAAACTGCTCCATGGTAAGCACCCAGCTTGCCCTTCAACTCCTCAATCTGTGCCTCCTGCTCATGTTTGCTCATGGGCTTGCTCTTCTTGGACTTGGGAGCTGGGGCGTAAACGTCCGCTGCTTCCACCTTCGGTTCGTCCGGAGGTGGACCCGCATACCGCTTGACAAAATTGAGCAACTTGAGCAGGGCGTGATTCGGAACTTCTTCAATATCCAGTTCGATCTCGTTCTGGTCACTGTTGGCCAACGAAGGGACGCTGTTTTGGATGATCTTGAGCGCCTCTTGCATCTGCTTTTCCGGCAACATGGCAATCCCGTTGGAGATGTATTGCTTCTCGGCAAACGTCACATACCGATCCTTGTCGACCTTGGACCGAGGAGCCGACTTCTTCTTCTCTTTCTTGTCCTTGCCCAGATTGGGGAAAGTGGCGGCCGGCTTCTCTTTCTTGCTTGGCTTCGACTTGCTCTTCTTGGTCGGCGGTGACTTGGACTTCTTGTGCTTCTTTTGGGTCAACTCGCCCATCTGCTTGGACATCTCTTCGATTTGTTTCTGCAACAGTTTGATCTTGTCGTTGCGCTCTTCTTCGCTATCCTCCACGTCTTCTTCTGATTCGTCTTCATCATCATCTTCGGCTTCAGCATCCGACTGTGGTTCAGATTGTGGTTCACGCGACGCAATCCATTCGTCTTTGGCAGCCCACTTTTTGTTGAACAAGTCTTCCAATTGGTGACCCGCAGCGTTGACCAAGTCACCTTCTGGGTTGAACTTGAAGCAGTTCTTGAAGATCAGACGGACGTCTTCCTCAAAGTCCTTGGCTTTCTCATAGACATTGTTGCTGAGCTTGTTTCTAATGGTTCCTAGATCCATCGGTTTCTTGATGATCTGGAAGTAGGTCGGAATGTTCAGGGCGACCGGATCGACCGGATGAGTGAAATACTGGTTGATCGGCCAGTGTTTAGTGTGCGCGATCTCCTTCAACACTTCGTCGCAGAACTTCAATTGCAACTCATACTTCTTCTTCTTGGGCCGACCGCCGCCAAATTCTTGGTTGCGCTTGGTCGGAACAATGGCTCGCTTAGGTCTCCCGTCAGCTAAGCTGGAGTCACGGCGAATGAGCGGGATGCCATCGGGACCGGGAGCAAACGAGGGCGTCGGAGGAGCGGTCGCTTTGGGCGTCGTGTGTGTACTGACCGGGCCGACCGCGGTGCTGACAGATGGCCGCCGAGGAGGAGCCGAACGCGTCGGTTCGTGCTTCTTGAACGCTTTCTTGTTCTCTTTGGGGGGTTCTTCGATGGACGCCGGTGGCAGGTTCCGCATCTGACTGTTGAACGACGATTGCATCTTCCTGGCGGCTTGCGACACCCCATGGTCAGGACCATTGAACCTCAAGCAATTGTTCACAATCAACTCGAAATCGGCGGTGAAGACGGCGATCGACGTGTATTCGTTCCGCTTCAAGCGCTGATCGATAGTGCCGAGATCCATGGGATGTTTGACAATCTCAGGATAAGTCGGAATGTTCAGCGCCACCGGGTCGACAGGTAACCTAAAGGCAGCCGAAGCATTGCTCTTCTTCAGATTCGAAATGACCTTCTTCATGTGGGCCAAGCGTGCCGGCGTGACCGTATCATCTCCATCCGTTACTCCATTCGCAGCGCCACCTGCAGCCGTGTTGCCATTGGCCAAGGCTGGCGCTGGAGTAGGAGCCGATGGGGTCGGAGCTGATGGAGTCGGAACGTCCGGGACCTTGAACTCGCCTTGCGGACTTGGCTGTCGCTCATCTTGTGGCTCGTCTGTTCTGACACGTTTCGCCGCGGGTTCCGCGTCATCATGGTCATCCTCCCGTTCGTGGACTTGTTTGACAGGCGCTGAGGGTGCGTCCGCCATCACTTTGTCCTGTGGTTCGACCGATGCTGGAGCGACGGGTGTCGGGGCAGGCTCTTGGGGTTGTTCAGACGGGGCCGGTATCGAAACTGGCGCCACTGCGGGTTCCACGGCAGGTTCCACGACGGGCTCGGATGGCTTGCCCTCGGGTAAGGTGGCGGGAGCCAGTTGAGGTGCGGGTGGTGGTGACTGCGCGGGAGGCGAGGGAAGCCCAATATTGGTGACAGCTGGTTGATCAACTTGGGCCGTTGACTCTGCGGCGGAAGGGACAATCGGGAACGAGGTATCCATCACATCGTGCTTGGAGATTGCCGCCGACCCATCTGCAGAATTGTCCAACTCGTGCTTCCGAGCTTCAACATCGGCGACAGCCTCAGGAGTAAGCGCATCCGCGTGAGGCGAAGTACGTAGATCAGAGATTGGTGCCTGAGCAGGGACGGGAGACGGCTCGGGTAGAATCATGGCTGATTGACTGGTCTCGACCAAGGTCTCTGATGATGGAATATCGGCCGGAATGGACGAAGGGACGACAGACTCGACAATTTTGACTTCGGTTTCGGTAAGGGATATTGTGGCAGGAGTCTCCTCGTGGGTAGGTTGAGGTTGCGAATCAGGAATAATTGAAATAGGCGCCGGAGGACTCGTAGTCAGTGTTGCTTCACTGGCGCGTACCTCAGAGGCAGTAGTGGAAGGCAGAATCGCCTCAGCGACCGCCTGTGAGACTGCCTCTGGAACTGCCTCTGGAGATACCTCTGGGACAGGCTCGGGTAGTCGCTCTACCACTGCCTCTGTCACTGTGGGAGCCGGCTCTGATGGTAGTGAGGATTCGGTCACCGGCTGTGTCGGCAGCGACAGACTGACATCGGCCTGTGAATTGGATATTGAGGCAGCCAAGTTATCGGTGACATGGGAGCCCTGTGGTTGATCTGAGGTTGAGCTGAACTGAAGTGGCAGCCTAGTGAATGTCAGAACAGGACCAGGAGGACGACGATCTGGGGCAGCAACAGCTACGTACCCCTGTGCCTCCGTCTGCATTTCGACGTCCATGATGCCAAGAGATCGCGGTAGATGGCGGTCCGCTGTACTGAGGTTGTTGGAAGATCGGGCCAGCCGACTGATAAACAGAGTGGATGGAAAGAATTAATTATTAGAAGAAGAATAATGTACAAATGCGGCACTGGTGGCGAACGCGCAGAAACAAAGGGCGCGCAGTGAATTGGAGTTGGAAGGTGGAATGAATGGGCCTGGCGCAATTAAATAGGTCGGTCAAGATGCTTTGACAACAATTGATGCTGACACACTCAAGTGGCAACACAGGACCGACGGCGATTGGGCGCGCGTCTCGAGCGGGTGGCGACGGCGACGGCGACGGCGGAAGAGGCGGGATGGTAGAGGATTGAGAGCGAGGCGGAGAGGAGGTGAGATCCAGGTCTGGGCGTCGGAGAGAAACAAATCTCTGATGGTCATGTGACAACCCGTCCGATGGACGCCTAGCCTGCCAAGACTCGACAAGGCCGGGGCTGACGGCACGTGACGCGGCCTTGCGCTCGCAGAGAAACACAGACACGACTCGGTGTCAATGCCGCATCCAACAACAGCCACACGCCGGGTCAGGGCAGTAGTGGTGGCAGCTGCACGGGCAACGTGATGAGAAGGTGCGCGTACAGTTCAATTGAACGGTCGATCCAATTCAATTGATGATGCGCCGAGGCCGTGGATGCGCAGTGCAGGAGGGAAGGGTGTGGTGGTGGTGGTGTCGGTGTGAAAGCGGCGTATGGAGTGTGTGTTGGGCGGTGGTGATGTTGTTGTTAAGAACAACTCGAATAATAATGATCGCGCTGCGCGTGGTGCAGCAGCAGCAGCAGCGAATTAAAGGCGGGGCTTGGCGGCGACGGTGAAGATTGAGGTCCGGAGGCGCAGTGCGTAGGCGAGGCGGTACTAAGGACTCGGGCGCTGCGTGGGAGGAGAGGAGGCCGAGACGCGTGACAACACACAACAACACAGGCACAGGCACGCACACTTTCAGGAGCAGTGAAATTTGTCGAGAGCGAGGGGAGGGGCTTTTATCCTCGGCCGGATTTCTGCCAGTCTGCCGTCCCCTGCCCCATGTCCCAATCTCTGCTTCCCTGCTCGTCCTGTCGCTCCACCGCCGCCCCTATTATTCGTCATCTCCACTGCGCCTTCCCCGACTCTGCCTAGCCCGCTGCTCTCAGTATCGGCTTCTGTGTCGCCCAAGCTCAATGATTAATGGCCCCGTCCTGTGCGCCACCCTCTTTTTCTCTTTTGCTTTTTCCACTCTGTCTCTCATTCTCTCTTCGTCCTCGCGTCACTCTGACTCTGACATCCACCCTCCGATGAATCTCCCTCGCTCTCCGCCATCCTTGCACCTCTCTCTGACTGGCCCATCCCTGTCCTTGTCAGGCTGTGATATTCGTATAATGGACGGGCAGCTTCTTCCAGAAAACAGCCCCGGTCCCTGCCTTCCCCTTCCCTGCCATCCGGTCGATTACTATACTCTTTCTTGTAAATCGCCACAGTGTTTCTGCAATTCTGAACACTCTCCAATCACGTGCTACCACCCAATGGATCACGTGATCCAGCTCTAGTAGCATAAAAGGTTCTGGGAGAGGTTCAGAGGTTGCATGCAACAGCAGCAATTGCCATAATGTTTCCTCTGCTTGCTCCAATCTGCCATTCTGAGCATCTTAGCTGAACGCATTCTGGCATTCTGCAGGAGTGCGAGGACCGTAATCTCGTACTCTTGTCTTCGACCGTGCAGGCTGCCCGCCAATGCAGAGTAATCTCCGTGGCTTCCCGGCCTCACCAGGCGAGCCGAAGACAATAATGTAGCATTGTAGTAGACAGCTCCAAGGAACATCGCTGAGACCAGCATTCCTGTCTGTCTGCTTACCAGCGGCCTGCTGCCAGTGAAATCAGGTCCCTCTTTCAACCTGGTGTTTCTGTAGTGGAGAGCAATAAGGACTTGGACATGTCAGTTAAAGTACACAGTACAAGACGAACCTCCTAGAGATGGGAGTGGTTCAGAGTGCTTGGTATCACAGTGCCTTGTAATAGTGACTAGATGTGAGTGATTGTCCCTGGATGCCCCTGTATCGTTGTTGCAGGTCAGGGTAGCAGAGGCACTCATCCTTGGGCACAGCGGCATACCGGTACACAGTCACACGCTACATCCAAGGAGAATTGGTGAGAATTGCAACAGAACCATTGAAATTGCAGGCAGTCAAACGTCCTGTTCACAAGGCCATTCTTCATCCCAGCCCTCCAATGCAGTGAACACAGGTTGAAAGAACAAATGAATGATTATTTGACGAGTCCTACGATTAGTGCCCTTAAAAGCTGGCTGGCAGGCGGCAGGCAGCAGGCAGCAGGCTTAGTCAAGGTCGGACAGCTCCTCCAATCAGAGCATTGCAGGCAGAAGTCTGTACGCTAGGCCAGGATTGGCAACGCGTGGTGCGCAATCACTAACTCCGCTCGAAGTTGTATCAACTTTTTTTTGCTGCAAGAGTGCGTGCAAAAGCGTCAGTTCGATGGGAGCAAACTGTACGCACATCACTTGACAAAGTCAACTTGTTGCAGTGATTGTTGCCTCTGGTCCATCACGCTCCCCTCTCGCCCCTTTCGTTCATTCATAGGAACCCTCAAAATGGGTCGTAAATCCTCCTCTACGGCGGTCACTAAACCCTCCTCCGCCTCTGCCTCTGCGCCTGCAGGGTCGTCAGGAAATTCATCGACGCAAAAGTCTTCTGTGCTCAGATCTGCCTTTACGCCCTCGAGTTTCCAATTACACCTGTTCGCCTCGGTGATTCAGAGCTTCAATTCCCACCAACTGCGCATTCATGACACAGACACCGGCCGCCTACGTTGCCAACACGAGACCACATCTGGTTCGAGAATCACCTGCCTCGAATGGGGATACTATGGTGTTGCATTCCGCGAACAACACCAATCATCCCCGACAAAGAAACGTAAGAGAGATCAGAACAATGTCACGGGTGCAGTGATTGCCTATGGGACCAACACCTCGGAGGTGTGCATGTTCTCGCCTGCGGAAGGCAAAGTTGTGGGCATTCTCTCTGGTGTCCATGAAAGAGGTGTCAAAGACTTCAAATTTTCCCCCTCGGACTACATGGAGGCCTGGAGTATAGGTGGGGATGGAAGATTGGTGCAATGGGATCTCAGCACTAATCAGCCTAAACGGTCGGTGGCCCCGTCCGTGTGCTGGTGTTGCATCAGAACTGAATGCTGACCGACACAGAACGATAAACCTTCCAGATCCTGCTATTAGTGTCCTCGCCAGCCCGTCGCAAAATCTTCCTCAGATCCTCTGTGCATCTGCTACCCCATTCGCAATTGAAGTCAAGTCCTCGGACGACTTCCGGATAGACCAGTACGACTCCTTCAAAAACACAGTCCATTCACTCGTCAGGTCTACCTCGGGAGATGCAACGCTTTCCGAACACTTTATTGCGGCGGACTCCGACAGATACCTCAATGTGTATGACATTCCACATAAAAGGTTGGTACGGACCCTGGTGGCCGGAGCTGGTGTTATGGAGGTCGACTTGTCGAGCCCGTCGCAGGAGACTTCGGAGGTCTTGAACCAACAGATCCTCTGTGCCGTTCTGAAAGATGGATCTGTCGAGTTGTTCCCTCGGCCTTTCGGACAACCGCCGCAGGTCAACGGAGACTTGAAGTCCAGTCGGAAAAACCTGACGCAGAAGGCGTCGGCCTCGGTCCAACTGGTCAACCCTGGTTCCAATGGCAAGCATGTCCCTGTGGTCGCGGCCTCTTTGAGGGGCCCTGATCTCGTCATTGCCTCCGCGGATGGTGGTGTAGATCTTGCTTTCCAGAAGATCAGATGGCAAGATGAAGGCAATGGAGAGTTGCTGTTTGACGGCGTGAAAGAAGTCGTCAAGGTCAAAAGCGCCTCTACGTTAAGCAGTGCGACCTTGAACGGTGTCAAAAGTATAGGCAAGTCCCACGTTGACGAATCAAAAGCCGTTGTTGTCAATGGTGCTGCTGGAGGACCTGTGTCCAATACAATTGAAATCTCAAGCAGCGACAGTGAAGAAGCAGCCGACGATGATCAAGAGGAGCATTCTGATGAGGACGGCGCTCAAGACGGAAGTGAGGAAAGGGAGGACGAGGTTGCCGATGAGTCTTCGAACGAAGAATCAGACGAAGAGGTGGGTGAAGCTCCCGGTGCAGGTGCCGACACGAAGGCCGCAGAAGACGAGGAGATGAGTGACGGCGAAGAGCCCACGTTTGGTGAACTGCTGTCCTCCAAGCATCCGAACGAGATCTCTATCGCCTCCGCTCTTCCTGACGCCGCTGCTTCGACCTTGACGATAAAGAACGGCCAGCCGGTCGTTCCCTCGGGCATGTCCCTTGGCACCGTCCTCACTCAAGCGCTGAAGACCAACGATCAGAGTCTTCTTGAGGCATGTCTCCATACGCTGGACATCAACATCGTCAAGAACACTATTCAGCGCCTCGACAGCAGCCTTGCCGGTATCTTGTTGTCTAAACTGGCAGAGCGCCTCGCCAGTCGCCCTGGCCGCTACGGCCACCTCATCACTTGGGTGCAATGGACATGTATCGCTCATGGCGGCGCCATTGCCGCGCAACCAGATGTCACCACCAAAATCCGTACGTTGTACCAAGTCTTGACCCAACGCTCCAAGACCCTGGACAACCTCCTGCTCCTGAAAGGAAAATTGGACATGCTCGATGCACAGTTGTCCTACAGAAAGCAACTCGCGGCACAGAAATCGGGGAGACGCGACGATCAAGATGAGCCCGGCATAGTTTACATCGAGGGTGCCGATAATTGGGACAGCGAGGACGATCTCGACGAGGCGATCGAGCGTCCCGTGAAACGCGCCAAGGCGAAGGGCAAAGCTGTAAAGAAGTCCTTGGAAGATCTCATTGCGGATGGAAATGGAGATGCGGACAGTCAAGAGGACATTGAGATGCTTGAAGATGACGCCGAGGAGTCGGATGAGGATGACGACGAGAGTGAAGAGGATGAGGATGAGGATGAAGATGGGCCAGCGGTCAACGGCCAGCGCGGCATTTTGGTCGACGACAAAGCCGAAGTCTCCAGTGCCGAAGACTCCGACCCAGATGACAATGGCGACGGAGTCCAAGAGGACTTGTCATCGGATGATGTATCTTCTTCGGGTTCAGATGACGAAAGTGGCGATGAGGACGACGAGGAGGAAGAGGATTCGGAGATGGACAGCTTCATCAACGACGGATCGATTGAATTCGACAATGAAGAGGATGGCGTGCACATCCCGGGCGACAGCGAGCCTGAGGATGAGCCGGTGCCGGATGTCAACCGTCTCAGCAAAAAGTCCAAGAAGAAGGCCTGAGACATTGGTGCTGTCGACCGGCAACGTTGCGAGAGGGGATGGGAAGGTGGGTAGTAAAAGGGGAAGAGTTTTCAAAGTTTTTGAGGCTTGTGAATGAAGCACGGGCGGCATGGATATCAAAAGTGAGCAGCATCAAGCAGCATAATCGACCGCAAAGCTTGGACATTACTGTTTGGGCATGGTATTGACTTCGGCTGTCAGGTCGACAACGCTGAGAGCGCCTGGCGCCATACTTATCAGAGTGGTCGTCTTCTGGAAAGAAGGACAGCGACACTGTGTCCTGTGGAAAGGGACCTGTTCATAGAGTCCATTCCCATGTGGACACAATATGATACGGATAGAACGATAAGAATGGTCTTCTGTGTCGCCCGTTGCGCTTCGTCTGGTCTTTTCTAAGGATGTGATATCCAACCCTGGCGTCGACCCAGAGTTCCGCCGGCACTCACTCCGCTGGCACACCCGTCTGTCTGTTTCCCAAGAGCGAATGCTAGCGGATGACCTCTCCGCATCCGATCTCATCCACGCTGACGCCCTCACACCACCCTTCCAGGACACGACTTCCGCCCAGCACGCCATGTTTATTGCCTAGCCCTCTTCCCTTGCCTTTGCTTTTCCCGGCCCAGATCTCGAAGAACTTCACCGTCTGGTCACAGCATGCAATGATCAGACTGCCTTCCTCCTCCGTGCGAGAGGCCCACGGTTCCCCCTCGCCCCGGAGATCTCGTCGGTGGCTATCTCGTGGTCGGCTCCAAGGACCCGGTCGAGAACGGGCAGTGGCCCCGGTACGCTCAGGACTAGGTGCGAGACTGCGTCGAAGTCGTACGTCTGGATTGGCCGTCCCCCTTTCGGCCTCTCGCTGCCGGACCGCTTCCCAGGCCGAAAACCCGTCGGAAGAATCGCTTTGTCTTCGGCTGGGAATGGCATCGTTCGGCCCTCCTGGATATGGGATCGCCCACAATGCGCGTCCCACTTCTCCATTCTGTTTGCGGTCCCAGGGGACACTCACTACACACTCACAACCTGGCCAGCTGAAGACCGCGATCCGGATTTCATGTTCCGGCTGCGAATATCCGAATGTCGCCACGATTTCGCGCCTCGTGGTGCTCTACACCAGGCTCGTCACCTGCGAGAAGACATTGATCAAGGCCAGAAGTGCACCAGAGCCTGTGTGAAAGAAATGTATTTGACGATCATTGCTCCCTCCTCCGGTCGCCAGTAGATTTGGCTGCCAGGGAGCAAACGCCATGGCTTTGACCGCCGCCGAATGATAGAATGAGTAAACATGCATATTCGCGTGACCGGGGATGTCAGGGTTCGCAAGAGCATTCCGAACCAACGCGAGATTGTCACCCAGGGCTGCTCCATTGCGGCCCGGAGTCCAACGATGGTCGGTGCTAGGCGAACGAGTAGGAGTGCGGCCTCGCTGTAGAGGGGTCGGTGGCGGTGTGTCCAACCCATGGATGCGTGTTGGATCTTCTCTGGGGGGAGTCGCCAGATTTGGGTTCCTATGCTGTGCCGCGACACCACCCCTCTCAGGGGTGTCAGGAGGTGTTATCATTTGGCTCTCTGCAGCTTCTTGTTGATGATTTCGAGCCAATGCTCGCACAGTTCCCGATTCGAGGTCCTCCTGAGAGAATGCATGTTCATCCGCCGTCTCGGGTAGGAGTTCTGGGTCGAATAACAGCGCTCGATTGTCATTACCTCCTGAAACAAATTGCTGTCCATCCGGGGACCACGCTAGACCGCAGATGTTTTGGGTGTGTGCGTCGATTTTCGCCAGAAGCGTCATGGATCCCTGTGCCAACTCGGGCCATTCCAGTGAGTAATAGTAGATCTTGCCGGCGTCATCACCCACCAGGAGGTCTTCACACAAGGCGAGACCAATACCCGTTGTCGACTGTCGGGGCGTCTCGGTTGGTCTGAACGAGACACAAGATGCCGCGCATGGGTGAGGAACATCGAATCTGGGTCTGGCTTCCAACAGGCTCCAGAGGGTAACATTCCCGTTGTTCCTCGCGACCGCCAAGATGGCTCTCCCTCCCCTGTCAGATGAAAAGGCCAGGGACGTCACAAAATTGGCCGGACGGGCGGGAGGAAGTGGAGGATATCTCACCCCGTACTGCTCTGTCCAGAGGTAAACCTTCTGCGTCAGAGCGACAGCTAACGTATGACAGGTGTAGCTGTAGGCCAAGATGGAGCAATAGTAGTCGTCCTTGAGATTGGGGGCATCAAGGACTCTGAAGGGAACCGTGGGTACAGCTTTCTCGTTTCGAGGTGTCGCATCAGGCTTGGTCACCGAAGCTACCTTGTGTCAGCCAGTCAGCTACGGGAGTGGGATGTATCTTACCACGCGGTATCAAATCTCGAGTCCAGCTATTATCTCTCCATACGAAGGGGCTGTGATCGGCCAAAGTGTTCGCAACCTCTCTATCGGTCGCGGAATCTTGGGGCAGAATGCGACTGGCCTGGTCGATTTCCAGAGCCAAGGCAAGGCGCCGTTCATGACCTAGGGTTTTATCATCTGGAGTCGGCTGGTCGAGGAACGTGGCGGTGTGCAGGGGAGCGTTCGTCCCGCTGGCAAGGAGCCCTCCAGTTCCAGCGTTGATCCCATGTAATTGCCCAAGTTGGACGGACAGCCGACCTCCGACGGTCCAGAACCCACCGCTGACCTGACGAAGAGATCTCGATGTTGCCCTGGCATCACCATGTGGGGGCGTGGTATCGGTTTCGTTTACAAAGGATGGGGTATAGTGCGGCGGGCAGAGGTTATAGCTGTTGTGCGAATGTCTTTGACGGTCCAGGTTTTTCGATCTTGTTTTGCTGATGGATAGGAATGGATCCACTGCGGTGTCCCTCCGTCTGTTATTCCTTTCACTGCCCTGCAGTAATGAAGGAGGGGTACTTGTCTGGTAAGATGATCTCTTGTCTACGAGCAGAGGCCTCTGGGGGACGAATCGATCTGGCGAATTGAATCGATGTCGAAACCGAGGGGGGCTTCCTACGCTGACACATCGTCTTTGCTAGGGACGAGAACAGTCCGGGGCTGGCGGCTGAGCAGGATGGTCCTCGGACGATAAATTCGAGGTGGATTGGTGTTGTTGCAGGTCGCTAATCAAGGGATGCGGTCGGATCAATACACCCTGCTCTTCCACATGCCTCCTGGGCCTGGTGTCACCGGACGCAGGAGCTTGAGAAGGGTCCCGAGCTGGAGATTGACGGTCAGAGTTGGACATCGCTGATGTTGCCTGATCTTGCGAGAAATCCAACGATCCGTCCGACGATTGGGAGTATGCTAGACCCGCGGACACGGCGGGCGTAAGGGGCCGTGCGTTTGTCAAGAGATGGCGGCCTGGTAGAGGTTCCCAGGCATTATGAAGCCTGAGAGACCCTGACAAATGGGACGGCGGGGAGGTGGCACTGTGGAAGAAGGATGCCAGGAAGCACTGGAATACCTGTAATTATGTTAGTGACAAGCCATCACTTGCCTGGTATGCTGAAGTGGTCACTTGAGATAAACGTGCGTGGTGTGGGCGATTCTCGGTGTCGCAGATGCGGCAGAAATATAACAGCCCACCCGCATCATCCTTCCTCCGATCGTTCCTTTCATCTCAGCCACGTTCCACAGTCACCGCAAGGTCATGCCTGCCTTCAACTAGGCCCGATCACCTAGCAATAGCTAGGCTCAGAGGAAGATCTCGTCCAATCATGACCAGTGTAAGCGTCTCTGAAAGAAGATTGGGAACTTCGACTCATATGATGGCAGCATGGCGTTCCTCGATCAGCTACCCGTGAAGAGCGGACCATAGAAGCACGCCAGCGGGAGCTCAAGGAAATCTCAGAGTACCAGAGGCTCGTAGAAGAAGTCAATACTAAGGTCTCTACAGCCCAGGGCTATAACAGGCGTGGTCGTACTGACTGATAATGGACAAAGGTTCATGCGAAAGAGTCTACGCCTCAACTCCTCCAACAAACAGCCGAGCTCTTGAGGCGGAATCCGGAGTACTACACAGTATGGAATCATCGCCGCCGCATCTATGTCCACGAATTCCGAGATCTTGAGAAACAGGTATCCGCGAGCGAACTGGACGAGGACCGACGAGTCAGTCAGGTCCTGGACATCATACAACTGGACTTACAGTTCTTATTCCCTTTGCTACTGAAGTTCCCGAAGTGCTACTGGATATGGAATCACCGACTCTGGCTCCTCCAACAGGCTACCGCGCTCCTCCCTGTTGCACAGGCCCGGCCATTATGGGAGGAAGAGCTCGGGCTGGTTGGGAAAATGCTCAGTCGTGATAGCCGAAACTTCCATGGCTGGGGTTATCGGCGGATCGTGGTGCAAAGCCTGGAAAGCCTGCGTTTGCAGGGGCAGAGCATGTCGAGACAAGAGCTCGAATATACCAAAAAGATGATCGGCATCAACCTGTCCAATTTTTCGGCCTGGCATAACCGCACCAAGCTCATCCTCAAAATCCTGGACGAGGAGAACGCTACTGACGATGAGCGCCAAAAGATGCTGGACGAAGGTAGGTTCTTGTGGCGCCAGTCTTCACCTGGCTCGTGGGCTGATAAACTGCAGAACTCGAATTGATTCATCAAGCATTGTTCGACCCGTACGATCAATCCTTGTGGTTCTACCACCAAAACCTGATGTGCACCTTTGACCTTGACCTCGCAGCCAAGAGCATGGCACCTCACCTCTCCACCGAACAACGGCTCAGCTATATTGCTTCGGAGAGAAGGTACATCGAAGAGGTTCTTGAGGATGCACAGGACTGCAAGTGGCCATATCAGGCACTGATAGAATGCACGCTTCTGGAGGCAAAAATGCAGCAAGGGTTACAGGAAGATGGGAGGACGAAGATATTGCAATGGTTGACAGAGCTCAAGACCCTGGACCCTCTGAGAAAGGGCAGATGGTTAGACATGGAGCGATCCCTGGTCAAGGCCGCCGCATGATCTCACAATCAATTTGCCGGTTGGCTCGTCGGTGCCACGAGGGTGGGAAATGTACGGATACACAGCATCTCCGTACGAATGATGCCGGATTAGGAGACCAGTAATAGTGTACCGAGATGAGATGAGTTGACGTGTCCCGATGGTGGCAGATTAGCGGGAGCGTACGATGGAGTCCTGAGACGAGGATCCTAGTCTAGCCAGGAACGCCTCCTCAGCCCAGGAAGCCGACCTTAGGTACCGTAGGTGCCTGTCAAACGGAGTCCGGTTCGCAGCAGCAGAGACTCGATGGGGCCGGATAGGGGACCAGGGCGATTCTAGCGGAGGCGCATTTGGCTGATGGGCCATGGCATTGTTTGCTGCAGCTTAACGCCTCCTAAGCCTGGCTAATGATAGGGGCGCCCAGGGCACTTGGGCACTGGCTCCCTGACTCTGACATCTGACACATGCACACGGGAGCTTTTTCTCGCTTGAGAACTGTCCGCCTGTGCAAATGGTCTGTGTCCGGCGTCGTGCCGGTACGGAGTAGTCAACTTGCGCACGGAGGGAGGAGGGAAGAAGGAAGAGGGAAGAGGGAAGACGACACAATTGCCTCTTTGCAAGGGTCTGTTCGTAGTGTACCTAGTATGGACTATAACGTGAGACTTCAGCTTGTTCCTGTCTGAGGCTCCTAAGGCTGAACACCAAAGCTTGCTAAGGAGTTGCATACTCCATTGCACCTCCGCGTCACCGACGAAAATATAGGCAGGCCGCGACCAACAAAACAACACTTTGTCTCTGCACCGCAACATCTACTTGGCCGCCACGCCTCCCGATTCCATTCTTGAAACTTCACAATTAATCGAGACGACTCTTAAACGTCCTGGTGACGGCTGCAACCTTCGCTTGACTCTCCGTCTCTCTGCGGAACTCCGCACCTCAATTCTTGCACGAGTTCAATTCGCGTCTTCCGCCGGCACGCTCTATATCTACCCGAACCACGATTTTCGAATCTCCTCCAACGGAACGTCTCGACCGAAGAACCTTTCCATATTGATCGCGGGAAGTGGCAGATGATGGTCTGAACGCATGGAAGCCAACATGGAGACGGTACAATCAAGCGCTGACAACACCGACATGGAAGAGGTATGTGGTTTCAATGATAACGGGCAAAGCAACATCTTTTTGACAGCGCTTTAGAAATTCGAGGACGCCCACGATGTCAAAGACGATTCCAGGCGGCATTCGATACAGCAGGATGACACTACAGAACCCGAGAAATCTCCCGATGCTCAGCCCGCACCTCAGGAGGACGAACAATCTACATCTGAGCAAAGAGAGAGTACGGCGAGTTCCGACCACGCGGTACCGGATGTCCAGATAGACACGGTTGCGGTGGATGATTCCGCGTCTGTCCAGTCTCAAGATACCCAGCAGATACCTACTTTAAACGCCCCTGAAACCTCCCCTGACGATTCCGACTCTACTCAAAAGCCTCCTGCAACCAAACCTCCTCCGCGTCCATCAAGATTCCAAGGCTTTTCAGCTTCTCTACCCTCAGTCCCTTGGGGACCGCCTCCCCCTCCCAGAAAAGGCTCAGACGCCCGTGCCCCTTCTCCGCAGCCGCCTCCCGCATCTTCGTCCTTTGGGCGCAGAGTAACAACTCCATTTGGATGGCTGAGCCGAGCCACGTCGACTCCGAAAGAAAGTCGATCTCCCCCTCTGCCTTCCAAACAGCACATCGATGCTCGTCGAAACACTGCCGCATCCACCTCGACCCTCGGAAGCAACCCGGATCTGATGTTGAAAGCTCTCGAAGAGGCCCATGATGGATCCAACGGCCAGAAACTGCCGTCTAGGGCTTCTCTGCGCGAACAATTTAAGATGCTGCGAATGCGGGAGGAAGCAGGCGTAACCAGTCTGGAAGGCACCGAACACGCGGAGGGAGGAGCGATTGCCGGACTCATTGGCCGATCAGCAACCGTCGGTGTCGGGATCGCCGCGCCTGGAGGCATTGGCCACAATGAGGATGTGGTCTCGAGCCCGGTCATGTCACCAGCCGCCGAAACGGTCCCTACAAACCCGAACCTTGCCCCCGGGACTGTTGCAGGGATAGCGGCTTCTTCAGCAGACACAGCCACACCAATAGACTGGGATTTCTGGCAAAATGTTGTCAATGAAGGGCCACAAGCCGTGGCACGGACGAGTCCTGATGAATTCACTCAAGCCGTCAGCGGAGGGATTCCTCAAACAATTCGACCAGTTATTTGGCAAGTCCTCGCCGACAGCAAGAACGAGGAGCTGGAAGCGGTATATTGGGATCTCCGCTCGCGAGGCCCCAATGCAGAAGTGAAGGAGGGCATGCCGAAATCCCCATTGCTCAATGGAAATGTCAACGGCGGCGTCAAGGAAAAGGAGTCGGTAGGCTCATCGAGGTCCTCTATCCGTTCCGATCACTCCACTCCCGCAACTAGTGCACACGTGGGAGTGACGTCTCCTTCTCCGTCTCAAGAGCCAACAGATCCGATGGCAAGTGCGCGCCTTCAGACTCAATTAGCCGCGGAGCGTGCGAGGAAGGCGAAAGAGGATTCCGCTGCTCTCGCCAAGCTGGAGAAGATGATCAAGCGAGACATGGGCTCGAGAACCAGCTACTCGAAATATGCCGCAGCAGCCGGCTTGCAGGATGGACTCTTCCACGTGTGTCGGGCTTACGCCCTTTTTGATGATGCAGTGGGATATCCGCAAGGCATGAACTTCATTGTCATGCCTTTACTCTTTACGATGCCCGAAGAAGAAGCCTTCTGTCTCCTGGTCCGCTTGATGAACAAGTATCAACTGCGAGAGCTGTTCATTCAAGACATGCCAGGCTTGCATCTGCACCTGTACCAGTTTGAGAGACTGCTGGAAGATCTTGAACCGGCGTTGTACTGCCACCTCAATCGCCGGGGTGTGACCCCCAAGCTCTATGCAACTCAATGGTTTCTGACCCTTTTCGCCTACCGGTTTCCTCTTCAACTCGTCATGAGGGTGTTTGATTTGATCTTGTGTGAGGGACTCGAAGGAGCCATCCTCAAGTTTGGCATGGCGGTCATTCAGCGCAATGTCCCGGCCCTGCTGGCGATGCAAGATATGCAGGCGCTCACAAACTTTTTGAAAGAAAAGGTCTTTGACGTGTACATCGACGCGACACCTTCGTCGAAATCGATCTTGGAATCAGGGTTCTTTGGCAACTCGGGTGGCACAGACACAGAAGTCTATCGAGCGGACCTACTGGTTCAAGATGCCTGTGCGGTCAAGCTCACCCCGGAAATGCTCAATCGGTACCGCGAGGAATGGGAGACGACGACAAAGGCCGAAAAGGCCCGCGAGACCGAGCTCGAGAACCTCAAAACAGAATGTGCCACCAAGGCCGCCCAGATTCGGTCTCTCGAGAAGCGCGCCGAGAAGTCCGACGCCGAACACATCGAACTGGCCAATGAGCTGGTGAGGTTAAAGGTTGACAACACGGAGCTCCAAGATCGTAATGAGAGCTTGGCTGGACAGGCCGAGGAACTACGGAAGGTGGCGGAAAGTGAAGCTGCCAATGTCGAGGCAAGAATGCGAGCGGGAATGGAACAAGTCATGCAAAGAAATATTGAGGTCCAGAACGAAAACCGTCACATGGAAGAGCAGATGGCTGAGATGGAACGGGAGCTCGTGGAAATTAAAATGAAGTATGCCGAGGTGAGTCGGGCCCCAACAAGGTCTCTTGAGCTCGTGAGTATGGGCTTGCTGACGTTTTGATTCCAGTTGAACGCCGAACATGAAGGGCTTCAGCAGAAATGGAACGACTTGAAACGAGCACTCGAGTGATATGTCTGTGCATCACTCTGACGGCGGATTGTTCTGCAACGACGGGGATTTTCGGATCCTCTTGACGACTTTCTTCACAATGCTGGTCGATCGATGTACGATTTTGGGCGCCCTGCGGGTGGTATTCTGGTGGATGCACAAAAGTACTTTCTTGTGTGCATATTCGATATTGGATCTGTTGTGCTAGAGCACCGGGCAATGCTCTGCCTTGGTCTTGTCCCGGCGTCTTTCGACACTGTGGGTTACGCAACGATGGAGGAGCGTGGTGAGGAGTGTTGGGGATATCAGGTTCAACCGACTCGACGCCGCATTCAGGTTGGTCAGGGACGTTGTGGACGGATTTTCCGCCCTTGGTCCGTGACCGGACGCCGAGTGGTATGGGTCAACTAAGGCGATTCCTCTTTATCCTGCCGTCCACAAGGCCTGTCTGTGTCTTGTTTGCCGAACACGTCTTCCCTATGTTTTGGAGAGATGCCCCTCGACAGCAACAGCGGAAAAGAGGGTCACCCACCAACCGCCGGTGGAAGGATGGGAGGCAGAGCAGGCGGTGTGGTGTGTACGACACTTTTACGCCACCGCATAGCGACCACTGTAGTCTGGTATAGCACAACTGGAGCGGCGTGGGTATCAGCAGACGATAGACCTGGTGAATGGAAAATGGCGTGGAAATGAAGAACGAAGAACACGTCGGGTATATGAGCCAGTATTGAACATGCCAGAGTCTCAAGTCTGGCGGTCTCGCCTCGTTCTACCATTCATTGCATACCTTAGCTATATAGATCTTGGCTCCCACTCCCACTCCCGTCTTTCTCGTTCTCTCAGTCTCTGTCCGGTCCATGGCATCGCCAGAGCCAGAAACGCTGGTCCGGCCAAACCGTCTATGGCGCCTGCAGCTGCGCATCTTTCTACTATAGAGGGGCCCTGCACCTACTAGGGGCTGTCTAGCTCTACAGCTTCACCCTCCCGGCCTTCAAGTCCGCCCATTCCTTCGGCCCGTACGGAAGATAAGTATTTGCCCCAGGGGGAAGCCAGAACAGCCTGTCGTCGGGACTCGATTGGCGGATCTTGTCGAGGTCGACGCTCTCGCCTCTCAGACGGCCTTTCTGCATCTTCATGGTGCCCGTGTACTCGAGCTGAGGCACGATGCGCAGGAAGATGGGCACGGCGTAGCGCGGGAGAATGGAGATGGCGTGCTGGGCCAGACGGGCGAGGTCGAGCTCGTCGGCGGACACGCCTTGCGCAGGGACGATGGCAGCACAGCCGGCGCGGCCGTCGGCGTGCGGCACCTGGACGCCGTAGACGTTGACCTCGGCAATCTGCTCGAAGCGGCCGAGCACGTCGCTCACTTCGTTCGTCGAGACGTTCTCGCTGCGCCAGCGGAACGTGTCGCCCAGCCGATCCACAAAGTACACGCGCCCGTCGGCGTCTTGACGCATCATGTCGCCCGACCGGAACCACAGGTCGCCCCATTCGAACACGTCGCTGATCTTGCGCTTCTGCCCGGCGCCTTTGTTCTTGTAATATCCTGCAAACACGGTGTCGGCGGTCGCCGGGTCCAGTTTATGTAGCACTTCGCCGGCCTCGCCGGTCCTGCATTCGATCGCAAAGCCGTTCTTGTCGCGCAGAATCTCTTCCGTGTCTGGGTCGATGCGGACGCGCTTCTCGTTTCCCCCGTTCGACCAGTGCCAGAGGAGACCACGCACGCCGATCGCGTTGCGGCCAAAGTCGCCCCTGTTGGCATTGAACGACGCCCCCAGACCGTCCGTGGCCGCATACAGTTCGTTGATGGTCTCGATGCCAAATCGTTCTCGGAAGACTTCCCAGACATCGGGCCGCATGCCGTTGCCCCAGGCACGTTTGACGTTGTGCTGCTTGTCCAGTGGACTCGGTGGCGCGTTGATCAGATATCTGCATAGTTCGCCCACGTACTGGATGATATCGGCTTTGGACTTGCGCACCTCAGGCCAGAAAGTCTTGTGGCTGAACTTGCGGCTCAGGACGACCGTGGAGCCGCCGAAGATCGAGGGCGTCATGCACAGGCCGTGGCCTGCTCCATGATACAGAGGCAATGCTGTATACATTCGGTTGTGAGGCTTCAACTGGAGGTACTCGCCGACTCCCCTGGCAGTGTTCAGCTCCCGTCCTCGTAGCATGACCACGCCCTTGGGCATGCCCGTCGTCCCGGAGGTGTAGATTAAGCCGGACAGTTCGTCGGGGCGAATCCCCTGCTGCCGTGACCTCGGCAGGGGCGTGCGATCCGAGAGTGAAGCAATGAAAGCTTCGTCATAGTATATCGTCTGCACATTGGCGGCGGAGAGGTCGGGTTCGTACGGCTGAACCAGGCTTTGTACCGCACGATCTGCCAGCAGGTAACGGGCGTCGGAGAGCTTGATAGAATGCGTCAAAGGCCCTGCAGTCAGATTGCAGTTGATGAAAGCCGGGCACGCATTGATTGCTTCAAGCCCAAACCAGAGCAGCAGGTATTCCGGACTGTTTCCACCATCAAGTGCGACAATCTCCTTGGGCTGGACGCCGAGATCCTTCAACAACCAGTTGCCCACCCTTTGCAGGTCTTCGAAGAACTGCTTGTAGGTCCAAGCCCGGTCTTCGAATATCAGGAAGAGATTGTCGGCGTTCTTGCCCTGAGCATGTTCCTCGAAGAGGTGATATATGAGAAGCTTGTCCTGGGAGGCTCTCTGCGTAATGAACTCGACTGCCCGCTTGGTACTGCCCGACAGTGACCCGCTCTTGAGGTCATGTCCGATGAGGTATTTGGCATCTAGGTACGCAGCAGTAGCGAGTCCACCCGCGATGGTCGCGGCGACTTTGGTGACTGCGTAGGACCGTGGTCAGCGGAGGGTTCCAACGCCTTCAGAGACAGAGGCTGACTTACGAGACATACTGAACAGGGCACTCTGAGAGAGGAAGGACAGACAGCGCAAACGACATCGTTAACTTCATATCCGCCCACATCTTCGCTTAAGACTCTGGAGCCGGAGCCCTTTCGAAACCGAGGTCTGGGGGGGATCTCACGCGCCGCCTCCGCATCGAAGGTACAGTTAGTAGTTGATACAGCGTGCCGAATGCGAGACTTTGCGGGGAAGAGGGTTCCAGTTCGACTCCACGAATGGAGGATGGAATGGAGAACAGCCGAGGGAGAATACAGGATACAGAATACCGGTCCGCCAGAGAGGGAAAGTCTAGCGAGCCGGAGAGAGACGTTGATGTGTGTGGCCTCGTCCAACACCACTTCGTGTTCCATTCCGCGAGCACACAAAGCAAAGCAAAGCATCGCATAATAACATGGAAATATCGTCCCCAGCACTATGAGGCCTAGGCCATTCTGAATACGGATACTGTTCTCGCATGTCTCCCGTGAAACAGTGCTGGTATACGCAGACATCGATGACCTTAGATACCACGCCCGAGCCCTAGCCCTAGAACATCGCCCTCCTGTCGGTCGCCTTTCCAATCTCTGTGCATCAGCAAGGCCGCCATGCCCCCTGAACTCCCCCCTGATGGTGATTGAGCTCGGTGCCGCTGCTGCCGTAAATACCTTGTTGCAAGCAAAGACAAAGAGCTGAAATGAGAAAAAGAGAAGCCAGAGCCTGCACACTGATAGTTGGTACACAGAACAGGCATTGACCAGCAATGTCTTCGAATCCTCCCAGTCCGTCTACACCCTGCTGCTCAAAGAATCCAGCTCCTTCACCACCAGACTGGATAGTCTTCCCAGGCCAGGTCTTGGACATTTCCCTCGTACCAGTCTCCCACATTCAAGTCTGAGTATCCACCATAGCCTATCGTCGGGCCTGCACCCTGCTCCATGTAATCGCCCTGAATCGCCAGCTCTTCACTCATTGCGCGCTGCTCTTGTTGCCAGTCTGGAACGAAGATTGGTTCCCATTCACCCAGCTCCGACATCAGCTCCGATCCGAGATAAAACTGCCCAGCAACCTCGAAATCCGGATCGTCGTTCATCATGGCATTGTTGGAGTGGATTTCGTCGGGTCGAGGTCCAGTCGAGAAGATGGGTCCAGTTTGGTCGAACGGGAGCTGTCTCAGGAACGGCTGCTCCTGGAACGGTGCAGATGGTTCCGCCGCAGACACCCGCGGGGGAGGAAGGAAGCGGCCGCATTTCGTCTTTGCAAGCACGCACTCTCTGCTGTCGCCATTCCACTGTAACTCTCCCGCGCTCGGCCAGTGTGCAGGCTCATCCAGGTATTCGGCGGACCAGACGGTGGGGAGACCGAGTACGGGACTCAGACCGTCCTCGAAGACCTTGCCATCCTTGCCGAAAACCGACTTGAGTTTTCTCTGGTGCTTTGGCATCTTTTCTTGGGCCAGGATTTGGGCTTTGAGTAAGTCGCAGTTCTTCTGTTTCTCAGCCTCGGCCATTGTAAGTATCTCCTTCTTATGGGCGACCCATTCGCCCGCGTTGCGAGGGAAAATCTGCGACGGGCCTCGACCAGGCTTCGCATTCACGCGGAACTGCTCTGGGGCAAGATGTCGGACACGCTGCTTGACTCGTTCGTACTCCTCCTTTTCCTTGACCGCATTGCTCTTCCAAGTGATCGACGATGTATGAGATGGCAGTGGCTGTTGACTCTTACCGAAGAACGGCTGGTTCGCTGCTTCACCGCTGTCGATGCTGGCATGATCGTCGAGGGTAATTATCGATATCTCGTCGATGGAGAGGCGTTTCACCTTTCGAGGAGGCATGGTGGTATGGCGGGATAGTGTTGAGAGGGCGAGGAACGGTATCGGCAGTCAGATTGTGGTTGCTGCCTCTGGTATCCCACGTGGTGTGGTCTCGCTTGCGGGAGGCCTCCTGGAGACAATGTGACTCAGCGTAGGCCCTCGGAGGTTCGTGAAGGGGTTTTGCTGGAGTGTGGGAGGATGAAGGTATGTCCACTTCGTCCTTTTACTTCCTCGAGGTTGCCGAAAAGAGAAGAGTTTTTTACTGTTGTCGGCGTGTTGTTGAGGCAAGGGAAGGTTGCAGCTTCTTGCTTGTCACTTTGCGCGCTACCTGACAACACTGCCTGAGGTCAGCTTCACAATCTTGGTTGCTATATCAACACCCCAGTGAGTGCAATTTTTTTCCCCAGATACATGTTTGTCATGCGCCCTCATCCTCATCAGATACCCTCACCTTTTATGTCGATATGGCGACAGAGGAAGTTGTCGGTGAAGCCATTGCAGGGAAACGGGCGTTTGTGAGTCTCTTCCTTAGTTGGCAGGTTATAAGAGGCTCGATATACCTATAGTCAGCCTTCGGTTGGCATGCAGTCACGACAGGTGAGGCTGAGCTTCACAATTCCGTCCTGCAGTGCTGATTGCCGACACGGGACCCCTAACTTACAGATGTCTCTTCACCGAATAAGCGGCTTATTTTCGGAGTGGTTCAACTTCGGCTCGCAAGAATTAGTTCACTTCAGCGTGTAGGCAGAGGGCTGTGTGAAACGGTCTGACACGTACTTGACTGGCCTGCCTACAATTCAACGACTTCGGCGGCTGCAGGTTACCCATCCTTTCCAAAGTGAAAGTTCATCCAGACTCCCTTGAGAGCGGTTGGACCTTTGTAGGTTAGCTGATGTTACTCACAAACTCTGCAGACCTTTGATTTGTTTTGGTGGTGGCAGAGGAAACAGACTCATACTGTTATTAGTGAAAGGAAGAACGAGGGCACATCTCTGACGCGGCTAAACATATCGTCAAACAACTGTGTTTGCAATTGAGGATTCGCCAATAATCGCAGAAAGCAAGGCAAACCTGGTGCTGCACCTTGCTCAGCCTTGTCGCGGAGGGAGTAAGAAGATCCAGCCGCCACGTCAATGCTTGTACAGGGGTCAAGATTTGCTTGATCAGGTCCATGTAGGCAATATATCGAAGACCCCGGTGACTACTCATCGCCAGTAGCCAGTCTCCAGCAGCGAGTAGTCATTACAGTACGACGTCGACGTCATCGAAAGCGATATCACGTGATAGAGAATCTACGGTGGATCAGATCACTTCAGGAAACGTTTCGAACGCGTCTTGTATCGCGCTCTCTCCTCTCCCTCTCTGAACAGCTTTTGTCCGTCCAGGCAGTAAGGGCAACGAGATCCAGGGGTTTCGGAAATGCCGGCGGTACAGTTGTCGATATCGCCTCCGGTCAAAGACTCCAAAGACTCCCTTCCGAGTCCACTTCCCTCTCTTCTGCAAACACCCTCAGGACTCGCCATTGTTGAGATTCAAGGCACCATCCATGGCCCGTTCCAGCATGCGGTAGAGGATCCAAACCCTGTTGAGACTACACCAATTGGTCGACTCGAATTTCCATTGTACAATCCGCAGGATCACGGCGAAGGAAAATGGATGAAGAAGGTCTATCTCTACGTCGGCAAGCATCAACGTCTCACTGGCGAAATCAAGAAGTTAGCAAAGCCTTTAGCCGTGGTCCAGAAGAAGAATGACCACGACGGAATGCGACCCGACTCGACTGAGAGCCAGCCCAATGACGACTTGGAGATTGTCGACATCGTCAAATTCAAACTCCTCTTCAGTGGGAGGCCGGAGCCTGTGAGCGAGTGAGAAATTGGGCTCACGACGACGGTAGAACAGACATGTCGACTCGAGATCGTGTCGACCCCCTTTAACGCCAGATGCTCCCAAGATCCCGGCTTCGTGTGTCGTCACATCGATGTCTGGCTTGCGGTCATCCTGGACCTGCCATGTGCAATTGCGCACAAGCCTCGTGGCCCTTCGCTTTTGATCTTGGCTGAAGGCTGTTTCATTTACGATGCAGAGTGAGACTTGAACAAACAAAAAGCAGCAATCCCAGAACCTGGCAGGAGGATAGGCCCGACTTGATTGCATATTGCGGCGACGACGAGACGTCCCCTTACTGCCTCCTTTGCAGTTCTTGAGAGCTTATGGGCCGGCTTAGCGTCTGTCGACCCAGATCTGGATTGTCTCCATCTCTCTCTCGAGTTGTCCCCCTGGTCATCGTTACATCGCCGAGCTGGAGTAGGGCAATCAGGTATAGCAAAGACTGCTCGGTGACCTTGGAGCTCAGTCAGCAGACATTTTGCGAAACGACTTGGGCCAGAATCTGCCGCGATGTCCTCATGACGCAGAGCATGAAGCCTGCCCATCCTCAGTGATCTATTCTATGCCGGATATGGAGACGTGGCCCATTGTTTAGCCATCTGAGACCTGGTCTGAGTGTGCAAGTTTCAGCATCCTACCGACTGAAGGGGTCGGCTCCGTGCACGGACAGGGCAGAGGCGAATGGTGATGGGACTTGACCAAGAAGAGAACCTCAAGTCTAGTACCATCCCTTGCCTGATTATTTGTGTAGCCTTCAAGGAGGATGGGACTAGTGGGCCGATGCTCCTCGTTTGCAACGGCTACCAAGTTGCGGATACAAAGGTTACTCAACTCTTCTCTAAGTCTAGTGATGGCTCGCTATTCAGGACCGACGACCGGCCTCGTCTGCCTGCCAATAGCTCGTCAGTCAATATTGTGAAAAATGCAATGCTGCTTTATGGAGTGCTGGACACAATAGACAATGGCTAGTCACGTGGAGTCACATGCTTTCACGTGGAGGGGAGCTTCTACAGAGTACAGGACTAAACTAGCCGCCCTCACTTAGTACTGCGGGTGCAGCGCAGTTACTCAGTACCGTACAGTGAGCTGCCACACCAAGGTAGCTACCAGTATCAGACTCGGAGAGCTTCTTGCCCTTTATCATTAGCAGCCTCTCGAGTCAGCTGGCAGCGATTATCATCGACTGGGCCAAGTCGCACCTTCGACTCGTTTAGCCGATTATCTCTCGCCAACCCACGTCTAAGCCTTAAGCCAGCTTAGTCGAAAGTGTCAAGATCCGCCGCAGCTTGTCCAGCCTGCATCATCGCCCTTTGCCGATTCGCTCATCTGGTCTGCTTTCCTGCTCAGCAAAAGCATTCCTTCTGTGCTCATCCTTCTCCCTTCATCTGCCATACACCCTCACAAGGCCGCCAACATGGCCGAACTAGATCACCGCATGGGCTCTATTAAGCCCAGACTGCGATATAATACGATTGGAGGTATCAACGGACCTCTGGTCATCTTGGACAATGTACGTTTGAGACCATGGCAAGCTTGGGGGAGCGTCTCTGCACCATCACTGACACTCCGCCTTTAGGTCACATTCCCCAGATACAACGAGATTGTCAGTTTGACGCTACCTGATGGGTCGGAACGATCTGGTCAAGTTCTTGAGGCGAGAGGTGTGTGATACCGTTGCGCAGTTGCTACAATGAGGTCGGGAGTTGACATTAGTCGGTGCAGGAAACAGAGCGGTCGTCCAGGTCTTCGAGGGAACAACCGGCATCGATGTGAAGAAGGTACATATCACCCATTGGGAACAACATGCTACGGTGCTCACACCCGCTAGACAACAGTCGAGTTCACAGGACACAGCTTGAAGATTGGTGTTTCCGAGGACATGCTGGGCCGTGTCTTCGATGGGTCCGGGAGAGCTATAGACAAGGGCCCCAAGGTGCTGGCAGAAGATTACCTGGACATCAACGGAAGTCCCATCAACCCATATTCCAGAGTGTGTCCCACCTCCACTGCCGTCTCCGCCGCATGCTGACTTGGCCACAGGTTTACCCCGAGGAAATGATTTCGACAGGTATCTCTGCGATCGATTGCATGAACTCAGTGGCTAGAGGACAAAAGATCCCTATCTTCTCCGCGGCCGGTCTTCCTCACAACGAAATTGCTGCCCAGATCTGTCGGCAAGCCGGTTTGGTCCATCAACCTACCAAGGGTGTCCACGACGGGCATGAGGAGAACTTCAGCATCGTCTTCGCCGCCATGGGTGTGAACATGGAAACAGCTCGATTCTTCACCCGTGATTTCGAGGAGAACGGCTCCATGGAACGAGTGACACTTTTCTTGAACTTGGCCAACGATCCCACCATCGAGCGTATCATCACCCCTCGCCTGGCCTTGACCACAGCAGAGTACTATGCCTATCAACTCGAAAAGCACGTCCTGGTCATTCTGACCGACTTGTCAGCGTACTGCGATGCGCTTCGAGAAGTCTCTGCGGCTCGAGAAGAAGTGCCGGGTCGACGTGGTTATCCCGGTTATATGTATACCGATTTGGCCACCATCTACGAGCGAGCCGGTCGTGTCGAGGGCAGAAACGGGTCCATTACTCAGATTCCCATCTTGACCATGCCGAACGACGATATTACACATCCCATTCCTGATCTGACCGGATACATTACGGAAGGACAGATCTACGTTGACCGTCAATTGCACAACAAGGGTCTATACCCCCCCATCAACGTCTTACCATCCCTTTCTCGACTAATGAAATCCGCCATTGGTGAGGGCTTGACCAGAAAGGATCATGGCGATGTGTCAAATCAACTGTATGCCAAATACGCCATCGGGCGTGACGCTGCTGCGATGAAGGCCGTGGTGGGTGAGGAGGCGCTGAGCTCGGAAGACAAATTGTCACTCGAGTTCTTGGAGAAGTTCGAGAAGCAGTTCATCTCACAGAGTCCGTATGACAAGCGAAGCGTCTTCGACAGTCTGGACCTTGGATGGAACTTGCTGCGCATCTTCCCCAAAGAACTGCTCAACCGTGTCAACCCTAAGATCCTCGATGAATTCTACGCCAGAAAGGGCCACAGCAAGAAGGACAAGGGTAACAAAGACACCAGGGACAATGCAGATGGTGGAAAGCAGGTGAACGGCGAGGCTAATCTGTTGGACGATTGAAGCGGTAGAAAGTGATATTCGACCGAATATAAGCCTCAAGCCAGCCCTGCACGACGATTGAAGCTCCAATTGAGTAGGGATGGACGGGGTGATGGATGTGTTGTCTCGGCAGATGGTATGGAATGCCGCGGCCGCGGCCTGTTTGACTTGAAGATGCAGACGCTTACGATCAACTTGATCTAGTCTTGCCATTGCTGATAGGAGTGTCTCAAAGGCAACCACGCGAGTAACATTGGTGGGAGGTGGAAGGGCCAGACGTAGAAGGGGAGTGAAGCACCGTAATCGTGGAGAGAGCAGTACAGGAACATAAGAGCAGTCATCAATCTCGTTCTCCTCTATGTACATCTATATGGGGTATGTTAACTAGCGCAAGTGCAAGCATGTTTTGAGGAAGAGAGCCCGACGTCGATGGTGTAGTGCGGGCCACAAGCAGCCTCAGCCACGGCGCGGGCTGTCCTTTCGTTCCGAGGGGTCTGGTAGTGAGTGTATTTGAACCCATTGATAGAGACTGCGAGGGCGAATTAAGCAGCAACTATCCTGACTTGATTGGCATTTGGAGTGATAGTGATGGTCGACCCAGGTCCGAGGTTGACAAGTTCGGCCGGGGTCTAGGAGGGGAGAGGGCTGATGGGATGGAAAGGATTGCCTTTGCCTTTGCCTTGGTAAATATAAATAATGGAAGACATTGACCTTGACCTTGACCTTGACCTTGACCTTGACCTTGACCTTGACCTTGACCTTGACCTTGACCTTGACCTTGACCTTGACCTTGACCTTGTGCCAATGCTACCTAGTAATCAACGCAAGAAGTCGGCGGAATCGGCAGAATCGGCGCAGGGCGACAATCTGGCCAGCTTTTCGTGGATGTGTTTTGTCGACGGGTCTTCTTTGCCCCTGAGCGCGGTGGACGCGTCGAGCGCCTCGGTCAACCAATACACGGCGCCGTCGAGGTTGGTCTGGCACTGGCACAGCTCGGCCATGTCCTCCAGAGCATAAGCGGCCCTTGAATCGGGAAAGGCGGGGCCTTGTACGACGCGGTAGTTCTGGATCAGCGACTGGCACAGACGCTGGGCGACCAGGTATTCGCGCCGGTCCATGTAGACGTGCACGAGCTCGGTCATTGCGACGCACAGCTCGGTGACGGAGATGCATGTCGGTTTTTCCTTCTTCTTCCTCTGCTTGTTGTTGTTGTCGTCGTCATCGTCGTCGTGTGCACATTGTCGGACCAGGGCCTGTTCCATGGAGATGACTAGTTCCTCGGCCAGCTGCTTCGCCGCGTCGAGGCGCGCGTCCCTGCGCATCAGGCTGACGAGGGACCGATGGACGGCAAAAGTGCCACTGTGGCCTCTGCCCAGGGACTCGGCGAACAGGTCGAGCGTGAGATTCATGGCCGTTTCAGACACCGCTCCCTGCTCGTCGTCGCCTCGTGCGAGTGTTCGACACACCACGGCAAAGGGGTGCGTTGGCCTCAGCTTGATGGCCGCCATGTCGGCCAGGTAGCGCAGCAGGGTGCTTCGCACTTTGGGGTAGACCTTGGTATTGACTGGTGACAGTACGGCGAACACCTCGTTCAGAAACAAGGCAGGGCCGTCGTCGAGCATTTCGCCTGCTGATGTGCATGCTTCATTCAGGAGCGGCCACGCAAACGCTGGAGATTGTTTCTTGAGGAAGTAGATAGCCGATTTGACCCCCGACCAGAATGCTCTGGCCTTGCCGCTGACCTTGTACATCTCGGTCGTTTGCTGCCCGATCCGCTCCACGTGGTTCTGGTAGTATATCCGTGTCTGGTAAAGAATGACTTCCACTTCCATGTTTTTCTCCGGAGGGGAAAGTGGCCGAGCTAGAATTGGTGGTTCTGGTTTCGGGCTAAGGTCTGCGTGATTAATGATATCAAAGGTATCCGCGCCATCGACCGGCTCTGACGAAGGGGGCGTCAGATCAGGAGTCGTGGTGGTTCCTGACTCGGGAGTGATCCTGGCTTGTACACTGGCTGTGCCGAGAAACACCTCTCCCTGGATTTCTCGCATGGCCGCACAGTTGGTATTGTTGCGTTTCGACGCGGGCGCCCTTCCTCTTGTTGAATTGGGGCCGTTCTGGGCTCTTCTTCGAGTCTTGCAGTGTCTCAAGACTCGATCGAACTTCAGTGGCCGGTCCTTAAAAGTCAGGTTTTCGAGAGAGTGATTCTCCAGGTGGGCTCGGGCAATCCTCGCCGCCAGCAGCTCTTTCTCTTCGGCCTTGTAGTTCTTGCAAATGTTCCACTGTTTGAACCTGGTGTTGTACATTCGCTTGCTGTGCAGGGAGTCAGTTGTGTGGCAAAATGAAACAGGTTTCTTGTAATGGAAGATGAGGGACACGGGATTTATATCAGGAAAAGTTGATGTGTGTCACCTACGTAGCCTTGAAGTGATAGTCTGTCTCCATGATCCTCTGCACTTCACGGAGAGGCAAATCCATGTCTCGATACAAGCGTGTAATTAGGCTGCGACGAACATTCCAGTCCTGGGCCGCCAGAGGGACAATTGATTCGGCCCGCGGCACTCTGGCAGTATCGCTGCCGCAAGAAGGTAGAACCCATCTTGCTAGGCTAGAGTCTGTTGTTGCGGATATGGGAAGAGAGGGCGACAGGTAAGCCATGGCGGGTTATTGGCTGGTCGTCTCCTAACACCAAGTTGGTCTCAAATGTCCCTGAGTGAGGTTTGTAGGAGGAGCGGCAATGGAAAGTACGGAGTATATTCGAAGGATAAGGATCATGATCCCACCAGGTACTTTTTCATTTTCAACCTCTGGGTTACTTCAGCGGGCCAAGCCTGGCCGGGCTGTGAAGGTGCTCGCCGGTAGAAATAGGACAGGAACGACTGAGGCTGTGCCGCCTGTTGTGAGTGGCTCAGCAATTGTACAAACCTACCGTGCATGACATGCATAGTCCCCGCGGCCCCTCCAACCACTGCAAGGGCGGTAGGGCAGCAAATAATCCTTTGGTCGGTTCTGTCCCAGTGTTCGAGTCGAGGAGACAGGCACTCTGTACCGTGGCCTCTTGCTAAAATGACCATTTCCTGGAGAATACGGAGGCGTAGCGTCAAAGATCGGCCCTAAAGCGGCTGACGTTGAAGCAATAGTAAAGCGCCTGATGAAGAAAAGTCTCGTGCTGCCGTTGCCGTATCAAAGCCCTCTAAAGAACCCAGCAGCGCCTGAGGCTAACACATGGCTGAATCCCGCCACCATAGTTGCTCACACCCATCCATGTGTAAGTTGGAAGCCAATTTCATGGTAACATCAAACCTTGAGCATAACGTCCCTCGATACCAAAGGCGTCACGATCCAAGGCTCGCTCATAATTGTTCGTTGTTGTTGACGGGAGGTCCCCGGTTCTTCTATGCTGTCTTCATCTTTTCGTTGTATCCTCTCGTTTGGTATTATATTTCGGCATCCTCTCGTAAGCATTGGGGCTTGGTTTTCTTGCGGCCTTGTCCTTCCCGTGGTCACAGTCGTCACCATGTTGGTGGCCATGGTCATGCTTCCTTCCTCTCCTATTTCCACTTAAGCGCGCGCGGCCGTCCTCTGGGCCATCACTTCCACCAGCATCACTGTCGCCGGAATCACTGTCACTTGAGCTGTCGTCCTCGCTAGAGCTTTCCCCGAATTCTCTTGCCTTGTGGTATATGCAACAGACTTTACTCGACTTCCGGCCCATCCCTTCATTGTCAACCACGTCCTCGGCCCAGGCAATACGGCGACGATGTGCACGTGTGGTGCTGCTTCCAGAGGCATCGTGGGCGCCACGGAGGCGTAGGACGAGTGGGTCGGGAGATACTGATCGCGACGAGGCAGATTCGAGCGGGGTGATCGTCTGGGTTGCAGAGCCAGTGGCAGCCCGGCGGGCAGGCGAAGCGGTCTGCATTCCAAGGCGTCTTGTCCCACCAGTTCTGGGAGAATTGTGTGAGGGATTTAGTTGGCGGGGTGAGGCTGCTGCGGCAGTAGAGGACGAAGACATGGTTGATGCTGCCTGATGCTTATTGTCTTTCAAGAAGTCTGGTGGCTTTACAGTCACCAAGATCTCTTCTGGTTGTTTTCCTTTCCCCGAGACAGGTGGTAGGTGGGTGGGATCGAGAGGGATGCCTCAGAAGGACAAAGTGGGAACTGAGTCGAACGAATCCGAAGAACGGTCGGATCTAGCTGGGAGTAGCTGCGACGTTTGAAGCTCGAAGTAGTACAGGGTATGATGCTCGACTGTCGACTTGCTGGTCAAAGCACGGTTGGTTAATAACGAGTGACCGTTTAATTGTTGTTGTCGAACCAGTGCTGGGGGCGAATTGCGGTGCAACGCGGATGAGAGAATAAAGAATAAAGCGCTCACGAGTTCAAATGACGTCCGAGGTCCCGCTTCGCCGGAGATGGGTAGTCCAACATATTCCGTCAGACAGAAGCAGATCCGTAGATAGATCACCATATAATAGTCGTCTGACAGAGTGGAATGAGAAGGCCTACCTACCCCTAGAGTCTACAGAGTATGCAATGCACCTACCTACCTACAGGTAGGTACACGACAACGTGGAAAGCGAGCGCACATAGATGAATGTTGCTGAAAAGTCTGGATTTGGCATCACTCAATCATCTACCAGCTCGAGGTTCCGTCGCCCCTTTTGACAGCAAGCAGTTCCTTTGGCAAATTACCCTGCCGTCGCCCACTTCGGGCCCTCTGGCAGACTGTACCGGGGCGAGCAATATGCCCAAGCAGTCCTTCCAGTCGGCATCTAACTAATCTGTCAAAAGTCCCTGCTTTTTGGTATCACAACATGACTCAAGAAAAAACGTTGTATGCATCTCCTGACAGCGTCTTAGCGTGCCCTCGTCCACTCTATGAACTCGTCCCTCGCTCGTCCAAGGTTGGAGCTCAACACTTGTAGAAGAGCCAGCCACTTTGAAACTCTTCTTCCGGCGGTGTCCGCTCCATTGCATAGTGTTCCACCGAAGGTTCGACGGGTTGGGATGTGTCTGCCGAGCGTATTGCAAACTCAGTCCGCAGTTCTTCCTCTAGTCACAGCTCATCATCCTGATCCAAATCAGCAGGCTTGATGAGACCGCCAACTTTCATTGCTCGTTGACGTTCTGCATCCGCGAGGTCCTTCTTTTCTTGCTCGCGTTCTTCGGCATACAGCTCGGCATTGTCGTCGGCAAACTCCTTGAGTGAGATCAAGAAGTCACGCAGATGAGTCTTGAACTTAGTTGCATCTTCGTTCAGGGCGAAAAGTCCGGCGACGAAGTGCTGGATTTGAATTTCCTTGAGATTTGGGAAGGCCCGTTGCAACAGATTGCCGGTGAACTCGCTGACAAACTGCTTGTTTGAAGTTCCAGGAGGAGCCTGATCTGGCTGATACAATGGTTGTGAGATCTTGTTGGTCTCGACGAGCTGGAACATGCGAGCCAGGAGCGCTGACTGGGATTTAAATCCAGCCTTGTGGTCTGAATCAGTGAGGACGTAGAAGACATCCTGAAGGATAGAGATGTAGAATTGTTGGAAGAAGATGCCGGAAGTCTGAGGATCGGTTTCGGCCATATTGTTGACCAGCTCCAAGCACATCGAGAGACCGGTATTCTCGACCTCCCGATTGTCATGCTTGCTGGCCCACATGCAAGAATCGATGATCAGCTTGAACTGTCGGCCATCAAGTTTCAACAAGGCCGAGAAACAGAACAAATTGATTGCTTGAAGGAGTTTGAAGAATTCGACGCGGAAGTCAGGGTATTCGTGGAAATCCTTGTTAATCATGTCGAGCGTGCATTCAAAGATGCTGTCCATGATCGGGGCCACCTTGTCGTCCATAAGATTCTGCTCGAAGTCAGCAACATTTTCACCCAACAACAACAAGTCTCTGACCGAGTGCCGGGATCTTCTTGGGGACCAACGTACGTGTAATTTGTGGATAATCGTGGTGGTCACACTTAGGACCTCGGCATCCCTGGCATCAGGTACGTTGCGCTGGTAATCCAGTAGGATGGCATCAAGCAAGGGCGGCACCATGCTGTCGTTCACCATCTGCAAGTCATCGGCCTTCTGCACGTAGATGTCGACCAGCTTCAGGATCTCTTTCTTGATCGTACGAAGACCACGAACTTTTGGTGTTTTGGTCGCGACGTTTCCTAGACCCGGTAAGCATTGCATGAGGGAATTTAGGAGAAGCCTACTCACCCCCGGATGCGACAGAGTCGGATATTAGCTGACTGGATGCCCTATACATGTTAAGCATGTCGTGATAAATGCGGCCGATTTGCGAGTAGAAGTACGGGCCAATCGATGAACACGCGGCAACATTGGTTTTCATGATGTTGCCAATCACCTTGATGGTCTCCGCGTCTTGGAGAATTGCAGGATTTGTATTCGCTTGTTGGATAATATTGTCCCAAGCTGCATTTGGTAGCGCCATGAGGTTGTCGATGAGCCGATCCTGTACACTTTTCTGTCCCTGGGCGGAGATCATGTATCCACAAGCTTCATAGAAGGTATGAACCTGTTGAGGACTCAGATCACACGTGATCTTTTGCATGTTCCGTACAATCTCGTCGATGAACGGTTCGGTTTCGCCGGGTTGCAAAGCCACGAAATGGCGCTTGCATTTGTTGGCAATCTTGATAAAAGTATCACAAGCCATATCTTGCACACCTTCGTGGGTCTCGTGCATAAACTCGAACAACTTGTTGACGACAGTCTTCAGAAACTTCCAATGCGCCTTCAAAAATCGAGGATACTGCCCAACAATGTACATAATGTTGCTGGCGACCACGGCTTTGTTGTCTTTGCCGCGTTTCATCTCAGTCAAGCCTAAGAGATCTTTAATCACGGTGACCAAGAAACGCTTCTCGGTTTCCTCGTTCATGGCTCCAGATATCGAGCCAATGGCCCAGCACAATGTATTGCAATTGTTCCAAGACCATTCGGACCCATCGACCTGTCGCTGAAGCTTTTCGGACATGATGTTTTCGGTGTCGACGACATCCAAGTGCGTCAGATACACGAGGCACTCGCGTGTGGTTTTGTAGAGCTGGATAGTGTCACTTTCCTTGACGAATTCTCGGACAATCTCTCCTTCATCGTTCTCCACGATCAGGACCTCTTCGGGCCGGACCATCTTTTCAACCATGACTTGTCTCAGACTGGAGAGGACTTGGGCGTACTTGTGCTTGCGCAGAGGATAATTTGCAAGTGCACTCGGATGGGGTGCACCGCCATTAGCAAGCCCACTAACCCCCATACTGATTAAGGGATTCAATTCAGTCATTGGGAGCTGCTGCATCTCTTCGTACAGTTCCTGTACCAGCTTGTTCCAGTACTCGAGACAGATTTTGAATATCTCTCGGTCGTCGATGAGGCTGATTTTGATAAGGTAGAAGTGACCGTGGAGAAGAAAGTCAGGATTGGGCAATCTTTCGATAGTCTGTAGGTGTGCTGAGAAGTAGTTGCACAGAAAGATGGCTAGGTTGAGGATGTATTCTTGTTCAGCAGGTCTGGCTTTGGCATAGGCCTCACGGAAGTCGGTCTCTAATGGTAACGTCCGAGCGACAACTGTCAAGGTCTCGGTAAACATGAGCACAAGCTTCTCATCATAATCATACTGAGAGCCCAATTGTAGACTACCAATTTCAGTCAGGCACTTGAGGGTGATGTTGCGAAACTGGTCCACTTCGAGGAAGCGGCTGACCAAGGTGTTGATAAGTTGCGTCTCAAAGATGAATCCTAGGGGGATCCAGTTCAAGAAGCGAAGCAGTGTCTCGAGAGTCGCCTTGACTAGGGTTACCGAGTTTGCGGTGGTGAGCACTTCGTTGCACAATTGAAAGATTGACGAAAACTCAGCGCACATGGTTGTCTTGAGATTTTTGGCTTTGGTGGAAGTCATCTGATCCTGTGAGAAGTCGAAGACCTCTTCCGATAGCAATCGGAGGATGGTCATGTTGTTCTCGCAGACCGACAACGAGCTGTGGCTTGCGGAGATTATCTCGTTGATGAACGTGGGCCAGTTGTGTGGCCATTCTTGCTTTAAAATGGTCACCAGCGTCAAGTCCAGCTTGTTGAGGAAGAGCTTGTTGGCCTTGAGAGATTCTTCGGTCTCCGAAGCCTGTAGGATCTGGTTGACAACGAAGTTGCGGATCCCCAGACATTGCTCTCGCGGCAGGACCTTCCAGCGTGTATTGACCACGTCGTCGAGTACTTGTAGCCCAAGATATTTTGTTGGCATGTATATGGACTCCTGCAACAACTTGTCCACTATCAACCACGCATCCGGGTTTGACTTGAATTCATTGAGCTTCTGCTGAGCCTGTTTCTGCACCTCGCCCTTGCCTTCTTGGAACGCCTTGACGGTGGCGTCAAGATCTGTAACGGTGACCGACATGACTGGAGGTACGAGAGAAATGGGCGCTCAGCGAGCGAGTGGAAGCACGGGTTGTGTGCCAGTGAGGAGCGGAGACGGCTGATTTGAAGGGTCGGTGTGGTATACTGGGATGGTGAAGATCCGAGACGGGAACGTGAATTCTGTGCTTGTTGCCAAAACACAGTGGAGCTGAGCAGACCAGGAGGAGAATGAGATGAAAGGTTGCGAGGCAGACGGATGAACTGTTTGCGAAGGAGGTCAAGAGGCGTCAAAGATGATGGATCTCGGTGGGCAATTTGAGGTAGAACGTAGTCTACGCGTGCGTGAGTTGTGAGGCAACGGCGGGCGCGATCAGCCTAGTTTATGCAGCGCAGTTGATATCAAGTGGACTGTCAGTGATGCCCGAAGCCACCGCAGCAGCACCCGCCAACCACCATGAATTACTAAGACGGCTCCCACGTGCCACCAATAGGAGCTGCGAGCTGTGCAAAAGTCTCGTGACCGCAGTCACAATCCAAGTGCAAATCGTCGATGTACTCCGTACTCCGTACACTGTGCAGAGTACATCAGGTAGATAAAGTCTCGGCTACTCTTGGGCGCATTTAAAAACATATATGATCTCATTGTCTTGATATCTGGTTTATCTGGTATCAATCATAAACCCAATAAATCTATACTGCAAAGTCAAACGGTTCTTTGATCCTTTTTTTTTGTGAGTTTCTCTTTTTTGAATTTGATTGATGTTCAGTTGGTGCCAACCCCAGTGGTGTGGTCAGAGGCTTTCAGTTCTCGTTCTTCGCTCTCTTTGCGGAATTGTTGATACGCTGCCGCCATCTCCTCCTTTGATTGAAGGCCGTTCTTCTCTGTGATCAAGTCTTTGAGCCATTTGTTCTCCATTTCCAATTGAGACAACCGCGCCTCTAGTTTCGCGTTCCTGTCCTGGATTTCCTTCACCGTGCGCTCCAGAGCTTGCTCTCTCTGCTTCTTCTTGACCCGAAACCGGGCACTGGCAGCGGTGTTGCGTCTCCGTTTGTCTTCCTCAGCGGCCAGTCGAGATCTTTCCTCGGCGCTCAGAGCATTGGGGTCGATGGCATCGCCCTTTCTTCGCGACCCACTTGGTGGCCCGGTCACCGATACACTGGGAGATGAGCGGTGCTCAACGTTCCCTGCCCCTCCCGCTGGAGCTGGCTGGATGGGTGTGTTGTATGTGCTGTAATATTGCGACGACTCAGCCGCAGAGGTCTCGATGTTGGGCGGCGGGTAGTTTTGTACGGGCTCCGAGCTAGAAAGAAGATCCTCATATTTAATGTTCGGGTTGTTCTTTGACTCATTGACATCGAAGTTGAAGGAACCGTCCTCAGGCAAAGAGGGGATATCAAAATGGGTGAAGTCGGTGTTGGTGAACATGGCCAGGTCCTGACTCAATTCGATCTCGTCCGGAGAGAAGTGCTCCTGGTCGTAGGGGGAGGCCAATGTATTCAGGTTGTTCAGATACTCGGAAAAATTGGGCCCCGTGCGGCCTCGATAACTCGACATTGTCTTCTATAAAACAGCTCAGCAGCCAAAAGCCACAACGCTCCCGTTCTCTTTCAACACTGTTGCAGTGGGTGTGCGTGGTTCAATGGGTGGGAATTGGAAGATCGACGGGCCCAATGCGATCCAGTCTGGCGGATGTAGGGAGGGCTCGAGTGTGGCGTGAGTCGAGTAAGATGCTCAACCCAAGGCAGCTCGCCGCAGCGCTCGTCCACTGAGTCGCGGAGGAGCTGAGTCTCCCTTCAGAGTTCGGCGAGACGAGAGTAGGTCGACTTGCACACAGAGCGTGAGGTGCGGGAATGAAGGAAGGAGGGATAATAACGGAGAGGAAGACGAAGTGGGCGGGGGAGAGTGGGAGGTGATTGCGAATGCGAAAATTGCCGTGGGCGGGCTACAGCTCTCGAGGTAGCGCCCTCACTCGGGAATTGCGCCGTGCGCTCTAGCACCAAACGGGCAATTTTTTCTTCACACGGTTCATCCGAGCCCACGCCGAGGGGGTAATAGCAAATACTAATAGCTTCAGAAGGCGCTCTTCACACGTCCCGACGACGCCTCGTCTTTCTTATTGTGCATCTTCCTCGGAAATATTACTTAATATCAAATCCGCGCTCTTCAGGAGGAATGCGACCCTGACCACTACTCTGGCTCGTTGGGTTTGGAAGTCATGATACCATCACTCGCAGTATCGTGATCCCACGGGCCGCCGAGGAACAGGGGTGCAAGGGCTTCCTCTCTTTGGCGCACGAGCCTGCTGCAAGGTTGGTCTCTGGCTCTCTTTCGCTGGAGTGGCGCTGATCGCCGCCGCTTGCCTCCCATGAACGAACATCCCCTCCCGCTCCTCCATCAAGGCCCATGTATGCGCTGCAGCGGCGGCCTCGCAGGGTCTGGCCGTTGTACAATGATAAATCCCATGTGCTCCAAGGCGTCTGCTGGCGAGGGTGTGCACTTGCACTGTGCAGCAACAGAGCGCTTCCAGCTCCAGCCTATACTATTTAAATACTAAGAGCCCACATGACTCAAGTCATCCAGCACGAGCATCCCAAATGCTAGCTGGACCCTCTTGCCCTCTCGTGCATGCATTTTTTCCACCAACCACCGTCTCGGGGTGAGGATGACGAACGCCCTAGTGTGGGGTTGCCACTGGCTCTAGCATGAGCTTTTGTAATCGCAGCAGGTGGCAGGGTCCGACCTCGAGAACAGCCCGGAAGAGGGATGGCGGGACCGGGCTTGTCACCTAGCCAATAGCAAGGGGAGGCCCGTAGCCGAGATCTAGCTGCGTCACGTGCAAGATTTCCTGGCTCCTGACTCGAGCTAGTTGCGCTATCCAACACCCCATGACTCGCGTTTGTTTATATGACGAACTGCGCTCTGCCCTCCAAAACATCGCATGTGAAGAGAGTCAGAGTTGACAAATCGCAGCAGTCTTCTCATGGCGCCTGTTGTCGCCAAATCGCTCAGTAGACTGTCGCGAGAAGCTGTCATTGACCTTGCATTGTCATGGCTGGAGGACCGTCGCACCTCAAAACCCTATCTCTTGAACAACCGCAGGCTATTTGAAGTGGAGGAAGAAGATTACCTTCATGTTCCAGCTGAAAATATCGAAGCATTACGCCTGATATACCGCCAGTTCCAGAAAGACGGCTCCCAGATCAGAAAGCAGGATGTCATTGACCGCATTGTTGACGGCGACTGGCGCAGAGGACTGTCGCTTCATCAACACGCCAGCATTGATTTTGCTTATTTGGAGCAGAACGATGCCGCGTTAAGATGGAGTGCCCTTCGGCTCGTGCCGCTTGCAAGAGAAGAACACACACTGCAGGGAGAAGACGAATCGTATCCCTCTAAAAAGAGGCGGAAACTGAGCCATGATGGAGGCAATCCGGGATATCCTCAGGTCTCGCCCCAGACCTTCCTGGCTGCTCTAAAGGCGGAGATCTCACCCCTGGTCAAAGCACATTACCACCTCCACCGAATGGCGGCGCCATATGATCTCACCATTATTCGACTCTACATCACACCCGATACCGCCTTCCGGCCTCGCAGTTCTAGCGTTCCCAGGCGCGCCAGAGAGGCGACAGACTCGGGGAGAGTTATGTATGTGGCACTGCCGGATAATTGCCCATACGTATATGTCTCATTGTCCGGCTCTACTGGCTCTGCTGGACGTGGAAGGGGTGCCAGAGACTCGAAAGGCAGAGTGATGGCCAAGGTCGACATGGCCACAATGAAAAAGATCGTCCTCGAAGCCATCCCGAAAGCTCTGTCTCGACCGCAGGAGAGGTGGGCTCTCGAGTCAACGAAACTCACAGCAAAGTCTCTCCAAAGTGTTTGCGAGCTGAGGGGGAACCAAAAGCCAGGCACAGGAGGTGGAGCATACAGTGTCTTCACAATCAAGACTCGAGCTTCTCAGAGCAGCCCCGTGGATGTACAGGTGCAGGAAGAACCAACCGAGAGCGACCTGCGTAGCCCCGTTGGCCAGCGATTCGGCCATATGACCGGCGAACACTACGCGGCTCTGGACCGTGTCCATGTCACGATCAAGAATTTGATACAGCGGGACGCGGATACCTGCCCAGACCCGCTTGGAAAAGACACAGGCGATGCTGGGCTCACTTTTGCTGGCTCGGATGTTTTTTTGGGGCTGCGTAAGCTGGCGGAGATGGGGACGGCCTACGTGGACTTGGATAGGATGCCTGCTTGGATGACTGGCGAGATGGGAGTCAGCAGCCTCACAGGGTAGGATTCCATCAACCCATCCCTTCTCCCTTCTGGGACCATGAATGACGATGAATGCTGTTATGCTCCCTGGTACAAAGCAAAGATGGAGTTTTGGTCTGCCGAGGGATACTTTGATTGCGGTTGGAACAGGACGAATGCACCCATTCCATTGGCGGCCTTGCCAGGAATGTCTCTTGCCAATGATAGAAGTTCATGAGCAGCAACCTCTTGAAAGACTCTGGCGTCGGTTGAATATTGAATATCTTATCTTTTTTGCTCCCACAAAGCCTCCTGACAGACGGGTACAGCAATATGTTAAACCAAACCACACTTGGTCCCAGTGGTATCAAGAATGACTTGGCTTTGAGAGAAGGTATTATAATATTGTACCGTGGCATCTACCAGGGTTTCAGTCCCAGTCTACCTACCTTAGGTAGCGTTCTGTGGCCGTTACGGAGGAGGCTCAGTACCTCCACCTCCGCTGCAATCTTCTCGTCAGCGTACTCGTCGCAAACGCGCAGCTTCTGGCGCAGGTTGTACGAGCCATTGAGGAAGTCGCCGTCTAGCCTACACTCCAGCGTTTTGGGATGCAAGGACGATATCCAGCCCATGATATGGCCTGCGACGCGAGCTGGGTTGACTCGCTCGACCCAGAGCTGCTTCTGGACATCATGGACGAGTTCGATGGGCTTGTTGATGTCCGACGTCCATAACGTCGAAGGAGATGGGAGGTGAGGGTTGGTCGCGGATTGGTGAGGTCTAGTCTGGTGTACTGTAAAGGGATCTGCCTGCGCATGGCAAACTTGAGGCTAAGGAGGCCTTGGCCTGCAACTCTTCTTTACACCTGGTATTACTTCAAGTTGGCCACCTCCACCCAGCTCAATGAGAAATAGCAGTCCCCGTCTGCCAATGTGTGCTTGACGAAGAATCAGCCATATCATGTTCAGAGCTCGTTCCCCCGCAGCGCCTGACCGTCAAATCCAAAGCTCATTTCGAAAGCCTCCTGCATTCTGACTGACTGTAGGCAAAGACCTAACGATGAAGAAAGCGTCAGTCGCTTTCGCTCGACGTGCACGTACGCAACGAGGACGATTACGATCGACGAAAATCCAACTGGAATTGGCCGCTGCACACACTCATCCGTCCAAACACGGATCTTGGGCTTTGGGGCTGCGCCGCATGCTACGCCATGGCCATGCGAGACAGCCTCGCGAGGCACACGGTCAGCATTTGATGCGACCCAGAATCAAGCCCTCAGGCTACACCAGCATCCAGGCCGAAGGAACAGGGTTCTGATCTTGACTGGCCATGGCCTTTCAGCTGATCTCAACCATCACTCTTTGGGCTGTGAACATGCAAGCAAAGTCATGCCTTGGACTGCAGAGTGAGCTTAAAAGCAGGTATTGAATACCTGACTACATGCTTGATTGTGGAGTGTCTCTTGGAAGTCTGTTGTCGATGACTCCGTGCTGAATCCTAGAGAAGGCGTGAGCAGGCTATTCTACTGTCTAGTGCTTTGGGTGCTTAGCAGTGCACAACCGTGTCTGAGACTGCTCCTGCCAGCTGCGCGTGCTATGGAGCAATTCTCCCCATACCAGCCAATGCCCATGAGAGTTTCTGTCCCTCAAGTTCATAGCTGATGATCAGCAGGCCTGGTGCCTATCACTTGGGACGAACATCAATTCGTGGTACGTGCTTGTTCCTATTTTGCCCGTCACCTTCGGTGTCAATATTCGCTGTCCCGACGATTCAATACGAGCAAGGTGACAACGACGATCGTCTCGTGAAATGCGGTCGAATCAGGCTCGACTGTACTGCTCCAGCCTTTCTGTTACACCATTTGGTCCCAGTCTGGTCTGGCCGTCACACTCCCGACCTGGGAAGAACGCTTCTGTATGTAAGCTCCAGCTTCGACCATCGGGCCATACGCCTGTAGTTCACGACTGGAAGCTGTCTCAGACAAGACATTGCTACAGCCATATTTTATGACTCACATTCTTCGGATGCAACTACTGGCTTCGTCAGAATCAGAACACATGGTCATCCTTGAAACGAAGCGAATCAGCGAAGCATGATGGGATCTCGGGATCGGCTGCATGGTTGTCCTGCAAGTCGCCTCCATACTTTCTCGTGATACCACAAATTGTTCGGGGAGCACACCAGCGATGAGTGTTTTTGGCAGACAATTTTCCACGTCACTTACCGGGAAGAGATGCTTGTCCTGTCCGTCGGACATTCCTCAGCCTGCCCTGCTGGGCTCACCCGCATGTGAAGAGCAACACCATATCCAGGAACAATGCTAGTCGACAAGAAATCGGGTTATACCAAACCAAGGATCTCAACCTATGAGAGCCAGGAACCTGCTAGACTAGAATCCGTTCCTGGATCTGGATATCTATCCTTGGACCCTATCAGCATTGTTCCTTCTGACATGGCAAAGAAGTCGGTGGAAGTAGATCTATTCTTGGTGGTGGAACCGAGCAAGTAGCCGAGACTCCGCTACCGAAGGCCAGGTATTTTGACCGGCACGCCTTTCCAACAGACTTGATCAAGGTTGTTGTTACTCGACATCTGTCCACGCGCTCTTGCATCATACGGCACTGCTCTGGCGACGGACTTGGAGGAACATTGACCACTTGAAGGACACATGATTCGAATTCCATTCTCCTGGCCGTTCGAACACTGGGTGGCTGGTCCAGCTTGATGCCCCGAGGAATCGTCCAGGCAATCAAATTGCGGTGTAAGGATGTCGCTGGCCGAAGGGCTCAACAAGGGCTCTGCACCCGGTGTCCTGAATGCTCGGGTGTTGCATTCCCAACTTGCGAACTCCACTAGAGACGAAGAACGCATGACGACTCTTGCCAACGTACCTTGCGGCGAAGATACCGAGCACAGAGTATTGGTCATGTTTTTAACTCATATGCAAGTCAACGTTTCTCAGCCTTGACTGGCTCCCACCAGCACCGTATAGGCGATCGCCCGGCTCGAGGCTAGAGACACAGCAACACAGATTCAGGGACCCCAGCCTGTTCCTGCTTCCTGCTGTGCCAGAGATCGGCTTTGTCCTCGAGCTTATAAAGATGGGGTCTTCCCCCCTCTCATCAGCTTGAAGCAATCGACAGGATTCATCCGTCTTTCATTCGTTTGACTTGTCATTGCGAAGCGCATCAAGGTCACCTACACATCCATCATGTACATCAACTTGATTCCATCGGCTCTCCTGGCCAGTTCGGCGTTCAGGTAATCACACGTACAGTCATTCATTCTTCTCTTCTGACACTCCTCTAGTATCTTGGCTGCGGCCAATCCGGTGCTTCCTCGCGGAGATGGGACAACAACCGCCTGGGGCTATGGCTCCGGATCCTCCTGGGGCTCCGGAGGCTCAGGAGGTGGCAGCACTCCTGTTGGCGGTGGCAGCACTTCCAGTACCAGTGGCAGCACTTCCAGTACCAGTGGCAGTACTCCCGTCGGCGGAGGCGGCACTACTGGTGGAGGCGGATGTGCGCCTACCACGACCACTTTGACGATCACGAAGGGCACTGGCGGTCAAACAGTCACTGATACTCAAATCAGCACCATCACAGTCGGAGGCTCTGTGGTGACGTCCACTGTGATTGACACCACGACAGTCAACGGAGGACAGACTATCACGCAGACCCTTCCGGCGTCTACCGTGGTTAAAACAACCACCGTCAATGGAGGAGAGACCAGTACCATCACCCTTCCAGCATCGACTGTGGTCGAGACAACCACTGTCAATGGAGGAGAAACCAGTACTATCACCCTTCCAGCATCGACTGTAGTCGAGACAACCACCGTCAATGGAGGACAGACTAGGACTGTGACCCTTCCGGGGTCTACCGTGGTTGAAACAACCACCGTCAATGGAGGAGAAACCAGCACTATCACCCTTCCAGCATCTACTGTGGTTGAGACAACCACCGTCAATGGGGGCCAGACGGTTACCCGCACACTTCCAGCATCTACCCTCACCTCTACTATCACCCTGCCCGGTGTAGCCATCACGTCTACCGTCACTGAGACCACCACAGTGAACGGAGGCCAGACAGTCACTCGAACACTTCCAGGCTCTACTGTTGTTGAGACAACCACGGTCAATGGCGGTCAGACCGTTACCACCACAGTTGTCTCTACTGTGACTCAACCGGGTGCTGGCAGTACTGTCACCGTGACCCAACCGGGTGCTGGCAAGACTGTCACTGTGACCCAACCGGGTGCTGGCAGTACTGTGACCGTGACCCAACCTGGTGCTGGCAGTACTGTGACCGTGACCCAACCGGGAGCTGGCAAGACTGT